GCCACTCCACGACGCCGCACGCCAGCCCGAGGCGGTGGGCGCTGGCAGTTGGCGGGGCTCGCTCGCACGTCTCAGCAAGGACCGCGCGCGTCCAGAACAGCTCGCGCCCGTGCTCACATCATCACCCTCTCACCTCACCGCACTCGACAATCACGCCAGCACGACCGCCCAGCCCACGTTGACGCGCACAGCCTATTGCACAAGGAACCTGCTCAGCGCTGATGTGCAAACGGTTAGTTCGTCGCCCTGACAGCCTCGAGTGGCAGCATGTATCCGCCGCACGCGCCCTCGTCGCCGCCCGCGCCTCTGCGAGCGCGCACGGCACGTCCCGCGACACACCCCCACCTGCTGTGTCAGGCCCGGACCACGGCGACGAGGCGCCGGGGGGGCCGCAGAGGCAGCCGCGCGTGTGCATGCGGGCCTGCGCGGACCTGGCGCCGCCCTCCACCGCCGTCCGCACGTGCGCCCGCCCCTCCTCACGTGTCGGTCGAGCCCCTGTTGTGCCGCAGGAGCCCACCCGCCGCAGCACCGGTCGCGACCCCGCCCGGGTGAGGCCGGGCCGCAGCGCTGTGCGGCGTCGCGCAGGTGCCGCGCCCGGGACCCATGCAGCGCACGTGGCCTGAGTGACAGAGTGCGTAAACCTTGCTACGTTGTCGGCGTCGGCCACAGCCCAGCACAGCACAGCACCTGCCGCGCACGCCGCTCCGACATACATCAGACGCCCGCCCGCGCTGAGCCCGCCGCCTCACATGCACTCATGCTCACAGTCCGCCCCCCACCTCGCCTCCCTGCGGGCCATGTGGGAGCTGCGCAGCAAATGCGCGCCTCACTCGCGGGCCGGCGGCCCGCCTACCTCCTCCTCACGGCCTGCGCCCCGCCCCCGACCTGCTCGTCCCCCTCCGCGTTCCCCTCCGCCTCCACGCCCCTCACCTCCACCACCGTCCCCTCCCCGTCAACGTACACCCCGTACTGCTTGTTGTTGCACATCCAGCCGCGCCGGACATGCAGCTGCGCGCCGCCAGCCGCCTCGGCGCCGTTCTTATCGTTGCCGTCGCAGATCACTCCGTCCGCGTCCACCTTGGCACCGCTGCCATCCGCACATAGTCCGCTCTGCTTGTTGCTGCACAGCCGCCCGCTCACGTGCAGCTTCGCGCCCTCATGCGCAGCCGCCCCATGCTTGTCATTCGTCTCGCACACCACGCCCTCCGCAGACACCTCCGTCCCCTCGCCCTGACACCACACGCCGCTCCACTTGTTGCTGCACAGCCGCCCGCTCACGTGCAGCTTCGCACCCTCCTGTGCACACGCGCCCTGCATGCCGTTCGCCTCGCACACCACGCCCTCCGCCCGCACCTCCGTCCCCTCGCCGATGGCAAACACGCCGCACTCCTTGTTGCTGCACAGCCCCCCGCTCACGTGCAGCACCGCGCCGTCCTGTGCACACGCGCCGTGACTGCCGTTCGCCTCGCACACCACGCCCTCCGCCCGCGCCTCCGTCCCCTGGGCAAAAGCGCACACGCCGCTCCACTTGTTGTCGCACAGCCGCCCGCTCACGTGCAGCTTCGCGCCCTCATATGCACACGCGCCATGCTCGTCATTCGCCTCGCACACCACGCCCTCCGCCCACACCTCCGTTCCCCCGCCCATTGCTGCAACACCGCTCTCCTTGTTGCTGCACAGCTGTCCGCCCCTCACGTGCACCTTCGCGCCCTCCTGCGCACACGTGCCGTCGCTGCCGTTCTCCTCGCACACCACGCCCTCCGCACGCACCTCCGTCCCGACGTCATAAGCACACACGCCGCTCCACTTGTTGCTGCACAGCAGCCCGCTCACGTGCAGCTTCGCGCCCTTCTGCGCAGCCGCACCGTCCATGCCGTTCTCCTCGCACACCACGCCCTCCGCAGACACCTCCGTGCCCCCGCCGCTGCCAAACACGCCGCACCGCTTGTTGCTGCACAGCCGCCCGCTGACGTGCAGCTTCGCGCCCTCCCTTGCAGCCGCCTGCATGCCGTTCGCCTCGCACACCACGCCCTCCGCCCGCACCTCCGTCCCCCGTCGACGCCCAACACACCGCTCCACTTGTTGCTGCACAGCCGCCCGCCCCTCACGTGCACCTTCGCGCCCTTCTCCGCGACCACGCCCTGCATGCCGTTCGCCTCGCACACCACGCCCTCCGCCCGCACCTCCGTCCCTCCCTCCGCCGCCAGCCCCGCCCCGCTGTTCCCCACCACCACGCACCGCTCCAAACGCACCTCCGCCCCGCCCTCCACCCTCACCCCGCAGCATTCACCCCCCCCCTCGCTCTCACTGCCGCCCTCCGCCCCCGCCCCCGCGCAGCCCCCGTCCACCCGGCACTCCACCATCGCCACCTCCCTCGCCCCGCGCACCCTCACCAGCGCCCCCGGCCCCCGCCCCCTTCCTCACGCCCCCGCGCACCACATCCACCCTCTCCAACCGCGTCCCGCTCGCGCCCGCATGCACCTCCACCGCCACGCCCCGCAGCACGCCGTTCCCCACCACCGCCCGCTCCAGCACCTCCACCCCGCTCCCCTCGCCCCCCACCACCGTCCGCCCCCGCAGGTCCACCACACCCCCGGGGCCCTTGGACGCCATCAGCGACCGCAGGTCGTCCAGCGTGCACTCGCGCGCGTCGCCCGCGCCCGCGCCGGAGCCGCCGCGCGACGCCGCCAGCTCCGCCCGCACCGCGCCTCTCACCTCGTCCAGTAGCATTCGTCGGTGCTGCTCCAGGGCGGTGGCAATGTCTCCGTCGTCGGGACGCGCGCGTTTCGCGGGGCGTGACGGGCCCGCGCCGTCGCCCGAGGGGCTGTCTGCCATGGCGACCGACGCGCTTGTTCGACTCGCCCGTTGAGAGGCAGTGATGATCTGCGTACAATGATGCGGCAAAGTGACAAAATACTGAGCGGTCCTCACGTGCACATCAGCGCGCCGACTGCGCACGATTCTCGTATTAAATTCGTGCGTGCCCCATGAGAATCGCCGTGGCACGGCGGCGCGCCAAACGACCGGCCGGGACGGTGGGAGCATCGTAGCCCACTGCCCACGCGCACATCGCGGGACCGCCGGGAACCATCGCGACCGGCGGTTTCCCGGGATCCTCTACACACGTCCTCACCTGAGCTGGCCCGGAACCCGCGTCCAGTGCCGTCAACTGTCCCAACGCGGCCAACCGTCTTCCAACTGTTGCTTCACCCGGGTCTGGCGACGTGTGTGTGGACGCAGAGTCTTCGGCAGGCAGCTCGAAGTGACGATCTGGGCCTGAGGAGCGCGCCCTCGTAGCCATCCGTGCCTGTGCGCACACATGGGACGTCCCGCGACAGTCCCCTGTGTCGATCGCAATGATGACGTCATCGACGGGCCTCACGCGCGACACTGTGAATCGACGTCTCGCTCCTACGAGTCCGACCAGTTCGGGCCAGAGCTGCATCCCTTGCGCCCTCGCGCTCACCATCGCGCCGCAGGGCGACCCTCGTCGCAGTTGCGACGTCACCTGGCTGCAGAGACGCGGCCCCGAGCGTCAGCCGAATCACCCCTTCCGAAAGCGCTCTGTGTGCCGCGGACCGTCGCGCGACGAGGCACGAACCAAATGCGGGCTCACACAGCGCTTCGCGCGCGCTGGTGCAGCGTCGCCCCTGTCGTGGCCTAGCGCGCGCTCGCGTCGTGATATATAGACCGTCGCGTCATCAAGCGCGCGACCTGCACCGACTCTGAATCGTTCTGCGCACCTCGACGCGTGCGCGCCCCGGTCCCACCACCCTCGCAGCACGCCGGCGGGCCCGAAGCATGGTGCCCTCCATGCGTCGAAAACGACGTGGTTCCTTCGCGATCCTGGATAGTTTCATGCATGTGCGTGGCAAACACTACGTGATCGATCCGCTCGGCTGCGCGCTCGCCCTCCTGTGCCGCGCGTCGCGTCACCTGCCCGCCCTGAACGTGTCAGCATCAACTTCGTCGCTTTTTGGAGGCCACGCGGACCCGGAGCGGCAGCGGGACGCCCTGCGGTCTCCTACGGACCCATAACATGCCTCTGGTTGCGGATTATCCGGGAACGACTCAGCCACCGACTGCCGCCGTCCGGCAGGCCCAGTGCGTGTGCCTGGGGGCCGCCTCGGCCTCGGCCGGGTGTGCCGGTGCGGCTTGTGGCATGGCGGTGCACGGAGGAGCGGGCAGGCAACGACGGCGCGGGCGGGCCGGGCGTGGCACCTGCGCTGTGCGACTGGCAAGCTCAGGCCCCACCCGTGAGGGGCCCGCGCTGTGCGATTGCGTTGGGCGGCACAAGGTGTCGCGGCGCGGGGAGGGCGCCCAAGGATTCATAAGACGCCCGGGGCCGCAGTTGCTCCGATAGGGGAGTTCTCGTCGAGTTGGGAGGGGAGCGACTCGGTGCTTAGAGCCGAACGCGACGTTTCCGTAGCACTTTTCCGCTGTTCTTCGGGCGGTTGGCTTTGAATTGTTCTAAATTTGGGAGGGAAATGCGATTCGTGTACATTTGAGCGACCTCCCGGCCACGATCCCACCTTGCGAGCCGACAAGGTGGGCATGATCACCGCACCTGGCCCTGCGCTGTCAGTCAGCGGCGCCCGGGCCCGCGTCATCGCAGCCGTCGCCACCACACAGCCTGCTCCGGCCCCCGCGCGCCCCCGATCTCGGCCCGCCCCGGTCGTGCGGCCCCCTGTGGCCCTGCTCGCCAGTCAACCATCTGTGCATTCGACCCCGGACAGCCCCCCTCGCCGCGCCCTGCCCCTTGCAGGTCCCACGAGCCGCCCATCAGCCCCCGAGGCGTCGGCTCCGCGGGCGGGAAGCGCGGTCCGCCTCCCTGTTGCCCGTCGCGGTTGCAAGCAGCCATACGCTCCAGCTCCGAGGGCAAATACCCGCGCCCGCGTGCCCCTGACGCCGCGATAGCGCGTTCTCGGCAGGGGCAGTAACAGGCGGCCGGCGTTGACCCACGTGCGCGCCGGGCTCGCCCTGCGTCAGGCCTCGGAAGGATGGCGGAGCCCATGGACCGGGACGGCGTCTCGGACGGCGCAACGGAGTGGCAGTTCCTCCAATGCTTCGGGGAACGAACTCCGGGGGAGGAGATCCAGGACGCGGACATCATTAGCACGGTGCGCCCCCCCCGCCCGCCGCGCGAGCGCGCCCACAGGAGCCGCAGGGCCAGATGGGTCATCTGCGCGCGCGGCGCCCGCGACGGCCCGCGACGTGCCGCGCGACGCCCGGGATCCAGCAGATCCTCGACGAACACGCGTCCGCGCCCGCGCTCCCGCCCGGTTCCGCCCCGTTCTTGCCCGCAACGCCCCTGCACGGGCAGCCCAGGCGGCCTCGGTCGTTGGCACCCCGACGCGCGCCCTCCGGCGCTCTCACGCCGCGCGCGCGCGCGCCCCGCTCTGCTCCGCAGGTCTGCTTCGACGGAGACGGCGAGCACCTAGCCACGGGCGACCGCGGCGGCAGAGTCGTGCTGTTCGAGAGGTGAGCTGCCCTCCTCCCCCGGCCGTCCCGCGCGCCCGCGACGCCCCACGCCTCGCGGCTGCGCGCGTGGAATGTATGGTGTATGCGCGATTCAGCGCCGACGCGAGGACCGCTTCGGACTCCCCCCCTTTGCAGGATCGCGGCCGAGAAGAAGCTCAGCACGGTGGAGGATGTGGCGCCGCAGGCGCAGATGCACCCGCACGAGTACCGGTACCTCACCGAGTTCCAGTCACACGAGCCCGAATTCGACTATCTTAAATCCCTCGAAATCGAGGAGAAGATCAACAAGGTGCGCGCCGGGCCCCAGGGCGTCGCTGCCGGGCGCATGCTGACCGCGCGCCCGCGCGCCCGCCGCGAGCCGGACCTGTGTTTTCGGCGCCGCTGGTGGCTTGCCCGCTCAGACTCGTCCGTGTTGGCGTCGCGCGGCGCAGGTGCGGTGGGGGCTGGGGGAAGCCGGGGGGCGGCTGCTGCTGTCGACGAACGACAAGACCGTGCGGCTGTGGCGCGTGTACGAGCGCACGGTGCGACATCTCGGGCACTTCAACATCGCGCCGGAGATCCGCGCGACGGTGACGAGCGCCGCGCAGCTGAAGAAGATGGGCCTGCAGTGCCCAACGGTGCTGCGGCTGCCCAAGGTGCTCCGCGTGGAGGTGCAGCTGACGGCCAAGTGCAAGCGCGTGTTCGCGAACGCGCACACGTACCACATCAACAGCATCTCCCCGAACAGCGACGGCGAGACGTTCATCAGCGCCGACGACCTGCGCGTCAACCTGTGGAACTACGAGCACGCGGACAAGTCGTTCAACATCGTCGACATCAAGCCGGACAACATGGAGGACCTCACCGAGGTCATCACGAGCGCCGACTTCCACCCGCACCACTGCCACCAGCTCGTCTACTCCTCGAGCAAAGGGTGCATCCGCATGGTCGACATGCGCGCCGCGGCGCTCTGCGACAAGCACCAGCGCGACTTCGTGGAGCAGGAGGAGCAGCCCAGCCGCTCGTTCTTCTCCGAGATCATCTCGTCGGTGTCGGACGTGAAGTTCTCCAAGGACGGGCGCTACCTCGTGTCGCGCGACTACATGACGGTCAAGCTCTGGGACGTCAACATGGAGGCGCGCCCGCTGAAGACCTTCCTCGTCCACGAGCCGCTCCGCGCCAAGCTGTGCGACCTGTACGAGAACGACTGCATCTTTGACAAGTTCGAGTGCTGCATCAGCGGACAGTCGACGCACGTCGCCACGGGCTCGTACGGCAGCTTCTTCCGCGTGTTCTCGTGCGACGACGGGCCCGACCACCTCCTCGAGTCGAGCCGGGACCCGCAGCGCAAGCGCGTGAACAACGCCAAGGGCGCCAGCGGGAAGAAGAAGGGCGCGCCGCCCGACCGCAGGCTCGCGGGGCTCGAGTCGCTCACGCTCGGGGACTTCGGCGCCAAGATGCTGCACCTCGCGTGGCACCCGCGGCACAACATCATCGCGTCCGCGGCCTCGAACTCTCTGTACCTGTTCTGCACCGCGCCGTGCTAGGGCCGGCCGCGGGCGGCGCGTCGGCGGCCGGGCGGGTCTGCGTGGAGCGTGCTACGGCGCGCGGGTGCGTCAGGAGCGCCGCGCGACGTGGCACTGACTTGCTGTGCTATATTCGATACAACATGCTCTTTCGAGAGGCTGCGCTCCCGAAGACGAGTGTGCCTCCGATATTGTCGAGGCGCGGGCGAGTGGGCGCGGTCGCTGGCCGTCGCACGCGGCCGCTGGCTGGCCGCGAGCGACGGGGCGTCGCTGCTTGCCGCCGGAGGGCGCGTGAACCCAGCCACGAGCATGGCCGCTGTGCTTGACCGGCCGCGACGGATGTGACAGCGGACGCCTGTCACGAACGCGACTTTCGCCGCGCTCCACCCGCTTCTCTCGTGCGTGCGGGCACTCCACCGCTGTCGTTGCGCGATGGCACCACGGAGGGGGCGAAGCGTACCCTGCTTGCACTCGTTGAGCGACGACGTTGCATCTTGGCTTTCCTGCGACCCTCAGCATGCAATTCCCTTCGCCAATTCTTGTTGCTCGGCACGTGACGCTGCTCCGCCCCCAAAGTACCCAATCCAACATACATACCCCCTGACGTGTTCATTACAGCGTCGCCTGAGCTCAGCACGGCCCGCCTACGTGAAGCTCTGGTACGAGTGCACCGACCCCTGCCCCTGCGCGTCCAGGAACGACAGCCGCTGTTTGTGGATCGACGCCAGCGGCGTAGCTGACCCTGTCGTCGCGCCCAGCCGCATGGCCGCGAAATCGATGCTCCCGCTGTCCTGCCGACCCCACGGCCCCAGCATCTTGCCGCGCGCCGCGCTCTGCGGCCGCCCCGACGCCGCCGCCCGGTGGTGCGACTTCACCGCACTCTGCAGCGTGATTGCTTTGCGTCGCTCCTTGTGCAGCTCCGCCCGCAGACGCTCGACCTCCTCCTCCAGCTCCTCCTCCCGCGCCTTCGCCATCGCCATCGCCGCGCCTGTCAGCGGCGCCCCCGCGGGGGCGTCTCCGCTGGACCTCCGGGGGGAGTCGGGGACCTCCGCCGACCCACGCCGGTTGCCGTGCGCGCGCTCCCGCGACGCCGCGGGCCGCCGCTGCGCTCGCGTCTCCTCCGGCGCGGTCTCTCGCGTCGCCGCCGCCGCCGCCTCTCTCTCCCGCTGCTCGTGCGTCACCGCCAAGAACCGTTCCGCCAGCTGCTGCAGCACCTCTGCCTTCCGGCGCAGCACGGTCGCCTTGCTCGCCAGCGGCATCCGCGGGCGCTGCGCCGCCTCCTCGTCGCTCTTCACCGCCGGGAGGTCCGGCTCCCTCGCCGCGGCGTCCGCCGCGGCCAACTGTTGCAACAGGAGCCGCGCGTGTACGTCCTCCGGCGGCAGCGGCCGCAGCTCCCCGAGCGCCACGCGCGAGATGATGGCCTCCGCGAGCTCCGCGAACGCGTCCGCGGCCGTGACGGACTCCGTGGCCTCGTGCTGCGCCGCCCGTGCCGCGATCTGCGCTGACGTCAGCTCGCCCGCCATCCGCGCCTCGGCCTCGATGCGCGCGTCGATCTCCTGCTGGTGCTGGTACATCAGGTCCTTCAGCGCCTTCTCCCGCGCGCGGTTGATCGACTCGATGTTTCTGTGGTGCTGGCGATTCAACTTCTCCGTCGCCTCTGCCATCCGGGCCTGTCCCTGCGCGAGCGCCCGCTCCCGCAGCTCCGCCGCCTCCGGCATGGCCTGCGTCAGCTCCGCCAGCTGCTCCAGCAGCTCCGCGTTGCCCTCGCGCAGCCGCCGCGCCTCGGCGCGCGAGAACTCCAGCACCTTGCGCTGCGACTCCAGCGCGCGGCTGTCGCTCTGCTCCCGCTCGCGCTCCAGCGCCTCGATCTTCGCGCGCAGGCCCTTCACCGTCGCCGTGTTGTTCTTGTTCTCCGAATCCAGCTGCGTGCGCAGCTCCTCCACCTCTGTGTGCAGCCGCTGGTTTTCGTTCCGCATCTCCAGGGCCGACTTCTCGAGCACGCGGACCTTGCGGGCGATGTCCGGGTCGTTCGATATGCGGGGGCCGTCCGACGTGCTCGGGCCGTCCTTGGCGGCCGCGAACGCCGCGAGGGAGAAAGCGCCTGACGCAGCGTTGGACTTGGTCGGCGCTAGGACGGAGGGCTGCGCCGTGTTCGTCGTGCCCCTGCGGGCGGAGGGAGGAGAGGACGGGGTGGGCGCGGCGGCGGGGAGCCACGCGGGCCGTGCGCCGCGGTGCATCGATCCATGCAAAAGAGCAGGGCAGTCATCGAAGCTGTGGCAAACGATCGAGGTTCGCAGTATCAAAATCCGTCGGGGGGAAAGAACGCGTTCGCGGGCAGGTCGACGCGGCACGCACCCCGCCGACAGCCGCAGCGTGGTCCAGCTCGACGGGTCCGCGCGGACGTTGACGCGCTTCAACACCTCGGCCGGCACCCCCTCCAGCTGCACACTCCTCCCCTTCACCTGCGCGTCGGCGCCGCCGAGCGTCTGCAGCACGTTGCTGTAGTGCGCGTGCGTCACGTCGAGCTCGTGGTTCATCGCGTCGACCTGCGCCCTCAGCTCCGCGTTCTCGTCCTGCATGTTGGCCACCATCGTTTCCAACGTCTCAATGTAGCTGCGCAGCGCCTCGTGGTCCGCGTCGCCGCCGATGCCCGTGACCTTGCCCGACCCCTCGATGTACTTGCACCGCTGCGCGAACCAGAGCGTCGACAGGCTCTCCTCGAGCGACCGCTCGTCCGGCGTCGCGCAGCACAGCACGGTGATGGTGCTCTCTCCCTCGAACGAGTCCTTCAGCATCCGCGTCATCTTCGTGTCGCGGTACGGCACGTAGTTCTTCTCGCCCTCCCCCGTCTCCTCGGACAGGTTCAGGATGATCTTCCCGAGCGCCGACAGCGACTGGTTGATGTGCGTGGCCTCCTTGAGCCGCTGCCCGGAACTCTGCGACTTCTTGACGCGCTCCGTGCCGGCGAGGTCGATCAGCGAGATCGTGCCCGTGCGCGCGGCGCCCTGCGCGAGCTCCATGCGCACCTTCAGGATGAACACCGTGTGCGACCGCGACGACGTCTCGTTGTTGGCCGTCATGTGCGTCTCACGCAGCGCGTGCCCGCAGCGCACGGCGTGCATCGCGTCGGCCAGCGAGTTCACTTCGACGTCGAACAGCCCCTTGACGTACGTGTTCTTCGTCTGCGGGTCCTCTATGATGTCGAGCGACTGCCGCGCGTAGTCAAAGAGGGGGTCCCCGGGCATGCCCTGCTTGAACGACAGCTCCTTCTGCCGGGCCTTGCGCAGCGGGATGCCGAGGAGGTCGGAGAAGTTCGTCGCGTTGCCCAGGTCGCGCAGGTGGTCCTGGTAGATCTCGACGAAGTTGGCAGTGATGGTGACGGCGTGCCCGCTGTCCTTCATCACGCCCACGGCCTCCAGGACCTCCGTGACGCAGCGCGGCACGAGGCCCTGGTCGCGGGTCGACGCCAGGTTGCCGTACATCGTGTACGTCTTCCCGCTACCTGCGGGCGCGGGCCGCGCGCGGTGGCGGTTTCGGTGTGGGGTGGCGGGCAGGAGCGGGCTGTGCGTTCCAGGCGACGAACTCGATGGGAAGCGACGGAGACGGATGCAATGTGGCGCCTCGTCGCTCGCCGCGGCGTTACGTGGCGTGAGTCGGGCGGGAGAGCGGGTCGCAAGCTCACCTGACTGCCCGTAGGCGAAGCAGCAGGGGTCCTGCCCGCGCAGGCACTCCTCCGTCAGCCGGCGCCCCACTCCGGTGTATACATTGTCCTGGGTCGCGTCGATATTGAAGATCTTGTCGAACCAGAACTGTGCGGACCGCATGTAGGGGTGCGCCTCGTCCCGGGGCATGCGCACCAGAATGCCATTGCCGCGGACCTGCAACGCGATTGGTGGCGCGCTAGCGCGATGAACTACACGCGGGAGGCCAGGGGACATCCGGAACGCATCGCACGGCCCCTGCTCTCGCCGTGCCCAGGCATGCGCATGGATCCGTCGCCGGTTTCGCCCGGGATTTCGCATCAGGGCGCTTCAGCGTTGAGGCGCGACGTACTCACGCGTCGTGCCGGGGTCTCACCTGGTACACATGCTGCGGGAAGTCGAGTATTGGCCGAAGGCGCACATTGACAGTGACGCGCGGCAGAGGCTTCTTGCCCGTGGGGACCTGCTCGGTCATCGTGCCAAGCTATCGAGCCCCACGCCAGCTAGACCTTCTCGTGCTGCACCACAGCAGCCCGTCAACCCAGCCCGCGCGCCCCGAAAGCGACCGTGGCACGGCCTGCCCTCCCAGCCCTTCGGTGGAGCCCCGGGAGGCGCTGCTGGGTGGAAATGCGCTCGAAATGCCTCGGCCTCAGTCACTCGGTCCTCGCTCTTCGCCGAGCCTGAGCAGGCGTCCGTTTCGCTCGTCCACCTACCTGGGCTGGCGGTCGAGCAGGAGGACTAGTGCTGCACACTTCACGCCCCGCAGCGAGGTCACTGGCGCACCTGCACGGCACGAGCGGTGCGCAATGCCTCCGCAAGTGCCCCGGCCGCTCAGGCCCCGGCGCCCACGCGCTGCGGGCGCGCCGGCGCGGCGTCAGCTCGGCCGAGGTGTGTTGGACGTCGCCGGGGAGTGTCCACCCACACCTGGGATGACAGCGGCGGCTGGCACCGCATTGATCGGCTGACCCCGCCGGCCAGCGCGCGTAGCTGACGTCGGGCCGGACGTGCATACCTTCATCGTCTGCGGGGCGACGGCGACGCTGGTTGCAGTCACGCGCTGCTACGCTGCATTGAGTTGACTCGTTGGGGGCCGCGGCGCAGAGATGGCCACCGCCGCGGAGGTGCCGGCGGGGGCGTGGTACGGCGAGGCGCAGGGGGTGTTGGGGGACGAGTCTGCCGCGCCTACGGACCCTTATGACATCCAGCCTGAGGAGACAGAGCTTGTGGCGAGCCTCAACAACCTGCGCGCAGCGCTCGATGCTGAAATCAGGAGGTTCGATGACATGAACGCCCTGGAGGACGCACCAGAAGCTCCCAGGTGCGCTATTCAGAGCGTTCTGGCCCCGCTCCCGCCCTGAAGCAGGCTGGCCCTGGTCGCCCTGACATTGCAGGAGCGCAGCTCCGTTACGTGTCTGCGCGAACGCAGCCCGTTTCGATCGGGCCGCCGCGCATCCGCAGTGCCTGCTCCGTCGCCCCACAGACACACCCCGATACGAGCTGTTGCCCACAGCCTCTGAGGCTCCGAAACCCGCGGCCTAATACGTCATGTCTTTTGAATTCGCGCACTTCGCCACCTTCCTCCTCGCTCAGGCTATCAAATGAACACGCTTCCTGAGCACCTCCAGGTCCTGAGCACAGCCAGCGCCCACGGGCGAGTTGCCACTTCAACCTCACCGTGCGCGCCCTACACGCAGGTGCCGCCACCGGATCGTGGACGATCTGCGCGAGTACAGACTCGTCATGCGGGACCTGAGCCTGCTCGGCGACGAGTGCGTGCACCAGGCCGACGCCGACCGCATTGCCCAGCACCTGGAGGCCCACCAGTTTGCCTTCGCCGATCTGCGGGAGCGCTCCCTCGCCGCCTTCCGCTCGTACTACGAGAACACCAGGGTGCGCCGCTGCCCCCCCACGCTCCCCGCCCGAGCTGCAACGCCTGTGCCCGCCCAAGATGTCACACCTGGGCACGCAACGTTGGCGGGGCACGTCCGCACGTTCGCACATGCGGACCCTGTGCATGTCCAGCGGGGCCAGCCTGCGGCCGTTTCGCGCGCCGTGTCGCCGCAGCACGCCGCGTCGATGCCGCGCGCCTTCACGGTGCCACTTTGGTGAGTTGACGTGCAGGCACTGGCCGTCGGATCCGCGACGACGCCCGTGCTGCGGCCGCTTGGGACGCTGGCGTCGAACGCGAGCGCCGACGCCGGCCAGCGGCGCTCCGTGGGCGTCCAGCGGCGCGCCCGCCGCGACCGCGACGCACACAGCGAGGCTGCGCGGCAGACGGAGGCGCTGCGGCGCATGCGGATGCAGCTCGCCGAGGAGATCGAGAAGTCCGAGGCCGGGCTGGAGCTCCTGCACAGCGGGAACGCGGGCATCCGCCGCGCGGGGGGGGAGTTTCGCGGGCAGCAACAACACATCTCCCTCGGACGGCGCCTCCTGGGGCTGCTCGCGCGGCAGGAGGTCATCGACCGCCTCGTGCTGTGGGGGGGCCTCGCGGTCTTCCTCCTCGTGTCCCTGTACGTCGTCAACAAGCGCGTGGAGTACTTCACCCCGGAGGCCCTGCACCGGTTCCTGCCGCCACGCGTCGCCGCGAAGGTCGTCGCCGTGACGGTGTCGGGCTCGACGATGGCGGCGCGGCTGCTGATGTTCGGCGGCTCGCGCGGGTACGTCAGCACGGCCGCGGCGGTGCAGTGGCTCTTTGCGCGCGTCAACCAGCGGCGCGCCGAGATGCAGACGCGGGCCGGGCGGCGCGCGCAGCAGCGCACGGTCACGTACCAGGCGCCGGAGGAGCCCGCGACGACGGAGCCGTCCGTCGAGCGCTACGCGACGCAGCCGCCCCCGCCTGAGGATGCGCAACATGCCGCAGCGAGCGACGGAGCGGTCGAGACGGCGGCGACGCAGCCCCCGATTTCAGAGGATGCGCAACATGCCGCAGCGAGCGACGGTGCGTTCGAGACGGCGGCGACGCAGCCGTCTGCCCCGGGCGCGCCTGACGCAGCTGCTGCGAATGACGGTGCGTTCGAGGACGTCGCGTCGCAGCCGCCCACGGACGCGGCCTCCGCCCCGCCCGTCACTGCGGATGAGACCCCTGCCAGCGGCTCGGATGGACTGGCCGCGGGGGGCGACGGCGCTGCCTCCGCAGGCGTGACTCAGGAGCAGACAGGGTCGGCGCAGCCCGGCAGTGGCGTGCTCGGCGGCGTCGCGGATGTGGGCGGGGACGTCCTGGGGGACGTGTCGAGCCGCGCGGCACCGACTTCAGACCAGGCCGCGGCTGGGGCGCCCCCGCAGGGCGACACAGTCCCGCACGGCGGCTCCTCCCCGTCCGACACCGCGGCAGCCGGGTCCGCGGCCCCCCCTGTCGGCGGCTCCCCGTTCCATGCGGACGCGGCAGCGCCGGACACGGTCGCACCCGCCGAGCCAGGCGCTTCGGCCGCCGATTCGACCCCGGATGCGGAGGCGGACCCCGCCAGCGCCGATGACGCGGGGCCAGAGGACGTGGCTGCAACCAGCGACAACGCCCCCGATGCGAGCCAGCCAGCCGACCTCGAGTCCAAGCCTGACGACACAGCTCCCGGTACCGCCTCGGATCACGTCCTCAACGGGAACACGGCGCCCTCGGAAGACGGCACCGACGCGGCGCCTGCGGCTAGCAACGACGCAGAGGGCGCCGCAGGCGACGGCCCGGCAGCGCGGGGCGACGCAGCGGAGGCAGCGGGTGAAGGAGAGCCTGCGAAAGATGGTGACGACACAGCACCGGCGAGTGAGCCCGTCTCGGCGGATTCGCCCGCATCCGGCGACGCAATCACGCGCGAGCCGGGGGGCGCGGGTGGCTCGAGCGCGCCGACGCACGGCGGGGCTGGCGACGATGACGTTGCTGAGGGACTGAATGTTGGGGGAGCTGACGGAGGGTCTGGCGCGGGGGACGACGCGGCACGGCGTGACGATGTGGCGGAGGGTGCTGGCGACCCTGTGGACGGCAGCGTAGGCGAGGAGGTGACGGCTGGACACGTCGGCGATGCTGCAGCGGCACCGGAGGTCGCGACGGCTGCGGGGTCTGATGCCCCTGACGGCGCGTCGGCGGGCGACGCGTTCGCTGCGAGCTTAGAGGACGTGCTGGAGCCGGGCGGCGAGGAGAGGGCGGGCGATGCGAGCGAGAACATCGCGGGTGATGGTCCAGGCTCGGACGTTGGCAGCGGCCCCGGCGACGCGCACGGTGGCGGAGGGGGCCTCGGTGGCGGGCTGCACGCCGGTGACGGCGACGCATCCGCGCAGCCCGTGGGCGGCGCTGTGGAGCCGCCGTTGGGCGAGGGCGCCGAAGCTGATGGCGACTCGACTGGGGCGGACGCGGCCGCGCCGCTGGAGCCGGCAACGCAGCACGACGAGCGATTTGGCGCCGCCCCAGAGGATGGGGCTGCCGCTGCGTCCGCCGCCGCGAACGCCGCGGAATCCGCCCCGGAGGAGCCTGACGGTGTCACTGACAGCGGCAGCAGCGTGCCGCCTCCAAGCGACGATCGTGCGCCGCCGCCCGCGGGCAGCGATACTGCGGGTGCAGCGGAGCCCGCAAGCGTCGCCGGAAGCGGCGAGCCCGCCAGCCCCCCTGACGGCAGTGCACACGCGGATTCTGCCGAGCCCAACTCAGGCTCGGAGGACGGCAGCGACGTCTCAGACGGGGAGTCGGGGGACGAGGTTGGCGATGAGGACACGTGGCCGGCGGAGAACGAGGACACAGCGGCCGAGGATGCCTCGACAGGGGCGGAGCCGGGTCCGGGGCTGGCGCAGGACCCAGAGCAGGAGATCGAGGCGGACCCACGGTGGGGGTCTGGCGGCGGCACGGGCTCACGGCGGCCGCTCGGGCGCGGCGCGGGGGGAGGGGGATCGTCGAAGGGAGTGGGGCGGCGGCTCGGCGATCAGCAGGCGCAGGAGCGGCAGCGTCAGCGGCAGCTGAAGAACCGCGCCAGGGCGCAGGCGAGCCTGGGGCGGCGCCCGGGGATGCGGCGGAGAGCCGGGGCCGTATGATGCGACGCGGCTGTGGCGCATGGGCGCGGACGCGAGCGCCCTGGCGCAATGTGAAGAATGTAGTTGCAGTGAGGCAACATTTCGAGCCCTATCGTGTCCGCGGACCGTGCACGCTCGCCTTACACGCACGCAGCGGCCCCGGACCTCGCGCCCGCAGCCACGCCGCGGGTCATCTCCGGACCCCCCCCTAGAGGGCGTCGGTGTTCTTCCAGACGGCGTAGTGGTGCCCCGTCGACGCCCGCTCCCACGTGCCACTGACGCCGGCCTTGTTCGGGCTCCAGTCGCCCGGGCCGATCTTCATCGCGACCTTCCCGTCGATCGTCGCGCCGTACACGTCGGTCGCCGCCACCTGGACCGTCACGCGCGACCGGCTGTGGATCCCCATCTCCTTCCGCACCGCGATGAGCTCGCGGATGCCCTTCTTCATGCTGTCCGGGCCGTAGAAGTGGTCCCAGAAGATGCACGGCGTCCCCGGGTGCGTCAGGATGTAGGCGTACCCCTGCATGGACTGGTCCCAGGGGAAGGGCCAGTGCTGCAGCGTCGACCCCGTGTCGTGGTTCTCGATGAACGTCACCGCGCGCGACGGCCACATCCCCACCAGCCCCGGCGGGCGGCCCTCCTTGTCCACCAGCCGCCAGTACTCCTTGCGCTGCACTGCCTCCTGCAAGATGCCCTTGGTGGTGAAGTCGAACGCGCCGCTCGTGCCGCCCGTGCGGTCGCACCAGTCCACCGTGCGCTGCCGGTGCGAGTCCTGGTTGTAGTCCAGCACGCCGTCGTTGTAGTTGCACGCGTCCCAGTACTCGCCGAACGCCATCAGCGGCACCGTGGCGTCGACGTACTCGCGCGTCCACTTGCCGTCGTACCCGAGCACGAAGTCGAAGCGCCACCCGTCGTACCCGACCGTCTTCATGTGGTTCAGCCACTCGATCACGTCCTTCCGGACCTTCTCCTGCTGGTGGTCGATGTTGGGCGCCGCCGAGTAGTCGCCCTCCTTCTTGTGCCCGCCCTTGCCCTTCCACTGCGGGTTGTTGTTGCAGATCACCTCCGGACCCCACGGCAGGCGCCCGCCGAACTTGTTCCACGTGCCGTCGTCGCTCTGGTACGACGCGCAGCGGTGGTTGATGACAATGTCCGCGATGGTGATCAGGCCCTCATCCTTCATCGCGCGCAGGGCCTCGCGCAGCTCCGCCTCCGTGCCGTACTCCGAGTCGAGCTTGTACAGGTCCCGCGGGAGGTACCCCTGCGGGCTGACCGAGTCGGTCGGCGGCGGGAACCACACGGCGGTGACGCCGGCCTTGGCAATGTCGGCCGCGACGCCCTTGAGGTGCTTGTACCACTGCTGCTTGCACGACTCCCAGTTGAACCCCTGCAGGATGATCTCGTACCCGCTGCCGCACGCGGGGCCCGTGCCGGTGCCGCCGCCGCCCTCGAAGCGCAGGTCCGCCCCGCCGCCGCGCGCCTTGCTCGGCTCCGCGGGCTTCACCTCGTTCTTCCGCGCCGCCAGCAGCGCCTCCATCGCCGCCATGCGCCGCTCCAGCGTCGCCGCCAGCTCCGCGCGCGCCAGCTCCAGCTTGGCCGTGGCCGCGTTCTCGTCGTCCGACGACGCCTCCGCCCCGCCGCCCTCCTCCGCCTCGCGGCGCCGCCGGATCAGGTCCTTCTCCACCGCGACCAGCTGCGCGGCCGCGTGCGAGAGCTCCGCGGCCGCGAGCTCCAGCGACCCGGCCGAGTCCTCGTCCTGCGCCTGCAGGGGCCGCAGGCGCTGCAGCTCTGCCGCGGCGACCTGCCCGTAGATCGCGGGCTTCGAGGACTGCTGCGAGGACTCCAGCACGCCGCGGATGGCGTCCGCGATCGTGTCCCACTCCCCCTCCGGGATCGCCTTGCCGTCGCGCGACACGATGAACTTGTCCACGACGAGGCCGTCGTCCAGGGTGTTGATCGTCGCCTCGTGCACGTGGATCTTCTCCACGCTGAACGTCGCCGACACGTTCAGCAGCAGCCCCGGCTCGTTCTGCGCCGCAACGATGATCTCCTGCACGGGCCGCGAGCACGCCGGACGTGGTGGGGGCGGGGGCGCGCGGGGCGCGGCGGGGCGCGGCTGCGGGGGTCGGCTGTGCGAATGTACGCGCGCGGGGGGGCGTGGGGGCGCGAATGGCTGCGGCGGGGCGCCGGGCGCGCGCGATCTTGACCAGGGCGGGGCGCAGGGTGGGGCGCGGGCGCGGAATGCGCCGCCGCCGGGCGGCCGAGCGGCGCGGGCGCCCGGTACGGCACGCTCGCTCGCTGGGGCGCGCGTGCGGGCGGGCGGCGGGGCGCGGGGCGGCCGGGGCGGCCCGGTGCGGCCCGGGAGATCCCTAGCGGTTGCCCATCGTCGAACGGGCCGGGCGCGCACCGTGAGCTTGCCGTCCTCGACGCTCTTGAAGTCGATGCGGTAGCTGTCGTCGCCGTCACCGTCCACGCTGGACGTGGCGTCCTCTGCGAGCGCCTTGTAGTGCCGCCGGAGCGTTTGGCCGCGCTTGGCCCGAGGGCGCAGGGCGAGGCCGACCGCGGGCCGCACGGAGCCGTGGGGCCCGCGCGCCGTGCACGGCCGCGCGAGGGACGCCCGAGCGGCAGACTCTGGTTGTCTCCGAAGGCTCGCAGGTCCGCTGCAAGGCACACGCGCGGGGGGAGCTGCCCTGAGAAGCCAGGTGGGCTTGAACCGCTGCGGGCGCCGCGGGCGCTCGCGGGAGCGCGCGCGGCGCTGGCGGGTCGGGCGCAGCGGGTCGGTGCGTGCTGTGTCGCGCGGGGCGCGCCGGGGCCGTGCGCGGTTGCGTCGAAACGTAGGGAGGCGGTTGGGGTGGCCGCCGTGGGGGCTGGTGGCGACGGCGTGCTGGCGCGGGGGGGGCGCGTGCTGCGCGCCGAGCGCGCGCGGCGTGCTGCGGCGGGGCGTGTGCGCCCAGGGGGGGCGGAATGGTCCGGGCGGGCGGGCTGTGGGCGGCGGGCGCGCGGGAGGCTGCTGCTCTGTGGAGACGGGGTGCAGCTTGGCACGTGCGGGGGGGCAGCGCGCGGTGCGGTTGTGTGATCGATGTGTTCGTGGAATTCGCACGCTGTGCGCGGCGCGTTCGGCCGCGGCGTCGCGGAGCGACGCGTCTGAAGCGGTCGCAGTTGACCGCTGCAGCGAAAGATGGTGCCGCCCGGTCGGTCCCGGGGGAATGCGGCCTCGGGCGCCGGGCACGGCGCGTGTCCGCATGAAAACCCCGTGGATTCCCGGTCACCGCGGCGGAAGCGCCCCCGCGCGCGCCGGGCCGCGCGGGACCACTTACAACGTGCCGCGCACGCGCGACGCACCTGCGAACCAGCTGGACAGCCTTCATGTTGCACTTCAGTCTTTCCTCGGATATCCGGAGACGAGCAGCGACCCTTATCCCGGTTCCACTGCTGCTCTCCCGCTGCTGGTCACCGCGAAGAGCCCTCTCCGCCTGTCCCACGAGTCTCCGCGTACAGACAGTGAGGCACTGCGAGGGCCGAATGTCCGCAACCCCCGCGCACCCTCGGCCATGTGCTGCGCGACCCGCACCCTCAACAGGCCCTGCGCGGGGCCTGTCCACCCACACCCCCTACGCGCCCAGCGCGCCGCCAACGCCGCGAGCCGCACGCGCCCGCCGGCCACTTTGCGCCCTCTGATCACGCACGAGGTCCAGAGCGGGCGCGCGGGAGATTTGAGCGATCGTATAGAGCGTGCGTACGCATAAAGGGTGCGGGATGTGGGCCGGGAGCTGCCGTGCGCGCTGCACGGCGCATTGCGTCGCGAGTGCGGTCCCGCCGCGTCCTCGTCGCAATGCCGTGCGCGAGCGCGGCGCGCGGCCAGGCGTGAGGGACGCAGTGCGCGCTGCGGCTGCTCGAGGCTCGAGGGCGAAGCCACCCGCCGACGCGAGGGACGCGGCGCCGTACGTGCCCGCGTGGCGCGCCGTGGACGCCGACGAGCTCGCGAGGCAGAAGGTTCGGCGCCCTCTTCGCCACCGCGCCCCGCACGAGGCAGTCGTGCGACGTCCGGCCTGCGGCGCCCGCCGGCACGGGACCGCACGCCGCGCTGACTGCGCGCCGGAGCCCCGCGGCCCCGCGACAGGGCGCCCCTGCCACCGCTCTGCTCGGCGCCGCGGGCGGAGCTGCCCTGCCTGCCGCGACGCGCCGCCAGAGGCGCGTTTCGCCAGTGAGGAGCACTTGGCTGAGTGGTTCCGTGGGGCCTGGCGCGCGTGCAGGCGGCTTTGGCGGAAATGCAGGCGGAGAGGAAGAAGCACGGCACGAACACGACCGAGGGGCGGCGCCGCGCGCGCAGGAACGCGGGCCGCGGGTACCTCGAGGGCTCGACCGAGACGGCAGCACTGGCTGAAAGGGCGTTTGGCGGCGCGGTGGCGCTCGACATCAAGGGCGAGAACAGCCGGCGCACGTCTGGGTCGGCAGTCGTGCGGAAGGTCGACGCGAACGCGACGTTGAACCGCGGCGTCCTCGGGGAAGGCAAGATGTGCTGGTGCGTGCAGACCCACCGCTCGGGCGCGCGCCGGGGTCGCGCATTCGCCGCGCTCCCGCCCTCCCCCTTCTCCTCATACACACGCGCCCGAAGACCGGTCGCTCGCGTGCGCTGAACGCGAGAGCGCGTGCGTCCTGCGCCCCCCAGCGCGTTGCGTTGTTTGTTCGCGCCGCTTACCTGCGCCGTTGCCCTCCCGTGGCCTGCCGCGCAGGTGGGCCCTGTGGGTGAAGCAGCCCCAGGAGCGCCGGTGCATGGAGCGGCTGGACGCGCGCATTCCGCAGCTGCCGCCCGTCGCCGACGCCTCGGGCAGCAAGGTGCCGCGCGACTTCGAGACGTGGCTTCCGAAGAAGACCACCAAGTACACCAACCCGCAGACGGGGCGCGCGTCGAGCAGGACGGAGAAGTACAGCGGCGGCGGCGTCGTCTTCCTGCGGGCCACCATGGACAACCAGCTCTACGACACCCTCATGAAGGACCCCTCCGTGAACGGTGAGGACGCAACGCGCGCGCCGCGCAGCCGACCTGCAGCGCCGGGCCCGGCCGCCCGCGTTGAGCGGACGCGCTGTGCGTCGCGGGCGACGCAGTTGGGGTTGCGCAAATGTTTCTCTCCTGTCCGTTCCGACGTGTTTTGGTCGGTCTCGGCTTTCTCGTGGCCCTCTGCGGCGCTCTGTAGCGTCTGCTTTGCTTTCTGCGTGGACTTCGACGCGGCGGCGCGCTGCTGTGCGCGCCCCCCTGGCCTGCTGCAAGTGCCAACCGCGCCCCGGCGTCACCACCGTGCGCAGGGTTCAAGGACCACCAGACGATCATGGGGCAGAAGTTCCCGAAGCCGACGGCGGAGGAGATCATCGCGGAGGCGCGCGCGTGGGTGGAGCGCGACGACCGCGAGGCCATCGAGAGCGAGCTGCGGGAGAAGCTCGGACTCACCATGGAGCCGCGGTCGTGGAGCGCGGAGGCGCCGGGGAGCGGCCGGAACGCGCGGCGTGCGAAGCGCGTGGTGTACGGCAACGAGCGGGAGCAGCGGTACCAGGAGAGGTACAACCGCGGAGCGGACTGGGTGCGGCAGACGCGGCGCGAGGGGTACGCGGGCGCGGCGAGGCGGGAGGAGGAGGAGGCGACGTCGGCGTGGTTCGACGGCGCGGCGGGCGGCGAGGAGGAGGAGCGGCGGGGGCGCGGGGGGTCGCGGGGGCGCGGGGGGTCGCGAGGGCGCAGTGGGTCGCGAGGGGAGACGGCGGGGGCGTCGCGGAGTCAGGTGTGGAGTCAGGAGAGCGTGGAGGGGAGCGTTGGGGATGCGGGGTGGTGGGGGGAGGAGGGAGGGGGGGAGTGGACGAACGCTTCGGCGTGGGCTGGGGAGGGTTGGACGGGGGCGGCCGCGGCCGACGACGCGTGGGCGGACGCCGACGCGGACGCGGGCGCGTCGAAGGCACCGTCGGGCGGGCTGTCGGTCGACCTGGACGCTTGGACGGAGGCCGGGGGCGGCGGGGACGTGTGGGCAGACAACGGCTTCGGGGGGGGTGCCGACAGCGAGTGGACGGACTCGGGCGGCGACACACGCGGCGCCGCGGGCGAGCACGAGGAGTGAGCGGCCGAGCTGCTTGCGGGGGCGGACGAACGCGCAGGGATCGAGACCGGGCTGCGATGGACCGCAGCGTGTGACGACCAGCATGCGGCGAACGGTTCTGGAGCGCAGGACGCGCTCCTGAACCCCCTCGGACCTCGCACGTGAGCTCACACGTCCGCGGCGGGGCCCTACGAGATCCGCACCGACTTGGCGACCTTGCTCTTGATGCCGGTGAGCTCGCCGCCGTACGCCCCGTCCTGGGCCTGCACCTGCTGCACCTGCCCCCCGCGGCGCACCTTGGCCTTCTCGTACTTGCCCTTGGCGCGCACGCGGGGGTTCTTCTGGTCCTTCCGGCGGTGCGGCGTCAGGCCGCGGTTGGCCAAAATGCTCTTGCTGACCCCGCGGTTGCCGTCCGCCACGGGGTCCTCCGCGGGCGGATGCGCCGGCACCTGGTACTGCTCTTTCCGCGCCTTCTTCCGCGACCGCTGCACCGCCTCGGCCTCCTCGTAGAACGCGTCCTTCGTCCCACGCTTCGCGCGCGCGGCCGCCGCCGCCGCCGCCCGCTCCTCCGCCGCCGCCGCCTCCCGCGCGCGCTTCGCGTCCACGCGCGCACGCCGCTGCGACAGATGCTCGCGCTGCGGCAGGTCCTGGTCCCCCGACGGCCCGCGCCGCGAAGCTGGTTCCACGCCCCCATACCTCTGGGCTGACGGCCCGCCGAACAGGTCCCCCTCGCCGCCATCGTCGCCCACGATCCCCGCCACGCCCGCCGCGATGTCGTCCACCAAGCCGCCGCCCGCCAGCGCGCTCCGGCGGTGCCTCTTCAGCCGCTTCCGCTCCTCCTTGCTCATCGGCACACGCATCATGAGCTCCTCCTCCGCCTGCACGACACCGAACGAACCAAGCGCTGCTCAGGCGACGCCCCCGGACCGCCGCGGAGCGACGCAGCGCGCACGAATCGACGCAAGAGGTGCAGCGCCGCAACAGCGCTGTGTGGCGCTCACCCGCTCGCGCTCGGCCAGACGCGCGCGCTCCCGCAGCGCCGCCTGCGTGTCCATCCCGGCCACGCGCTGCCGCATCGTCTCCGGCGCCCCCGTCACCTCCTCCACCAGGTCCTGCACCGCCTCGCTCCGCAGCGCCCGCCGCCGCAGCTCCTTCTCCCTCCGCTCCTCCCGCTTCTGCCGCGACCGCTCCATATCCTCCGGCATCGCCGTCGGATTCAGCCGCGGCGGCTTGTACACCCCGCCGTCCTCCTCCTCCCCGCCCTCCTCCCCGCCTGCGCCGCCGCCCACCACCAGCGCGCCCGGCCGCGGAGCCGCGTACGCGTCCTCGCCCGCGCCGTCCCCGTCCCCGCCGTCCTCGCCCGCGCCGCCCGCGCCCGCCAGCTCCTCCGCGCGCTCCCCGGCCTGCACCAGCCGGTCGATCTGATACGCCAACTTCTTGTCGATCGGTTTGATCTTCTCCAGATACGCCCGCGTGCGCAGGAGCGCGGGGACGACCGGGTGGTCCTGCACGGGCCGGCCCTCCGCGCGCAGCAGCACGTAGAACGCGATCAGCGCGCAGTACTCGAGCAGCAACAGGTGTTTGGCCTCCAAGTAGCTGATCCCTTCCTTCGTCGCGAGCTCGCCCTCCTTCACGACGTCGAGCACGGGCTTGACGCGCTCGCGCACTTCCGCGAGGCTCGCGCGCATCTCGCCCAGCAGCGCCTCCAGCTCCGGCGCGTCGCGCGCGATGTCCTCCAGCACCCGCTGCTGCGGACCCTCCTCGTCGACAACGCGCTCCAGGATCGGCTCGGCGTCCGAGTCGTCGTCCTCGGACCCGGACGAAGACTCCCCCGAGCTGCCGGCCGCGGCCTCGCCGGGTTTCTCGGGCTCGTCTCCGAGCTCCAGGTCGCTGTCGTCGAACCCGACGTCGGCGGCGGTGAGGTGCTGCATGGACTCGCGCTGGATGCGCAGGGCCTCGGGGAGCTCGCCGACGTCCTCGTCGGACCCGCTGCCGCCCTCGTCGCTCGCGTCGTCCGCGTCGTAGTACCCGCGCTTGCTCGCACCCCAAAGACGCTCACGCAGCTGCTTTTTCGCCACATCCTCTTCGTCGGACGACTCTGCATCGCCACCGGGCGCGCGCGCCGTGGTGAGTGTGTCACCGTGCGCGAGCTCGTGCCCGCGATGGGCTCGGATGATTGCGTGCGGGGCCGTGAGGGTGCTGTGTGCCTGTGCGCGCGTGTGACTGTACCTGATTCGCCCTCCGCGACCTTGAGCTTGCGGCGCAGGAGCCGTGCCTGCGCCTTGAGGTTCTGGAGCTCCTCGTCGTCGTCCTCGTCGTCGTCCAGGTCGACGTCGTCGTCGGAGCCGGACCCCGAGCTGTCATCGTCCCCTCCCGACAAATTGTACACCCCCTCCTCGCCCTCGCTGCCGCTGCCGCTGGCGACGTCGTCGTTGACGTCCAGGGCCACCTACGACACGGGAACGCGGAATTACGTCCATCACGCGGGCGAACGACGATCGAGGTGAAGTTGCGGCCTCGTCTTGGCAATAAGGTTGCCGGCCGTGCTGCGCGTGGGCGCATCGGTGCGCCGCCGATACAAACGCCTCGAACACTAGCACGCGCGCGGCGGGCGAGGGCAGCGACCCCCCCGACGTTGCGGGGTCGACGTCTCGCTGGCTGCGTAGGCGCGCAATGGCTCGCACGGGCAGTCACGCCGAAACAAAGCCGCGCCGCCTGGTTGCTGGATAGCACTACGGTGTAACCATGGCGCTGTGCAGCATCAACGGGCGAACACGAGCCCAGGTCCGCCGCGCCGTGGCTTCGGGCTGTGGCGGCCGCCGGTGCTTGCGATGCGCGCGCGGCCGGGAACCAGGCCCCAAACGCGTGAAACGATTCCGCCGCAAACGAGTGCGACCAGTGCGCGTGCCCTGAAGCAGGAGACTTCTCCGGCACCGCGCCCTGCAGTCGGGCCCCGCCGCACCTTGTCACGCCCTTTGCTGAACTGGTCCAGCTCGTCCTCCATGTCCGACGGCAGGCCCTCGTCCGGCGGCTCCGCCTTCTTGCGACCCTTGCTACCCTTCGGCATCGCGTTCGGAGCCCAGCGGGCCGCACAGCCCGCGCGACGGGTCTGGTTCTGGCAGCCTAGGGGGAACGATGTGAAACTGCGAAGAAGGAGCCTCGAACACGAAGGACTTGCACCCCAGACAGAGTGTCTGCGTAACCTTCTGCCACTTGCGCGCACCCGCGGCCCACGCGCGCCATCGAGGGCGCGGCGCGGACAGACTGGGCCCTGACGCGGGGCGCGGACAGCGTCGGGCCCGCGTTCTGTCGCCCGGCGGACTCAACAACGCGGCTGCGAGCCTCCGCGCGTGCACTTGGCATGTCCGCGCCTGGTCAGACAGAGATGACGCAGTCCGGTCCTGACACCGACCTCACGCTGCGGCATTACTGCAGCGAGCCACCGAGGCTGGGACCCAGCACGCTGACTGCGGACGTGTACAGTAAGATGGTGCAGATGTTGCCTATTGTGTGCGTGGACTGCGTCCTCCAGGTACCGCGACCGTGCGCAGCGACGCCAAACGCATCCCGGTCGAGGCCAGTCGTGCCGCACTATATGTATATCCGCCGCGCCGCTGCATCTGACAGTCCAGATCGGATGGCTCAAACCGCGTGCAGCGCGCGGACGGAAAGTTCCTGCTTGTGGAGCGGGTGCAAGAGCCCGCGAAGGGATTCTGGTGCGGTGGTTGCTGGTCGCGCTCGCGACCCTCACGGCGCACCGGCGCGTCGGCGGCGCTGCAGCGGCGCAGTCGACACGCGATGCCGATCGGCTGTTCTACGGCTCGGCGCCGATGTGAGTTCGCTGCGTAGGACACACAGAACACGTTTGCATTCGCCGACGCAGGTGGCTGCCGGGCGGACGGCTGCTGAAGAACGAGTCGTTCTTCGAGGGAGCGGTGCGGAAACTCAAGCAGGAGACGGGGATCGAGTGCACGCCGGCCAAGCTGCTTGCGGTGCGCAGCTGCTCTCTGATCTCTCTGTCAGCGCAGGACTTGCGGAGCAGCCCGGCGGGACAGGAACGCGGACAGAACAGAGTAGGGAGCCGCACAGACGAGGAGTTCTTCAGCGACGTTGTTCCGGAACGCCCGCGGGTGCCACCGACCGGCCCGCACCCCGGCGGTGCGTTGACGCTTGCAGGTGTACAACGCCATGTATCCACGGAGCGCCTGGGACACGGAGGACTACGTCGGGACGCACACGGTCAACGCCGTCGTGCTGATGCCCGTGAGTCAAGAGGTCGAGCTCAAACTCGACGCCCAAGCAAAGGTATGCGTACTGTCAAAACCTGCTTGCCACGTGGCCCGCGTTGTCGAGAACGCGCAGCAGACTGGCTCGACAGCCGCAGAGCAGCGCGAGCGATGGTCCGACGCGCGAGGGCCGCTGTGCGCGCCGCTGCGGAAGCACTGGCCGCCGTTGTGTGCTGTCAGACACGCGCTGGTGCACGTGGCCGCAGGCGCATGTGTGGGAGCCGGCGGACTGGAAGTACCTGGAGGAGAAAGGGTACGACACGTACGTAGTGCGGGCGATCAAGTCGTTGAACGAAGGGTCGTTTTCTGTGTGACATATACAGCAGGGATGAATGGTTTGCAGGAAACATGAGCGCAATGGGGGCCACGCGAGCGGCGCGACCGCACCTGGCGCCGCCATGGTGGCGGTCGCAGCTTGGCGGCGTTGGACGTGCCACGCGTAGCGGGCGGTGCTGTCGGACCGGGCACCTGACGGCGTCAGACCCATTCCCTCGCCGGTTTGGAGCCCGCAGGCCTTTGGGGCGGCCGCGCGCGGCCGCCCCGATGTCCCGCGGCGTCATCTGGAGACAGGCCGCTTGGAGCGGGGAGAGCTGAGCGATGGGCACGGTGCTGAAGGTGCGCAGGGGAGCGTTCTGCCCGCCTGCCGGCCAGGTCGTGGCAGTGCGAATGAAATGAAGCCCTTTTTGCCCGAGATACATTGATACTGATTCAGTTTCGTCGCTGAAATATGCGGTTCCGCGCGATTCCACGCGATGCGGCGTGGCCGCCACCTGCGCCGGTTGCACCGACTCCGAGTCCCAACTTACGCGTCCCTGTCCCCTGACGCAGGCCACTGATGAGCTGCTCGGGGTCGAGAATGTCGAGCGACACGAGGGGGACCTCGTGGTCGACCTCGGGCACCTCATGGCGTTCGACCCGGCCCCAGTCGACCTGGTAAAGCTGCGGCAGGACCCCGAGGGCCACCTCGCCGAATGCTGCCGCGCCATCACGCAGTCCCTCTTCCAGGAGGTCTTCTCTCTTCCCTCGCAACCCGTCGACGTGGTAAGCTGGCCGCAACCACTTCAACTCACGCCGCGCCACGCTGCCAGCACTGCCATGGTATTCCGTCCACGTCGAAGCGACGTCGCGCCCCCGCTGTTGGGCATCCATCGCCGGGCCCGGCCCACCAGCGCCCAGCGCCCCCACGCGCACCGCAGGGCCAGGGCCGCATCGCGCAGCTGCCGAAACCCACCACGGTGCTGCCGCGGGAGAAGCCGCTGCCGAAGCCGCGCGCGCCGACGAAGTGGGAGATCTTCGCGCAGCAGAAGGGCATCCAGAAGCGCAAGCGCTCGACGCTGGTCTGGGACGAGGCGGCGGGGGAGTGGAAGCGCCGCTTCGGGTACAAGCGCGCCAACGACCCCGGGGATGTCGAGATCATCGAGGCGAAGGACGACGACGTGCCGGGCTCGGACCCCTTCACGGAGCTCGCGAAGAAGAAGAAGGAGCGCGTGAAGAAGAACCAGGCGCAGCGCGAGGCGAACCTGAAGGAGGCCCAGCGCGTGGGCGGCAACGCGGCGCTCCCCGCGACCGTGCGGCTCGGGAAGGGCCTCGGGTCGGCGGGCGGCGGGACGAAGCAGCGGCGGAAGGACGCGGTAGGGGAGCTGAAGAAGGCGTCGCTGCAGGCGGGCGTGTCCACGGCGTCGATGGGGAAGTTTGACAAGTTGCTGCCGGGGGAGGACGCCAAGGAGCGCAAGGTGCTGCTCAAGGGGAAGCGGGCGAAGAAGATGCCGGTGGTGACGAAGGACGGGAAGGAGCGGAAGGCGGTGTCGGCGGTGGTGGACCGGATCATTCGGGAGCGGGCGGACGACATCATTGACTACGACAGGGCCATTGGGAGGATGGAGGCGGAGAAGCGGGCGGCGCGGCACCGGGAGAAGGTGGAGGCGGTGCGGCAGGGGGGCGTGGAGAAGGGCAAGGGGAAGCCGGGCAAGGCGGGGCGGGGCAAGGGCAGGAAGAAGGGGTGAGGGGTGGACGGCAATTGGGAAATGGTGGTTGTTGGTGCACGTGTGAGATATGTGGCCGACGGGGTGCGGTCGCGAGGGCGCGGGCGCTGCGGAGACGGGACGGCCTGGAGGGGTTCTGGGCGGTGTTTACGCAGGGGGGGGGGGAGTGGTGAGAGCCCCCAGGGTCGTGGTTGGCGGGGCGGCTGTCGTGGTCTAGGGGGCCTTTGGACGTGGGGTCGGCGCAGAGCTGTTGCTGGAGATTCGCGAGAGAAGGTTGACGCGCGCGAAGGGCGGGGTTGCGGAGCCGCAGACGGCGAAAGGACTGCCGCTGTGCTCTGGTCGGGCAGGTAGCGCCGCGCGGGCAACCAGGCGGCCGGCGCCGTCGCCGAGTCTAGACTAGAGATGGCGAAGGTGTTCGAGGACGTGTTCGCGGTACGCAGCTACGCGCCAGGACCCGCGCGCGGGAGCAGCCCGTCCGTGCACCGCGATTCCACGCCGTGCAGCGTCACCATTCGCTGTGTTTCCCTCGGCGGTCGCATGACTCAACAGCGTGGTACCGCGCCCTGGCGTCGAAGTTCCCGTGACTTCGCCATCGGCCACGTCGCGGGGCACTTTCCTGTGCTGGGAGCCCGCCACGCTGCTCCGCCGCCTCCGCACGCGCGCCGCATCGTGAAACCCCCGTTCCCGCCCCGGCGATCACTGTCTCCGTTCAGATCACGAAGGTGGACCCAGATGGAAAGAAGTTCGACAAGGTGTCGCGCCTGCTGGGCAAGAGTGAACGGTGAGCCACCAGGCCCCTCGGCGGCGCACCGCCGCTGGCCGGGACCCCGGCCACTCGCCCCCCGAACGGCCACGAACCACACAGAATCCCTGCGACTGTGTCTCCCCCGCGCAGTCCCTCCCGAACGCCACACGCCCCTGCCCCGCGCACCACAGCACCACGGCACGCGCTCACTCCCCCGCCGGAGCCGCGGCACGCCCCCCGCCGTGGCCCTGCACGGTTTCCCCCGCCTCAGCGCTGGCGCGCCGCACCGCTCGTCGCCCCCGCAGGCTCGACGTGAGCATGACGCTGGACGTCAACTCGGACATTTACCCGGTCGCGGAGGCCGAGCGGCTGAACGTCGCGCTCGCGTACACGCTGGACCTGGACGGCGCCGAGGACGAAGGCCAGTACGGGCGGCAGACGCAGGCCTTCGTCAAGGGTCAGGTGCGGCCCCCGCAACATAACACCCCTCCTCGGAGCTACACGCGCCCTCCACGCGCGCCTGACCGCATTGCGTCGACGCGCCGCAGCCACACCGGCCTGCCCGCGCATTGCGGCGCACGGACGCCGCGGGCGGAGGTCGTCTGCGCCGCTGTGGTGTCGCGAGACCGATCGCCGCCACGCTGCGTGTGTGCGTCTGTGCAGGCGCCGTCGCTGATGGATTCGTACGACTACGTCATGTGCGGGAAGATCTTCCGCGTGCACGACAAGCGGGAGGGCGGGCAGGTCCACGCGGAGGTGCTGGTGTCGTTCGGGGGCCTCATTCTGCAGCTCGTCGCGCCACCGAAGAACCTCGACGGACTGAACCTCGACAGACGCATCTACCTGCTCGCGCGCAAAGTGTGACGACGCTCGCCCGCACCGCGCCGCCCGCCCGCGCGTGCGCTTCCGTCTCGCGTGCCCGCCGGTGCGGCAACCAGCGCGTGCGTTCGCAGGGAGCTCGGGCCACCGACCGCGTCGTTGTTCGGGGGCTTCGGGGGCGGCCACGGGGCGCAGCTGCCGGCGGGTTTCGCTCCGGGCGCGCGCCGGTGTCGGTCGTCCCGCCTGCGTCAAGGGGGGGGCAGCCCGGCCGAGGCCTCCCGAGCGAGGACGGGCTCGAGGGCCGAGGGCGTCACCACACCCGCGCATCAATTGTCATCGTTCGACGCGGCTCGCGTGCGGGGAGGCGCTTCCGCGAGAGGCTGTGGCGGTTCCGCGGGCGCGCGAGGTTTGATCTGGGCGGCGCGCAGGGGCTGACGGGGCCTCGCTGGGCGCCGTACGTACGCGATGCAGGGCGATGGGGACGCGAAGAAGGCGGCCATGAGGGCTGCCGGCCTCAAACGGGTGCGTGACGCCGGTCTGGAGCCGTTCCCCATGCTGCAGCATACCCCCTTCCTTGCGCCGCGCTGGCGCGGCGTTTGGCACTCCGCTTTGTGCGCGCCATTCAATCATGTCCCGAGGACGACGTTGCCGAGATAGTCATGCATGACATTCTCGCATGGCCACGGTTTGCCGCAGTTGGAAGAGTTCAAGAGGCGCAAGGGCCAGCGCGCCGGAGGGACGTCCGCGGAGGGTTCGGCGGCGACGTCGGCAGCCACCACTCCCGTGAAGTCCATCCCGGTGCCGGCCGCGGACCAACCCGCCGCAGGCAGCGCGCAGGGCGCGCACGCGACTCTGCCGAGCGCGTCGCTCGCGGCAGCTCCCGCCCCGGCTGCTGCGGCCGTCGCCGTGCAGCCCCAGGGCGCCAACATGCATCAGCCAGCGCCTGACGCCCCGGCAACTGGCCAGGCGCTCGCATCGGAGCAACAGTCCGACCCAAAGGCGCATGACACAGCGCTGCGTGTCCAGGCACACCCGCAGACTGCCCCCCTGCGCTCGCCGCAGCCGTCCGCCGCGACGGCCGCGTCCACACGTCCGTCCGTCGACTCCCTGCCCGGGTCCCAGGCCGCGCAGACGCCCCCGACGCAGTCCGAGACCCCCCCCGCCGCGTCAGGCGACGCCGACACCCAGGCCGCGCACGCGGCCGAGCTCGAGTCGTACAAGAAGAAGCTCATGGCTGCCGTGAAGAAGGGCAAGCAGCTCGAGCGCGACAAGGCTCGGATCGAAGCGGAGCTGCAGCGTCTGTTGGCCATCAACGAACAGGAGGCGTTCTCCGGTGGGGGCGGCGCCTCGGCCGAGGAGCTCGCGGCAGCGCAGCGGGAGCGCGACGAGGCCCTGGCGCGCGCCGCGGCGGCGGAGCGGGCGCTGGAGGACGCGGAGAGCCGCAACGCGGAGGACGCGGATGCGGTGCAGGGCAAGCTGATTGCGCTGCGGTCGGCGCTCGAGGAGGTCGGGGGCGAGAAGGAGGCGGCGGAGGCGCGCGTGCAGGAGCTGGCGGCGCAGCTGTCGGAGCGCGACGCGGTCGGCGCGGAGGATCGGCGGGCTGCGGAGGCGGCGGAGGCGCGGGCGGCGGATGCGGAGGCGCGCGCGGCGTTCGCGGACGGCGCGGTGCGGGAGTTGAGGGAGCAGATCGCGCGGCGAGAGGCGGAGATGAGCGCGGAGGTCGCGCGGGCGCAGCGGGAGGCGGAGTCGTTGCGGTCGCAGGTGCAGGCCGGCGGTGACGCGGGGGCGCGCGCGGCGGAGGCTGAACGGGCGCTGGCGGAGCGCGACGAGCGTCTGAGCGGGCTCGAGGAGCAGCTTGCGGCGCGGGACGCGAGGGTCGCGGAGCTGGAGGCGGCGGCAGCAGCGCACGCGAACGCGGCGGGGGCCGCCGAGGGGCTGCGCGGCGAGGTCGCGGCGCTCCGGGAGGAGCTCGCGGCCGAGCACGCGAAGGCGCAGGAGGCGTTCGAGGCCGCGGAGGTGGCGCGGCGCGAGGCTGCGGAGCTGCGCAGCAGCGAAGCAGCGGCGGCGGACGCCGAGTCGCTTCGCGGCGAGATCGCGTCGCTCGAGGCGCGCGTCTCCGAGCTCGTCGAGCAGCTCACCGCGAAGGACGCCGAGAGCGCGGACCTCGCGCGGCGGCTGCAGGAGGCCGAGGACGGCGCAGCCGCGGGGCGCAGCGACGCGCAGCAGGCCGCGGAGGCGGCCGAGGCGCGGCTGCGCGGCGAGATCAAGGCGCAGGAGAGCAAGGCGCGGGAGCAGGTCGAGCAGGCCGAGGCCCTCGCCGCGCTGCGCATCGACGAGACCGCACAGCGCATGGCGTCCCTGCAGTCGGACTTGGACGCCGCGACCGCGAAGCTGGCGAGTTACGGGAACGTGGACGAGCTGCGGCGGCAGCTGGAGACGTCGCAGGCGCAGCAGGCGGCGATGCAGGCGCAGATCGAGCGCCTGGCGGCGCAGCTGGGGGAGTCTGCGAACGAGGGATCGGATCTTGGGGTGGAGTTGGAGGAGGCACGTGGGCGCGTGGCGGAGCTGGAGGCGGAGCTGGAGCGGCTGTACGGGGTCGAGGGGGAGCTCGGGGAGGCGCGGCGGGAGGCGGCGGCGCAGGGCGAGGCCGTGGCGACGCTCGAGGCCGCTCTGGAGGACCGGGACTCGAGGATGCGGGACTACCGGCGCGAGGTGGAGTCTCAATTGGAGGCGACGTGGCAGGAGCGCGTGGACGCGGCGGCGCGCGACGCCGCGGGGGAGATCGAGGATCTCCGCGCGCAGCTCGCGGCGGGGGCCGACCGCGAGGGGGCGGCGCGTGCGGAAATCGAGGCGCTTCGCACGCAGCTGGCGGACGCAGAGGCCAAGGCAGCGGCGGGCGCCGGCGGGGGCACCGAGGTCGAGGAGGCGCTCGCGCTGGCGGAGGAGCTCGACGGCCGCCTGGCGGAGGCGAACGCGCAGCTCGCGGAAGCGCAGGCGGCCAGCGCGGGCGTGCACGACCTTCGGCGCGAACTGCAGGGCTGGCAACAGGCCGCGGAGGGCGCGCAGCACACCGTCGCGCAGCTCCAGGCGCGCGTCAAGGAGCTCGAGCAGGCTGCGCACCGCGGAAGCGACGCCGACGCCAGCGAGCGGCGCGCGGCGGAGCTGCAAGCGCAGCTGGATGCGGCGCTCTCGGACGCGGCAGGGCTGCGCGGGGAGGTCGAGAGGCTGCATGCGGAGGCGGCGGAGCTGCGGAGCGCGTCCGCACGGGCGCCGGCGGGCGACAGCGGCGCGAGGACGCGCGAGCTCGTGGCGATGCACGAGCAGCAGCTCGCCGAGGTATGCGAGCAGCGGGACGGCTTGCGGTCGCAGCTGGACGCGGCGCAGCGGCGCGCGCGCGAGGCCGAGGAGGCGTACCTTGCGGTCCAGCGGCACAGTGCGGGCGGTGCGGGCGGGAAGAAGGACGACAGTGATTTGGAGGGGGGGTCAAGCGGGGTGGCGACGGTGACGCTGCAGCCGTCGTCGACGCTGCTGCTGCGGCTCCCGCCGAGCCTGCGGGCGGATCCGCGCGTGAAGAAGGCCGCGGACGCGCTGGACAAGGGCGCGGCGAACGTCATGCGCAGCGCGCCGATACGCGTCGGTGCAGCGGCGTACGTGTTGTTCCTGCACCTGGCGCTGCTGGTCGAGCTGATCTGACGGCGCCGCTAGGGCTGCCCTGTGAAGCGCTGCGGGTGCGGCGACGGGTGGCATCTCACGTGAGGACGAGTAGCTCACAGTCGTGTTGTTGTTGACCAGGGTGACGACAGCGCAAACAGAGCGGCAGCGGCTTCTCTGAGGCAGATCTTGAGGTGTGCGGCCGGGTGATGGGATCCTCTGTCTCGCCCAGCCCCAAGGGACTGCAGGGCACCACACGCCCCGAGCCAGCAAATTCGTTGGCCTTTCTGAACTGTGTTTACTGTTACAACTTCCTCCGCTCGGTTCGCGATCACGGCAGCCGAGGCGCTATTGCAGCGCCTCCTCGAAGATCACGATATGCTGCACCACGCTGCGGTGCCCCTTGCGCGCCATGTACATCACGTGCACGCTGCGCAACCCGTCGTACAGGACCACCGCGCGCCCCACCCGCGGCTCCTTCTTCAACCCCAACTCCTTGCTCAGCCACCCCCGCTCGCTCGGCAGCCACTGCTCCAGCACCAGCGCGTCGCTCGACCAGTGCAGCGCCGCCGGGTCCTCCGCCACCGCCACCGCCAACACCCACCCCGTGTCCTCAGCGCTCTCCGCGAAGTCCTCCTGCGGATCCACCGCCTTGTCGTCCCCCACGCTGTCCAGACCGTCGCCCAACACCCTGCGCCGCCGGCCCCCGGCGTTCATGCCCCGGATCGCCGCACCCAGGTTGCCCGGGTCGACGTCGGCCAGCAGCATCGAGGACCCGTCGAAGCCCGCGCCCTTGTGGAGGCGCACTCGGTGGAAGTGCCGCGGCTTTCGCAGCCGCGCGCCCTCGGCCCCCGCGCCCTCCGGCTCCGGCGCGTGCACATACGTCAACAGCAGCCTCCCGTTTGCTGTCGCGGCCACCGACAGCGGCGCCCCGGGACACGGCAGCGACGAGGGGTGGAATCGCAGCCCGTGCCTCCCGGGCTCCGGGAAGTGGTCCGACACCGAGATGCAGTTCCCTTGCCCCGCCTCGGCAGCTGCGTGTTGATGCGACAAGAGGACTTCCAACGAGGTGCCCGTCTCCTGGTCCCGGTGCAGAATCGCGTTCCCTGCAGCGCCGCCGGCGTCGCCACCCGCGTGGATGTGCCGCACCGTCCACGTCTCCCCGCGGTCCCGCGTGATGAGCATCAGAACCGCGCCCTCGTGATGCATGCAGTCGCGCGACACCGCCTGGCACGACGACGACGCGACCGCGACCCACTGCGACTCGCCCAGCATTTCGCACGACGAGATGTGCAAGCTGTGGTCCATGTCCAGCTCCTTCACCGCGTCCCCCGCCAGCATCACCCGCACAGGCAGCGTCCACTCCACGCTGCCGATGCCGTCAGACGCGATCTCCTCATGCGCCGGGTGCTGCATGAACTGCATCACGAACGGCGACGGCCGCAGCCCCGAGCTCATCAGCCTGCGCCGCTCCGCGTCCACCACCGCGCCGTCGGGCCGCTGTGCGAACCCGTTGTCATCGTCCGCCGACACAGCCGCGGTGTACATGAGCAGCGACGACCCCCGGGCGCCCTCGCGCGCCCTCGGATTGTACGTGCACATAATGGGGTACGAGAGCGGGGACCGGTCCGAGGTTTCCGCGATCGGCGCGTCTCCGACCTGCCACCGACCCTGCACGTACATCCCGTGCCAGATGGCGCTGTGCGGCACGTAGGCGCCGCTGCGGGCGCCGTCGTCGGCCGGCTGGGCGACCCACGCGCTCGAGATCGCGCCGGTGGTCGGGCTGATGACCGCGGCGGCGATCGGGCCGGGGTCGATGTCGGCGTCGCTGATCTCGACGATGTGGGCGCCGAGGACGGAGCGCTGGTGGAGGCTGTGGCGCGCAGATGGCGAGGCCTGCGAGGCGTCGTCCGCGCCGGGGGCGTCGGAATCCCGCGCGCGCTCGGCGTCCTCCTGAGTCATGTTGAACCCGTGCACGTGGGATAGGACATCCTTGACTGACGTGTGCCGCTTTATATCTGTGCCCCGCCAGTTGTGCTGCAGCCTGCAGTGGGTGGGACCGCGCGGCGGGGCTCAGCGTGGCGTGCGACGGCGACCGGCAGGGACGCTGCGTGCGCGAGAAGTTGTGTGAGTTGATCGTGTGCGGGGTGGGGGTGGGAGTCTTCGGCGTCGTCCGGAACTCACCTGTCGCTCGCGAGCGTCTCCATGACGTGCCCCTGGAGAATGAAGAACGTTCCGAACAGCCCGACGGCGGCGCACGCGAGGAGCATCACGCGCTGCACCTTGCGCGGCACGGCGCGCCCCGGGAGGCCGCGCTGCCCGTGCCTGGCGCCGTACATGGTGCCGGGCGACGCTCCTGGCCGTACGCGTGGCAGGATGGGGGCTGCGTCGCGCAAACACAGCGGGAAACGGCGTGGGAACTCGGGCGAGCGCCTGCACATGGGCCTGGGCGCGTCAGACGCGGCGATGGCCGCGCTAGCACTGGCGCGCTGCATCGTTGCGCGGGGTCGCTGACGGTTTCGCCGTGCGTCGCGCCCCAGGAGCGACAGAAAGCACCAGTGCAGGGGAGCACGGAGGAACCAGGCCGCGTGATGACGTCTCGCGGCCTTCCTTGCGTGCGACGAGCGACTTGGATCCTTCGCACCGCAGGAAGGTCTCTGGTCCACGTGCGCGTCTCTTTTCCTGTCACCAGGCCGTGAAAGGGCTCCAGAGACACATCTGGAGCTATCAGGCGCACCTGCCATCGCGCCCGATCACTATCGAGCCCTGTCTGAGATGCCCTCGAACCCTGCAGCTCACACCATCCTACTTGGTCAGCCAATCCACATATCGCCCCGACTTCGCTGAAGAAGCTGCTCTTTAGCACGTGAGGAGCAGCCAGCGGGCCCTGGTTACGTGTAGAGCCTGAGGGGGTGCACCACGATCGTGCCGTTGTCGACCTCCGACGCCAAGCTATGTCGCCGCCGCAGCAGCGTACGCCCAGGGCCTGACAAGACGGCGGGGGCCCCAGACAGCAGACGTCGTCACCCCCCACAGCCCTCCGAAGAGCTCAATGCGCCCCGTAACCATCCCTCAGGACAGCTTTGCTTCAACATCAGCCCACTCACGCACTGAGTACGAGATTAAGCGCCGACAACGACGCATACCTCGACATAGCAACTTGCACAAGTAGCGTCGCTGCTGGCCAGGTTTGCGCGTCTCGTGCTCGCGCGTCCTGACGCCCTGGCTCTACGACGACACAACTTTCCGCGCACTTGCTCGACCCCAAGCGGCGTTCGCGGAGGTCTGCGAACGAGAGGGCTTGAGCGCAAGGGCGCGCGGCGCCTGCCGCTGGTCCAGGGCCGCGCATGATAGATGGGGCGCACGTAGCGGTCAACCAGCTCTTCTCTGACGCGTGCGCATGCCGCGGCTGCTACGACACGCCCAACCGCGCGAACGGGGGCAACCGCTTCCTGCGCTGGGCTCTCCACGGGTGCGCTGCCCGTACGTCGTCGCGCCGCTCTCGCCCCGCGACGCCGTGCAGCTGAGATGACGCCTCTGCGCGCGCCCGCCGCGAACGTCGCAGTGAGGGCGCGAGCGGAGCTGTCCGACGGTCCATTGCCACAGCGTTGCTTCGAGGGTCGGCCTCGTGCAGCCGCGCCGTGCGCTACGCCATGCAGAAGTGCGACTGCTTCATATGGTGCAAGTGCCTCCGCATTCTAGGTGAGTTCCGCGCTCTTCTGCCCCGCACTGCATCTCTCGCACATGATGTCATCGCACATGCCCCCGGCACACGCATGCAACAGGCGCGGCGCGCGGCCGGGCCCGCGCACCCCAGCCACTCCCAGCCGCCGCGCCCCGCAGCACCGAACCCGCCTGCACGCGCGTCCCCCCCCCCGCGACCTCGCAGGCGCTTCCATCGCGCTGTTGGTGTTCGGCCTCTATGCCGTGTCGTACTACGCGGTGGTCGTCCTGACGCTGTGGCCGATCGTTTCCGGAGCTGAGCTGGCCCACGAGGAGCGCCACAGCCATGCCCAGTCTCCGAGCGCCGCGCGGTGGTGGGGCGCCGCCCTGCTGTTTACGATGTCGCAGGTAGTGACCTTCATGGGCCTGTGGAGCTACGTGCAGTCCGTGCGCATCGACCCCGGACGTGTGCCTGCGGACTGGGATCCCCTCGCCGGCGCCCAGGCCGACGGCCTCTCGCAGCGCGTGCTGCACCGGCTCAGTGGTGCGGAGGGAGACTCCCCCGCCCTGCCGACGTGGTGCCGGAAGTGCAACAGGTGCGCCTGAGGAGCTCGCTCTCGCACGCATGCGCCGCGCGCGGGCGCTCGTGCCGCAAGCCGGCGTGACGCTTGTCCGGTCGGAACGGTGCGTGGGTTCGCACGTGCAAGCTGCAGGTGGCGGCCGGCGCGCGCGCACCACTGCTCGGTGCTCGGGGCGTGTATTCTGAAGTACGACCACTACTGCATATGGGTCAACAACACCGTGGGCCTCCTCAACTACAAACACTTCATTTTGTTCATGGCCTGGACGTGGGCGGCGCTCGCGATCGCCTGCCTCGTCCTGGTGCCCTGGGCGCTCGCAGCCATCCTCGACTGGGAGCGCGCGGTCAGCGGCGAGACCAGCCCGCGCGACGCAAGCGCTAAGTGGGTGCGTCGAACCGCCCCTGCGCACCGCCGCAGCCACGCCGCGCCCCTCGCCGCAACAGCCCACATGCACGCATCGCTACGTTCCTGTCTGACTCGCGCCTCACGTCCCGCGACCTGCGCCTGTGCAGATGTCCGTGGTGGTCGACGCCTCTCTGTTTGTCGCGGTGGGCGCACTGCTGGGGGTGCACCTGCGCATGGCGTGGACGAACGTGACGACCGTGGAGTACCCCGACGACTACCCCGGGCGCTGGCCGTTCGACCGAGGCGGCCCGGAGAACATGCGGGGGGTGTTTGGGGGGGACTGGCGGCTTTGGACCGTCCCCGTGGTGCCCGCCAGCGAGAGGCGGCGCATGCTCGCGGAGGCCCTCGAGCCGTTCATCACCGACCGGGAGCGCGCCCCGCGCCGCGCCGCGCGACCACAGAACCTGGCAGCGGGCGCCGCGGACGTTGCGTCCGAGGACGCTGCGTTGCTCGCGCAGGAGAACGTGTGACGGGCGAGTGCGCCGCCGACGCGGCTGGGCGCATGAGCGGTGTTGCCTGCCGGACGGGTCCACACAGGACGTCAGAACAACGCTGTGTCCACCACACAGCCCCCCCCTCCAGCTTCAGCCTTGTGCTGCCCGCACGCCGCGGCGCCGCTCGAAGCCGTGCGACGCCGCAGCACGCGGGCCGCGTGCGCGCGCGTGGGCGTGGGGGGGAGTCGACCTGCTGAGTCAGGCGCGGGTCAGACTAGGTCTGCGCTGTGTGGTACATTGGCATGGCGCCGGCGGACGAGTGCGTCGTTTCGCTCCGTCCCGCAGCCACGTGCCTCCCCTCGCACGCGACGTTCGCTTGCCGCCGGTGTTGACGCGCGCACGGTGCGTGGCCGCTGGAGGTCAGGGTGCGGTGGAGGCGACGGGTAGCAGGGGCTGTGGGGCGGCCGGAGGGCCGCGGCGCCGGAGGGCGCGGATCCCTAGCTTAGTAGCATGTCGGGGAAGGACAAGCAGCCGGGCCCGGGCCTCGGGACGGTGATGCTGCAGTCCGGTGCCGCAGGTAAGGCTCCAGAGCAGGTCTCCTGGCCGCCCCACGACAGCACGGGCCCCTGTGGGCCACAGAATCGCAACACCATGAACGTATCTGGCCCAGGCCCTGCGTTGAGGGCGCGACCGTCGGCTCTGGGCGCGACGATGCTGCCTGCAAACTGCATGGACGATGAGTTGCCTCGCGTTTCAGCATTTCTTCGGAAGGCAGCGTGTTACCGGAGCGCCTGGCATGGCTGAGCGTGCTGTGTTTGGGTGCGACGGCTGCGCGTGCGATCCGGAGCAAGACGATGTGTCAATTCGCGCCCTATATACAACCAACTCCTTGCCGTGACCGCCGTCGCATTCGCGACGCCGGCGCGGCGTTCCGGCGCAAGCGGCATGCTGGCGGCGCGGTGTTGTCCGGCATGATGTCTGCGCGAGCTGTGTGCCTGGGCCGGGCGGGCCCCGAGAGCACGCGAGCCCTCATCTTGGAGGCACGCACTGCTGCGGCAATTGCGGCTTTGTGGGGCGGCAACGACGCGCTGAATCGTCGCTCTTCTTCTTCGCCCCTGCAGCATGTTGGGCGGAGTTCGTGACGCTGCCGCTGGACACGGCGAAGGTGAGGTTGCAGTTGCAGGGGATGGGCAGCGACAAGGAGACCACGCACTTCAAGTACAGGCAAGAGACACCCGCTTCCCTCCGCTCAACTCACCACGGTCCTCCGCTGCGTCGAAATCACACGCGGGGTGTCGAGCGGCCGCCAAGCGCAGCCTCGTCATCTGCACCTCCTTCGCGGCCGCGTGCGCCGCGGCTCACAACTTTCGCTCGCGCAACTCCGTCCCGCAGAGGTCCGTTTCAGACGGTGAGTCTCATCGTCCGCGAGGAAGGCGTGCGCGCGCCCTTCCGGGGCCTCGTTCCAGGACTGCACAGGTACGCCTCTTCCCACCGCCGCCGCCCGGGTCGCACGCACGCCCCGCGCCGCGGCACTCTGTCTCCGCCACCGCCTCCACGCAGCCTCCCACGCGCCACCTCCCATCTTCCCTCCCCCTCAAATACCGAATGACAATTGCTGCGTGTGTGTCCGATATCGCTCCGCGCAGGCAGTTCCTCTTCACGGGCCTGCGCCTCGGCCTCTACGACACGGTGAAGCGCACCTTCGGTTGCGGCCCCGAGGTCGAGGACCCGTCCACCACGCGCAAGGTTGCCGCTGCGGCAACGACGAGCTGTCTCGGCATCGCCGTGGCGAACCCGGCCGACGTGGCCAAGGTGCGGTTCCAGGCGCAGCGCGCCGGCGCCGAGACCGCGGACGGCAAGGCGTACACCGGCGTGATCGAGGCGTACAAGCGCATCGCGCGCACGGAGGGGGTGGGGGGGGGACTCTACCGCGGCCTCGCGGCCAACCTCCTGCGGTCGGCGATCATCTCTTCGGCGGAGCTCGTGACGTACGACGTGGCCAAGCTGCAGCTGTTGAAGATGGGCGCCCAGGACGGCATCAGCACGCACATCTCCAGCGCCTTCCTTGCGGGGCTGGTCGCGACGACGCTCGGGTCGCCCGCGGACGTGCTGGGGACGCGGCTGGTGGCGAACCGCGGGAAGGAGGCGCCGGGGCTGTGGGAGATCGCGGTGAAGGTCGTGCGGGAGGAGGGGGTGTCGGCGCTGTGGAAGGGGTTCATTCCCAACTTCGCGCGCATCGGGAGCTTCAACGTGGTGCTCTGGCTCACCTACGAACGGCTCAAGCTCGTCATGGACGACTACCCGCCCGCGGACGGCGTCGCGGCGTGACACGTGCTGCGCCCCCGCGGGCAGACGCGGCGCGGACGGCTCACAGTCGCGACGCGAGTGATGCGCGGTGTGACCTCCGTGCTCGCACCGGCGCCGCGCCACGCGCGTGCCCCTCGCTCACCGCGTGGCCCAGTTAGTTAGTGTCCTTCCGTATGCACTGCTTATAGGTCAGCGAATTACTAGCACTGCCCGCCGGCCCCGGTGCTTGCCGCCAGCCCGGGGCAGATCGCCACCTCTATAGTGCGCCGCTGGCCAGCCGCCGCCGTCGTGCCGACGTACCCAGCTGCCCTCGCCAGCAGATGTGCACGTGCCACTGCTTCGCAGCAGCCACGGTCCCTGCGTCCCCCCTGCCCGCCTCAGTCGTCGAAGTCGTCGCGGGAGTCGAGCCCGAGCTCCTCGATCAGTCGCGCTCGCGCTGCGGCGGCCAGCGAGCCGGGCGGGAGCATCGCGGGCGGCGTGTGCACTGACTGGGCCCGGGCGGCACGGATCCGCCTGCGCAGTGAGACGGGCCACCAGGGGCGTGACTACCACGCTCGACATCGCCGCGCGTGCCGCGCAGAATGCACCCGTGTAACAACTGCGCCTCCCTCACGCCGCCCAGCCCTCAAAGTCCTCGCCGTCGTGGCCGTTCTGGACCGAGTACCCTGCAGCGTCGCGCCGCGGCAACCACTTGCACCCTCCTTCCCGCTCGCGTGCTTTCGCGCCGCTGCCTCGCAGCATGGTCGCTAGTCGCAACGCGGCGGCCGAGTACAGCGCGCAGCCCCCTATGAGCGGGAGGAGGAGCCAAGGGTCTTGGCGCGCCACTGGGAGCACGTCCTGCAGCGCACACACGTGGGGCGGGAGGGGAGACGTAGGCGTCGCAAACAACCAAGCCAGACCAGAACATCGCTAGACGAGTTTCCTTGATTCAGCGAGCCCTGCATCGCACCGCGGCGTACCTGTGTGAGCAGGGCGAAGTTGATGAAGATCGTGGAGCCCGCGAGTCCCCACGACAGCACGGCGAGCGTCGGCGGGCACACCATCTCCCCCATGATGCGGGGGGAGGTGGCCACCGCGAGCGTCGGCGCGAGCGCGAACGGCAGCACGAGGCACTGCACGACGTTCAGGATCTGGTTGAGATCGTCGAAGCCGTCGCGGGTGAGCACCGCCACGGCGAGCGTCGGCAGCAGCGCCACCGACCGCGTCACCAACATCCGGGACTGCGCATGGATCCTCAGGCGCAGCAGCCCCGACATGACGTACTGCCCCGCCAGCGTCCCCGACATCGTGCTCGCGTTCCCTGCAGCCAGACGAGCGCTCGCCCGCGCGCGGTGAGCCGCCCGGCCAGGTGGCATGCACGCAACAAGGCAACTGCGGTGTTGCGCGGGAGGGCTTGCCTGCCGCGAGCAGCCCCAGCCCCCAGATCCACCGCATGCTCGGTCCGAACAGCTCGACGAGGTAGTCGCACGCCGTGAAGAGCCCGACGTCCGTCATGCGCGGGCGCGCACCGCTCACGTCGTACATGCCGTGGGCGAACACGCTGACCACGCACACGTTGATGATCAGCGACACGAACAGCGCAGCGGCCGACTCGATCGAGAAATACCTCAGCTGCAGCGGCCCGGGCACGGCCGGCAGGTGGTCCTCCCCGTGGTGCATAGGCGCCACTCCCCCCGACGACATCCCCCCCAGCGTCCCCGCCTCGTCCGCCGGCTCCGCGGCGTCCGGCTCGTCGTCCTCGTCGTCGTCCAGCAGCGGCCTGCCGTTCTCGTGCCGGCTGTCGCCGATCATCATCGCCGTGGCCTCCCCCGGGGTGCGCCGCGACGACCGCGACAGCACGAGGGCGCTGTGCAGCCACAAGTTGTGCGGCATCACCATCGCCCCTATGATCGCCATCGCCTGCAGGAGGCTCCCCTGCGGCCGCCGGAACACCGCACGCGCCCCGCGTGAGCGACCCCCGTTGCGTTTGCGGACACACGCGAGGGCTGCGCGGGGGGGGCGGGCACGCACCTTCGGCAGCACGGGCACCACGAGGCCGTGCATGACGTCCTCGACGGGCACGCCGGACACGTAGAACATCGCCGTGAAGGACAGCGCCATGATTGAGAGCAGAACGGCAAACAGGGCCTCGATGGACCGCATGCCGCCGAGACCGTCGATGAGGAGCATCCCGAAGGCGGCAAGCGCGGACAGGATGGTGCCGGCCCAGAGCGGCACCGCGCCGCCCGTCAGGACGCGGACCGCGATGGCGCACCCGATGACTTCCTGGATGTCCGACCCGACGATCGCGATCTCCGTGGTGACCCAAAGGAACAGGCGCCAGAAGCGGGGGTACTCCTCGCGGCAGTGCTGCGCCAGGTGCTTGCCCGTCGCCACGCCGATGCGCGCCGCCTGCGACTCGGATGAGGGGGGAGGTGACTTCGGTGGCGAGTATCTCGCGATTCTGCCGCGCTCCGGGCATGTATCGCGGCTGCAGGAGAGGCCTAGTTCGCAGAGCGTGTGGCGGGGTCGTCGCGGCGCGCGGGCGGGGCGTCGCCGCGCACCTGCAGCTGCAGGGCTAGTCCCATGGCGGTGGCAAGGACCAGGAGCCAGAGCAGCGCATATCTCGTCTTCGCTCCGGCTTGCATGTCCGCTTCGAGGTTCCCAGGATCCAGGAACGCCACGCTCATGAGCAACCCTGGTCCGGTGAAGCGCCACAGGTCCCGCCAGTTGAAGCGATCCACTGCGGCCTGGTCGTGCGGCGCCTGCGCGGGCGCCGCGAGCGGCGCACCGAGCAGAGGCGCCATGGCGGGCTCTCTACACAGCCGCCGGCCAGTTGGCAGTTCCGAACTGCCAGTTGGCGCCCTGGCAGCCGTCAGCTCCGCCGCATACGCTCCTGCGCTGCACCCAACGACTCGCCCTGTTTCCGCTGCCAACGCGGGCCAACCGATACCCGTAGCGGTCGCCGAGGTCTATACAGATGCCGGTGTCTCACTGGGGACGCGTTTCGCAGCAGCAGGTCCTCGATAAGTGCGCGCTGCTGCCCTGCACTCCGCAGCTCTCAGAGTGCGTTCCGCGCGACGCCGAGCGTGAACTTATTCCTAAGGACGCGTGCCCTGGCCACGCACGCACGTGATATGAACTGCCGCCCAGCGTCGCGTTGCCCCAATCACCCGGGCTCGCGACGGCCTCAGGCCGTCTGGGGGTGTGCCAGCCCACAAGGGTTTCGAGGCCGTCGTTCTGGGCTGCGCTCCCGCTGGAGCCAGACAGTTGCGTGCATCGTATGGGCGACCCAATGCGCGACCGAAAATGCACAGCACCGCACGCGTAGCGACGCCACGGCCGCCTCGAGTGCCAGGTAGATTCACGGGCTTGGCAGATAGCGCCTAGACTGTCTGGGATCCTCGAGGCCGCAAATAGGCTAGTCCGTGGAGGCAGAGGCAGGCGCCGGAGCCTGCTGGTCGTGGTAGGCGCGTCTCCGGCGCTGGGGCGAGGTCATGCCTGGAACTGCAAGGCCCGGTCCGGGCGGGGAGGCCGACGCCGCGCGAACGGCCGAGCAGGACGGCATCGCCCGGCAGAGCGTGGGCACTTCTCGCGCGGCGGCTCCGGGGTCGTCCGCGCAGGATGACATCTACTTTGAGGACGGGCAGCACACGCACCTGGTCGTGGTCGACAGCGCGGCGGACGCGCGCCCCGGCGTCCGGAACATCGGGAGTATGCAGGAACGGGCGAATGCGCAGGAGGAGCCGGGGCGGAGCCGCGCCGACTCGCTCGGCGAGACACCTGCACCGGACCCCGTGGCGGCTTTCCAGGCGTCGCGCGCGCAGCTGATCGGGCGCTCGATGCGAGATCCCTCCCGCATCATCAACCTCGATATCCCCGTCAGCTCGTCACAGCTGCAGGTGCGCTCCCCCCCGCCACGCGCGGCCAGGCAGGCAGCGGGCGTGAAGGACGCTCACCGTCCGCGCGCCGCTGCGGCTCGTGGCGGCCCCGACGCAGACACTCACGACGCTGCGTGCTCCCCGCGAATGCAGCTCCAAGTCAAGCCCACCAGGGAAGCCTCAACGAAGGCTGACGCGGACGGCGGAGAGCGCGGCTCGGCGCAACTGCCAGAGCGACCCTTGCACGGAGACACGGAGCAAAGTGCGCCCCACCGCGAAGCCGCGATCGCCGCTCTGGACGCAGTCCCCCGGCACGCAAATGCCCATCGCGGCGCCGATGCTGCTCGTCGCGCCTCCGCTGTCCACCGTCACCATCGCTGTCCTGATGTCACCGCGTCTCGCCCCCTCGCACGACCCGCGCAGACGAGACGCAGTACCAGGTGTTCGGGGCGCCGCAGCTGCCCTCCCAGGGGCCGCGCGTGATCCTCGGCGCGAAGGTCGAGCGACGCCGCGACGTGCTGTGGCAAACGCATCCGAACCGGCTGCTCAAGTACCGCTCGTCGCACCTACACGAGTACGGCTACATCCCCTTCCTCGTGCCGCGCAACATGAAGGCCACCATCATGTCCCGGGTACGCCCTCGCTCATCGCGCACACCGCCGCTCGCCGCGCGTCATCGGTGCCCGCGCGCCCCGCCGCGGGCCGCCCCGCGCGCATCCGCCGCCCCAGCACTGTCCGACGCGAGCCCGCCGCGTCGTCCCGCGTCCCGCGCAGCCCTGGCTCCACTTCCAGACGTTGCTGCTGTGCGGCCTGTGCGGGGTCATCCACGGCACGGGTCTCGGCCTCGAGGAAGACGACCTCGAGAACTTCGTCGCCCTGTTCGGCGCGACGCACCTCGGCAGCATCTTCAACCTCGGCCAGGTCGTGGTCTTCATTCTCGCGCTCTTCGTCTCCCTGGTCCTCAGCCGCTGGTGGTCCGTGCGCTCGCTGTATAGCAAGCTCAACTCCGACGTCACGGAGTCGGCGCTACTCGCCACCACGATTCTCGACCGGCCGCTGCTCCCGAGCTCGCGTGCGGCCGCGCTGGCCGCTGCAGGGGCGCCCTCGCCTGCCCCGGCGCCGCGCGTGCCGCCCGGCCGGCCGCCGCCTCGGCCGACGAAAGCGCAGCCGGCCGCTCACGCGCAGCCAGTCCGCCGCGGGTCCGCGGGGTCGAACCCAGCGGTGACGCACTCGGAGCGCCTCACGGCCGCGGCGCTCCTTCTTCGCTGGATCAACCTCAGCCACGTGCTCACCGTCACGGCGGTGGACGCGCAGTCGCGGCACTTCCCCGAGGTCAAGGGCCTCAACTGGGTCGTGAAAGCGGTCCTGCAGACGACCGTGGGCCGGCAGGCCACACCGCTGGCCAAGGCTGCGCGCGACATCGGGTTCGAGGACCTGAGCCGCGAGGGCCTGGTGAAGCGCGAGGAGTGGAACAAGCTCGAGTCCGCGGAGGACGTCGGCCTCCCGAAGTACCTCCTGCCGTTCCGGTGGAGCCAGACGCTCATCCTGGCGTGCGCGGACGCGTCGCTCGTCTCGGGGGAGACGGCGACGCGCATGCTGATGCGCGTGGCGACGATGATCGAGTCCGCGTCGTCGATCTTCACGTACGTCAATTCCCAGCTGCCCTACCCCTATGTCTGGCTGGTCTCGCTGGTCGTGCACTTCTACCTACTGGTCCTCGCCGCGTGGTTCGGCGCGGTCCTGCGCGTGGGCTTCTCGGGCGCCTCGTACGCGCCGGACGACGCGGACAACGACAGCGACCTCGGGACCTTCTCCCGGGTCTCGTGCTACATTTTGCTGGCGTTCGCGAACCTCATGTTCCAGGGACTGCTCGACATCCACTCCCTCCTCGACAACCCCTTCGGATCGCACCCAGCCAAGTTCCCGCTGCGCTCCCAGATCACCTCGCTCATCAACACGTCCCAGGTGAGCCCGCGCCCCGATGTCACGCCGCCAGGGCACACACCACACACGCACGCGACGACGTCCTCTTCCCAGCGGACCGCGCGCGCGCCACAGACGCCAACGTCGCGCGCCCGCCCCCATCGCCCTCCGCAGGCGCTGCTCCAGCCCGGGTCGTCCGTGCCGGAGGACCTGCGCAGCCTTCTGGACGGACTGAGTCGTGCGCATGACTCGGGCGCCCCGCCGCGCCGCGACGCGCGGCCGGCGGGCAACGGCGCCGTCGACGCCGGCGCGACGGTGCCGCAGCAGCCGGAGCAGCGCGCCACGGACAGCGACGGGCAGAGCGAGGAGAGCAACCACTTTGATGACTCCCTCCTTGCGCGGACTGCGTCAGGGTTCCGCCCCGAACCAGCGCGGATCTGACGCCGGGGTGGGCGGGGCGGATGTGCCGAGTGTGGGACGGCGGGCGCTCGGGCCTGCCGACGTTTTTGACCGTGGAGCGGAAGACTCGAAGAGGGGGTGTTTCCTTTCATGCGGCGTCTTCGACCTGCCGCGTGTGAGAGCGGTGCTGAGCGCGCGTCAGGCTCGTGCGGGGTGAGGCTCGCGCGCGAGTGCGACGAGCTGGCTCGCTTGACATCGCTGGCGATCTGCCGGGGCCCCCGGGGCGTCTGAGGGGGAGTCCCGGGGAAATTGAGAGGTCTGGCCGGTGACATTGGGCCGGACGTTCGCGCAGGCGGCCAGAGACACTCTTTCGTGACTTCCGCGATGAGGTCGACGTCGTGCTCCGCGAGCAGGTCCGTCGGGCGCGTGCCCAGGGCGCCAGCGGGCCGGGCTCGGGCGCCGCGGGCCCCCGCAGCGCCTGCTCTTCGGTCGCTCCACGACGCAACGGATCGCACTGGACTGTCTGCGCATCGTCATGGCGGCCGGATCGTTTGCCGGGTCGCAGCGGACACGGAGGCCCCTGCGAGCAGCATCACCTCTCCACAGAAACTCGCGAAAGCGATGCCGTTCGAGGACATTCCGGGCCCGAAGGCAAGCGAACCACACCCTCGTACTTCTGGGTAGATGGACATCGCGTCAGGAATATAGGACTTTGATTCTTGGGCCGCATCGGCGATGCCTTACCTGACAGCAGGAATTCCTGCGCGGCCGTCGTACAGTGCCGGTCCGAACGTGTCTCCGTGGCGTGAATCCACGAGTGGTGTCAGGCCCCCCTCTCGCAGCCCCCCTCACGCGCGTGCGTTTGTTGCACCTACACAAGGAGCTCGTTGGATTCCATCACTGCTCTTCCTGCAGGTGTACCCGCTCGTTGGCAACCTGTTCGAGTTCTTCAAGTACCCGAACAAGGTCCACCTGCTGTACGACGAGTGGTTCCGCACCTACGGCCCGATATTCAAGTACACGGTCGCCGGGAAGACCTCGGTGATGGTCTCAGACCCCTCAGACATCGAAAAGGTCTTCAAGTTCAAGCCGCAGGAGGCCAACCGCGGCATGCAGGAGCCCTTCGTGCACTACAGGGACAAGAACAACCTCCCGAGGTACGTCACACCCTCCAGCGTCGTCGCCTATAGCCATTCCATGTTCTTCCGGTCCAACATTGTATCAAAGCCGAGGTCACGCGCGCCCGCCGGTCCGTGTGGCGCAGGGGACTCTCGCAGACCCAGGGCGAGGAGTGGCGCCGCAACCGCGGCGTCGCGGACAACATGTCGAAGCCGCGCATCGTCGACAGCTACGTCCCGCGCGTCCAGGACATCGCGGCCGAGTACGCCGCGGCCGTGGCCGCTGCCAGCGAGGCGAACGGCGGGTCGCTCGATGCGGCCGCGGTGCGCGAGCGGTCGCAGGTGAGCGCGGCCCGAAGCCCACATACACAGACGCGAGATGTCAGTGTGTCTGGGCAACACACCCCCGCCCGGGGCCTGCGCGGCGCACAGCAGCGACAGCTGGCTCACTGCATGCACCGCGGACGTTCTGCGCGCAGATGTTCTCCCTGGAGGCGATCGTCTCGATCCTGCTGAACCTGCGCATGGGGGCGTTGCAGCCCAACCCCCCCGCCGCGACGGGGGAGTTCGCGGCGGCCGTTGAGGGCATGTTCCGGGCGGGCGAGAAGTTCATGTTCTCGCTGTGGCCGTGGGACCGCAGCACGGCCCTCGAGGAGTCGGACCAGGCGTGGGACGACGTCTTCCGCATCGCGCGCAAGTTCATCGCGCGGGAGGTGCCCGTGATGCGCGAGATCGACGACGGCTCGCCGTCCTTCTTCGACATCATGGCGTCCACGGGCAAGCTCAGCGACCAGGAGCTCGAGGTCATGAAGGTACGCACCCACAGGCACACGCACAGGCGCGCTGCGCACAGACGCGCCGCCAGGCGCTCGAGCCACAGCGGCGTGCGCATGGAGCAAGTATAGGAGATGCCGCCCCGCGGTCGAGCCAGAGAAACGGTGTTTCGATGTCTCGAGCTTCGTCGCGGGCGTGCGCGTCTCACATCTTGAATCTCGCGAAATACGTCGTGCTGGCTTCGAGCGCCTGCCCCCCGTTCTCCCTCCTGCCGACGCGTGATCGAGACTGGCTGGCTCTCTCTCGGGCCCGTCCTCGCAGATGGAGCTCGTCGCCGCGGGCGTGGACACCACCTCGAGTGCCATGGTGAACATCTTGTGGGCGCTCGCGCGCTCGCCCGAGTGGCAGGACCGCGTCTTCCAGCAGGCGTGCGAGGCCCTCGACTGGGACGGCACGGGCGACGTCCCAGCGATCGAGGACCCCGCCGCGCTCCGCGAGCGCCTGCCGGTCCTCAACCACGTCGTCTCCGAGGGCCTCCGCCTGCACCCCGTCGTGCCGCTCAACCTCCGCATCCTCGACGAGGACATCGTCCTGCGCGGCTACCGCATCCCCGCCGGCCACGAGATCATGCTGTCGGTGTACTCCACGGGTCGCATGGCCGAGCACGTCGGCACGGACGCAGAGCGGTTCAACCCGGGCCGGTTCGCTCTGAGCAACCCGTCGCGGCCGTCGCGGTTCGCGACGGCGGGGTTCGGCGCCATGGCGCGGCAGTGCGCCGGGAAGGCGATCGCGGAGATGCAGTTGGAGATGGTGGTGCTCAACATGGTGCTGCGGTACCGGCTGTCGGTGCGCGGGGGGCAGCCGGAGATGGTCACGCGGATGATCATGAACATGGACCTGGACTCGCTCGGCCCGCTCGTGATCGAGCGCCGCAGCTGAGCCGCGGCAGGAGGACGCAAGCGCAGTGCTGCGGTGACGCCGCGCCACAGGGGCGTTCCGGTGTCTCGAGGCCGCACGGTACAGCATGCAAGTTACGAAGCGACCGTCTGCGTTCAGAACAGTGCAGACGGCCGCGATGACACTGTGACTCGATTTTCGCGACTTCCGGATCGCAGTCAAACACGCAAGGGTCCCCGCCCTCGCATCCCTCACCGCTTCTTCCCCTGCTTCCCGCCGCCCTTGCCCTTCCCGTGCTTCTTGTTTCCGCGCCGGCGGTTGATCTGCGCCATCCGCGCCGCCAGCGGCACCACCTTGCGCTTCTGCTTCTCCCGGTTCGACAGCCCCGCGCCGCCCGTCTTCTTCTTCCGCCGCGCGCTCGCCGCCCCGAACTCCTCGCGCCCCTCCCGCCCCTCCATCACCGACGCCAGCCTCTCCTCCTTGGTCTTCCGCCGCTTGTGCACCCCCTCCAGCTCCGCCGCATCCACGCGCCGCTCCGCGATGCGCTCCGCGCCGCGCGCCAGCAGCGCCCGCAGCTCGTCGTCCACGTCGATCTCGCCCGCCTTGCGCTTCGACGCCGTCCGCAGCCCGTGCTTTGTCATCGCCGCCTGCACCGTCTGACGCTGCTTCAGCCGCCGGATCGCCTCGAACTCCTCCTGCGAGAACACCCGACCCCAGTCCTCAGGCACGCCCTCCTTCGCGACCTTCGAGTCGCCCGCCTCCTTCCCGTCACCGCCAGCGCCCTCCTGCTCGCCGGGCGCTTCCTTCGCTCTCTTGGCCTCCGCCAGCCGACGCTTGAGGTCCGCGAGGCTGCCCGCCTGCGGCGCAGGCTTCGGCTTGCCCTGCGGCTCGTCCTCGCTGTCGTCAGCGTCGCTGTCCTCCTCGCCGGCCTCGCCGTCGCTGTCGCCATCAGCGTCCCCGTCGCTCGCGTCCCCCTCCTCCTCATCCGACTCCACCTCGACGCCCTCCGCGTCACTGCCGTCCCCCTCGACTCCCTCGTCGTCCGTTCCGAACGCCCCCTCGCCGTCCTCGCCGCCAACACCCTCCTCGCTCCCGTCATCCCCGCCATCGCTCGTCCCCTCGCCGCTAGCGTCCTCGTCCTCGTCCTCGTCCTCCTCGTCGTCGGACGCGCCGATCTCGCTCGGGGTCAGCCCCTTCTTCAGCGCCTGTTCCAGCAGGTCCGCGCCCTCGATGCGGTCGCTCACTTTCCGCTCTCCGTACGTCCCCAGCGTCCGCTCGATCTCGTGGCCGCGGCCGCGATCCTTGCGCTCGAGCATCCCCGGCGCGATCTCCCGGAAGAGCGCCATCAGCGACCGCGCCGCCGCGGACACCTGCTTGTCGCGGTGCTTCTTATACTGCACCAAGTCCTGCAACAAATCCTCATCCATCACCAGCGGCTGCCGGAGACACATCTCGCGGACCGTCTTCAGCCCGATCGTCATCACCTCCTCGCGCGCTCGGTCGTGCACGAAGTTGTCCACCAGCTGCCGCAGCACCGGCCGCAGCGTCTCCGGCGGCACGAGGTCGTGGCAGGCCTGCACCAGCGCGGCCAGCACCTGCGTGACGTCCTTCTGCCGCGGCATCATGTACCGCTGCAGGAACGGGTAGAACGGCAGCACCAGCAGCCGGTGCGTCCCGATCGCCCGCGAGACGACCTGCATGATGGCCACGCGCGCCTCGAATTTCTCCCCCCCGCCGCGGAGCCGCGCGAACAGGCGCTCCGCGAACGCCTGCGGGTCGTGGAGGAGCTCGAGCGCCGCGAAGCCCCCCGCGGCGCCCCCCTGCTCCTTCCGCGCCTGCTTCTTGAGCGTCGCCATCACGCGCGCGAGCTTCTTCTTTTTCTTGCGCTTGCTGGCCGAGGTGCCCTTCTTCGTCGCGCTGTATATCTCCGCCTTGCTCGGCCCCGCGACGCCGAGGTCCTTCTCCGCGTCCTCGTCCTCGCTGTCCGACGCCCCGTCCTCGTCCGCGGCCTGGTCGAGCCCCAGGAAGAAGCGCAGCGCCGCCAGCATGACCTTGGACGACCTGTGGTGGCACGCCGACCCGATGACGTTGACGGTGTGCGCGTCGCGCCAGACGTTCCGGCGGTAGAGCTCCGTCAGGATCGCGAGCGCCTTCTTCGCGGCGGCCTCGTTGTCGTCCTCCAGAACGCCGTACATGAGAGATTGGATCGCGCGGTTGAGGCGCTCGTTGCGGTGCTTGCGGTTGGCGTTGCGCACGTCGCTGACCATGTAGCCCTGGAGCTGCTGCCGGAGCGCCTTGTCCTGGCACCGGAACAGCCTGCGGGGGCGCCGGGCGGGGTGCGACGGTGTCGTGTGTGCGGTGCGGGGGGGCGGTCGAGCCTGGGAGGTGGGAGGTGGTGGGCGGGCGGACCTGAAGAAGAGCGGGAAGATGTCCGTGGCCTGGAGGCGGCCGCGGCTCTTGAGCAGCATGAGGACTTGCACCAGGGAGCGTCGCATGGGGGGAGTCAGCACGGCGTAGTGCTTGTCGAGGAGCGCCATGACCTCGCCCGGGAAGCCCTTGAGCTCCTCGGGGAAGCAGTGCGACACCTGCGCCAGGAACATGCACAGGTCTGCGCGCAGGGGCCCGAAGACAGCGACACCCATCTGTGAGTTGCACGACGAAAACAACACACCACCGCGCGCGGGAGCGACCCCGCCCGCGCGGGAACGAGCGCGGCGCGATCGATCGAGGCGCCCGTGCCGCGTCCCCTGGCGCCGGGGCCGCGGCGGGGGTCGCGCGGGGTCCGTGATGCACCTGCAAAGTCCTTTGCGTCCTGCGCGGGCTTCATGAGGAAGACCTTCATCTTGGCCTCGTAGTTGCGGCGCTGCATGTCGAACTCGTCCCTGTACCCATCCGGATCCGTCTTGATGTGGCCCTGCGCGGCGCAGAGGGCGATGAGGGCCGGGTGGTCGCTCGCAGGGAATGTGCCGCGTCCTCACGGCTGGGCGAGCTTGCTGGTGATCCGGAAGGTCCGAACGGGCACCGTCGCGATGGAAGTGCACGTCGCTTCGAGAGAGCGCGTCCGCGCGACGCGTCGGCGCGCAAGAGGCCGTGCGTGCGCTCTGAGGCAGCCGCCAGAGCACACCAGCGCGCGTGCTTCGAGGATGAGCACCAAATACACGAATCAGCGTGGCTCACGCGTTCCTCGCAATGCGAGGGCTACAGGGAGACGACTCTCGGAGGCTCGCAGCGCGTGAGCGCGGCCTGCTGGAGCGCGCAACCCACTTCTTGCACACGCCGTGCGCACGGCGCGAATCCAACGATTCAACGCATCAGCGCGGCGGTATCGTCGAGGGTTCCACTGGGGCTCGCCCTCGGCAGCACCGCAGCGCGGCCGACGCGCACCTGCAGGGCGAGTAGGTCCGCAGCGCTCATGGCGCTCCGTCACACGGGGGCGGCGCTCTCCGCCTCCTGGGTCCACCAAGCATGCAGTCCACGGCCTGACACGACTCCTCCGCCCTTACGGCACGCGGTGCGCGGGCTGCCACGCATATGTCCGGCCAGCAGGGGCAGTTGGCGCTGGTAAAAAGAAAAGCTGTTCCCGGGATGTCTGGCTCGCTGTGTTCGCGAGGCTGACCGCCCCATTGGACCTGCGCGGCGGCTGCCTGGCTGAGGAGTCGTCCCGCCTGGCCTGCACTGCTTGTAAGAGCCTGCACCGTGGATCCAGGAGTTGTGTGGAGCGCACAGACGGCCGGGCGTGCTGTAGGTCGCGATGTCGTGGGACGCCTGGTGCAACCTCATCGTGTCGGAAAACCCCGACGGCACGAAGGTGGAGTCCGGGGCCATCATCGGCCAGGACGGGCTGGTATGGGCGAAGACGGAGGGGTTCCCCGAGGCGAGTCGTGATGTGCTGGCAGGGCCAGCGCGGTCGATCCGCGCACGCCCGCGGACGCGCACTGCGCCCCCCGCGCCATCCCCAGCGCTCGCACGTGCACTGATACTAAACCTCCAGCAATGAAACCAGGGGCGCTAGCGCCGTCAAGTCGCGGAAACGCGGCACCTGCCCTGGCGCTGCAGGCAATGCGGCACGGCGCGCCACCGCCGCCGGCCAGCGCGGTGTTCCGCCCCGCGTCGACGCGATCTCTCAGTGTCGAGCTGCACGCCTGCTTCGCCACCGCGCAGATGTCCGAGGATAGCATCAAGAAGGTGGTTGATGGGTTCCTGGACCCCAGCCCAGTCTACACGTCCGGCGTCATGATCGGCGGCGAGAAGTACGCGTGCGTCATGGTGAGCCGCTGTTCTCCTGCCGGCCTCGCTCTGCGCGGATCGCACGGCCGGCGGCGCCCGTGTGTCGCCTGGAGTCGGGCTGCTTGCGCGGGCAGCTCTCGCCCGTTGCGTCACTCCGACGCGCGCCCCGTACCCGCAGGCCGACAGCGAAGTCATCCGGGTGGTCACCAAGCGCGGGGGCGAGGAGAAGACGAGCACGTGAGACACGCACCTCGCACGAACCAGCACGATGTGTCTCTCGACTTCACTTGCGACCATAGCGGCCCGACTCGCCGCAACTGCGTGCCCCAGCCCGCGAGCACCCGCCACGACGCTCCGGCCGCCCCCACGCACCCACCGCCGCGCGTGCGAGTGCGCAGGTACGCCGCGGCGTTCTACAAGACCACGACAGCGGTGGTGGTGGGCATCTACGAGCAGCCGGACCCACGCGTCGGCAAGCAGGCTGCCAAGGTCCAGGAGGTCGCGCGGCACCTCATGGACTCGGGCATCTAGGCCCAACAGCCCCCTCCCTCATCATTGACAACCCACGCTCGTCGTTGTAACACTGCCAGCGGCCTCGAGCGGCAGCGCAGCGGTCCGAGCTCTCTAGATACGACACGCGGGAGAGCCCGTGTCACCCCGGTGCCGTGCGAGGCCGCGCAGCGCCCGGCGGCCGCCTCACAGCTCCCGGCGCCGCAACTTGCCGTCCGGCTCCGCGTGGAGGTACATGTCGAAGTCGAGGTCCTCGTCGTCGCTCGAGTCGTCGTCGTCCAGGCTGTCCTTGAGCTTCCAGCCCTCTGCAGACACACGCGGCGCAGGCATATGTGCACCAGTGCAGCTCAATGTCAGCCCTCGCGTCGTGCCAGCTGCGGCGGGCAGCCGCGGTGCAACGCAGTCCAGCGAGCCTCGGGCTCCACGCACCGGCGTAGAGGCAGATGCGGGCGTGCGACACCGTGTCGCCTGAATTGACCCCGGCCTCCGCCAGAGGGGTCTCGTCGCTCAGCTGGCGGCCCTTGAAGATCGTCTTCTCCCACGGCTCCGTGAAGCCCTCGAGCCGCAGCAGCTGCGAACAGACGCGCGCCGCCGTGAGACGCGGCCCCGCGGCACATCGCATCCAACGCAACAACACAACGTGCCCTCGGAATCATCAACGCTGCCTCGGCCGCGACAACGGCGCCCCGACCGCTCCGCTGGAGCGCCGCGGCCGCAGCCATCCGGGTTCCAACGAATGAGGGCACGGTGCGGCCCTCGCCGCGGCCATCCTCGGCGGAACGGAGCGAGCTGCACTTCACCACGCACGCACGCACCTCGCCGGCGGGCTGCCACCCCAGCTTGCTGGCCACCGCGTCCCTGAGGTCCTTCACCGTGCCAGCGTCGTCGATCTCGACCTCGACCGGCTCGAGCAGGTCCGTCGCGGTCTGCATCACCTCCTTCCAGTACAAGCTAAAACGCTGCCGCTCCACCGCTGGCCTCACCGTCACCCGCATCGTCGCACGTCCCGACACCAGTGATACGTCGCAGTCCCCAGAGTGAGCTCCGCGCGCGTCGTATAGGGGCAAGGTGCGCGGAGAGAGCCCCTGTTAAAAGTTTGGAATTCCGAGGGAGGTGTGGACACAGGGGCGTGACGCTCGGAACGCGGAGCGGCGTCACAGCGCGGATCCTGGGCGAGGTCACGCGGATATTTCCACGACGGGCGGCACGGCGGTGCGAGACACGAAGTCGGAGACTTGCTTGGGCAGCAGGCCAATGGTGTCGAGCTTGTTGGCGGCGAGGGCGAGCTTGCCGAGCTGGAGCGCGACGTACAGCGCCATGGGTCCGCGCAGGTCCACGCGCCCCTTGGAGTCCTGCACCGCGCCAGAGAACCCCCGCTTGAGCCGCACGACGGCGTTGAACACCCACAAGGTGCCTCGAAACGTTGACGGTGTCGCGCGCGGTCGGCGCGGCAGGTGTGTGCGAGAGGCAGGCTCACCTCGAACTTCTTGAACTCGTTGACGACCCCCGCGATGCTCGTGAGCGAGCTGGAGAGCGCCGTGAAGGTGGACATGATGGTCCACAGGCCGAGGTGGCTGCCCGAGAACCACAGCATGAGGCCCGTCTGAAGCACGCCCATGAACTGACCCTTCGCCGCGGCCCACGCGTCCCGTTGCTTCGCCTGCGCCGCCCGCTCGTCGACCTTCCTGCTCTCCTCCGGCGTGGGACCCGCGGAACCCTGCGATGCGCAGGGCAGCGGTCAGCGATCGCTGAACACGTGGCTCATGCGTCTGCTGCTCGACTGGCGAGGCCCCAGACGCCCGGGGACGCAGCGGGTGAGGTGCTCGGTGCGCAGTGAGGGCCCGGGACCGCCGTCGATCGCTCCGCACCTCTAGCGCAGCGCCATCTCGGGGGAAGCCTGGCGGAGCCTTCACGGCCTTGCTGGCGCCGGGAGCCTTGAGGTCCAGCGCATGTGCCGCGAATTCCGTGCCCATCACTACGGAGCCACACCAGGCCAGGGCCTGGGTCCCTGGATTCGTTCGACCTCGAGTTTCCCCGTCCCCTGCAGCCGCTGAAGCGCTCCTTCACGCGCCAACGCCGCGCGCCCCGACGAACGCGGACAACGCGCGTGTGCGCTTGCAGTGAGCCGGTACCAGTGCGCTCCAGACCCTGCGTGCGCCACAAACACGGCCCGGATCTCCCTTTACGCCGAGACCGTCGTTTTGCCTCGCGCATGGCGGCACGGACCCCTCGTACCGGCGAGCGCGCCCGCAGCCAGAGCGCTGCGAGCCCCCCAGTACAACGCACAGCGCTGCTAATGGGCGCTCCGCGGCGGCCCCGGCGGCCACTCTCAGGCCAGGTCCGCGGCCGACCCGGAGACGCGAGCGCAGCGGACGCACCAGCACAGCCAGCTGGGCACAGCAACGGCCGGGGGCGCCGCGGCAATTTTTGGCTGGGCCAGCACAGTTCTTCACCATGGCATCCGAGTACCTCAAAGACACCGTGGGCGACATCCTGGCCCGCGGCCTCGCCGCGACGTGCAGGACGGTGCCCAGCGACCCCGTCGAGTACCTCGCCTACTGGCTCCGACAGTGCGTTCCACCCCGTGCCGCGCGCGAGCTGTCCAGCTGCCCGCCCCGCCCGCGCACCACAGCGCCCCCAGCGAGCGCTCGCGCGGCCGCGCGCGCTGATAGCTTGCTGGTCAGTGCCGGCGCGGTGCGAACGGCGCCCCAGTCGCGCGCTCCCGCGCGCAGCGCCGCCCCAGGCTGTGTTGCTCACTGCTGGCCCGGTGCGGTTGCGCAGGTATGCTGACAACGTGCGCGAGATGTCGCAGTACGAGGGCGAGAAGGCAGCGGACCGCCACGCGAAGGAGAAGCAGGCGGAGGCGGACGCGGAGGCCAAGGCGCGCGAGGCAGCCCGCGCAGCGTCCCTCAACGCGGACCTCGAGCTCCTGGCCAACATGAACGACAACACGTGGGGCGCCTGGCAGGCTGCCGTCGACGTGATCACGCGCTTCACGTCCGCGAACTCCGTCTACGTCGCCAACGTCTCCGAGGAGGAGGTGCCCGACCCGGAGCTGCCGCCTGCCGAGGAGCTGCCCCCGGACGTGCCGGAGGACGGCGCGGACGACCCCGACGTGCCCTTCGCCGAGCCCGAGCCCGAGATCCCCGAGGAGGAGGAAGGTGCGTGCGCGCCGCGCGCCGCCGCGCGGCCCGCAGCGCCGCAGACAGGCGCCACGGCGCCGGGCATGCCCGCGGGATTTCGCGCACGTCGGCGCGCCTCCGCGCTCCGCACGCGCGCTCCTCGACGCCTGCGTCCTTCGCACGCCCGCGCCTGCGCCCGCGCGCGCCCTGGCGCCCCGCGCGCCCCCCGCCGGCCCGCACTGCTCCCAGTGGGCCCTGCGAGCACCGCCGCGGCCTCGTCCGCCCGCCGCCGCCTCGCTCACGCGCGCTCCGCGTTCCTGTATCCGCGCAGAGGGCGAGGAGGGCGAGGGCGAGGAGGCCAAGGCGGAGGGCGACGAGGACGGGGAGAAGGAGGAGGGTGACGGGGGCGCGGCTGGGGAGGAGGAGGGCGAGCTGGCCGACGAGGACATCGAGCTGCCGGGCCCGCGGCCGTTCGACTACTCCAAGGCCTTCCTCGAGTACGTCGTCGCGAGCGCGGGCGAGGACTGGGTCAGCCGCTACAAGGTCATGCAGCGGCCCAGCGCCCAGGACGCGGAGGCGGCCGCGGCGGAGGGCGAGGCCGCGGGGCAGGACCCGAAGCCCATGATGTTCCGCATGCTCGACGACAAGCTCACGTCGCTGTACCTCCCCGACGTCATGCTGAAGCGCGACGAGGTGCAGTTCTTCAACAAGTTCCCGCGCGTGGGCGCCTTCCTCGCGCGCTCGCTGCTCTCGCACGAGAACGAGGTCAAGGCGATCCTCTGCGTCGACACCGTGAAGCCCCCCGGGCACGGCAACCCGCTCAGCGCCGAGGAGCGCGACGTAATTGAGCGCGCCGCCGCCGCCGTGGAGGCCGCGATGGTGAGCATGGCCAAGGAGGCCAAGCGCGCCACGCTCGCGCGCGCGCCGTACGCCGCGCGCGTCGAGCTGCAGGCCATGCTGCGCGAGCTCGCGGCGCCGACGCCCCCCCCCGAGGAGGAGGAGCCCGAGGAGGAGAAGCCCCCCAAGGGGAAGCCCGCGCCCAAGTCGAAGACGGAGAACGCGGTGGAGAAGGAGGCGTCCGCGGCGGGGTCCGGCGACGCGGAGGAGGAGGAGCCGGACTCGGACGCGGACGTGCCCGAGGAGGCGGACGACACGGAGCCGCCGGTCGTGGAGGAGCCGGCGGCCGCGGAGGCCGAGGGCGGGGAGGGCGCGGGGGAGGGCGAGGGCGGGGAGGAGGGCGACGCGGCGGAGGGCGAGGGCGAGCCGAAGGAGGAGGGCGAGGGCGAGGGCGGGGACGCCGAGGCTGCGCCCGCGGAGGAGCCGCCCGAGGACCCCGCGGCCGTGCAGGCGCGGAAGGAGGCCGAAGTCGACGTGCTGGAGAAGAAGCTGATGCGGCTGCGGTGGGAGGAGCGGCAGGAGCGGCGGAAGCGCGTCGCGGCGCGCGCGGAGCTCAAGGCGCAGTCGGCGGTGGTGGCCGAGAAGCAAAAGGGCGCGGACAAGCGCATGCAGCTGCTGCGGCTGGTGCAGGACGCGGTGCGCGGGCAGGAGGCGGCGGCGATGCGGGACCTGCGCACGCTGTGCCGGTCGCCGCCGACGACCTTCCGCGTGCTGCGCGCGGTGATGGTGCTGCTGAAGAAGGGGAACAAGGCCTTCAACACGTGGACGAACTTCAAGAAGGGCCTGAGCCAGAACCTGCTCGACGAGATCGTGGACTACGACCCCGAGGCCTACGCCAAGCTCGAGGTGCGCGCCGCCCCGCCCGGCCCCGCCAGGCGCCGCAGGACCGCGCGAGCGCGCGCTACGTGCGCACGTGGTTGCTCCGCCGCGCGCTGACGTGCCGCGCCGGTGCCGTTTCCTTGCAGACGGAGGAGCTGCAGCGCATCTGGGGCTACATCAAGGGCCTGAACACGGAGGAGGGGCTCAAGCTGCTCGAGGAGGAGTGTCCGCGCTCGTCGTTCGGGGCCTTCCTGCTGGTCTTCCTGTACCACTGCCGGAAGACGTCGGTCGCGCTGCGCGCGCTGCACGCCGAGGAGGCCGTCGAGCGCGAGAAGGAGGCCGCGATGGACGCGTGCACCGTGCTGGTCGAGGGCAAGAAGGAGGCGTGTCGCGACATGGAGGCCGACCTGCAGGCCAAGCGCGACGAGCTCACCGCCGCGATCGCCGCGGCCGCCGAGGCCAGCGCGCACGGCGCGGAGTAAGCGCCCGCGGGCCGCGCCGGCCCCGCGCGGCCGGCAGCGCCCACTACTAGTAGACGTGTGAGGCCTGCTGCTGGCTGCGGTGTTGTCGCCGGGGGGACGCGTCGCGTGGCTGTGGGCGAAGCGCTGGGACGCGCGGGTGGAGTTGGGGGCGTCGGGCGCGCGCTGGAGCGGGGCCGGCGGGGCGCGGGCTGCTGCTGCGCGTGACGTACGGGTGTGTGTTGCGGCGCGTGGGAGCAGTGCGGGACGGGGACGGTGCCGAGACCGCGCTGTGACGGATGCGCGTGCGTCGAGGGCCGGGGCGCGCGGTTCTCGCGCGTGGGTGGCGGGGACCTGTGCGGGGGGGTGTGCCAACCGCTCTGCCTGGAATCTCCAACGGACGCGCGGCGCGTTGTGGGGACGGGGCGGAGCTGCACGCGGTCAGTAGAGGCTCCCGAAGCGTGGAGGTGCCTGGGTTGCCCGGCGGAACAGGTAGTGTCGTTCACGGACCTCGGGGCGAGCTGGTTTGCGTGCAGCGGAGGCCAGGCGCACGAGCGTGCTACTCCCGACGGGATTCTTTGCCCCTGCCACATGGCAGGGCGCGCTGTCGGATATAGTCTGATGCGATTCGTCAACGGCCGGGCCGCAAGGTGCTCCAGGTGCGCGTCGCGCCCCCCCTCCGTCCACGACCAGCCCGCCCCTGCCATCGCGCGACGCACGCCAGCCTCCTGGCCCAGCGAGCGCCCCGGCTGACTGGGGATATTCGAGCTCCCGAGCCGTGCGGCACGCAACCCATTTCCAGCCCAGCAGCGCGCTGTCAACGCTCCTGGCTCCCCAGCCCAGGTCACCGCTGCTGACGGCGCGCGAAGCTGCTCGACGCCGTACGCGTCTCCGCGGAGACCCCTGAGTTCCCGTTGCATACCCTCGCACCCGTCAATCCGGTATCTCACCGTGCACCACGCGTGCATCGCCTCTTGTGTGCAGAGGAGCATGCTCGGTGCCTCGGGCCGTTCCGCGGCCGCCCTCCGGGGCTTCTGGGTCCCAGCCCCAGCGTAACGGACACGCCGGCCAGGGGGCGGCGCAGGCGACGCTCGCCAGGACGTTCGCGGGCGGTGCGTCGGTGTGCTCTGCGCTCGCAGCGGGTCGCAGCGCGGGGGCCGCCCGGATGCCCGTGCCGTGCCGCGCGTCGATGGGGGGGGACCGTCAGTCGGGACAGGGCACGGAGGCGGACCTCGGAGCGGCTGCGGCGCCGCAGAGGCGCGGGGAGGCGGCAAGCTCGGCGGGCAACGGCAGCACGTCCGAGAGCGTCAGCGTGAGCTTCGTGTCCGTCGAATCGTCCGAGACGGTCATGGTGCGCGGAAACGGCGCGGACGGACCCGGGAAGAGCGTCGGTGACGCAGGTGAGCCCCAGCGCGAGCCGCAGCCGCACCCCCACCCTGCCGCTGCTCACACCGCGGCCGCGAGGTTTCCCGCGCGCGTCTCCGGCGGCTTCGGCCGAACGAGCGGCCCAACGCCACCTCCACATCATGAACCAGCGTGTCCCCGCGCGCCGTCGCTGTTCGCGCAGAGCCGGGGTCGTTGCCGGGGTCGCTCGGCGCCGCGGGCGTGGGCGGCAACGGCTCGTCCGGCGTGCACCTCAACATGGGCGTCTTCATGATCCCGCACCCGGACAAGGCCCACAAGGGCGGCGAGGACGCGTTCTTCCTGTGCGAGGACTGCGGCGGGGGCGCCGCGGGCGTCGCGGACGGCGTGGGAGGCTGGGCGGAGCAGGGCGTCGACTCGGGGCAGTACTCGCGGGCCCTGTGCGAGAACACGCGCGCGGCCTGCCACGGCGTGCAGCCCGAGCTCAACTCCCCGAAGGCGGCGCTGAAGGTCGCGCACGCGCAGACGGAGGGCCTCGGGTCGAGCACGGCGTGCGTGTTGATGATGGGCGCGGACGGCACGCTGCACATAGCCAACCTGGGCGACTCCGGCGTGATGATCGTGCGGGAGGGGAAGCCGGTGTTCGTGACGCCGCAGCAGCAGCACGACTTCAACTTTCCGTTCCAGCTGGGCAGCGAGCCGTTCAACGACCCGCCCGAGTCGGCGGACGACTTTGCAGTCAAGGTCCAGCCGGGCGACGTGGTCGTGGCGGCCACGGACGGGCTGTGGGACAACATGTACGTGGACGAGGTCGCGAACCTGATCGCGGACTCCCGCTCCAGGGGGCACAGCCCGCGCGAGGCTGCACGCGAGGTGGCGACGCGTGCGCAGGTGCTGGCCGCGGACGACCGGTACCTGAGCCCGTTCGCGTACAGCGCGCTGCAGCTGGGGTACGTGTTCATCGGGGGCAAGATGGACGACATCACGGTGCTGGTGAGCTACGTCGAGGAGGGCAAGGCGAAGCTCTAGGCGGTGGCGATGGGAGCTGGGGTTGCACCCGCGTCGAGTGACACGACTCGCTCGGCCGGGCAGCACGTGTGACTCCCTTGCACACTCGCTGCTATTCACATGCTGTGCTGATCGCGTCGAAGTCAACACGCGGCTACGTGCTATCTCTAGGTCTATTTCAGTCTTGTTTCAGTATTTATCTATTTTTCTGTCAACCGGGGTCTCTACGCCCTCATGGCCTTGGACGTCGGCTCGGGCGGCACCGTGGGCCTCACCGTCGGCCGCGTCACGGCCCGCACCGCCCCCGCCGCCGCCGCCATGGACGGTTGTGCCAGCACGTGCAGGTGCAACAACGGCCGGTCCGACCGCCAGCTCCCGGGCTCGAACACCGGCACCATGATCCCCGTGAGCTTCTCCGCGTCGGCCCCGCGCTCGCGGATGGCCTTCCCGCTCCACGCCGACAGCTCGCACCCCAGATCCAGGCTGCAGCGGTGCGTCTCAAGAACGAGCTCCACGAACGGCAGCGGACACTCCCCGCTCGACGGCGCGACCGCGGGCACGTCGTGCTTCATCAGCAGCGGGTCCAGGCTCGCCCCGACCAGCGAGATGCCCCCCAGGAGAATCGACCCAATCTTCACCTCCTGCTCGCCCTCAATCAAGGTGCCCGACTGCACCGGCATCGGCGTGAGGTGCGCCTTCAGCGCCCAGCTCGGCTGCCCGCCGTCCCGGTTCGTCGCGGCGTGCTCGATCGGCGTGTCCGGGTTCACCAGCGCGCTCAGGACCATGGTCAGCGCCGAGGGCTTGCTGAGGATCGACAGGTCGACGGTCCGGACGCTCCCGATGAGGCCGCGCGTGCCGCCGTCGTCCATCTGGAGGTCCTCGCTGGAGCCCTCGGGCCCGTGCGGGTGAGCCCGCGCCGACAGCTCCGCATGCCTGACGAGGTCGAGGATTCCAGTGCCGCGACGGTGCACCTCCGCGATCCACCGCGCCGTGCCGCCGCCCGCGGGGTGGCCAGCGAGGTCCCACTCCGCGAATCCGCCGATCAGGGCCTGGGCGAACGGCGAGCGCCACGTGCGCGACGCCCGGCGGCCCGCTCCAGGCAGGATGGCCAGCACAGCGTTGACGTCGCTCGCGGCCCCGGCGGCGGTCTGCGCGAGCGCGGTGGCCTCGAGCACGACGACGTGCGTGATGTTGACGCGCCAGCCGAGCAGCACCTGGAGGTGCCGGTCCTCTACTTGGCTGGCAATCAGGGACAGCTCCTCTGCCATGTTGTTCAGAATAGTGTAGAAGTGCTGCAGCTTCGGGAACGCGGCTGCGGCCATCAACGGCGATACCGCAGGCGGGTCTAGGAGCGAGTAGCCCGGGTCCGGCTTCCGCAGAGCCATTACCATCAGCGACGATGCCATGCGCTCCAGATCGCCCCGTGTCAACTTCTTCAGGACCTCGTGCGGCAAGTGGTGCCCCGCGCCGAGCAGCCTGCTCCATGTCGTGAGCAGGGGCCCCGTGACGGGGCGATCGTCGCCCGGTTTGCGGACGCGCAGCAGTGCCTGAGTACCGTGGAAGACAGCGGACGCAATCGTCGCCGCCGCCTTGCCGCCCTGGCCGCCCATGACGCCCTCGAGCAGCTCCGGGAGCCCATCCTTGCGCCAGATCTTCTCCATGATCGGGTTGACGGCGGCCCGCGCAGGATCGCGCGGCCACACCAGCGACGTTGTATGTCCCAGCACGAGGCTGTACGGCTCGCCCTGCGGACCGGGCGCCGGCAACACCCTCGCGAAGGCGCGCCGCGCCGCCGCGTGGATCTCGGGGCCCGGACCGATCCCGCCGTAGCCAGCGAACGCCAGATAGGCCGGCAGCTCGTTGGCGACAGACAGGAGGAAGGAATGCGTGGTGGTGAGGTGCGCCACGGCAGTCATCGCGCGGCTCATGTCGAGCAGCGTGACGGCCGTGCGGTGCGCCAGGTCCCACGGCGGCACGTCGGGGCTTCCGTGCGCCCCCGCGTACGCGAGCGTCGCCAGGTGAGCCAGGGTGCTGCTGATGAGGAGCCGCAGCATCGCCGAAAGCGACCCCTCGCCGCGCTGGGGCGGCGCGCGGTCCTGGCGGCTGAGCCAGCTGTCCATGAGGAAGTGCGCGAGCTTCGTGGGGTGCCGCGGGAGCTGCACGGCGATGGGGCGCTGCACGGGCCGCGCCAGCGCAGCCCCGAGGAGGCGCGCCCTCCCGGGCCGGCAGCACACGAACAGCCGGAACGCCTTGCTCGCCTTGCTGGACCGCGAGAAGCGGATGAGCGCCAGCGTGCCCGCGATGTCGTCCTCCGGGTGCATGAGGAGCACCCACCGGCCCGAGCGCTGCGCCTCGGCCAGTTGCGCCACGTGCTGCTGCGAACGCAGGGCGCCGCAGGAAAACACTGCGACCGCGCGAGCCTTCTCTCCGCCGCGCGCAAGCATGATGCCGACCGCACGGGCGCCCCCGAAGTCCCGGTTGGCGTCCTTGTTGACCCCCTCGATGGACGCACCCATAGCAACAGCCGACCCGGACAGCGCATACGCCGTGTTGCGCGCCACCTGCAGGATGGCGCCAACAGGCACGCCTTCCGCGGCCTCCAGGACAACGATCGGCACCATGCTGCGCGTGACGGCGCCGGCGCTGCCTGCAGCAGCACTCAGCATGACGTGGGTGACCGCCGGCGGCCGCGGCACCGCCGCGGGCGGTTCCTGCCCCGCCTTGAGCGCCGAGGCTTTCGTCAGCCCGTCGATGAACCACTTGGCCAGCTGCCACACCAGCGGCGGCTTCAGCACGGTGAGAACCATCACCTTTTGGATGCGCGTCATCTTCGAGCCCCACGGCTCCGGAACGCGGTCCGCGGGCGACTCCGAGGACACGGCGTCGCACCACTCGTCCTCGTTCTGCCAGACGTGCTCCGTGAGGCCCAGGAGAGCCACGCGGTCCGGGTCCCGCTCGAGCAAGGAGGCCAGCTGCTGTACCTGCAAGGTTTCGGGCAGGGCCGCCCCGCTGCGCGCGCTCAGGACCGCGTGCTCCGACACGCGCGACTGCTGCGTCGCCGGGCCCGACTCCGCGGGCTCCCCGCTCATGACGTGATCGACAAACCACCGCAGCCAATGCACCCACTGTGCGTGCGCTTGCCCCTGGGCCTGCGCCGTCTGGTGGCCCGCCCACAGCACGAACGCGGCCACGTACGCGTCCGCATCGGCCAGGTTCCGCGCCACCTCGGCCACGTAGGCCTGGATGATGGGCTCGGATCGCAGCTTGCGCGTCGACTCGGACTTCTTCCCCTGCCTGTCTTCCTCCTCGTTCTCGTCCAGCGAGGTCAGCGGGGCCTCCGCAACCTTGCGGAAGATCGTCACGATGTCGTTCAGCGCGAGCTCGGCGCCGGGCACCGCGAGCGCGAGCTGTTGCAGGTCGGTGACTGCGCAGGCCACAGAGCGGCAGGCCAGACGGTCCGCTTCGAAGGTCGCGGGGAGGTTCGACATGATCGCCTGGCTCTCCTTCAGCGCCTGGTGCAGCTCGAGGCTGTCGTGCGAGGCCTCGACCAGCCCCTCCAGCACCCCCTCCACCTGCCACGCCTTCTCTTCAGCGGCGATGAGCTCGCTGATGAGGTTGATCCGCATCGACACCGTCTGCCGGCGCAGAACCTCGTTCTCCGCGTACGCCTCGAGCAGATGCGCCTCCCGCGACGGGCTGCGAATCCGCATCGCTTCCAGCGCCAGCCTCTCCTCGAGGTCCGACAGCGAGGGCCGGCAGTCGATGACATGCAGCGCGTCGTGGATCGAGTCCGGGAGGCCGACGGGCGCCCCCGGCGACCACGCAATCAAGGCCCTGTGCCCGGGCCGGCTCAGGTCCGGCATCACGCGCCGCCACAGCCGCTCCTCGCTGCGCACCGTGTCCAGCACCGTCAGGATCGTCTCCGCGTCCTCGTGGGTCCCGGTGAGACGCAGAAGGATGTTGCCGCCCTGCTGGAGCCCGCGGATCACGTGCGCCGCCGCGGACTCGGACCCGCAGCGCACGTGCTGCCAGTGCAGCTTCTCACGCAGGCTGATCAGCCACGCAGGCGGCCCGCCCGACGGGCACACCAGCAGCGGGACGCCCGGCACGACCGCGACGAGCATGAGGTTCGTGCGGTCCCCGGCCGTCAGCTGCAGGCTCGGCGGCACCATGGGCTCCGCGACGGTCGTGAGCAGCTCAGCAGAGCCAGGGAGGGAGAAATGGCTCGAGTGCGTGACGTTGCACTGCTCGAGCGCGGCCCTCCACCGCTCGAGCAGGTCGTCGCGCAGGTGTCCGGGCAGCGGCCCTAGGTACGCCGCCGCGGCCCCGACCAGCGCCGCGTCGCCCCGCAACAGAGCGATCTTGCTGTCGACGGCAAGGTGCGACACGCCGTCCACCGGCGATGAGTGCGCGTGCTGCTCGAGCGCCTCCGCGAGCAGGCGCATGCGGCGGATGTTCTGCACGAGCTGCGCGCGCGCCCGCTCCTGGCGCGCCTGCATGAGCACGTGCTCGTCGCGCTGGATCTGCAGCCCGCGCACTTGGAGCTGGAGTGTGTCCGACGCGCCCTGCTTGGCGTTGATGACCGAGTACGTGCACTGCACCGCGTACTCGCGCTGCAGGACGCGCTGCTCCGCCATGGCAAACCGCATCTCGGCGATGCCCAGGTTGTGCACCGAGATCACCCACTGGCAAAAGGACTTGGCGGCGCGGGAGACCTGCGCGACGACGTCCGGCTTGAAGTTGTCCTGGACGACGTAGGCCTGCAGCGTCCGCACGATTTCGGGCGACAGGTTCCGCGGGTTGTACCGCTTCATGCGCTCGTGCAGCGGCAACTCGCGGTCGCACATGATACGTTTCGCCGTCTCCCAGTCGTTGTCCATGCCCAGGATCGACATGACCGCCTCGAGCACGCTCCGGACCATCGCGGGCGGCGCGTGGTACGACCGCAGCTCGTTGACGTCGGCGTCGGGGATGGCCGAGAGGTCCTCGCGCGCCACCTCGAAGTTCACCTGCACCTCCTTCAGGTGCTTCTGCAGGTCCTCGCGCATCTGCTTGGCGACCTTGCCCGCCGTCGACACGCGGTCCTTGAGCGTCTTCATCTGCCGCGCAAGGCGGTCGCGGTGGCGCGAGGCCTGCGCGATGGCCACGCTCAGCGAGGAGATCACGTCCACCGTCTTCTCCTGGATCGGCTGGAGCTGCTCGAGCTGCGACATCGCGCCCGAGAGGTTCAGCTTGATCGCCGCGAGGTGCATCGACATTAGCATCTGCGCCACGTACTGCTCCTTCAGGGTGGACTCCGCCTGCCGCACGTATGCGCAGAAGACGCGCGCCGCGTCCGCCACGCGCGTGGCGAGGATCGGCGTCGCGTACGCCAAAGCCGGCTCCCACTCCCTGTACGACGCGACCGCGATGTCGTGCAGGATGGCCATGGCCCGGGAGACCTTAGTCAGGTCGGTGCTGGATGCTAGTTGCTGGAACTGCACCTCGATGGACTGCATCTCCTGCCGGTGGCCCGCCTCGTCCGCGGCGGCCATAAGCGGCGACAGCGGCGGCGGCCGCAGGTGCCGGGCGATGATTGCGTTGATCGAGCTCGACAGCTTGTCCCGCCCCGGGATGCACGCGCCCAGGAGAGCCGCCCCGGCGAGCGGGGCGCAGTGCGCGATCAGCCCGGGCGCCGACTTCGCCGGCACGACGATCACGAAGCGCAGGTTCGCGCGCACCGCCTCCGCCATCTCCTCCATCAGCTCCATGCGCAGCTCCTGCATCTCGTACGTGTTGTCTCCGGCCTCGCCGCCGTCCGCCGTCGCGCGGCCCTTGCGCGGACTCGGCTCCGGGCTCTCGAACGCCTTGTCGTCGAGGCCCGGGACGAGGTACGGCGGCAGCGTCTCGGCCTCGAGCAGCTCCAGGATGGGCCCGAGGCCCTGCACCCAGTGGTGGGGGGTGGGCCCGAGACACTCGCAGCGCACGACCACCGCGCAGAGCGACTCGCCCTCGAGCGCCAGCGTGGCCGCGCGCTTGCAGGCTTCGCGGACGCTGTCCCGCTCCTTCTCGACGACGACGACGGAGCCGCGGTGAAGCAGCGCCGCCGTGCGCGTCGCCGCCATGCGCCCGGACCCCGGTGGGCCCTCAACGATGGTCGCGGCGTGTGGCCAGGGGAGCTCGAAGCTCGCGTAGATCCGGTAGGCCAGCTGCAGCGCGCCGGGCCACGTCATGCGCTCGGCGCAGTGCAGGCCCCACCACAGGCCAGTGTTCACGTCGCGGAGGGCCTCCGAGCCGACGGCGTCGTCGATGCGCTCGTGCACGATGTCGAGGTCGGCCTTCGTGACCGCGCGGCAGATCCCGCCCTCGAGGCGCGACCCGCCGAGGAGCCCCGACAGAGTCTGGTCAGACAGCAACTGTGGGTTGTCCGACCGCGGGCCCACCTTGTAGTCCGTCGGGACGAGGTTCCGGACCACAGCCTGCATCGCGTGCATCCGGAGCCCGTTCTGCAGCTCCGGGTCCGGGAAGTCGAGGTTCCAGAGCACCGAGAGCGCCCGACACACGATGTGGGAGAGCTTCATTGATGACAGCGTCGTTGTGGCCGCGCTGGAGCGCTCCATGGCCCGCGCGACCTCCCTCTCCAGACCCAGCTGGTCGTTCGTCCAACGGCTGGACGACCGCGACATCATCCGCGCCTTCATCGCGGTCAGCGGCCCCTCCTGGTCGTCGCTCTCCGCGCCACTGCCCGCCATTGTCGCCGTGCGCACCAGCGTCGGACTGCTGGGCTCGTCGGCCCTCCTCCTGAGCGTGTTGATCCGCGAGATGCGCATGCTCGGCATGCGCTGGCTGAACCGCGAGGCAGCAGCTTGCAGGGCTTGGAGGCTGGGAGCAGTCGCCAGCGCCTCGCTAGACCGATCGCCCAAAGGGAGGTGCCGGCCGCTCACGGCCGCCATGCTCATGCTGCTCAGGGCCCGGCTCAGATCTTGGCGCGTGACCTGCCCGTGCAGGGCCTGCCCGAGCCGCGTGGCGAGGGAGCCAGAGACCGACACCGCCACCGTGTGCAGCAGGGCGATCGCGCGCGGCACCAGCGCCGCGCTGCGCTGCGCCTTCGCCACCTGCTGGTTGGGCGAGGCGAGCTCGACGAGGGCGCGCTGCACGGCCGTGCACACCCCGTCCGTGCGCTCCTTGTCCAGCAGGATGGCGTAGGCTGGTTCCATCACCGCTCTCACGACCTCGCCGAACATCTTGGTGGCCATGACCTGCGCCGGCGCGAGCCCCGGCGTCGCGAGCGGGCTCTGCTCGGCGGATACCGTCGCGAGGCGCGTCGTCAGCCGCGCGTCTCCGCGCAGGTGCGACCCGGACCCTTTGGGCCACAGTCCCTCGCGCGTGCCCGTCAGCGCAATCATCGTGCGCTGCAGCCTCAGCCGCTTCGGCCCGGAGGCTCCGACGTGATCCATCTCGCCGAGCTCGCAGAGCATCCGCACCGCGGTGATCAGGCGCGCCGCAGCCCCGCGGGCGGCAGCGGATGCGCCGCGGACGCACATCGCTGCAGGCTCGTGGAGGTCGTCGAGGAGCAGGAGCGCGCTGCCGGATCCGTGTGGGCGCAGCGTCGAGCTGCGGTCCTGGTGCAGAAAGGCCGCGAGCGTGCCGCTCAGCCCGACCGCCCCTGTTGAGGACACCAGAGGGTGTACGATCAGCTGGTGGTTCCCTGCCCCGCGGGTGATGCCGCGAGCGATCTCCGACTTGCCCGAGTACGCGGGGCCGATGAGGACCGGCGCCCAGCCGGCGCGCATGTGCAGCCACGCGGCCGCCTGCACGCAGCGCGTCCCCGCGGTGTGGATGAAAATGTGCGAGCCCGGCTCGGTCGGCAGCTCGCTGCGGAGCCTGGCGCCCACGGAGGACACTGCCACCTTTGTGTGCGGGTCCGCCGGCGCCCAGGGGCTCTTTAGCGTCTCGGTCGGGTCCGGCCAGTGCACGAAGTCAACCGTGTCAGCGTCAATGACTTGCTCGAGCGGAGGGACCTTGCGCGCGAAGGCGACGAAGTTGTACGAGTCCGCCGTTTCGTCCACGAGCCTCGCCACGCTCTTGCCGACGTCCGGCTCCATCGCGCCGGCCGTGGCCCACAGCAGGCCGTAAGCGAGGCAGCACCGACCCAGGTAGTCCATGGGCGTCAGGTTCGAGTGAGGGTGGTTGCCTCGGAGCGAGATCGGCACCCGGGCCGAGAGGTCCGAGAACAGGACCTCCGCGATGCCGCACGCGCGCTCCAGCGCGAGGTGCTCCGGGCCCGGCAGCGCCCCCGGCGGCAGGTTGCTGAACGTGCCTTCCACGACAGCCTCGGCGAGCAGCAGCGAGCTCTCGGTGAGAACGCCCGCGGCGTGCAGGCTCTGTATGAGGCTGAGGCGCGTCGCTCCGAGCGTTGCGGGTCCGTTGAGGCACACGACGGGCAGGCGCGAGAGTACCCCAGGGGTCATGATGCTGATTGAGTCAGTCTCGACGGCGATCCGCGCGACCGGGTGCGGCACGATGACCGACCCGTTGCTCAGCAACAGCGTGCCGATCTCCAGGAGCGGCAGCACCGCGTCGAGGCTCGCGCCGCCCCCGCCTCCGGCGTCCCTGTCGCCGGGGGCCTCAACCTCCACGGCGAAGGGGCTCCGCAGGGCCGCGGTCAGGCCGGCGGAGACGTCGCAGACGACGATACGGCTGATGATCGCGTCGCCCTTCTCGACACGGCCGGCGTCCTGCATCAGCGCGGACGACAGGACGCCGTGCTTCGAGGCCGCACCCCCGCCCCCACTGCCCTCCACCGACCCGCCACGCATGCCCAGGAGCTCGCCGTGGGACGACGCGTCCAGGAACACCTGGTCCACCGTCACCGCGGTCCCCCCCTGCTCGACCGTCAGCGCGTACCCCAGCGCCCGCAGGAGCGCCGACTTCCCAGACGACGGCGGGCCCACCACCATCATCGCGCCGCTAGACGAGTCCAGCGCCGCGCGCATCCGCTCCAGCGCAGCCACCACCTCCGCCTCGTGCGGCGCTACAGTCATGCCCTCCCGCTCAAGCCGCGCCAGGGCGGCCGCCACCCCTGCTTCGAATGTCGCCTCAGGCTCCTTGGCTTTCCCCCCTGCCGTCTTGTCGCCGGCCGCGGCACGGTCGCGCGCCTGCGCGGCCTGCAGTGTCCCGCCGGCGAGCGACGCCTGGCTCACGAGCGACCCGGCCCTCGAGAGGTGGTCCGGGCGGTCCTCCTCGATGCCGTCCGTGAACACATCCGCCACAAGCGTGCGGTACAAGTCCTCGTCTGACGTGCCCGCGAGGAAGGAGCCCCAGCTCAGCTCGAGGGCCTCGGAGGCCAGCTCCATCCCCGCGCTCCCGGCGGGGTACTTCGCCTGGCCGAGGGCCACGCAGGTGCGCGCCAGCAGCAGCATCATGGCGTCCCCGCGCGGGACATGCGGGCGCGTCGGGAGGTGCTCCGAGAGCAGCGCGACAGTCGCGCACAGCGTCCGCGCCGCGTCCTCTGCGTCGGTGACCACGAGGCTGAGCATGACTGCGTGCAGCAGCACACCAGAGTTGCCTGTGGTGAGACACATGCGCCGCGCGTTCCAGCCGACGTGGAGCATGACGCGCTCCGCGGCGGCCTCGCCCTCGCTGGAGCCGACGCCGATGAAGATCTGCGGCTCGAACTCCATCCCGTTGTCGAGCAGGCCGGGTCGCAGCGTCTCCGTCGTCTGACTGACGGCGGCCGGCGACCGGAACGCAGTCACCAGGCCCTGCAGCTTCTGCGCGACGTGGGAGAGCACGCACGGCGCCAGACGCTCGACGTTCGCGAGGCACAACCACGCCCCCGACTCGATCGCCCCGACGGCCACGCGGCCCAGGGACTCGGCAGTGCCCAGCTGCACGGCACCGATGGCAACGCAGTAGCGCCCGAACGCGCCCGCGAGGGCCTTGACGGCCTCGGTTGCGCTCACGCTCCCCGGCGTCTCCTGCAGAGCGAGAACGTGGCCGTGCCCGAGCCCCGTGGCGACGGGCACGAGACCACCGAAGGCGTTGATGCCCATCAGCGGGCCGGGGTCGACGGCGGCGCCGGCGTACTCGAACCCGTATGGCAGGCTCGTGTCCAGCACGCGGACCGTCGTCTCCTTGTCCTGCTCGCCCATGTAGTACCGCACCTGGCGCACCCACTCCAGCGCCATGGGGGTGTCGGCCTGATTCGCCACCAGGCTGTCCGTCAGGTCCCGCCAGCGCAGCAGCACGCCGAGGCACGCGCGCGCCACCGCACCCGCGTGATCGCGGTCCTCCTCCTCCGCCGCCTCGACGTTGTCGTCCGCCTCCGTCCCCAGCACCCCGTCCTGCTTGGACCGCTCGCTCAGCTTCCCTCCCACAAACACCCCCTGCGCGGCGTTCAGCAGCAAGGCCTCGCGGTCCACTGAAGCCGCCTGAGACACCCCCGGGTCGTCGTCCAATCGGCTCCCCCGCGCCCGCGCGGCCGCTTCCGCGGCGGAGCGCACCGCGTCCACCGTCTGCTCTAGGTTGGCGAGCAGGACGTCTTGCGCGGCGAGGAGGGCCTTGGCGTCCTGCCCGGCCTGCTGCCGGACGAGAGCGCGGTGGACGAGGTCGGTGAAGACGCACTGCTGCGCGAGAGAGATGATTTGCAGCGGCGCCTGAGTCAAGTCCATGTCCAGCGAGTCGGTCGACGTGCTCTCCGACACGAGCGAGCGCCGCAGCGGCACCGCGTCCTCGACGATCGACCTCCGAAAGCCCGCGTCCTGGTCGTCCTCCTGGTTCGGGCGCGACAGCTGCACGACCGCACGCAGCAGCGTGGTGTGCAGGGTGCGGCGGATCTCCGACACCAGCGCGGTGAGCTGCTCGGCGACGCTCGCGGGGCTGTCGACCACGCAGCCGACGGGCTTCACGAGCTGCAGCACCTCGGCGTGCCCGGCCCCGCGCACCGCGGTCACCGCGCGTCCCGGCTCGAAGCGCTTGGAGGCCGCATAAGACCCCCCAGCTGGCGTGGACGAGTCCCCCGCGTTCGTGCCGCCTTCCGACCCGCGATCCGTCACGTCGAACAGCTCGACCGCCCCCGGGAGCACGCGTCGCACGACGTCGCGCGGAAGCTCGAGCGCGGAGCTCCCCGTTGAGATGATGTCGAGCAGGCGGTTGTCGTCGACGAAGTACAGGCGCGGGCAGTGCTCGCGCGCGTGCTCGAGGGCGCGCTCGAGACCCTCGTTGAGCGCGAGCACGCGCTGCAGGAGCGCCTTGCAGCGCGTGAGCGGGCCGCCGTCCATGCACGCCGAGGCCACGACGGGCTGCTCGCGCACCATGGCCATGATGTTGTGCCACTGCGCGCCGCAGTCCTGCACTTCGGCGTACTGGTCCGCCCCGGCGTCCGCCGACGCCGCGAACACCATCGCGACGATGCGGTACGCCTGCTGGAAGCGCCCCGTGGTCGCCAGCGAGTCCGCCACCTGACTCAGGGCGTGCTCGGTGCGCTGCAGGTCCTGCACGATGCCGCCGACGTGCGGACTCATGCTCGCGCTGTCGAGCTGCGTCTGGATGTTCTGCACCTGCTGGAGCAGGTCGGGGATGTTTGTGATGGTGGCCATGAGCGGTCCGGACGTCGCCGCGCCGAACGGGGCGCCGCCGCGCACGTCCTTCGGCCGCGCAGGCTCCGCGATCTCCAGCCGGAGGCGGTTCCACTCCCCGCGCAGCCGCATCAGCTCGCCCTGCAGCTCGGCCTCGCGTGACGCCGTGATCCACAGTTGCTGCAGCGCCTGCTGCCCCGCGAGGTGCCAGCTCAGCAGGCGCGTCACCGCCAGCAGGGACGTCGCGAAGTCCGTCACGGTCAGCGGCGGTCGGTAGCGGTGCTGCACCGGGGCTGGCGCAGTGCTGCTCGCCGCTGAGTCTGACCGCGGGAGCCCCCGGCCCGCCAGCGACGACGGCGCTTTGGGGATTTCGGCCTTGCGAACTGCGCGCAGTGCAGTGATCTCGAACCCACTTCTCGCCGGCTCCAGCTGCTCCGCACGCGCACCGTGCATTGACTCCGCAGCGCTGTCGGGCCTCTCCGGCGACTCCGCACGCGCACCGTGCATCGACTGCGCGGCGCTGTCGGGCCTCTCCGGCGACTCCGCACGCGCACCGTGCATCGACTGCGCGGCGCTCAGCACTGCGGGGCTCTGCGGCCGGCTCTGCACCGGGCTCTGCGCGCTCGCAGGGGACTCTGGGCGCGACTCGGCGACGTCCTCCTTGATCGCGTCCTCGAGCTGCATGACCAGATCCTGGCCGAGGATCTGCAGCAGGCGCGTCCGGTGCCGCGGGCGCAGCGAGCTGCTGCACAGGATGCGCGCCTGCTTGCACGCCGCCTTCCACCACTCCACCTCGACGCTCTTCTCCTTCGCCATGTTGTGCTCGTCCTGCGTCACCAGCGTCAGGTCCGTCAGCGAGTCCAGGCCGTCCCCCGGCGCGACTTCCCGCTCGAGTATTGGGGCCAGGGCGGCGTCCAGCGCCTCGACGCGCTCCTGGATCGACGCCTCGTTCGGGAGGTCCGTCCCGCCCGTCTCCGTCGTGCGCATCGTGTCGAGGAAGAAGTCCCAGGATCGCAGCGCCGTCCACAGCTTCGTCTTCTCCTCCAGGGCGCGGAACACCGCCTTGATGGTCACCGCCACGCCCTCCACCTCGGCCCCGCCGAGACGGTCCTCGTGCTTCCGCAGCGTCGTGATCGCGTCGTCGAGCTTGAGCAGGTCGATCTCCATGCGGTCGATCTCCATCAGCGCCGCGTGCGGCCGCGTGGCCGACGACGCCAGCGCGCCCATGCGCGCCCGCGTCAGCAGCGACATCGCGGCGTGCTCCTTGTCCTGCGCCGCCTGCGCCAGGCTCTGGTGCGCCATCGCCTTGAACCCATCGACGAAGTCCTGCGCGTCCCGCGACGTCGCCTCGAACTCCGTGAACGCCGCGCGCGCCTCCGCCCACTCGGCCAACACGTCCCCGGTGGTCTGCGCCGGGCCGGGCCCGCTGAGCCGCTTCAGCAGCGCGTCCCCGCGCACCCGCTGCTTCTCGCCCGCCGCCTTCGCCCGCGCCTTCTCCTCGAGCATCGCCGACAGGTCGTCGGACGCGAACAGGCGCTCTGCCTCCTGCAGGCCCTTCGCCAGGTCCTCGAGGCGCGCGCGGGCCGACCCGGTCGGCTCGAGGTACGGCGCGAGGTCCGTCATGTAGGACAGGAAGTGCTCCATCTCGCTCGGGCGGTCCTTGAGCAGCGCGGTCGCGTCCGAGGCCGCCGCGATCAGTTCGCGGCACTGCTTGCTGATGAACCGCGCCACGAGGTCCGCGAGGCCGTCCACGACGCGCGTGGCCGCGGGGAGGAACTTGTCGCGCACGTCCTGCACGTCGAGGTGGATCAGCCCGGACCGCACCACCGTCGTCGCGTCCGCCAGCTTGGTCTGCCAGTCTTTCATCGACTCCATGTCTTCCTGGAAGGCCTTGAGGGACGTCTTGTCCACGTACCAGTGCTCGCTCCACCCGACCGCGAACCGGTGGCGGTCCGGGCCCTGCTCGAAGTAGAACGCGGTGTCGGGGTGCAGCACGGCGCCGCGGAAGTCCCGCCGCGCGCCCTTGACCACCGCGCGCACGTAGTTCTCGGGGTCCTCGCCCTGGCTCACCAGGATGCGCCGCACGGTCGGGAGGTTCTGCGGCGGCCCGCCCGAGCTGTGCCACTCCGTGTACGGCACCACCTGCTTGATGGCCACCAGCCGCGGAAACCCCGTCACCAGCGCGTTGACGCTGGCCACGAGGTGCTCGAAGTGCAGCTCCAGCGTCGACACGCGCGGTACGAGCTCCAGGACCTTGCGTGCATCTGCCGGGGCCGCCTGATTGTCTGCAACGCGGCGAACGGGCGGAAACGAGTTAGGGTGCGGACGTGATGGGGGGGGGGGTGTTGCGCAGTGCGTCGGACGGGAAGGGCGTATGGTGCCCTGCGCGTGGGGCGCGCAGCGGCGCACCTTTGCCGTCGACGCCCAGCATGGACTGCCGCAGCTGCCGCCGCTGCGCCGCGAACTTGCGCTGTTCCTCGAGGGAGATTTGGCCTGGCTGGCGAAAGCGCCCCGTGAGCGATTTGCTCTGCACCTCGGGCTTCTCCTCCTCCTCCTCGACGACCTGCGCCCTGACGAGCACGAGGCCCTGGACGCGCAGCAGCTGGCTCGTGAACGTCGTCACCGCGGTGGTCGCCAGCTGCAGCATGTTTTGCAGCATCAGCTGGTCTACCAGCCGCACGGCGCGCCACAGCTTTTCCTCGCGCGTCTGCGCCTCGGCCAGGAGCCGCGAGCGGTGCTCCCCACCGTCCTTGATCGCGCTCAGCGACTTGTCCCGCCACGTCAGTTGCGCGCCCCATGCGTCAGCCTTGGGCTTGCGCTCCTCCGCCGCGCACTGCGCGCGCACCTCCTCCACCTCCGTCGCGATCGCCCGGCCCATCGCGGCCGTCTCGTTCACCACCGTCTGCACCAGGTGGCTCATCGCGTCCGTCGCGCCGCGAATCGCCCCCTCCCGGAACTTGAGCGTGGCCTCAATCTGGGCGGGCAGAGCCGTCTTGTCGATCGCGGTGAGCGCGCCCAGGATGCCCAGCTCCTTCACGCCGGGCTTCCAGCTCCGCAGCTCCTGCGGCGGCACCACCCACGGGTTCCAGGGCCGCTGCGTCCACTTGCCCGTGCGCGAGTCCCGCTCCCACCGCTTCTCCGCCTGGTTGGCGTGCATCTCCGCGATCGCGGCGGCCGCGGCGCGGATGTGCGGGCCCAGCTGCGGGTGCCCCTGGAGCCACTGCGTCGACAGCCGGCGGCGGGCGTTCTCCAGCGCCGAGCTCCGCACGTTGTGCCGCCAGCGCTTGAAGGCCTTGAGAAGCCGAAACGACGTGAAGAACTTCATCCGCTTGATCATGCTGAACACCGCGCGGTCCTGCAGCCACTCGGGGAGCTCCTGCGACGACGCCTCGTCGCCGTCCACCACGTGCGTCACGCCCGTCAGGCTGATTGTGAAGTAGTTGTCCGCGCGCGCCTCCTCGCGCGGGACGACCACCAGGCTGTACGGCTCCCACGACAGCGTCACCTTCGGGTCCTCCGCGAAGTTCGCGTACAGCAGCAGCCCCTCCTTCGCCTTCCCGCGCATGAAGTACGTCACCGCCTCGGCGCCCGTGGTGATCCCGGGCGGCACCGTGTGGTCCAGGCCGTAGCGCATCGTGCTGATCTCCGCCGCCCCGCGGATCACGTCGCGGATGTGCCCGCCCTGGGCCTTGGCCGCCGGGCGCCGCCCCGTGAGCGTGCCGACCGTGAGGTGCTGTGCGCCGCGCGTGGGCCCACGCAGGCCGTCGCTGAAGTCGATCTCGCGCGCGACGACCGAGTTGAGCTCCGCGACGCCGCGGTCCGGCGGGACGATACCGGCGTCCTCGAGCGCGACGCCGAGGCGCGGGCGCGGCGACGGCGGCGGCAGCTGGTACGTGTCGACGTCGGCGCTGACGGTGGTCGGCCCGAGCTGGGGAGGCGAGCCAGCGAGCACGGCCTCCGCGTTCTTCGCGTGGACCAGGCTGCTCGGGAACGTCGTGCGCGGCGGCCCTCGCGAGGACGACTGGGCGAACGACCGCGCGCCGAAGAGCCGGGACATGGACGACGAGTGCAGGGGCTGGGTCCTGGCGCGGTCAGGACGCGCGGCGTCCGCGGCGGAGTGCGATGCCGCTAGATCCATAGATATCTCCGTGGCCACGCGCGCCCGCCTGCGGTCCGTTCCGTCGCCCTGGAGGAGCGCGCGGACCTTGGCATTCGCAACTTGACCAAACGCGTCGGTCTCACCGCCCCGCGCGCTGGCCTGGCGCTGAGCCGGCGCCCTCGAGCGCTTGCCCTGCCGCGACGCCACAGACGTGCGACTGTGCACCGGCGGCACCCCATGTGCGGACGGCGGGCGGCCCTCGCGTTCAGCGTGCACTTGGGCCTCGGGGCGCCGGGGCGGTGCGGGCCCACCCGCGGCGCTGTCCACGGACTGCAGAGAGCGGAGAGTATCGTGAGGTGTTGCACAGGGCGCCAGCGCACTCAACACGTCCCGAGCTTAGCCCGCGGGAGAGGCATGCAGGTGCTACGCCCATGAAGACAGAGTGGACGTCCCCAGGCGCGCCTGGGCCTCCTGGCGGGAGCAAGCCGCCCGGAAACGCCAGAGTACGCATGATGTATCACGCAGAGGGCAAAGAGAGGCGCGGAGATCCGCGGGGCAGCGTCCGGGCGCGGCCTGAAGGCCAATTCGCACAGCACGGTGCGGGCGTGACGGTCGCAGGGCGCGGGCGAGCCTCACCAGCACCGCCGCGAGGTCCTCCCGGAGGTTTGACATCGGCCCTGCTTCCAAACCTATCTCCAGCCCATGGTCCGTGTTGCTCCCCGACTACGCTGCATGTACTGCTCGGGCGGCGCAGTTGCCCCGCTGGCGCGCGCACCGGTCCACACAAGTGGCTGGACCTCGCTGTCTAGCCGCGAACAATCGCTTGCGCGTTCGAACGGAGGCAGCTACCCGCGGCTGAACGCTCACGGCTGCGAAACGAGTGATGAGTCGATCCTTTTGCGCACCCACGCCGTCCGGCGTGCTCTGTCGCGCCCCAGCAGGTACCAGACGGTACTTTCCGGCGAACGGCCGCCCGCAGGCGCAATGTTGCGGAGCGTGCGGCGCCGGTCTGACCGGGTCCGCAAGGTCAGACACAGCAGCAAAAGTGCACCTCGTCACGTCGCCTCCGCCGGCAGCCTGCTCAGAGCACCGTGGGCGACGTGACGGGGCGTGCGGCAGCCGCGCGGGGCGGCGCTCGGCGGTACAATGCTGCGCCACCAGCACGTGCTGTGCTGCGCCCGCGGCCCAGGTGAACGCCGCCGACGTCGCGGCCCCGACGGCGCGTCGCGTATGCTCGATGTCACATGCGATCGGTAGTGGTTTTGCGCCGCTGCTACGCGGAGCCGCAAAGACGAGGGGGGGGGTGTTTTGCGACGACTGAGTCAGTCCCACCAGTAGCTGACGGAGAACGACGGCGACAGCGACCGCACGTAGTGCCACCACTTCGGCGGCACGTAGAGCATCTCGCCCGGCCCGATCACGCACTCCTGGAACGACGCCCCTGACAGCAGCGGGAACTCCCCCGCGTCGGGGCGGTCCAGGTCGACCCGGGACGTGTTGGTGTGCAAGCCGGACGGGTGCGGGTACAGCGCGTCGGACTGGTCCGGGCTGTACAGCCGCACGTACTTGCGCCCGACCACCTGACACAGCAGGTTGTGGAAGGGGGGGTCGTAGTGGAGGGGTGTCACGGTCCCGCCCGGCCCGAGCCACGCGTTCACCGCGCGCACCTCGCCCTCGCCCAGGGAGCAGTAGTCCGGCGTGGCGACGTCGCGCGCCAGCGCCGGCACGTGGTCGAAGAGGGTGTATTGCGCCAGGTACAACTTCTCACCCCCCCCCGCGCCCCCGCCGTGAATGTGCCGCAGGAGGTCGCGCACGGGCATCAGCCGCGTCGCGAACGTCTCCGACATGTAGTTCCCGCGCTCGACGGGCACCGTCCTCAGCCCCGCGACCCCGTCCAGGTACGATGGGTCGCGCCACCGTGTCAGCGCCGGCCAGTGGTCCATCGCGCCTCGGATCACCACGGGCACCCCGGGGGCCATGTACGCCGTCAGGAACGTCTCGAGCGACGGCGCAGGCGCCGCTGGCACGGGGCTGCCGCGTGCGCTGTCAAAGGACCCCGGGGGGAGTGCGGGAGCGTCGTCGTCGTCGTCGTCCGCGCGCGCGGCCCCGCCGGCTTCATCCAGGTCCGGCGACCGCGGACGCTTGCGCCCCGCCGACGTCTCGGAGGCGGGTCCGGGCTCCGAGGTGTGCGCCGCGGCCCGGTCCTGCGCAGTCGCCGCCAGCCGGTCGACCAGAGGGCGCGCCGCTGGCCCGCCGAGCATCGTGGCCATGTCGCATTCCTTGAGCATGGCCGTCCAGGGCCCCGCGCCCTCGTCCTGGCGTCGCGGCGGCAGCGCGCACCACGCGGCGAGCTTCAGGCACGTCGCGAGGGAGAAGAGGTCGCGCCACTGCTCGGCGACGGTGCTCCACTGGCCGGTGTGGAGGCGCTGGTGCGCGTACTCGCACAGGACGTCGGCGTACGTCATCGCTCGCGACTCAGGCGACGTTGGCGGCACAGGAGCGTCGGCGGGGAAGGACGCGGCAGGCGGGGGCAGCTCGCACAGCAGCGCGACGCACCGCTGCAGGATGTCCGCGACGACGGGCTCGCCGAGGGTCTCCGCAATGCCAGAGTGGAGCGCGTCGTACACCGCGCGGCCCTCGGGCCCGGCCAGGTACTGCTGCACGGCACTCAGCATGGAGGCGCGCCCGGCCGCGGGGCCCTCCGCGTCGGGCACGGCCTGGTCCGACATGGGCGGAACTAATGGTGGGTCGCTCGGGTGATGGGGCCGGGAGCGCGGCGTGCTGTGCTACGCTTGCGGCGCTGGCGTTTCGCCCAGCAGGATGGGCCTGAGTTCTCCGAAGTCCTCCATCTCTTGCACGTCGTCGCACGATCCAACGAACTTCCCGTCTACGTGTAGCTGCGGCAGCACGGAGTTCCCGTCGCTCGCCAGCAGCATCTCGCTGCGCCGGTGCGGCGTCTGTGTGAGGTCCACCTGCACGGCGCGGAGACGAGCGCCTCGCCGCCGTTGCAGCGCGCTCACGCACCCAAAGCACGCGCCGCCCGCGTCGCAGCACGCCGCCGGCGCCGCAGCACGCCGCGCCGGAGGCAACCGACCTGGGTAACAAGGCAACCTCCGGCGTGCAGCGCGTCGACGGACGCGGCCCGCGATGCGACGGCGCGGCGGGCGGTTGGACGCGAGGCAGACCGTCCAGCGATGGCACGTGACCGGCCCGCGCGCACCGTTTCGTACTCGATGCCGATCTTGAGTGCCAGGGCAGCCAACAGGGCGCCGAGACGCTCCACGTCGGCGCGAATCTTGTGCGTGGTCGGGAGCGACGTTGTGTACACGATGATCTTGGGCGACGCCCGGGGCATCGTCGTCCCGCAGCGGCCGGGACGCTCCGGGGCGATCTCCTCACGATCGATGGAGCACCGCAGGTGGCTCACTCCGCTCATCGAGCCCCCGCAAAACCACCGCCTGCGCTCCCTCGCCCGCGGGCGCGTTCCGACGCTGTGCGCGCCGCTGGAGCGTCGCGGGCAGAAATGCGCGGCGCACACTTGCGTGAGGGGCCTCTGACGCCTGTAAATAGGTCCCGGCCTCAGAAGCGGCCCGCGCCTCGAAGGTGCGGCGCCGGCGCCGCATGGAGGGACATTGTCGAGCTGGGCACAGGTGGTGCGGAGCTGTTGGATCGCGTGTTGGAGCCGTGCGCGACCCAGTGGGAGTGAGACCTGATGGCCGCAGCCCTCCGTGGCGCGCGCTCGGGCCGCGCCATAGGGGCTCTCGCCCGCCGCATCGCCGACGAAGAAGCCATGGCGGTGCCTTCGTCAGGCGGTGCCTGGCAGGCCGGAGCTGCCTGCTCTCCCTCACCTGCAGCACGGCCCGCCTCGCGCGAGACCCGGCGCGGCCCCGCCGCCGCCGCGCAGCCACAGAGACGGAGTACCCATTCGCACGCGGCATCGGCGACTGCGGATTCCGCTGTTTTCGCACTCGGCCCAGTCCGTGTCCGGCTGTTTGGCTCAGACGCGGGGCAGTTACGCGTGATGCACCCGGAGGAATTCCCCGAGGGCGAGTTCAACAAGGTCGCGGACCACACGCTCGAGCAGCTCGACGAGGACATCGAGATCTTCGTGGAAGAGCACGTGCGCCGCCCCCGCGCGCCCCACCAACAACCCTGTCCCTCCTCAACCCCGTCCCCGGCACCGCGCCCGCGCAGCGGTCCCCTCAGCGGCGCCGCGCCGACGGAGCCCACGCGCCCCGCGCCGCACGTGCAGGGCGGCGACGACTGCGACGTCAACTTCGGGCAAGGCGTCCTCACTGTCAACCTGGGCAGCAGGGGCACGTACGTGTTGAACAAGCAGGGGCCCAACCGGCAGATATGGACGTCGTCGCCCGTCAGCGGGCCGCTGCGGTTCGACTACGCCGGGAACGGGCGCTGGGTGTACGCGAGGGACGGCCGGGAGCTGCACGCGCTCCTGGAAACGGAGCTGTCGGACGCGTTCGGGGTGCGGCTGGAGCTGCAGAGGTGACGGGCGGCGCGGGCGCGGCGGGGGCGTCGCGTGTGAGCTTCGAGCGGCGGGGCGAGCGCGTTGCGGCGGCGCTGGTGTAGTCACAGTGATGTGCGGTGCTGGGGAGCGATGCTGTGCGCGGAGGGAGCATGGCCCGTGGGGCGTTGCGTGCGCGGCGTCGGCGCGCCTGTCCCTCGGGCCTCCCGTATGCCGGGGTCGCTGGCGAGGCTGACTCGGGCACCCGCTTTCGCGTGCCTGTGTGGCGCGCTCGTGCGAGGGCTCAAACGCCCCGCGGACGCGAATGCCTGCGTTGCAGACCGCCCGCAGTCGTAGTGGGCGGCGTGCGGAGTCAGCGCCCACATTCCTTCTCGCGCCATTTTGGCGGAAGTGGCGTGTCGCCCTGACAGTTGTGTGTTGCCCACGGGGTGGGTCGCGAACCGACCCCACCGGCGCAGATGTACTCCGTGTCCCGGTGCGCCGCGTCACCAAGGTGGCGAGGAGGTCGGTGGGGCTCGCAGGCACCCCGCACGGCCCGCCAACATGCCCGTGCTGCGGGAGGTGCTGGTTGGCAGCGGCCCGGACAAGGGGCGCGACGTGGAGCTGCCCGGCGAGCGAGACGTGCGGCCCGCGGAATTCACGTGTCGGAGTGGGAGCGAGTCCGGTGAGGGCGCGTGCTCTGACGCGAGCCACACGCTGTACTTCGAGATGGCGCGCAGCTGAGCCCGGCAACGTTGGGGTCTCGCCGCGCGGCGCTCGTGACGCGAGGCTCACGGACTGCGACGCGTTGCTGCGCTGCAGGATGTGTGGTGTTTCAGGGGCCCACGCCGGGCGACCAGAGGACGCTGTTCTGGTCGCGGAGGGCGAGAGGCGAGATGGAGCTGCTGGAAACGAGCTCGCTGTGGCCGTCGCTGCGAGGGAGCTCGGTCGTCCTGCGTGCCGCGGACGGCATGACGCCGTTCATGGCCGTGGATGTGCGCGCGCAGAGTGCGGGGGGCGAGGCGCTGCGGCTGTACGTGCTCACAGGCGCCGGCGTGTGTTGGTCCATCCCCGCTCTCTTCCCCCGCGAGGCCGATCCGCGCAGCTCGAGCAGGCCGGTAGAAAGCCCAGGGCGTGATTGGACGAGGGCCTGGCCGCAGGATCTCCAGGGACGCTTCACCAGCCCGGCGGAGGAGCGAGAGCAGTCCACGCCGCAGGCGGCGATCGCGAATTTGGCTGTCGAGCACGCGACGCGCCGTCTCCTCATCCCGACAGTCGCGGCGCTCGCCGAGGTGTCGGGCATGGCGGTGTGCAGCGGGCGCGTGGTCCTCGCTGGCAACGCCCCGGACGGCGCGGGCGTCGTCGTCGCCATCCCGTGCGGCTACATCGACTCGGACCGCCCCACGGCTGGCGAACCGTTCTACGAGCTCCAGGTGAGCCACGACCCCTGCCCATCCCCACCGCTGCCTTCCATCCCATCCCTCGACAGCTGTGTTGCCGGGAGCCGGCACCCAGACGTCACAACGCTGCGCCAGCGCCTCGGCCGCGGTGCATGCGGCCCGCGGGCCGTCGCAGAAACGCAGGCGCTCACTCCCCCCGGACACCCCCCCCCCCGCAGCACTCGGAGTCCCTACCCCAGAGCATCTACAAGCGCATCTTCGGCGCGCCCGGCGGGCCGTCCGTGGCAGCGGTTGCGGCCCTGCCCACCGCGTCCCCCGTCCTCGCCGTCGTCCGTTCGTCCGGCGCGCTCGAGATATGGGACGTGGAGTTCAGCGACCGCCTCGCCAGCACGTCCACGCCGGCCTGCGACGGCGCCGTGCTCGTGTGCGAGGACGGGCGCGACGCGGCGCTTGTCGGGATCACGCACTCGCTTCCCGACGGGCGGTTCGCGGGCATGTCGCTGTACTGCGTCACGGCGGACGGCGGAGGCTCCACCGCGACGTCCGCGGGCATCGCGCAGAAGTGGCACTCCGCGGACGTGCGGGGGGAGGCAGTTGCGATCGCACGCGCCGGGCCCGGGCGGACCCCGGCCGTTGCGGTGCTGCTGCGGGCCGGCGACGTCCGCGTGTGGTCATCTGCGGACGCGCGCGCCCGCAGCGGAGACGTCGAGTTCGAGACGGTGCGCGAGCGCGCCGAGGAGGCCGTGTCGTGGGCGCGCGGGAGCGGTCCGAGGGCGGCAGTCGAGCGCGTGGCGGTGCGGGAGGCGACCTCGGACGAGGCAACTGCTATGGTGCTGGAATCCCTGTGCGCCGCTGGCGTACCCGCAGCGGCCGAGAGCGCGCGCCGTGTGGTGACCGTGGACCCGGAGCGCGGCGTGGACCCGGAGCGCGGCGTGGCCCCGCAGGCGGTACAGGACGCGTCGGTGCGGGCGTCGCTGGAGTGGCAGCAGGGTCATGTCGCTGTTGGCCTGGCGCGGGACCCGGCGGGGGCGGTCGTCGTTGGTCGCGCGGGCGGGATCCTCGGGATCGGCATTGCGAGCACGTCGGCGTACGGCGGCGCGGATTCGGGGCTTGCCGAGGCATGTTCCGTCATGGTCAAGTTGATTGGGCCGACACTGCGCGCTCGAGTGTCGGTGGGCGCGCTGGCAGGGCGGGACCTCGCGGGGCTCGTCGAGGACCTCGCAGCGTCGCTGACGCGCGGGCCGGAGCTCGTGGGGCTGAACCAGCGCGAGCGCGAGGAGGCGGGCAGGTGGCGGGCGCGCCTGCGTGTCCGTGTGCTGATGGCGGCGCGCAGGACCGTGGACAGCCTCGGCGGGTCCGCTGCGGCGACGGTACGGGCGCTGGCGATGCAGCTGCTGCCTACACGAGAGGGGACGCAGGAGCTGCGCCCCGGGGACGTCGATCCGCGGCAGAAACTGCTGGGTGCAGCAGCAGCGTCAGTGCTCGCAGAAGAGCGGGTGCACGAGGCGCTGGCGCTGGCCACCCTGCTGAAGCTGCTTCCGCGGACCGGCGGCGACGACGGCATCGCGGAGGTCTATCCGGACGTCCTCGGCGTCCTGCAGCGCCTGCTGGTCGTGCGGTGGGTGCTACGCCTGCGCTCCGGCGGTGCTGCGGCTCCGGACATCGATGCGCGGCCCCGCGGCCAGAGCCCGCTGACGGCGTCCGTTGGCGCTCGTGCAAGCCCTGCGCGAGCGCTCCGTGGGACGCCGCCGCTGTGGGAGCTGTTGGAGGCGGTGGGGGAGGGGGGGGTGCTGCACGTGCCGCGCGAAGGGGTCTCGGCGACGGCGCTCGGCCGCGCAGTGTGCGCGGCGTTCGTGTCTCTCGGCGACGATCTCCCGGGCATGTTGTCGTCGCTGTCCGTCGGCCTCCTGCGCAAACGGCCTGAGGACGCCACGCGTGGTTGGTTGAGTCAGCTCGCCGCGCTCGGAGCCCCGGGCAGCGCGTCGAAGAGCGAGCCCGCGCTGCTGCTCGCCAACGCCCTCGGCATGCTCGGCACCGTCCAGCGCCACGGCTCGGCCAGCAAGGCAACAGACCTGATGCTGCGTGCTGCTCGCAGCGCTGCAGCCACGGCCACCCAGGGCGACCGAGCCGCGCTGGACCGCTTCCTCGACCTGCTCAAGTGCCTAGTAGGCAGCCATGCGCGCCTCGCCGACGACCTCGCGGAGGCACGAATCTTGCTGGAGCTGTTTGAGCACGTTCGCTATCTTGGCATGGCGGTGGTGTTCTCTCCGCTTCTCGACGCCGCGCTGCAGGCGGCGCTCGCTCACAGCGCGGACAGCGAGGACGCGCGGACGCTGGCTTCGACCGTGTGGGCGCGGCGCTTCGCGGTGGCGCTGGCGGACTGCGACTACGCGTCCGCGTACGCCAGCATCGTGTGCGCGCCCGGGTGGGTGAGCGGCGCAGCGCGGGACTGCCTCGAGGACCTCGTGCATCAAATGCTGTCGCGTGGGCTCGTCGAGGAGGTCTGCGGACTGCCTTGGGCGGGAACGCTGCCTTGCTCCCAGCCAGGCCAGACGCTGTGCACAGCCGCTCAAGTCGCCGACGTGCTCGCGCGGAGGGCGGAGCACGCGTCGGTTGCGGCCTCCAAGTGCCGCTACCTCACGCTCTACGCGTTTCACGCCACGCGCCACAACTTCCGCGCCGCAGCGGCCGCCATGCTCCAGTACGCACGGCGCCTGTCCGCGGAGGCCCCGGCGGGCGCGGAATCCGCCGACGAGGCCCACCAGGCCCTCATCACGTGCATCAACGCGCTCCACCTCGTGCCCGAGGAGCAGCGCTGGCTGCCACTGCCGCAAGAGTCCCCGGCAGACGCGGCTGTGGCCCAGCGGCAGCGACACCGCGACGCCGGCAGGGCGACCCGCTCGCTCGTGACGCTGTCGGAGCTAGAACAGGACGTTGCGCTCGCCCGCGCATGTCGCGACGCGACGCGACGCGGAGCGCAACTTCCGCTCAGCCGGGACCTGTCGCAGGTGGTTGAGCGCCTCGTGCAACTCCGGGACTTCGCGGCGGCGACGGACCTGATCTGCGGTGCCGCGCGAGCCGTGCCACCTCGCGAGGACCCACAAGTGCTGCGCGGGCTCGCATGCAGGGCCGTCTCCGAGCTGGCGGAGGTCTGCGCAGAGCAGCAGCGCAACGCAACGCCTTCGCGTGCGGCTGCACCACGGAAGGCCTGGCACCAGCTGCGCGTATCGATTGAGTCTCTGCGGGGCGCTGCGCCGGCGCTCGACGTGGTCGCGGCGGCTGCGGACGCAGTGCTGGGCAGCGGCTCATTGGGTTCGGCACACAAGTGGCCAGTTGCCTTGCCTCGCTGGCTGCGGGACATGCTGGTCAGCCCGCAGCGCGGCACGGCGGGCTTCGCTGGCCCTGGGCACGACCCTGCTGCTCTTCTGCGGCTGCTGCTGCGGCAAGGGATGCTTGCAGATGCCGCAGAGGTGGCGCTCGAGTGCTTGCGTGCGGCGCACTGGGCGCTGGACCAGCCTCACGCTGCGGACCACGCTGGCGCGCAGTGGGTGCCGTACGACTTGCTCGCCGAGCTCGCAGGCAGGCTGGAGGAGGCGGGAGAAAGGAAGCTGCGGAGAGCTCTGCTAATGGCCTTGGTCGATCGGGGCGACCAGCTTGCCGTGTTCCGCGCCCAGGGCGTCGGACGGGGATGGTAGGGGGCGCTGTGATGCAGCATCAGCGCGCCGTGGCATGAATGACTGACGACGTCGCGTCAACAGAAAACCTCAGAGGGTTTTGAATGCGCTCGCAGCTTGCAAAGGAAGTGTTCGACACACCCGCGCAGGACACGCAACGTGCAGAGGCCCATGGGCCGCTGGCAAACGAGCCTGGGCGTCGAGACGGTCGTGGGACTGATTCGTGTTACAGTACAGTATTACTGAGTCAGCACTGTCTGTCTAGCCGTGCGGGCATCCGCACAGTTGCGACGTGAAGACGTCCCCCTGATCTAGGGGGGAAAAGGGGGGGGAGGGAAGGCTGGTGGGCCGGGAGGATGGCTGCGGCGTTGTGGTGGTCAACGGGCCTTAGAGGGAATTTAGGGGTGGGGTGGGACGGGGGGGAACCAAGGGGGCGGCGATGACTCGTGCCCGCCGAGAAGAATGCGCCCAGCGCGAATGCATGACCGTCATCCTCATGGTGTCACGCATCCACGGAGGGGTTGCGGGCGACGGAGCTGGGGCGGCAGGTTGCGCCTCCCACCTTGCGAGCGTCACGGCGTCAAGCCTGCGCGGCTGCCGAGCCCCGGAGGACCCGCGCGCGCGCCGCGCCGTGCAGTGAGCGCGTGCTTACTTCCCCTTCTTGCTCGACGGGATCATCTTCTCCTTCTTGGAGCCCGACGCCACCTTGGCAGCAAGGTTGCCTCCTCCGGCCGCGGGCGCCGCGCCGCCGTCCCCGCCCTCCGCCTCGGCCTTCTTCGCGCCTCGCGTGAACACGCGCTTGAGGAACCTCTTCCACTTGGGCGTGACCCGCTTCTTCCGGTTCGCGTGGCTGTCGCGGATCTTGGCCAAGAGCTCGTCCACCCCGCTGGCCTTGGGCACCAGGGTGAGCAGCCGCGACATGTGCTTGATCTCAAGCGCGTTGAGGTGGAAGTACGGCTTGGTGACGATGTAGATCGCCGCGGGGATCAGCAGGACCGTCAGCACGAAGAGAATCACGTGCAGGGTCTTCACCAACTCGAGCATCTCGAAGTCGTCTCCGACCGCAACCTGCATCTGCTTCATCGCGTTCACCAGGTCGTCGCGCCCGAAGTCGTACAGGAAGTACCACTGCGGGTTCCCGTCCACCAGTGCCAGGGTCGTGATGTCCGTGTACACCAGCGTGCGCGCCTTCTCGATGAATGCCGCCACCAGGTCGTTGATGCCGTTCTGCACGAGCGGCGCGTTCGGGTCCGTGGAGTTGATGCACGGAATCCACTGCGAGTAGCACCGCGGGGTGAACTGCAGGTCGCGCAGCTTGGGCGTCGAAACAACAAAGCCCTCGGGGATGAAGGGGGTCTCGCGGCCGACGACGAGGTCCAGGTGGCGCTCCTTGAGCAGGATCGATGCGTCAAGCAGCTGCGTGCGGATGCTCTCGATGGCGTCGCGCTGCTGCGTGTCGGTCAGGGCCTGGAAGATGCCCGTCTTGTGGATGAACTGGTTGGCGCGGACCGAGAGTTCCTGGCCGTAGAAGATGACGCGCACGCCCTCGTAGGACTCAAGGTGGGTCCACTGCGTCGCACGCAGGCGGTTGAGCGACGTCTTGCCCAGGGCGATCGACACGCCGATGATGACTGCAACCATGACGCCCCACGTCATCAGCGGGACGCAGAGCATGGTCAAGCGCCGGATGTGCGACTTGAAGTTGCCGCGGCGGCGGTGCAGCTGCGCCGTGGCCGCGCGCATGTCCGAGTCGTTGATGCGCACGTTGCAGCGAGCCATGCGGTTGAACGCGTTGCCGTCGTCCGAGTTGTCCTCCTTCTTCTTCTTTTCGGCCAAAGCTCTTTCTCGCGCGTCTTCATTCTCGCGCTCGCGCTCCTCCTCGCTGTCGATGTCGTCGTCGTCGTCCACGGTGATCTTCGCGCGGGCCAGTTCAATCACCAGCGAGCGAGGCATCGACAGGAACAGGGCACCGAGCTGGACCTTGCGCTGCCAGAGGCCCCAGACCATCTTGAAGACGACGCACACGGCGAGCGGCGTGAAGAAGCCGATTTCGATCGCCAGGAAGACCGTGGCGATGACGTTGACCTTGGCCAGGTTGTCCTCGGCGCGTGTGGTGTACAGGTCGATGACCTCCGCGAACGCCGGGCCGAGAATCGGCACGCCGTTCTCGATGATGAAGGTGAACTCGCGCGTCGTGTCCATCTTCGCCTTGTCCTCCGTCGAGAACGAGAGCAGATGCACTGCCATGGAGACGTACAGGCCGCCGAGGTCGTACAGAGTCATCTGCTCCGAGATGGTCGAGTTGACCTCGTGGTTGCGCGTCATGACGGTGATCGTGTGCATCTTGCCCACCCACAGATCGAGCAGCGGGCCCCTGAACTTGTCCGTCGCGGCAACCGAGTCCTCGTAGATCTTCTCCTGGATCCTGGCCAGCGCAGTGGCGTCGGTGTACATGAAGACCTCCGTCTGGTTCAGGTTGCGCGTCGGGTCTGTCAGCATCGTCTGGTACGACACGCCCGAGTACACGGCCATGAGCACGCGGGTGTTGTAAGCAACCTGCACCGTACGCGTCATCATCTCGCCGCAGAGGTTGACCGACTGAAGCAGCGTCGTGTGCTGGTCGAGGAACATGATCATGGTGCCGAAGCACGCCGAGTGCGCCGCCAGCAGCACGATTGCAAGCGCAATCATGTAGCGGCGGAGGGCAATCAGCGGCCAGCGCAGGGCCTCGCTCTCCAGCACCCGCACGAAGCGCTTCAGGCGGCGCGTCTTGCCAGCGCCGGACATGCCGCTCGTCATCGAGCCGGAGGCGATGGAGCCGCCGTCCGACAAGCTGGCATTGATGTCAGCGAGCTGCTGCTCCGTCAGCCCCGTGCCCTCGTTGCGCGCGTGCACGTTGGCGTCGTCGACCAGCAGGCGCGAACGCGTGGCGTGGGAACCGCCCGCGGACCGCGGAGGGGACGCGTTGCCGTCGCCTCCCTTGCCCTCCTGGAACTGCGCCCTCTTTGCACCCGTGCCCTCGAGCAGGCGCTTGGCCGCGGCGGCAGCGCCAGGGCCGCTCGCCTCCTTGACATCCTCCGCAACGGCGCGCTCCTCGGCGGCCGGGTCCTCCTCGACGGCAGCGCTGTGGCTGCGCGAATCGTCCTCCGACACGTGCGCGGCAACCTTGAGCTGGCGCTCCGACTCCTTCATCTGCCGCAGGGCCGCCTTCGTGAGCTTCATGTGCTTGCCCGACGGCCCCGCAGCGAGGCCGCCGCGGCGCGACGTCTGCCCCGACATGAGACCCGATGCCTTCTCGTCGCGCATCATCCACTCCAAGATGCGGCCCTCCTTCTCGGGGGTGAGCTCCACCGCGTCCGGGTCCTCGACGGACGGGCGCGCCGGCGTCCCCACGGCCTCGAGGTTCGCCCACACGTTGACGGCCTGCTTCATCTCGCTGCCACTCTTCCGGCTGTCCGGCTCGCCGAGCAGCCCCAGCGAGTCCTCGTCGCCGCCGCCGTGGCCCGACATCCCAGGAGCGAGCCCCGCCTCGCGCGCCGCGCCCTCGAACGCGGCCGTGAGCATGGCGACCTTGCTGCCCTCCTTCTCGACCTCCCGCGGCCTCAGGCGCGAGCCCTCACGCTGCAGCCCGCCGTGGCGACCGACGCCCGCCGACATACGCGCACCCGTCGAGATGCGCGCCTGGTCGAGCGCGACCTCCTTCTTCGACACCATCTGCTGCGGCGGCTTGCCCGACTTGCGGGGCTTGGCCGGGACCGACGACTTGAGCGGAGCCCCGATGTCCGTCCCGTACGGCAGGACGAGGACCATGAAGCGGTTGGGGTACAGCATGCGCTCCGCGACCTGCGTGGTGGCGCGGAACAGCAGCTCGTCCGCATGCGCCATGATGGTGTCCGTCTGCGGGAGCCCGACCAGCTGCGTCGCTGTCTGCTTCTTGATCCCGCCCGTCTTGGCGACGGGCGCCGTGGCGTCGGCGACGGCCGCGTTCGACTCCGCGACCAGGTCCTGGACCGTCGTGCACTCGAGCTCGGGCATCAGTTCGATCAGGCTCTTGCCCACCATGGTGTCGATCGTGCGACCGAACATGCAGTTGAAGAGGCCCACGCTGCCCAGGATCTCCAGGTTCGCCGTGACCTCGATCACCGACCAGATGTTGCTGAACTTCTGCAGGTTGAGCGTCACCGTCTGGCGATCCACGTCGGGGATCACGTCGAGGACGGCGGCCTTCTCGGTACCGTCGGCACAGATGACGCAGCAGCGGCGGTGCTGCAGGCGGTCGCCGGCCGTGCGCAGCCACTGCTTGACCAGCGCGCCCGGATCGCCGTCGACGGGCACGACCTCCTCCATGAAGCGGTCCACAACACCACCGGCGGTCCAGCCGAACGAGGCCGGGGTGGTGGACGAAGAGATGATGCGTCCGTCGGTGTCGACGATGAGCTGCATCACGCGGCGCAGACGCGCCTGCTCCGGCGTCATCGGCAGGCACCTCATCACGAATCTCTCCTCGCCAAGAGCAGAATTCCCAGACTGCATCAATTCCTAGGTGGTTGCGGGAGGCAAAGTACCATGAGTCTTGGCTCACGCTGCATCAGGAACATCGGAGCACAGCCAAAGGGGTAAGCAACCGCCGGGTGACGACGCACCTTGAAGTCGGTCTTCTGGAAATCGGCCTCCACCGGAACCACCTTGCCCTTGCGGTGCAACAGGTCTACAATGCCTCCGCGGGACTGCGGGCACTTGCCGATGCCACCCGTGCGCAGCCATGCGGAGAGCATCTGCCCGAACGGCTCCGGCATGATGGTAGATAGTTTGGCCCTCTTCAGCGTGGAGGCCGAGTGACCGAGCATGGCGGCCATGGCCGCGTTGCCACTGGTGATGTTGCCATTCGCGTCGACCGTCAGCATCGGCTGCTCCGTCGTGTCGCTGATCATCGTCACCACGACGACGGGCACGCGATCGGACCCCACGATCTTCGTCGTGAGATTCACGCGCCCCTGCGTCCCCATGCGGTGCTTGAAGATCACGTCGTCGGGGTGGTTGATAGGCGGCTCCTTGGGCGCGCTCTGAGTGGCCGTCTCCAAGATGGAACGCCAGCCCTCGTTGTGCGCCAGGAATGACTCGAAGGTGTTCCCGGCGATGTCCGTGTAGTCGTACCCGAACTCGTCGTAGAAGAGCTGGTTGGCGCAGATCAACACGCCGCCCTTCGTCATCCATACGCGCGACTCCGTGTGCTCCTCTAGCTGACGGAATACGCCCATGAAGCCGTCCTCGCCGCCCTGGGCGATCTTGGTCAGGGCGAGCTGCACGGGGAAGACAGAGCGGTCCTTCCGGCAGCCCACAACCTCGCGGACCGTGTTGATGACGTGGGAGACGCCCGAGTCCGCGTACGCCTTCATGTAGCCGTTGTGCTGCGCGGAGAAGGGGAGCGGCATCAGGCACGACACGTTGCGCGTCGCCAGCTCCTCCTGCTTGTACCCAAACAGCTTGCAGAGCATCTTGTTCACGAACTGAATCGTGCCCTCCGAGTTCACCACCACCACGGCGTCGAGCGTCTCGTCGACCGCGGACGACTTGCCAAACGCGCCGCCGGAGAAGATGTCCTCGGTGTCGGCGCGCAGGGCGCTGTTGGCGTCCTCGAGCTTGTCCGCCTCCGCGATGTACTGGTGCGCCAGCGTTTGCTTGCCCTGCACGTCCTCGAGGAACTGCGCGTACATGCGCAGGACCTTGACGTTGCGCGGGTAGCGTTCCAGCATCGCGCGGTAGTTGTGCTCCGCGCGGACCTCCACCTCCTCGATGCGGTTGAACGAGCCCGTCATGTGGTGCAGGCCGCAGTCGCGGCGCAGGCAGATGCCCCAGAACGCGTTCATCTCCGTCAGGACCAGGCGGTGCAGCTTCTTCAGGGCCTGCAGGTTGCGCTGGAGCTCCACGTACGACATCCAGTCCATGGCGCCGTCGCCAGCCGTGTTGTTCTCCTGGGTCTCGCGGAGCGAGAGCGACAGGCGGAAGACCAGGTAGCGCTCCGCGGCGCGCGGCATGAGCCCCTTGGCGCGCTCGAGGTGCCCGTGGGAGGCCTGGGTGTCGTCCAGGACGAAGGCGTGGAAGGCAGCGTCGAAGAGCGGCAAGATGGCCTTGTCCGGGAACTGCCCGCCGGCGTGCGTCAGCGCGGCCAGCACGCCCTCGATGTGCTCGGGGAGCGGCTCAACGCCCTTCTCCACGCCCCACGGGCGGATCACGCGCACCAAGGTGCCAAGCTCGTCCACGTCGATGAAGCGGTGCAGCCGCTTGGGCTCGAGGAGCGCCTTCGGAGCCACCTCCTTGAGCTCCTTGAACTTGTGCACGACGCGGAGCAGGTGCCGGCGCCGGGCGATGACCATGAGGAGGATCGCGAGGCCAAACACCACACAGCACGCCGACATGATCGCCGAGTACGTGCCCGACTTGCTGGAGTCGCCGCCGAGCAAGAAGTCGAAGATGCCCATCGCGAGGAAGGCGCCGGCGACCACGCCCTGGGAGTAGTTGGCAACGCGCCCCACGAAGGGGTACCGCCGGACGTGAATGTAGGCGTACCACGTCAGGCAGATCGTCACGAGCGCGGCCGCGAAGCGCTGGTCGAGGCCGACGAAGAGGTGGTAGAAGATGACGACGGCCACGCGCAGGATGCCCAGGAGCAGCGCGGTGGTCACCGAGCCCTGCGCCATGGGGAAGGGCCCCGTGGGGTCGAGCTCGACGTCCTTCAGGAGGATGATGCCGTAGTGGCCGATGTGGATCGTCAGGCCGATGATGGCCGCCACCGTGTGCAGCGCGTAGGCCCCGGAGAAGCACTTCGCCTCGTCCTCGCCGCCAATGTCGTGCCACTGCTGGTAGAGCGCAACCATCTTCGTGCCTGCGCGTGCGAGGCGGCGCGAGGGTTGCGCGTCGGACGGAGCCGCGGGGTGTGTGGGAGCGGGGGGCCGCCGGGGCCAGGGGCGGGCGCGGGGGGGGGGAACAAGGCGGGACGCACCTGTGAGCTTGCCTCTCCAGTCGCACGCGAGTGGGAGCATGTAGATGACCACGGCCGGGATGGCGAACGTGGTGAGCCAGGAGACCTCGAGCGAGCGCATGAGGTACTTCTCGGCCGGGTGGACGTGCTTGTTGTTGCGGGTGTTGTAAAACACGTGCAGCATCACGACGAAGGAGACGATGGTGAGGGTGAGCGCCGTGTACAGCAGCGCCTGCATCGTCACCCGGCCGTTCTCCCACGCGAGGATGCCGAGGGTGGGGCGCAGCGCCCACTGCCACCCCCTGCGCGAGCGGACGAGCGGTGCGGCCATGTTGTGCACTACGCCACCACGGGGCCACGCTCGAGCACCGCGAACCGCGGGCCGCGAGGCGGCGGAAAGCACGACTGCGGGCGGGGCGCAGCGGGCGGGCGGGCGGCGGGGGCGGGAAGCGCGGCGGGGGGCTCTGGGTGCGCGGTCAAACCCCGGGAGAGCATCCCAGTCGAGGCTCACCGGTTCTCATAGTCGAAGTCCCAGCCCCAGAAGGGACCGAGGAGGATGCCGATGAGCACGAGGGTCTGGTAGGCCCAGATCGTGATGTACGCCCTCCGCAGACCCTCCCACTTGAACCGCTCCACGCTGTTGAGATACCCGAAGATGTCATCCTGCGCGGAGACGGTCAACACGCGGGCGCAGGGTCGGGGCATGCCGCAGCGCGGAGCGGGGCGCGGCGTGCACCGCCGAGGCGCGCGTCTCGCGCAGGTGGGTGCGGAGGACGCGCGTCGCGGACGAAACGAGGGGGTCGCGGGCGGGTGCGCGCGGGGCGGCGGTGGTAGGCAGCGCAACCGCGCTGGCGGACGAGGGCGCGTTTCCGCGCAGGTGGCCGCGAAAACGTGCGCTTCGTGCGCGGATACGGCGGCGAGAGGCGTGGACTAGGTGCACGAGGGGCGCGGCGGGCGCGACTCCGGGGTGGGAGCGCGGGATCCGCGAGTCAAGGACTAGCAGCAGTTAGGGGGCGAGTCGGGGCCTGGGGCCGTGGAGGCGCGCTCGCGGGGAGTCGAGTGCGGGAGCTCACCAGCACTGTGCGGTTGCTGGTCAAGATGCCGCCGAACGCGATGTCCAGCGAGTTGTTGTCGTCGCCGCTGCCTGCGTCCGAGCCACGACTCGACGCCCCGAAGGACGTGTAGCTCCTCCCCGTGTACGAGCCCGAGGTCTCAGACATCGAGAGAAGCTTCTAGTTGTTAAGGTGGTGTTCCCACAGCGCGGCTTTGCGCGCGCACTCGCACCGTCGAACCTGCGCAGGTGTTGGTCAAAGCCGGCAGGTTGGACCACCGCTCTCGCGGCTCGACCGGGCACGAACGAGCGACGAACTCAACGCTCGCGCTGTCTTCATCATATGAACACTGCGCGGTCCGGAGGTCGCCTCGTAACTCGGCTCGAGCGGCGCGCACGCGAGAGGCAGCCAGCAGGGTGGTGGAGGGAGCCCGCTGCGCGTCGCTGCGAGCCGCAGGACGCCGCAACGTGGGCGCGTTCCCCCCCCGTATATGTGATTGATCTGCCTAGACTACGGGCGCGCGGGTAGGGGCAGCGTGCGCGCGGGACAGAGGGACCAGCATTGGTCGCCCTAACGGACGTGCGCCAGCAGGCTCGCGGGGGCAGCTTCGCGGGATCAAACGCGCCAGATGAGAATAGTCTAGTTAAGCTCTTCGCATTGCCGCGGGAGGAGGGGCGCCGTACCCTCTGCGTGCCGGGCTCTGATCACCGTCTGCTGTCGCAACTCTAGCTGGCGCCTGCAGGTGTTCCTTTCAGGCTTCGTGTGCCATGTTCCTGCAGGAACGGTCCAGGCAGTCGTGGTCGTGCCGATAGTGCCGCCGCCGGCGCGCCCGCAGCGCACAAGGCGCGCGGTCAACCGCCCTGGCCTCTCCTGCGGACCCCCCCGTCAGTTGACGACCGCGCCCCCGGTGCCGCCGAACGCCGCCGCCGCGATCGGACGCCGCGCGCACCTCCCCGCGAACTCAGACACCCCCGGCGGCACGCTCGTCGCGCCGCCGACGGCCCCGCGCCGGCGCCGCGCGCAGTCAAAGCCCCACCAGCCTCCAACGAGCGGGGGCCTGTCACCTCACCTGCTGCCCGCGGCCCGGCTCCGCCGCCGCCGCCGGCGTCACGATCACGACGCAGTCCCCGCGCACCAGGATCTGCTTCGGCCGCTTCGTGCGCCTCTCGAGCCGCCACCCCCACCGCACCCGGTCCCGCACCCCCGCCGCGCCGCCGGCCTGCACGGGCGGCGCCTCCCCGCCCTCCGGCGCGAGCCCGTACAGCTCCCGCAGCTCCCTGTCCTCGTCCTGCGTAGGGATCCGCGAGTCGCGCGCCCGCGCACCGTTTCGTTCGCGCGGCTCGGCGCGCAACGCAGAGCCTCGGCGGCCCACGATCAGGGTGAAATCGCTCTTGGGCGGCCCCGCGCGGCGCGCGCCGGGACGATGGCGCGCTGCGGGGCGGCGCGATGCGCTTTCGGGTTCGGTGCGGCCCACCTGCGCCGCGTCGCTCGCGTCCGGGCGCCCCGGCGTGGTGTAGCGGCGCGAGGTGCGCACACGCACAGTGGACACCTCCACCACGTCGCGCAAGACGAGGTTCATGTGCTTGTCGTACGCCACGACGCGGCCCATCGCGACGCCGCTCACGCCGCCTGCGTGCGAGAGGAGGCGGGCGTGGGTTCGGCCCGTGAGGTGCAGTAGGCAGGCGGTGGTGGAATGCGGAGTACACGCGTGCGGGCGGAGCGGGGCGCGGACCTGCGTGGCGGAGGACGACCTTGACCTTCGCGCCGGCCCGCTGGGCGGCGCGGAGGACGTCGAACGGGCCGGGGTGGGCGCAAACGTCCATGACGCGTTGCAGGAGGGGGGCGCGGAGGGCTTCCCTGGCCTCCCGCTGCTGCCGAACGCCGGTCCGCGCGAGCTGTTGCCTCTTGTGTTGCTCGCGGGCGGCCTGTGGGGCGGCGTGGGCGGGTTCCGGGTCGACGGTGCGGGCCCGAGCGCGCTGTTGTGCTCAGTGGCGGGCGCGTCCCGGGAACGCACCTTGCGCGCCTCGTCTCCGGTCGCGGATCTGTGCGGAATGCTCTCTGGGTGGTCCTCGGGTAGAAGAGATCGGCATTTGTGGAGGTTGTCGAGCAGGGGCGCCGAGGGGTCGGGCGGCTGGAGATTCGGCTCGTACAGCGCCCGCAGCGCATCGAACTCCCGCGAGAGGAAGTCCAGCGAATGGCCTGGAGAGCCTGCGCCCCTCCGCATTGTACCAGGGAGCAGACCTACAGCCCCTGCGAGGCTTTGCGGCAACAAGGAGTGTGCGTCCACTCGCACCCGACCGCCGAGGACGCACTCTGACGCAGTCTTGCCGTGAACACGGAGACCACGCTCTGCGCGACGTGCCGGCCCTGATTCCCCACCGTGCGGTGGCGCGAAGTGCCCCGAAACGACCACGTCAGTCCGACCTCCCGATGCTGGGACGAGGCCCGCGGACGCAGTGTCCGCTGGCTCAACGGGCTGGCTCGTGGGCGCGCGCTGGACTGCGCAGTCCGGGCTGTCGCGGCCGCCTTCCCACGCCTCGCTCGGCAGCCTCTGCGGGCGACCACCGGCATCGATGGCAGTGGTTGGAGCCCCGCGGGGGAGGGATGGGCAGGACGCTCACCGGGAATTTGCGTCCCAACTAGGGCGCTCGCATTCCAACGGCGGAAATCTGCTCCGGCCGGACGTTCTTCCGCGCGTCGTGGCGCACATCGGCCCCTCGGATGCATCCAGCCTTGCGCTCACTTCGCGCGCGGCCATGCGCGCCGTGCTGGAGGCGACGCATTTCGGCGCCCCCCTGCCGCTCTCAGACCAGATGTTGGCGGCACTCGGCGCGCGCCACGACCTGGGCGACGACCTGCCGCGCGGAACAGCCTTGGCAGTGAAGACCTCGCAGCGCCTGCAAGGCCTCGACACCGCCGCCTTCTCCAACGTCACGTAAGATCCATTCGCTCCCTGGGCGACTCGCCGCAGCTGGCCACATCGTCACGTCCGCAGCGGCGCCGGCGTCCCACGCTGCCCCCGGTCGCCATGGTGTGTGTGCAGGTCTATCACGATTTCCGCGCCCGTGGCCGTGGTGCGCCCGCTCGAGCAGGGCATCCCGCTGGACCGCATGCAGCGGTGCGGGTGGCGCCCCGCGGCCCTCCGGGCCCTCACCCTCGAGCGCGTCATGGTGTGGGCACACGCAGAGACGCTCCTGGAGCAGCTCTCGGTGATCACGAACCTCCACACGCTCGCGATCGTCATGACGGTGCTCATCACCGGCAACCCGTTGAACCTGAGTCAGGAGCTCGTGACCGGGCCAGAGGGGGGGGGGGCGCACAACCTCTCTGGCGCCTGGGGACGTGGCGGCGTCGAGCGCGCCCTGCTGCGGGCCAACGCGGCAGGGCTGCGGCGCCTTGTCATCAACTCGGTCATGCAGGATTCGGCGTCGAGCGAGAGGGCCAGGGACATCATGCAGTGCATCGCTTCGATGCCGCGCCTGGAGTCGCTGTCGCTGGGCGCGCGCTGCTCGCGGATGTTCGCCGCGCTCCCCACGACGATGCCGCGCCTCACGGAGCTGCACCTGGACACGCCGCCGCGGTCGCGCGACGGAACGTCGCACGTGAAGCTCGCTCTCGCTTGCGTCAAGGCGGCACGGGAGACCCTCCGGCGGCTCGCCCTGACGAACGTGTGCGACTGGCCTGCGGAGGACGACTTCAAGGACGCCCTCGAGGTGTGCAGGGAGCTCGAAGCCCTGCGCCTGGTCGCGAACCCGGCGCCCGCAGTCAGGGCGCGGGTGGCGAGTCACGCAGTGACAGCATGCTCAAGGGCGAAAAGTCTGCGGCGCCTGGTCCTACACAACATCCTCGAGGTACGACCGGCCGTTCCGGTCCGGCCGCGTCCTTCCAACCCACGGGCCACAATTCGCCGCTGCGACGTTGGCAGCTCCCGAGGACGGTCCTCCCAGTGCATCTGACCGAGACGCACTGCGTGTGCGTCCCGTTGCTCGTGCAGACCGACAAGGACGTGCTGCTGCTGGGGTCCCTGGGGAAGTTGGAGCATCTCACCATCCTCGACGCACACAGGGACCGCGCGCTCGAACAGAGCGCCCTGAAGCATCTGCCCAGCTTTCCGCACCTCCAGGGGCTCATGATCAGCTGGGTCAACGGGCCAACGCCCCGCATGGGGTGCCCGTGCGCGCACGACTTCGCTATGGGCGCGGCCTCGGGCGACGTCGACGCCGCACCTCCCCGCGTCGAGCTGCCGTCCGACCTCGTGGCGAAGGTTCCGGCTCTGCGCGAGCTCATCGTTCCGCACGCGCACCTCACGGTGGCAACGGCGGCGCAGCTGCGCACCTTGCCCCACCTGCGCACCCTCTCCGTCGCGGGCACGACGGACGGAACTTGCGAGGAGACGTGGCAGCTGGTGGCGCGATGCCCGAGGCTGCGCACCCTGCGTCTCTCGCTGCCGCCCGGACTCGGCGGACCCAGCATGCCAACAGATCCCCCTCCTGCTGACGCCGGGGGGGACTCTCTGCGTGCGGCTGCCGCCGCGAAAGCGCTCGGGTCCGCTCCGTCGCTGCGTCGCCTGGAGGTGGTCGTGCCGTGGCTGTACACGGAGTTGGCGGAGGAGTTGGGTCGCCTGCCGAAGCTGACACACTTAGCGCTGCTGTGCGTGGACTTGCTCGGCGCGCGCGGTGGGCCGGGGACGCCTCGGCTCGCGGCGTCGGAGGAGGCGCTGGGCAGGTGCTTGGACGCGCTCGCCGGGATCGACAGCCTGGAGCTGACCCTGCGCGTGAGGCAATTTGCCAAGCCAACCAACCCCCCATGGGCGCTGGAGTCCGAGCTCACGAACGACTCGTACTTCGGGCCGCGCGACCATGCGGCGACCGCGCCCAGCGCTGAAGAGATGATCTGTCCAGAGATGATGCAGGTCGTCCGCGAGGCCTTCCGCACTCAGCGCGAGGCCGGGCGCCAGTGGGCGGTCGGCACCCTGGCGTGGAGCGCGAAGAGCGTGTAGCGCTGCGCGAGCTGGCGACGGAGCACGTGCTGCCGAGCGCAGCGTCTGCGTGTGAGCCACGTGCGCGGTGCCGGATCCGATGCTGTCAGTCTCGCCGTCGCCGCGGGGCGCGTTTCTGCGTCGATGGAGCGCAGAATCAAACAAATCTTCAGGACAAGCTAGTTCAGCCTCCGGACAGCACGAATGCGCAACGCAGACCGCGTCCGACGCCTCCCCTGCCGCGCCACGCCCCGCTGACTCAGGGGGGGGCACAGCCACGGTGCACGCCGAACCGGGCCGCGGGGGAGCGGTGATTGCGGGGCGGGGCCGGAGGCGGGGGGCAGATGTCGACGATGACGAGGAAGGAGCACAGACAGCCGAGCAAGAGCAACCTTCACCGCAAGCGACGAAAACGCTGAGCGCCACGCACGCGACTGCGCCACCTGCACACTTGGTGCACCAGTGAGGTCGAGGTGCGTGTTGCCTTGCGACGTTCGCGTGCCAGTCCTCGCAGAATGGTGATGAATATGCCAGCTCGCCACGTGAATGGTCTTTCTTCGCGGCACGGGCTCCCCAAAGCGCTCCCTCGTGATGCTGTGCCTCGCACATGCTGGCCGCGTCCGGCGCGTCATGGACCGTCGCACAATTCTTCGTTGGGGATTGACCTGAACATGCATTCGCGTCCACCGCGCTCTGCAGACCGTGGGCTCCCTCCTCTCGCGCTCCGTGGGCCGCGCCGAGGCGCAGGCTTCGCGCCCGGGCGAGATGTCCGCCGTCGCGACCCGGACCTTCCCGGCCAGCGACGCTGCCGTCGCGCGCCTCGTCCGCCGCGCCGCCGACCTCGCCATCGACGAGGACCGCCGCCGCCGGGCCGCCGCGACGGCCCTGTACCAGGCCGCCCAGCGCGGGGACTCCGCGGCCCTGCGCCGGCTGCTGGCTGCGGGCGCGGACCCCGACGCCGGCAAGCCCGTGCAGGCGGGCAGCTGCGCGACCGTCCCGCCGCTGTGCGCAGCGGCGGCCCGCGGCCACACCGAGGCTATCCGCGTGCTGCTGGAGGCGGGGGCGTCACCAGAGGGGGCGACGCCGAACGGGGCGAGGGCGCTGCACCTCGCCGCGCGCAAGGGCCTGACGGAGGCGGTGCGGCTCTTGGTGGCGGCCGGCGCGGACACAGCGGCCGTGGACTTCAGCGACCACCAGCCGCTGTACTACGCGTGCACGGTGAACAAGCACGACACGGTGCGGGTGCTGGCGGAGGCCGGGGCGCCGACGGAGGCCGCGACGCCGGGCGGGCATCCTTCGGTGCCGGCGCTGCACGTGTGCGCGAAGAAGGGCCACGCGGCATCGGCGGGCGTGTTGCTCGCGTGCGGGGCGCACGTGGACGTGGACGACGGGAGAGGCATGTCGCCGCTGTACGTGGCGGCACGCGAGGTGCGTGCTAGCGACGCCCGCTGCTGCCGCTGCCCGCCTCGCTGCGTTGACAGCGTGAGCACAAACGGCCCGCTGACGGCCTTGGCGCCTCCCACCCACACGGACGTGTTGTGTTGTGTGCGCAGGGGCACCACCAGGTCGTCCAGCTGCTCGCCCAGTACGGCGCAAACGTCGATTGGTTCGTCGGGACGCAGTGGAACGCGCAGACCCCGTTGATGGCCGCGTGCATGGCCGTGTCGCCGCAGCCGAGGGGCACGAACGCGCACGCGCGCCGCCGGTTCGAGCAGACCGTCCTGGTCCTGGCTGACCTGGGCGCCGAGGGCGGCGGGAAGGCCATCGAGGCCTGCGCAGCCCGCGGAATGTTCACCGCGGTGCGGGTGCTCCTCGAGCGCGCGGCGGCGGGGACGCCTGGGTCGGCGTTCGTGCGAGAGATCGTCCGCAGCGTCCCGACGGCCATCCGGCACGTCGCGACCTGCTGGCACGTGTACTCGCAGGACGTGCTGGCCCGGCTGCTGGTGTTCCACTTCAACGTGGCGCCGGCGCTGGTCGCGGACCGCGGGAACGAGATGGCGCCGATCGCACACGCTCTGAGGCACGCGTGCTCGTTGGGACGGACCCCGGTGATCGAGGGGATCCTCGACGCGGTGACGGATGCTGGGCGCACCCTCCCGGTGCAGGACGGGATGGGTGCGCTGGCGGCGGCGTGCTCTGCGTGCCACCCGGCCGCGATCGGCGTGCTGCTGGAGCGCGGCGTGGGCTTCGACGCGGACGGGATGGCGTCCGAGGCGCTCGTGGCGGTGTGCGGTTCGTACTCGGCCATCGAGAGGCGCGTGGAGTCTGCCAAGCTGCTGATCGCTACGGGACGGGTCGACGTCAACTACGTGAAGAAGGGCATTCGCACGCGCATCACTCCGCTCGAGCAGTGCTGCAGTGGCCACAACAACATCGATGCAGCGCTGGTGGAGCTGTTGCTCGACGCCGGGGCGCGCCCGGTCCTGACCGGCCAGGCTTTCGTCCTTGCGAGGACCGCGAGATCCTTGCTGGAGGTCGCCGCGCTCGGGAAGACCGGCGCAAGCAACCAGCGCAAGCTTGAGGCCGCCCAGAAGCGCTGCGCGGTGGTGGCGATGATCGACGCACGCCGCGCGCAGGTGGAGGCGGAGCAGCTGTCGGCGCTGGCGTCCGCGCGGCGGCTTGACCTGGGCCTGTACGACGCCCTCCGGACGTGGATGCAGGAGCATGAGGGGTACCGGTGGAAGCCTGCGGCGCCGCGTGCAGGGCCGAGCTGATGTGGCCGGAGCAGGCCACGAGCGTGCCGAGGATCTAAATGCATGATGTGATTCTTTCTGAAACGACGCGATCGCTCGTGGGCCTCGCCCGCACGAATGCCCGGCGCTGCCGGCACGGAGGCTTTGACGACACTTGTGGAACCAACGTAAAGGACGGCGCGCAGCTCCTGTCACGCTGGACCGCGCCGCGGGAAGACGCACCGCGGAAAGACGCGCCGGGCTCACTCGTGTGCGACTGGGGACGCGATGCAAGCTGCAACATCCCATGTTGTACTCATTGAGCACATGGCGTCAGTTGACTGCGACGCTATGAGATGAGAATTCGACACGCACGTGCCGTCTTGTCCAGAACAAGCTAGTTCAGCCTCCGGACAGCACGAATGCGCAACGCAGACCGCGTCCGACGCCTCCCCTGCCGCGCCACGCCCCGCTGAGGGGCCGACTAGCCGTTCCTATTTCTTTCTCCAGTCCGAGCTCCGATCGAGGCGACTTTCGCGGAATCGCCCGAATGACCGCGCAGGCGTTGGACGAGACCCCAGTCCAACCGTTGACGCGGCGGTCCGGCGCGGACATGCGTGTTGGGGCGCGTGCGCGACATCCAAAGTCTGGGCTGGAGCTTGGAGACTGGAGCGGAGGGGCTCCAGTCCAGTCTCCGCTCCGGCCTGTGAACCACGCGCTCCGCCTTCATGAGCCACCGGAGCGCGCTCGTGGGCACATTGTCTTCGCGGTTGCGCGCTTACTCCGGCGTTTGAACGGCCTACCGCCCCGTTTCCGCGACCCACCAAGCAGTGCACCACCGCCCTTGCGTCGTGTACGGCAGCTCACTGAACCGCGGAATCTGACGTCCGTCATTCACGCACGTTCTCACAACTGCGCAGCGACAACTCCGACGCCACGCGCCCAAATTCAGCGCAAAGGAGCGCCCTGAGCACTGTGCGGTCTGCTCTAGCTCCGGAACCAGCCGCTTCTTCTGCGCACGCGAGCAAATGACCGCGCGCGCCTTCTCCTGGTCATCGTCATCGTCCATCACAAGCGGGTACACACCCAGAAGGTCGACGAAAGTTGCACTTTCTGGGTGCTTGCAAATGGGAAGGCAGCAGCCTCCGCAGGCGCTCTAGGCCCGGCTGCAGCGCCTCCGAACCGCCGTCAGAGACGCATCTACTCATGCTCCAGCGGGTTATGGCACACTCGGTCGCGAAGGGGCGCGGATATCGTCACATTCGCAACGGGGAGTCCATGGGTGGCCGAGGGGCGGCTAGTCGGGCAACCACGACTGGTGTTGAGCAGGTGCCGGCACTACCGGTCTCTCGCCCGCGAGGCGTCATTGGAGCCGCACACAGCCCGCTGGACACGGACTCAGTCCAGCGCTTCGCGCGATTTCCGGGCGATTCCGCGACATTCGCCAAGATCGGAGCGGAGATTGGAGATCGGACTGGAGCAACACACAAGAGTGGCTAGTCGGCCCCTGACTCAGGGGGGGGCACAGCCACGGTGCACGCCGAACCGGGCCGCGGGGGAGCGGTGATTGCGGGGCGGGGCCGGAGGCGGGGGGCAGATGTCGACGATGACGAGGAAGGAACGGAGCGGATACAGACAGCCGAGCAAAAGCAATTGCAAGCGACGAAAACGCTGAGCGCCACGCACCTGGCCCCCTCAATTCTGTCTTCTGCGCCAGGGAGGTGCGCGGCTGGCATAAGCCCCGAAATCTGTCATCAACGTCGCAGAATAGCACAGAGCATGCATGACAGCGCAGTGGCTCAGCTTGAATCGCGGTCGCGCGCGTGCTTTCGCCACGCCCTGCTCGGGAGCCCCTCGCGCTTGCATTGTCGCTCTTGAGCGCAGAATGCCCCGTTCTGTTACTCCTCGCGTCACGATAGACCAAAAATCGCGAAATTCACTGATATGCGCACGTTAGTCTCGCGCCGCAGGTCCTGGGCGCGATTTTTCCTTGCACCTGCGGGCGGACGGAGCGCCGCGAACGCGACCCGACACGATGGCGACCGTAGACCGGACGTTCCCGGCCCGCGACGCTGCCGTCGCGCGCCTCGTCCGCCGCGCCGCCGACCTCGCCATCGACGAGGACCGCCGCCGCCGGGCCGCCGCGACGGCCCTGTACCAGGCCGCCCAGCGCGGGGACTCCGCGGCCCTGCGCCGGCTGCTGGCTGCGGGCGCGGACCCCGACGCCGGCAAGCCCGTGCAGGCGGGCAGCTGCGCGACCGTCCCGCCGCTGTGCGCAGCGGCGGCCCGCGGCCACACCGAGGCTATCCGCGTGCTGCTGGAGGCGGGGGCGTCACCAGAGGGGGCGACGCCGAACGGGGCGAGGGCGCTGCACCTCGCCGCGCGCAAGGGCCTGACGGAGGCGGTGCGGCTGCTGGTCCAGGCGGGGGCGGACGTGGCGGCCGTCGACGGCAGCGGCAACCAGGCCCTGTACCATGCCCTGAGCTGCAACAACCACGAGACGGTGCGGGTGCTGGTCGAGGCCGGGGCGCCGACGGAGGCCGCGACGCCGGAGGGTTACCCGAAGGTTCCGGCGCTGCACGTGTGCGCGGAGCGCGGGCTGGTGGCGTGCGCGGGCGTGTTGCTGGCGTGCGGGGCGCACGTGGACGTGGACGACGGGAGAGGCATGTCGCCGCTGTACGTGGCGGCGAGCCAGGTGAGCTGATAGGTACCCCAGCCACGTCGACGAGGGTCCGTGAGATCGAGACTCGTCATGGAGCTCGCTCACCCCCCGCCCTGCTGGGGCCACTGTTGCAGGGGTACTGCAACCTCGTCAAGCTGCTGGCGCAGCGCGGCGCGAACGTGAACTGGAACTACTTCTCCGCTACCTCCGTTCTCACGCCCCTGACGGTCGCGATCAGCAACATCCCGTCCAGAAGCCCCCCCCCGCGGTTCGAGCGCACAATCCGGGCGCTGATCGACCTCGGAGCCAGCGACCCCGGTGACGGCCTCCTGCAGTGCCTGAACCAGTGCCGCGACTTGTCCGCTATCGTCGAGCTGCTCCTCGAGCGTGCGGCTGCGCGGCTCCCCGGCTCGCCGTACGTGCGCGACATCTTGTCGGCGGTGCCGAGGGCCATCAAGAGGAGCGTGAACGTCCCGCGCAGCGACCCGGGGATCTTCCGAAAGCTGCTCGATTTCCACCTGAACGTCGGGCCGGCGCTGGTGGTGCTGGGCCCCGAGGACGCCCCCCGCGTGGACCCTATGGTGTGCGTCGGAGAGGCGTTCGACGCCGCGTTCACGGCCAACGGCAAGATGGAGTTCGTGAGCGTGATCTTCGAGGTGATCGAGGCCGCGGGGAGGAAGCTTCCGCCGGACCTGGCGCACGCGTCGCTGCGCCACGCGTGCTGGGCCTGCGACCCCAACAAGATCGAAGTGCTGCTGAGCCGCGGGCTGGGACACGGCAAGGACGGGACGCTGTCCCACGGGCTGATCGCGATCTGCACCAACCGCGGGTGCGAGGCGACGCGCCGCATCCGTGCTCTGCGGGCGCTGCTGGCCCGCGGCCCCGTCGACGTGAACTATCGCCGGGTCAAGTCCCGGGGCATGGGCATGTCCGCGCTCGAGCACTGCGTGCTGGTCAGCAGCGCTGTCGACGTGGGGGCCTTCGTCCGGCTCCTGCTGGACCTCGGGGCCCGGCCCGTGATCGGCGAGGGCACGCGCAAGCAGTGCGCGGGGTCGTGCAAGCGTGTCAAGATGGCCGCCAACGGCAAGAGGGTGCCGAAGTGGCAGCTGGACGAGGCGGCTCGTCGGGTGGCCGTCCTCGACATGGTGGATGCGCGGCGCGCGACGGTGGAGGCGGAGCAGCTGGCGGCGCTGGCGGCGGCGCGGAGGGTGCACGTGGGGCTGTACGACGCGCTGCGGACGTGGATGCGGGAGCACGATGCCTACCGGTGGCAGGGACGATCTGCCGACGCGCAGGCGGGCGGGAGCTGACGGTCTGCGAGGCCCATCAAAGTAGTTGCTGTTGATGGCAGTGATTGGTGTGCAAGTGCTTGGGGACCGCCGCGGATCGCACCTGCGGCTGCAGCCTGTGATGCACGACGCACACCATCTCTCGATCAGTGCCGCTTGGGATGCACGGTCGCACAGCCTTGTTGGGTCGTGCGCCGGCACTGCAACGGCAGCTGTCCGTTTCCCGGCGACGGGTTAAAACACCGCTTGCACGGCAGCCTGTGCACCGTCGTAGCAGGACCGGCCATATGGCCGACGCCCTGTTGCACAATGCTGGAGGCCATCACGCAAGAGGGATGTGTCGCACTGACCCCCCTGCTGCGCCATGCCGCGTGCGTTCGTTGCTCTGCGCGCAGAATGTCCACGTGATGATTCTCTGGGTCAAGTGAGAGGTGATCACGTGCGTCGTGCGCGAAAGGATCAGTCGCTGCGACGAGCCGAGCCCACCTGGACCCAACGACTTGGCCGTGCCGTCGGAGACCGGGCGCCTGCGGCGTTGCTTTAGCCGCTTCTGCGGAGAATAGACATGACGAACACCGGGCTGCGCTCAAGTGTCGCTCAAATGCGCCTGATGCGCGTTCGGCGGGCCCACCAGCCCTGAGCATAAATTCCCCTCGCTCGCCCAAGGCTGAGACCCCATCGGCTCTTCAACCCTGCGTTGCGTCGCAACACATCTGGAACGTCAAGCGCATTCGTACGGCGCCGCCCCGTCGACCTGCTAAGCCACGGGACGCGGCGCTCGCGGGCCACATGGACGCGGACTCACGGGCGGTTGCGCAGCTCGTGCGCCGCGCCGCCGACGTCGCGATCGCCGACGACCGCCGCCTCGCCCGCCAGCGCGCCGCCGAAACCAGCCTCTATCAGTCCGCGCAGGCTGGCGATGTTGCAAGCCTGCGCCGCCTGCTTGCCGAGGGCGCGGACCCGAACGTCGGCTCGCCGCGGCTGACACACGAAGGCGCGAAAGTTCCGCCGCTGTGCGCGGCGGCGGCACGCGGCCAGACGGAGGCGGTGATGGTGTTGCTAGAGGCTGGTGCGGACACCGCGCGCGTCAACTTTCAGGGCGGAACGGCGCTTCAGGTCGCCGCGCACCGGGGCCATGCAGGCATCGTGCAGCTGCTGGTTGCGGCCGGCGCGGACGTGGCGGCCGTGGACAACAGCGGCAAACAGGCGTTGTACTACGCTTGCTGCGCGGACGCGTGCGAGACGGTGCGGGTGCTGGTCGAGGCCGGGGCGCCGACGGAGGCCGCGACGCCGGGCGGGCATCCTTCGCTGCCGGCGCTGCACGTGTGCGCGAAGAAGGGTCACCTGGCATCGGCGGCGGCATTGCTCGCGGGCGGGGCGCACGTGGACGTGGACGATGGCAAGGGCCTGTCGCCGCTGTACGTGGCGGCACGCGAGGTGAGCACAGCGACGGCTTTTTGCGCACGCTGCGCCGCATTCCGGGCACGCTGCGCATCCCGAGACGTGGTCGCTCCACGGCTGCGTGGCGACACATGCGCGTAAAACGAGTTGTGTGCGCCTCGCTGCAGGGGCACTGCGACCTCGTCAAGCTGCTCGTCCAGCACGGCGCGGACGTGAACTGGACGCTCAGCCTGCACTGGAGCACCACCTCGCCGTTGCAGGCCGCGTGCTTGAACGCGCTGCCGGCGTACGGGCGTGGCACGGACCCGCCGCGACACACGCGGTACCGCGAGACGATCCTGGCGCTGATTGACCTCGGCGCCCGCGGCGCGGGCCCTGTGCTGCGCCTGTGTGCGGAGCGCGTCATGGGGCCCGTGATCAGCATCCTCCTCGACCGTGCCGCCGCGGGGACCCCCGGCTCGCAATACGTTTGGGAAGTGGTGGCGAACGTCCCGCTGGCCATCCGCACGGCCGCCAAGTACACGTACGTGGACACCACGTCCACGCTGCAGCTGCTGATCGACTTCCACCTCAACGTGGCGCCGCGGCTGGTGCACGACGACGATCCGCGCGCCGCGGACCTGCTGGGCATGCGCGGGATCCACCTCGCCCTGCTCGAAGCCTGCAGCTTGCGCCGCACCCGGAATGTGGAGACCATCCTGCACGCGCTGCGGGCGGCCGGGGTGACGGTCCCGGACGAGCAGGGGCGCGAGGCCATGTGGACGGCGTGCAGCCACAGCAACGCGCCGCTGATCGAGGTGCTCCTCCGGCACGGCTTGGGCTGCACGCCGGACGGTACGCTGTCCGAGGCCTTCGTCGCGGTCGTGCAGACGCACTGGGACTGCGACCGGCGCCTGGCGGCGGCCCAGGTGCTGGTGAGCAGCGGCAACGTCGACGTCAACCACAGGACCAGCCAAGGCACGACGGCTCTCGAGGCGTGCGTGACGTACAGCCACCGCGTCGACATCTCCCGGCTCGTCGAGTTCCTGCTCAGCGTCGGCGCGCGCCCGGTGCTCAGCGAGCGCGTCCGCGTGCTCTCGGACAGCGCGCGGAAGCAGGTGGGCGTCCTCGAATGCCAGGGCACCAGGCGAGGCGACACGCAGCTGGAGCGCGCGCAGCGGCGCGTGGCGGTGCTCGCGATGATCGACGCGCGGCGCGGAGCCGTCGAGGCGCAGCTGCTCGCGGCGCTCGTGTCGGCGCGGCGCCTGGACGTCGGCCTCTACGACGCGCTGCGGCACTGGATGCACGCGCACGAAGCGGAGCTGTGGCGCCCGCGGAGTAGCCCGCTACGGACCTGCGCGCCGGAGGGGCAGGGATCGGCCGGGAGCAGCACGGGCGATGGCTCGAGGTCGTGGCGATGACGGTTGTGACGACGACGCATTTCACGTGCCCGGAGAAAGACAAGCTGCGCGCCCCAGACGAGCTCGGCCCACCGAACGGAAGGGAACGCCTCTCGCTACCTGGCGCGCATCTCAGGGCGCGAGCGGGAGACGGCGTGCGTTGTCTGAGGGTGACATTCTGTGTCGTGTACGCGTGCAGGGAATCTCGCCGCTGTCGCTCCGGGGTGCCGCCGGACCGCTGGTGTCGATACGCGCGGGGGTCGCCACGGCGCCGGGGAGGGGTCGGCGCGCACGGGTCGCAGCCGGGACCGGGCGGGCCGCGTGCCACGTCATCCGTGAGGCCCACGTGGGGGGGGGAAGGGCGACGGGGGACCCTGCTGGGTTGTTGAGGGCGCCGGTGGCCTCGCCGTGGGCAGTTGCGGTATTAGACCGTTCGATACTTTTCTCGCGACGACCCGAATTGGACTGTGTGACGTCGCTGGCGCGCTACAGCCTTCGAGAGGCAGGCATGGCGGAGCCCAGCACCGAGGCGCCTCCGGTGGAGGAGGTCGCCAGCGCTGCAGTCGAGACGAATGATTCCACAGAGGCGGTGGACGCTCCCGCGAGCGCGCCCGACGCGCCCGCGACGAGCAACGCGCGGCGCAAGAAGTCGGGCTGGTTGGGCAGCATGTTCGGGAAGGTGCGCGCGAGAAGCAGCTCGACAGGGCTGCGTGTGGTTCCTTTCTGAACCGCCGATGCACGGAGCCGCTCCGCCCCCCCGCGCACAGCACCATCGAAACGCGCGCGAGCCTCGAAGCTGTCTGGGATGGTTGTGCTCGGCCCCCCGAGTGGGTCCGATCGACGCTTTCCAGGCGATTCTCTCGCGATGGAGACGCCGATTCGTGTTTGATGAATGCTTCCGATCGAGCTTCGCGGCCCGTCCCGTCTTTTCCGGGGCGCGAGGGCGACTTCAGTTTTGCATGCTAGGCGTCCGAATCCTGCCCCACTACCGGGGTCGCGCGCCGCGTGCTGCACGCCCTGCCGTTCCCGTAGGCCTCAGGCTCCTGCCTAGCCCGCGCTGATCGCGTTTGGGCGCCGGGTGCGGGAATGCCACGCCCCGCGGGAATCTTGAATGCGCTCCACTCCCCGTTCGGCGCGCGCCTCGTGTCATCGTCGCATCTCCGAAACTCGATGCTCCGCAGGTCAACCGGGCCGTGAGAAAGGGAGCGGAGACCGCGGTGTCCAGCGGAACACGGTTTGCGCGCGCTGTGGTGACCGGAGGGCGCCTCAAGAGGGCAAAGGACGTCTCCGCGAGCCTCGAGATCGCCTTCGCGGGCATCAAGGGCGCCGAGCGCACCGAGGCGAGACGCACCACCGCCCGCCCGCGCCCATGCAACTCCGGACGCGTCCAGCCCTGCGGCGCAGGCGCCACCTACCTTGCGTGCACCTTGCTGCGCGTAGCGCCCCCTGCGACGCCACCGCGATTGCTTGGAGCGCGGCCCTTCGCTCTCACGCACCGCCTCGGTCCCGCCTGACAGCCCGTTCCCCGCCTCTGCCCCTGCACGCAGACCTTGCGTCAGTGGGCGCCGCTGCTCCGCGCGCTGTGTCCCGACGCGCACGCCAGCGACGCCCCCGAGGGCGACATCGCGATGCCGCGGCCCCGCGCGGAGGTCAGGGGCCTCGGAATCACCTACGAGGAGGCGCTGACGGCGCGGTACTCGCTCCAGGAGGCCGACGGGGACCTGGACGCTCGCGGCGTGTTTCTGCTCTCGCCCGCCCTCGAGTGCCTCGTCAGCTCCGTCATGACGCACCCGCCCACCGACCCCGAGGACCAGCGCCTGATCGCCTCCATCTTCGTGTCGACGCTCCAGACCACCCAGGACGGCAACACCGCCGCCGACGGGAGCGCGGCCGCGAGCGCCATCGCCAAGTCGGTCATCTCGCTCGCCGGCGTGGCCATGCGCCACCGGTCCACGATCAAGATGCCGCCCTCGGACCTCACGCGCGCGGCGGCGGCGGCCGTCACAGCCCTCAAGGCGGACCCGCGCCACGCGCTGCACGCCTCGCGCGCCGCCACGCTCGCGTCCGGCGTGCTCGCGGAGCTCGAGGGCGACGGCGCCGGCGACGCCGAGGGCCCCGAGCGCATCGAGTCGGACGGCGGCTCCTCCGGGTCCTGGAAGTCGGCCCCGGGCAGCAAGACTGCCACGCAGCGCACGACGCAGCTGCGCGACGTGGTCGGCCGCTCAGACGCCGCGCTGGCGTCCGCGCTGACGCTGTCGCACCTGCTGGCGGCGCTGGTGACGTCGATGGACTACGCCGGGTCGTCTACATCGATCGAGGAGGCGGCGGCGGGCGTGGCCGAGAGCGCCAAGGAGCTGCAGGCCGAGGCGGAGCGGCTGACGGAGGAGCGCGCGGAGGGCGTGCGGTTCCGGGAGCAGCGGGAGAGGGAGCTGGGGGAGAGCGAGAAGAAGCACGCGGACGAGCTTGCGGAGCTCAACACGCAGCGCACCGAGCTGCTGAAACAGGTGCGGCGGGCGGGGCGCGCGAGGCGGCGCGTGCGCGGGCGGACTGGAGCGCCGCGCGCCGCGGCGTGCGACCGTGCGTGTTGGGCAGCCGCACAGACCCCCTGAGCGCTTGTGTTCGTTCGATCCTTCTCGCAGCTCAAGGAGTGCGAGGAGAGCATCGCGAAGGCGACGATCAAGGTGTCTGAGGTCCAGGAGGAGCGCAGGCTGCTCGTGAGCTCCAACGAGCAGGTCCTGGAGGACATCGACCTGAAGCTGGCGACGCTGCAGGAACAGCAGACGCACCACGACCACGAGAGCGCGGCCCTGGGCGCCGCCGCCTCGCTCGTCGCCGCGTGCGCGAGCCGGCACAGCGCGGCGGTGGACGCTCGGTCCGCGGAGGCGCAGGCGGCGGCGCTGGGCGCAGCGCACGCGCTGCTGCACGCGGCGCAGGCCTCGCTGTCGCACGGGCTGACGATCGTGGAGCCCGCGCTGGGGCACTGCCGGGTGTTCAAGAAGGAGATCGGGGTGTCGCGCGGGCAGGAGAGCGCGATGGCGGGCGTGCAGGACGTCGCGGGGTCGATTCTCGTCGACGTGCGCAGCGCGTACAGCAAGCTGCGCAGGCGGTACCTCTCCGCGAGCGGCACCGCCGCGGCTGCGCTCGCCGAGGGCAACGCGGCCGCGCGGCAGTGCGAGGCGGCCGTGCAGCGCATGGCCAAGGTCGTTTCGGGTGCTGCAGCCGCGGCGCAGGACCTGCCGTCCGACGTCGAGACCGGGGCGTCGCTGGCCGGTGCGACGGAGCTGCTGGCGCGCTTCGTCGACTGGGCGAAGGGCACGGAGTGCGAGAAGCCCCTCGAGGCGGTGCGCGAGGCCCTGAGTCAGTTCGAGGTCTTTGAGAAGGAGTACATCGAGGAACACCAGGACCTGACTCAGGAGCTGACGCTCGAGCTGCAGGCGCCGCCGGCGCCGACCGCGCCCATCACCGAGGCCGTCGCCGCCCCGCCCGCGGACGCCCCCCCGGCCCAGGACGCGGCACTAGCGGCGGAGGAGACGCCAGCCGTCCCCCCGGCCGAGCAGCGCGACGCGTTCCTGAAGACCAGGCCGTGGATCCGCGTCGCAGACGCCACCAGCGCCGACGCCACCGCCGAGGCACCAGCTGCTCAGGCAGCTGCACCAGCTGACGCGCCGCCAGCGGCTGCGGCGGCCGAGCCGGCGGCTGCCGCGGAGACCGAGGCCGACGCGACGGTCGAGGCCGACGAGGGGCAGGCGGCGGGGGAGGCGAAGAGCGAGGGGAGCGAGTTTGACGAGGACTGGGGCGCGGACGCGGACGTGGGGAAAGGCGGGGAGGGCAGCGGGGACGAGGGCGAGGAGAAGGAGGCGGGCGACGGGGGAGAGGGCGAGGGCCGGAAGGGCGAGGGCGAGGGCGTCGAGGGCGTCGAGGGCGGGGAGGAGGACGCGGCGGAGCCGGTGATGAGGCCTCCGCAGGGCGCGCGCCCCGGGGGGGGTAAAAAGAAGAAGAAGAAGGGCGGCCGCAGGTGATCGCGAGTAGATGGCGCGACGCTGTGACAGCGTGACGCGAGGGGCGACTCACAACTGCGCCGTGCGGGCGCAGGCGCGCGAGCGCGACGGACAGCCATCTGTGTACACATGTGGTTCCACGGCGCAGGGCTGTCACGCGAACCGCGGCCTCCGGACCGGGCCCGGGCCAGGCGGTCCCGGCGGTCCTCGGTCGTAGCCGCGGTACCCGTCGCCGTACGCGGGGGGGGGTCCCCGGCGGTCAAAGTCGCCAGGGGGGGGTCCTCGGCCCGGGAACGGTCCGTCGCGCGGACCCGGCGGGCCCCTGTCGAAGCCGCGGTCGCCGTAGCCCGGCGGTGGCCCTCTGCGGTCGAACGGCGGCTCCCCCGGCGGCCCGTAGCGCCCCGGCGGCGGGGCGAACCCTGCCTCTGGTGCGCGGCGCTTGCGCGACGGTGGCGGCATCGCCGCGGGGGCGTCGGGCTCGCCCGGCGGCGGCGGCACGGTGAACTGCTCAAGCGCTGCGATGACCATCTCCACGTCGAGCGTGGGTCCGTCGTAGGACCCCCCCGGGGGGAGTAAACGCAGAAACTTGTCCACGGCCGGCGGCAGGTCCGGGTTGGCCAGGGCCGCGGCCGCGCGCTCCTGCGGCGTCGGACGCGACGGGTCGAACTTCGGGCCACCCCGCGGGCGGTCCTGCGCCGCGCCCGCCGGCGCAGGGGCGTCCCGCGCTGGCGCTGGGCGGTCCTGCGCCGGGTCCGCAGGCGGGCCCCGCGCGACGATGCGCTCCGCGGGGGCCGACGAGAATCCGAGCAGGCGGCGCGCGTGGATGCGTTCGAGGGCCGAGCACGGCCACGCGGCCCAGCTCGCGGCAGCCTTGTAGCGCAACATCAGCACGCCAAACGCCTGCGCGTCGGTGTCGTCCTTGTGGTCGCAGCGGGCCCTGAGCTCCTCCGCGCGCTGCTTCTCGAGCTGCAGGCACGTGTCCGTGTTGCCGAACTCCGCCTCGAGCGCGATGCGCAGGTCCCACAGGTCGGCGAGGGTCTCCGCGGGGGCCTGGTCGAGCGCGCGGTTGAACAGGGCGCGCGCGTTGACGTGATCGCCGCGGGACACGAGCCACTGGGCGTACGTGTTGACGTAGCCCGGGTCGTTCAGGAACTGCGCGCCCATCTCGAAGATCTTGTTCACCACCCCCACGCTGTCGTGCGCAGGGTTGTGCCGCGCCTCCATGGCGGCCGCCGCGGCGTAGACCTGCCAGGGGCAGTTGGGGCGCTTCTTCACCTCGATGAAGAGCTTCCGCGCCTTCATGATGTCCTCGGTGCGCCGCAGGAAGTGCATGAACTGCACAAAGCACGTCGCGCCTGACGCAGGGTCGAACTCCCCCCTCGAGACCCCGCACTCGCGCGCCTGCGCCTGCAGCCCCGCGAGCCGCTCCTGCGCCGCCGCGTCGCCGCCCCGCGCCGCCGTCTCCGCCGCAGCGAGGTCCTTCGGGTCGGGACCCCACACGTGCGCAATTGCCCTCTCGTAGCACGCCCGCGCCTCCGCGAGCTCCCCGTTCGCCTCGTGCACGTCCGCCATCGCGTAACGCAGCGCGAGGCAGCCGGGGCACGCCTCCACGCCCCGCCCCAGCACCTTGACCGCCTCCGCGTGCCCCTTGCCTGCGGGGTCCGTCATGTGCCACCGCGCGTACTCGTACCACACCTCCGCGTGCCGGTACAGCCCCAGCAGCGCCTGCTCGTACGCGAGCACCACCCGCCGCCTCAGCGCCTCCCCCTCGAGCCGCTGCGTGTTGGATCGCTCCCATCGCACCACCTCCTTCCACCGCAGCGCCCGGGCGGCGTCCCCCGGGTCCGACGCCCCCGGCGGCACCGCGAGGACGTTCAGGCTGACCTTGGCGTACACCCTGACGCGCTCGCGGTACACCGCGCGCGCGTGGTTGACCTTGGGCAGCATGTCGTCGATCTGTTTGCGCGCGGCGGAGGGGTCCTTCCACGCGTCGCGCTCGAACGCCTCGTACTCCGACCACAGCCGGTCGATCTCCCCGTGCGGCACCTGCAGCGCCGACACGAACGCCCGGCGCAGCTTGGCGTGCCGCGCGGAGAGCTCCTGCGACCCGAAGAGGGCCTCGAACTCCGGGGTGCCCTGCGCGGGACCCTGCAGGAAGGCGACGTACGCGCGCCACTGCGCCCCCGCGTTGATGTCGTTGCCGATGCGCGCGTTGCAGAACTCGAACGTCCTGCACACCTCCGCCACGCCCTCGGGGCCGCGCGACTCGTGCAGGCGCCGAATCAGCGCGAGGTACGCGCCGTACAGCTCCTGCGCGCGACGGTGAGGCCGTGTCCGGTGAGGCGGGGCCGGCCGGGTCGATGCGCGCGTCCAGGGGGGGATTGAGGGTGGAGGGTTGGCGTACCGGGTGGGGGGAGTCCAGGCCGCGCTGACACAGCTCGATGGCCCTCCCGAGCTGCCCGGCGGCGAGCTCGAGCTCGAGCGCGGCCTTCCACACGCGTCCGGCGGTCGGGTAGAGCGCGAGGAGCTCGTCGTGCGCCGCGCGTTGCAGGGCCACGGCGTCGGCGTCGGCGGTGCCCAGTTTCGCGGCCGCGTCGAGGAGGTCCTGCCAGGCCGCGGAGTCCCAGCAGTTGTCGTTGATCTTGGCCTCGCTCTCGCGGATGCGCTTGCGCGTGCCGTCCGAGAGCACCTGGGGGCTGAGCCTGTCCAGCTGCGCGGTGGCGCGCAGCGTGTACCTGCTCGCGCGCGCCCGCGCCTCCTGCTCGGCGGCGCGCTCGTCCGCGACGCGCACCTCGTTGACCTCCAGCGCGGGCTCGTGCACGGCTGCGAGCATGCGGGGGGTGCGGCTCCGTGAGTGTGTGAGCAGACGGACCGTTCGCGTGGGTGGCGCGGGGGGGCGGCGCGCACCCGTTCGAACTTTGACGACCGGAGGAACGCCGCCCGCGGCCGCGCCCTGGCCCTGCGCACTTGGTTCCGCCGCAGCCTGCACGCCGTGTACAACCACGCTGCGTTGCCTCTTGGGCTAGAGCCGGGTGTCCAGTTCCAGCCACAGCGCTGCCGTCGCGGTGAGGCATGGTATATCGACGAAGAGCGTGTTCGGCCGCATGTCTGTCCAAAAGCGGCGGGGTCACGCGCTGTGGACGGCTGTGAACCCGCACTGGCGGACAGCGCCGCGGGGCGCCGTGTGGGAGAGGAATCGGGGGTCTCGCCTTCGTCCCACCAGCTTGGTGGTCTGATGCATCGTGCTGTCCCGCGTCCGTCCTCGCATTGTCCGCCGCGCTGCCGCCAGCGGTGTTCGGGGCTCCCACACTGGTGTGCGCAGCCGCCCCGGGACCTGCACATGCCGTGGGGGTGGGCGCAGAGCGGTCGCAGACGACGTCCGCCTGAAGATGCCGCCGAACTGGGCGTGTCGTCCAACATATGGCCGTGGAGTGAGCGTCCAGCGCCTGCGACTCCAGCACGCACCTTGGTCGTCCTCACGCTCGCCGAACAGGTCCTCGTCATCGTCGTTCACGGCCTGCGCTGGAGTCTCTCGCTTCGCATCGTGCTGCTCCGCCCCGCCGGCGCCAGCATCAGCCTGCGCAGGCGCCTCCGCGCCCTCCATTCTCCTGCCGCTCGCACACACGTTCGCAAGCCCGGTGCCAGGTGCGTCGCAAACAGCGCACGAAGCCGGCCCGGCGCGCAGCAAGGTGCGGGCTCGCGCCTCGCCGCGCCACACAAAACGCCCGGGCGCAGCGGGGTGCGTGGCAGCGAGGCAGTGCTCCGGGGGGCTGATGATGCGCCGCCGTGCAATAGGGCGAGCGCCGGAACCACCAGTGCGATGGAATCACCAGGCGCCTCAGGCGTGCTGTCCTCACGCCGTTCGAGGCGGGGCGTTGGGGCTGCTCGGTTTCCCGCCTCACCCGGTGCCGCCCGCATCATCACGCCCGACCCGCTCCCCTCCGAGAGCAGTCCGGGCGCGACCCTGAACTCGTGATGGACACGCCATCGATGGCATCTGATGCCCGCCACCTTGGCAGGGCCAGCAAACTCACCACCCGTCGTGGGCGCGACCGATGCTGGCGAGGCAGGGTACATATGGCGCAATCTCGCACCAGTCGTAAGACCGTGGTTGAGCTCCCACATCCTATCGAGGGGGCCCTGTGCGCACGGTCGGCCTGCTGGTCGCTTCGCACCGCCCGGAAGTGGCTTCCGGAGGTGGCTTCGGATATTTTATCACACGTAATCAGGAAGTGAGCGGCGTTTGCCGCGCGGGCAGCGCGTGCGCCGGCCAGCTGACGGGCACAAGCGCGCCGCCCCACAGCGAGCGCAGCGGCCGGTCACGATCTCACGATCGCACACCGCAGCGGACGCCCCGCCTCGACGCGCACAGTCCGACGATCGCGCCCCGCGGCCCCACTTCGCGAGAAACGCCCATCGCGCGCCGCGACACAGATGCCGCACTTCCGCGCCCTTTGATTTCACCGGCGCGCCTACGGACGTCACACGGGCAAACGCAGCGGATCTCGCCCGCGCAGGCATGGCTCCGCGCGACGGACGCCCGCTGGCCGCGGTCCGGCGGGTGCTCAAATCCCTGGGGCACCCTGAGTGGGCAGCAGCTCGCGATGGCCCGCGGGCCTGCGGGTCCTATACGGGCGTGCGGAGAGTATGAGAAATTCGTGGCGCGCTCCTCGTAGGCGTGGTTGCTGGGCGGGTGGGCCCCCGGTGAGCCGCTGAGCGGGCGCGTATGGAGTCAACCACCCCGAGGCCCTCGGAGGGACCGTCTCGGCCGTGGGGGCACAATGGGCGGGATGCGCGCGGCCGCTTCGATTCGCAGGGAACCGAGACTTCGGCGTCACGCGTCCCAGGCTGCAGAGGACGCACCCCCGCGCACCGCGACCAACCGCGCCGAGCGAGTAGGCCTCAAGCGCACGGGTCGACGGAGGACGGCACCCGAAATGTGCGCGCCCGATCCAAACCTCGCCATTCGTCGCCCTCGCATGCCGCACGGGCGCCGAGCGGGGCAGCCGCGGCGTCGGAACGCCCGAGTGAGGGGGCAATGACGGCTTGCTCTGTTGGACGGGTTTGACGCGAGCGCCGCGCATGGTGACGCTGTCGTCGGGACTGTGCCCCCGCTGGCACCCGGAACCGCCCAGCGCAACGCCGCAGCCCCCCGCGGGAAGCTTTTTCCGGCCCTGCAGTACACATGCCACTGCTGCTTAGGGTGGGGGCGCTGGGGTCCGGCACACGCCCGTGCGGAGCAATGCGCGTCACCGCCGTGCTCTCCCACATCTTCTCCGCCGTTCCCGCCGAGACTGCGCGCAATGTGGCCCGCAGCGCTCCGATTGCCGCCAAGGGGCACCTGCTGCTGGCCCCCTGCGCTGAAGGGGCGCGCTGGGCGGCGTGTTGGCCCCGCGCGCCGGTCCGCGGATCGTCTGTGTCCCGCTGAACGCCCCCGACCGCCCCGCCGCTGCCGTGCAGGTTCCCGCGCGCGGCACGGCGCTCGTAGTTGAGCGTGCTCATGCAGGTTATCGACGCGCCCGCCTCGTAGCAGGGTATCGCGCGAAGCTGCGCGCCCGCCCGGCGAGCCAAGTTTCTGATCTGTCGAACCGCGGGGCCGACCGCGCGCGCGCCCCCAGCGTCGAGCGCCCGCGCGCAGCAAGGGTTTCCTGTGGCGGTTTCCCTGCATCCGGCTCGCGGCAGTCGATGCCCTAGAATTTCCTCCCGGGAACATTACAGTTCGACGCGTCGCAGTTCCCGGCTGCCCGCGTGCGCGGCGAGGTCCGCGGAGGGCGCCGTCCAGGCCGCGCGCGGGCTACCCTTGCGGAGCGCCATGAGGACGCGCTACCAGGGCCACAGGCCGACGCAGTCGGACTCGAAGCAGGACAGGATCACCAATAGTCAGGACACGGCCATGCCGACCGGCCACGTCGAGAGCTCGCGCGGCACCGCGGCCGGGGGGCGCGCCTCCGCTGGCGGCGCCCCCGTGCACCGAAACGCCGGGCGCCACGCCGCCAGCGTGCGCTCCGACGGCATGCCGCCCCCGAGGCTGCTCCACAGCGAAGCAGACAGCCCGAAAGGCGCGGTTCGAGGGGCCAACGGCCACCACGCCGACCACGCGGGCAACGGCCACGCGCTCCACGCCACCTGGGCCGGCACCGCGGTTCGAGTCGACGCCGCGCCCGCACGCGGCCCGCGCGGCGACGCCGGCCACGCCCGCCACGCGCCCGCCGCGCCACGCCCGCAGCCGCCCTCGAACGCCAGCTCCCAGCAGCGCGCGGTTGGTACGCCCCGTGCCGCCAACCACCCCCTGGCCGCGCCCGCACGACCCCCCCCCGCGCGCGACCCCGCCCGCGCGACCCCGCCGCCCGCCGCCCCCGCCCCCGCAGACCACCTCTACGCCGCGGAGGACGAGCTCACCGAGGGCGGCGCCGCCGTGGACGGCCCCGCCGTGACGGGGGTGACGGGGGCGACCGCGCGGACGGAGGACTCGGCGGAGAGCGAGGGCGGGCGCGCGTCGGCGTCGCCCGTGCGCTCCGGGAAGCGCGAGCGGCGTCCGACGAAGCGCAAGGTCGGCGCCCCGCTGCGGATGATCAAGCAGAAGTGGACCGAGGAGGAGGTCGCGGCGCTGCGGTACGGCGTGGAGAAGTACGGCGTGGGCAAGTGGCGGCTCGTGCAGAACGACGCGGAGCTGGGGCCGATCCTCGCGCACCGCAGCAACGTCGACCTGAAGGACAAGTGGCGGAACCTGACTGCGGCACCCCACCCGCACAAGCGGAAGCGCGGCGCCGGCGAGAGCTGGTCGCACCCGCACGGCGACGCAGGCCATGACATGTACGCCCGGACGCCCGCCTCCTCCGCCTGCTGCGCGGCCCGCGCTGTGCGGTGTTGCGGCGCCTCTGTGGGCTGACAGGCGGCTTGTTGCTGGTCTCGCTGCAGGGACGCGGCGCTGGGTGGGCGCAGTCCGCCGGATCCGAGCCACTCCGGCATGCCGGCGGGGTCCGGGCGCGACGGCGCGGCGCACAGCGGGCCGCGCGGCGGGCAGCGCGGGCGGCGTCGCACCGCCGCGGCGCGGGTTCGGGGCGCGGGCACCACGGCGGGGCGGCCGGCCAGTCGGCGCGCGACCTGAGCGAGGATCTCGTGCTCGCGGCGATGATGGAGCTCGGCAGGCTGGGCGAGCGCGGGCCACACGCAGCGACGCCCGCCGCGCTGATGCCGGCCGCGGACGGCACGGGGGACGACAGCGACCACGGGGGCCGCGTGAAGCGGCACGCCGCGAGCCCTGCGCGCGACACGGAGGGCAGCGCGGGCGCGGGGTGGTGGCGCAGCGCACCTGCTCTCGGCGGCGTGCCGCTGCCGCCCGCGCCGCCGCCGACGCGGCCCCGGACGCCCGTGAGCGGCACGGTCAGCGGAATCGGCCACGCGGCGGACGATCTGCGCCGCGGGGGCGTCCAGGAGGAATACTCCCCCTCGGCACTCCCCGCCATCTCCGGGGACGACGCCAACGCCGGCCTGCTGGCGCAGCTGCGGCGCGCCATGAGCGACGTGCTCGACGTGTGCTCCGTCGGCGTGGACCCGCGCCTCGTCACGCAGCTGACGTCCACCATGGTGCTCACGGCGCAGAACCTCCGCCGCCACCTCCCGGGCAGCGACGCCGCCGCCGGCGCGAACGGCGTCGTTCCGGAGCTCGCGCCCGACCTGACGGCTGGCACGCCGGTCGGCACGCCGGTCGGCACGCCGGCCGACAGCAACGCGCAGTGGCAGGGGGTGCCCGTGATGTCTGCATCGACGCCCGGGACACCCCCCACGCCGGGGCGGAGCCCGCCGTCGAACGGCGACGTCCCCGTGCGGCTGATGCAGGCGCCCGTCGCGCCGCCGCCGTCGCACCGCGACTCGCGCGCCTCGGACGACGCCCTGCCGTCGCCCAGCGAGCGCTCCCCAGAGAGGCTGCCCCCGCCGCTCTGGGCAGCCAAGCCGGCCGCGGCGGCGTCCGCGGCGCCCGGTGCGGTCGCAGGGGAGCTGGCGACGGCGCGCTCGATCGACTCGGGGCCAAAGCCGCCGGCGGTGGTGAGCGCGGCGGTGGCGGCAGGTGCGGCGCAGAGCGGGCCGCAGCGGTCCCCGAGCCCGCCGATGCGGACGCAGATGGCCGGGATCCCCGCAGTGGCGAGCCTCAACCAGGGTTTGGCGTCCCTGGCGCGTGGGGCCGGGTCGCCGGCGCGGTCGGGGGGGAGTCCTCGCGACGCGTCGGGCAATGCGTCGGGCAGCCTGCGGGCCGCGCAGGCGAGCGTGCCGCCGCCGCACCAGACCGGCGGGAGCCAGCACGGCCTGCGGTTCGCGCCGAACGGCACCGAGGCGGGCGGCCCGGAGCCCGGCACCCCGAAGCTGGGTGTGCCACTGGCGCTGGGCATGCTGTGCGACTCAAACTCGCCGCGCCGCGCGATCGAGGGCGGACTCGCGACGCCCGAGGGCCTCGCGCGCGTCAGCCGCGTGGAGAGTCAGTGACGCAGCGATGCTGCATCAGCTTTCAGCGACAAAAACACCACCAGTGCAACACTCCAAGCGGGTTGTACCACGGCGCCAACGTGCCTCCCAGCCCGATCCGCGGGGCCTGTATCTGCGGCCCGAATGGGACATCGACCACATCCGCTGTGGGCGTCTCAGTCCACGTGCTCCCTGTACCCCCCCCCTCTCGCCCAAGTCCCCCTCTGCGTACAAGAATGCCTGACATGCGTTGATCGTTGAGGCCCGACGTGCGTGGCTGACAGACGCGTCGCCGCAATGCGCAGCGCCGGTGCTTCGCCGCGCGGGCAGCAACCCACTCCGCCAGGACGGAGGCGGCGGCGGGTGCGTCTGCGGCGTGAAGGTCTGTCGCGGAGGCAGCCCCCCAAACTAAGACCTGGCGTGCCGCGCTACAATCCGCAGCCCAGCTGCAAGCGCGTCATTTGCACGCTGTGCACCATTGCCCCCTATTACGATTGGCCGCGCACCCCACCACCGTGACCACACTGCACAGGCCAGACCAGCGAGACCGGCAACGACTGCGCATGCGCCGCCGGAACGCTCCAAGCTCCCCGTGGGCCGCCGACGCATTCGTGCCAGACTCAGGATTGCGCCGTGGAGCAGCACTGCGACTAGTCGCCTCGGTGGCATGCCTCCCGGCTTGCCGGAACGGTCAGCGGGGCCCGGCGCCCCACAGGTCTCCATGTGAATTCCACGCGGCACACACACGTCAGCGGTCACATCACCACGGCAGCGACACGCCCTCGGACCCGGGCAGCCCGAGCGCCACCCAGGCCGCGGTGAGCACGAGGGCTATCAGGGCCTCCCGCGCGACGGTCCTCGCCAGCTCCCTCCGCGCCGCCCCCCTGCGGTTCTTCCCGCCCACGAGGTCGCGGAAGAGCAGCTGTCGCCCCCCCGAGTCGTACTTGAGCGCGTACAACACCCCCCGGAGGTGTCCCGCGCCAACGACCCCAACGACGCACCGGTTGCCGTTCACCGCCTTGCTGCGCTTCAGGCTCCACGCGATGTACAGGTCGCGCTCGTGCAGAAGCGGGCCCAGGACCGGCGCCAGGTCCGGCGACGCAGCGGCCGCCTGCCGAAGCATACTGCGCGCACACACACGTCAACAGCACCGTCCAGACGAATCATCAGCATCGAGCGCACGCGGGGCCCCGCGCCGGCGGCACGGCGCGGGTCCGAAACGCCCCCGCCACTGCCGTGTGTTGCGCTGAGGGTTGTCGACGCACCTGTCGACGTCCGAGGCGGCGGGGACCGGCGCGTCCCAGGGGCTCGTGCCGCTCCCCGCCCCCGCTGCTGCGCTGGCCACCGCGGGGCTCCTCTGCATCCCGCTCGCTATCGCGGCCTGGACCCGGTCGCGCCCGCCTGCCACTGCCGCTGCGGCCTCCCTCGCGAGCGCGAGCTGGCCTTTGAGGCTCAGCGCCGCCCACGCCCGCTGCAGAGTGATCTCGATCGGGCGGTCCCCGAGCACGACCTGGGCATCCACCTCCCCCGCAGCCTTTGCAGCGGCGGCAAACTCAGCCCCAGGCGTCGCGGGCCCCGCGTCGTTCACGCGGGTGGCAGATGCGACCGAGGAGTACACTGCTGCGAGGAGCACGCGCATGAGGAGCCCCTGCTGCCCTCCGAGCCGGACGGCGCGAGAAAGGGCCGGGACGAGACCTCCACCAGACAGTGCCAGCGGGGACCGGGTCTGTCGTCGCCGTGCTGTGTCCGACGGCGACCCCTGTGCTTCCTCCTCGCCCTCGACTGGAAGCAGCAGGGACGACCGCGACTTGCACAGCTCGACGACCACGCTGTCGGGTCTGGCTGTGCGCACCACTCTTGCTGCGTCGGCCTCGCTCCGCTGCGACACGTGCGCAGTGCCGAGCACCAGCACCATCTCGGGCTCCTGGTATCCATCCGTGCGGCGCTCGCTGCGAGGAATGTGCGCGCGCGCGGTGGTTCGAGTACATACCCCACGCCGAGGGTTCGTGTGCGGTGGCGCGCGGGGCAGTCACACGCGCACGGGAGCAATGGCGGGCGGCGGAAGGGCAAGGGGCGCCGGCGGCGTCAGACGCAGCGCTCACTTGTACAGCGACGGGCGCGGCACTGCCCAGAGCACGCCAGCCTCGGCCAGGTCCCACAGCTCCGGGTACGACTCCCGGATGATGGCGCGGCTCTGCTCCCCGAACTCTGCCTCCAGGTCCCAGGAATCCGGCGGGCCGTCCACGAGCGTCCGCGCGGCCCTGCAGCTACTGCGGCCTCTCACTGCACCCTCCGTGCCCCGGCGCGCCGCGCTCGGACGACGGACGAGCGGCCCGGCCGCCCCTGGCCTCCGAGTGTGAGCGATGAAGGCGCGCGGCGCGCGGCGCATCGCACACGGGGCGAAACCCGCCCCGCGCTCTAGGGCAAGCTGCGGCGCGGTCATGTGTGCCGCGAAGGCGCAGTCCGTGGCGTCGCGCGGCGCAGCTCCGGCAGCGGAATCGCGTTGCGTGTGCGCGACGCGGAGCTGTGGGGAGCATCGAGCGCGCTGTGGCTCCGCGTATGGACCGCGTGTCGTACTCGGAGGAAGTTCCCACGCGAGGTCTAAGCCCGTCGTGTGTCGGGCGAGGGGGCCGCCGGGAACGACGGCATCGCCGGGACTGCGTCGCGCGCACTTTGTACACCGATCACAGCGAGCCGCTCACCGAACGAGCTGCACCTGTAGCGCGTGTTGGCCGCGCAAGAGCTCGTCAGTTGCGCAGTTGAAACGTCGCGGCCGTGGTAGCTCTCGACGTCGCGGACGCACCCGGCGGTACACTTAAACCTCAGCATCAACTGCGCGGTCGCGGAACCCTTCGCTGCCGTGCCGCGAGCCTGCGACACGGACCGCCTTGGTTTCAGAGCACATTCCTCGCTTCGGAACGGCGTCGGTTTAATGGCGAGCGTCGTGGCAACTGCGGCAGCAGAGGTCTCCGTAGTCCAGCCGACGGAGACCGGGCCGTCTAGCTTCTCCCCCGCGGCGTCACCGGCCCAGAAGCAACCACTCATGGCACCTGGCCCCGCCGCAGCCCCGCAGCCCCCCACGCGCGCGCCGCGCCGCACCGACATCACCATCAAGGACTTCCAGCAGAAGGCATACCTCGGCGACGGCTCCTTCAGCGACGTCATCCTCGCGCGCCTCAAGGGCGACAACAAGGTGCGCGCTGGCTGCTCCACTTGCCCCAGCCCGCGCCTCCGCGGCCCGCCGCGAGGCGCGCCGGGGCGGCCCGCACCTCACGCCGCCGAGACGCGCAACGCAGCGCACGCGCGCTCCACGCCCCTGTCCGCCCTGGCCCGCCAGGCAACGCGCCGCGCCCAGCGCCGGGCTTCTCGACTCGCACGCGCCGCGCAGGATGTCGCGCTGAAGGCCATGGACAAGATGCTGCTCGTCCGCGAGAAGAAGGTCGAGGCCGTCAAGACCGAGCGCCAGATCCTCGACCGCCTCGACCACCCGGGCGTCGCGCGGCTCCTCTACACCTTCCAGGTGCGCCTAGCACCTCCCACAGCAGCGCCTGCCGCCGCACCGCCCGCCAGCGGCGCCCGCGGCCCCGCCGCCGCGCGAGCCGCGCAGAGCACTCGCGTGCCGCAAGCCCCGCGCGTCCAACCCGGCTCCACGCCCCCGGTGACGCACCGCGCTGCCGGGTCGCCCCCGCGCGCCCGGCGCTGGCCTGTTCGCGCCAGCGCGCGTCCCGCGGCGCCGCGCGCGCCCCCGCCCGCCGAGGCACCTTGGACGATCTGTGGCGCGGCCTGCGCGCCCGTCCCGCGCTTTATACGTCGCTCCGCCCGCCGGCGTGCGCGTGCTGGCTTGGCAGCTTCTGGCGCCGCCCCCGCCCCCGCGACGGGCGCGCTCCTCCGGCCGACGCGCGCGGCGCCTCCCTGCGTGCGCTGCAGAGCGAGACGACGCTGTATTTGGCGATGGAGCCCTTCCTGCGGGGCGAGCTGTTTGACCAAATTCGCCTGCGCAGGGGGCTCCCGCTCGACGCCGCGCGGCAGTGGGCCGCCGAAATCGTCGACATCCTCGCGTACCTGCGGCAAGAGGTGCGGCGCCCGCGCCCGCTCCGCGCATGCCGCGCCCCGCCCGAGACCTCGCGCTCCGTGCCCGCGCAAGACGATTGGGTGTAGGCCAAGCTGGACGCGCACTGGCGCTCACGCTTCATGGCACGCGTCCAGCTTGGTTTTGGTCCCATCGTCTTGCTCGGCCACGCGTCGCAAGGTCTCGTCCGCCCCCCATCCCCGCCCGTGTGGCGCTCAAACGCCCGTGCCTTCGCGCGGCGTCGCAGGGCGTGATCCACCGGGACATCAAGCCGGAGAACTTCCTCCTGGACGAGCGCGCGCACCTCACGCTGATCGACTTCGGCTCCGCGAAGGAGGTGGGCGGCCCGGACCCCGACGGCAACTCCTTCGTGGGCACCGCGGACTACGTGCCGCCGGAGCTCCTCGACAAGAAGCCCGTGACGCCCGCGGCGGACCTGTGGGCGTTCGGCTGCGTCCTCTTCCAGATGCTCACGGGCGCGACGCCCTTCTGCGGCGACACGGAGTACCTCACCCTGCAGCGCATCCACGCGCTGGACTACGCGCTGCCGAGCGACGCGGACGCCGACGCGGCGGACCTCGTGCGGCGGCTGCTGGTGCGGGAGCCGGAGGAGCGGATCGGGTTCGCGGACGTGGGCGAGGTGCAGCGCCACGCGTTCTTTGCGGGGGTGGACTGGGGGGCGCTGCGGGAGCGGGAGGGGCCGGAGGTGGTGGAGCTGCCGCGGGCGCCGCGCATGGGGAGCAGCATGGCGGAGGGCGACAGCTCGCACAGCATCGGGGCGGACCTGGAGAAGCTGGGCCTGCGGTAGTGGGCTGTATGGGTCAAGGGTGCGGCGCGCCCGGGGGGCCGTGTATGCGTCTGCAAGCGCGCGCGAAAGCGGCGCATGTGACGGCCCTGGGCTGCGCGGGGCGGTGACTTTTGTCTGCATGGGTGGAGGTATGATCCCTTTTCGAGGTATGATCCCTTTTCGCATGACAGGCCACGCGCGGGGGACGGCGATGACGAGGAGAGCTGAGTAGCCGTCGGCGCGTCGCCACACAACGCGGACAATGCCGCAGACTCAGTCACCGCTGTCACCCAGCCGGCTGCCGACACCCCCTGGTACAAGCAGCCTAGGACGTGGACCAGCACTTCGGCGCGTCGGCTGGCGGGCGTCGTCCAGTACTCGCGCGGCTCGCCGCGTTGTTGCTGACGACGCCCGCCACTCACTCTAACTGATTGCAGGTCAGAGCCTTCCCTTGGCACATGATGGCACGCTCACATGGCATTTCGCGCGAGTACTCCTAGCACGCTGCCGCCTTGATCAGGACGATAGCACACCCGCATTTCGTTTCGTGCGCGGGTGGTCAATTACTACTCTGTGTGTCGTGTTGTGCTGCGCCGGGCCTCGAACATGGGGCTTTGGTGCAGTGCCAGCTGAGAGCTACCTCCCTACTCCGGCCTTCAACCGTCGGCGTAGACGAGCCTGCCTCCGGCTAACTGACTCCGCCGTCTCACGTCCGTGGCTCACCGCCCGGCGTGCTAGGAACGCGCAACTTAGGTAGAGCTCTCCCCGTCATCGTCGCCCTCCCGTCGTGGCTTGATTACTGCATCCTCGGTCTAGTTCCGCACACCACCCTCTTTTCACCCCCAAAACCTCTCACCATGCGCACTCCAATCGGTCGCCGACGGAGGAAACGGCTCCAAGCAGCGTTGCGTCTCAGCGACCAGGCCGGCACCGCCGAGGCGCGCACGCTGCGTGGCCACCTTTCGAATGGCACCCTGTTCCACCATGTCGCAAATCTAAATGACCACGACCCGAACTTTCGACCCAGCATCACGCACGCACGCCGCATCGCGGCCGCTATTGCTCCGCAGGCATCTCCCCGTGCCTGGCCCCCTCCTAGCCCCCACCACACACCCTCCCACCCCGCCTCCGCACTAGCCCCTCGACCCTACTGGGACTACGTGCCCCGCGACGAACGGGCGCCCGCATACCCGCACCCGTGCCCCCCACCGAGCGCTCCTTTCCCACCGCCCCCGCCGGCGCTCTCGGACCTCGCCGCGCTACCATCGGTCACGGCAAACCCCCCGCTTGCGGCGCGCGGGGTTGTCTATGTCCTCTTGTGCCGGAAATACCCCTTCTTTTACTATGTCGGGGAGACATACCGCACAGCGATCGAACGACTGCAGGAGCACTTTGATGCAGCATTCACGCACCATCCGAACGCCGTGCACACCCCGCTTTACGAGTTTATGCGACGAGTGTGGGCGCAGTCGCCGAACGGCCATGTCCCGTGGCGCGACTTCACCATCGTGCCCCTCTTTCGCATCAATTTCGCACGCCAGGTGCCCATCCCGCCGGCGACTAGCCCGGACGCTTTGAAGGCCTGGTTCCACAAGTTCCGCACCTACTCCCTGGCCTGGGAGCAGACCATGATACGCTGTCTGGGCTCCACATACCCCGGCGGCCTCAATTACTGCAAGGGCATGTGGAATTTCGGCTACGGAGCTGGCCACTCTGATGCTGCCCCATGGCCTCTATCCCCCCTGGCGTTCCAAATCGCCGCTGACCCCCACCCCGTAGCGATCCCCCACAACGACTTCCCCGTCCCGCCCGGCCCGAGTGGGCTCCCAGCGCTGGCGACCCTCTTCCAGCCAACGTTTGCCATCTCCTCCACGCATCAACGTACCATCCACCTCGACGCTGACAACTGCCTCACAACTACGGCACCAGCGTTGTCCCTGCCCCCCGCTATCGCAGGCATGTCTCCGCGCCTCGGTACACGCGAGTATATCTACCAGACTCGCCTCCTTCTTGACGTTGTTTTGTTCCGCCGCGCCGGCGACACAGAGCACGATCATTGGAGACGCGCGGTGAACCATTGCACGGCAGCGAACATCGGAAAATACCTCTTCTCCCTCCATCACTGCGTGTCGCACATGCATCCCGATGCGCTTAACCTGGGTCTCGACGAGCCCTTCTTGGTGGACTCCAGCCGCGGCATGCGTGACATGGTGACCGCGTATCTACATGACAACCCACCACGCTCAGCGATACATGCTCAACAACCACCTCTGCTGCTGGGCGCCGACATCAAGCGGCTCTACACGCACATCCGGCACGAGACGAGCGCGGACCACGGGACCGGCCTCATCGACTGCGTCATCGAACACATCGACGCTGTTTTTGCACTGCATCCAGGGCAACACCTCCTGATCGACTTGCAACCCGCGTTTGACGCGAGGGAGACGTGGTGGTGGGTGGCGCAGCTGCCGGACGCGGACGGCATGGTTGGGAAATGGGCACCGAGCATCGAGCAACTTCATGGTCTCGTGCACATCCTCGTCAAACGCGCCTACGTGGTGTTCGGGGGCGTCGTATATCACCAGACCTGCGGTGTGCCCATGGGGCTCTCGGCCTCCCCCCACCTCGCGAACTGCTACATGTTCCGGCATGAGCTCGCGTTCCTCTGCCAGTTTCGCGACCGCTGGTTGAGCACTGGCGACGTCGCTTGGCTGAAGGTCTTGGGGTCTTTCCGTTATTCCAGGCGCTACATCGACGACAATTTCTCTCTCGCGAACGCACTGTACCGCTACTTCAACACCCACCCCCGCCCCCCCACCCCGCCCCCCGAAACCCCGTCGTCGATCGTAGATCTCATCTCTGGTATACATAACATGTACCCCCCCTGTCTTGAGGTCGAATTTGACGCCCCAGCGAACCCGCTCGACGGTGTCTCCTTCCTAGACCTCCGCGTGCGTCCGCATCCCGAATATCAGGGCTTCCTCCTGATCTCGCACTATGACAAACGCGGTCTGTTTCCTGAGAACATTCACCTCATACAGTACCCCCACGCTTCGTGTGCGCTGCTGCGACGACACCTTTACAACATCGTCCGCACCGAACACATCCGCGTGTCCAGCGAGGTGACTGACCGCGACAGCTACGTAGCCAAGATGTCGGCCATGATGCGCTACATGCGTACGCATCGAGGTTACTGCATGCGACAGGTCCTGGCGATCCACCGCGCCGCCTGCCGGACGCACCCGAGCCCGCATTTTGGCCCTGCCACGCCGGCGGGCCTGGCTGACCTCGTGCGTCGCCACGTGCAGTTTGCAGACCATACTGGCCAACCTGCTGACAGGGCGTGCCCGGCGCCCTGCAACTCGTCACCCTCATACATGATCCCGGCGCTGCGAAGCTGGCTCGGAACTATCCAGCCATGCCCGCACACATGACGCACTCTGTTACCCCCCCGATGTTGACATGTTGGCCATGCGCGTATTCCGTGGCCGCTAGACCGAGGTATGATCCCTTTTCGCATGACAGGCCACGCGCGGGGACGGCGATGACGAGGAGAGCTGAGTAGCCGTCGGCGCGTCGCCACACAACGCGGACAATGCCGCAGACTCAGTCACCGCTGTCACCCAGCCGGCTGCCGACACCCCCTGGTACAAGCAGCCTAGGACGTGGACCAGCACTTCGGCGCGTCGGCTGGCGGGCGTCGTCCAGTACTCGCGCGGCTCGCCGCGTTGTTGCTGACGACGCCCGCCACTCACTCTAACTGATTGCAGGTCAGAGCCTTCCCTTGGCACATGATGGCACGCTCACATGGCATTTCGCGCGAGTACTCCTAGCACGCTGCCGCCTTGATCAGGACGATAGCACACCCGCATTTCGTTTCGTGCGCGGGTGGTCAATTACTACTCTATGGGTGGGTGGCGCGCGGCCAACTATCACTGAAGTGGTTGGTGCATGTGCTGTGGCGTGGCGGTGCGTAGGGTGCGGAACGCGGATCTCGCGGCGCCACGCGAGAGCATGTCGCGCGTGCGTTGTTGCGTGTGTGAGCGGTCGGTTCCGGTGGCGCCCGGCGACGCGAGCTGGTGGGGTGGCGTGAACCGGGGGGTCGCTAGGAGCGGAGCGCCGCGTCCGCGATGGGCGCAGACGACGCGTCGCCCAGGCAGTTCAGTCGTGTTGGATTGCTCGTCGATCGATTCAGTCCTGCGTCGAGACCCTGCATGGCTCGGCGGGGACGATGAAGCGTGCCGCTCTCGCGCCGCACGACGTCAACGTCGCGAACGTTCCGGACAAGGTGAGCGGCCTCCCTCGTTCCGAGCATATGATTCTATCGACCGGCGGGATCGACACATCGCGTAGGCGCCCACGCAGCCCCGACCCGCTGCTCACGATCAGCTGTTCTCGGCAAGTTCGCGCTGCAGGCTGACCAGTCCGCCAAGGGCGCGTTGTGGCGCACGGACCTGACAGAATACGTTCAGCAGGGCCGCGGAGCCAGCGGGCATGCGGAGAGGCAGCAGCTGGCTGCCGCCATCGAGGCATCTCCTGCCAGCGCAGAAGCTTGGCTGGCCTTCCTCACGCGCGAGGAGGAGTGCGCGCGTGTCTCTGGCTCTGGCCCGGCCCTCAAGCGAGGGAGGGTTCCGTTGAAGCGGCTGTACGACCGCTGCACGCAGGTGGTGCCCCTCGCGGGCAACCGGGCCTCTGACGCCTACCTTGCGCTCTGGCTCGGCCTCGCGCGACAGCAGAGCGCCCACGGGCTGGTGGAGGACGCGCGGGAGACGTACAAGAGTCTCAAGAACAACATGATTGGCACGAATCAGGCCGTTCTTTTTCAGGTGCGACGAACGAGCGCATCCCGGCGACCTCAACAAAATTCTTCAATCGGGGACTCTTCTGCGAACAGGCCTTTCCACCCCCCTGAAACCTACGAGACCGGCGAACCTCTATCGTTTCGTTACCCTGCAGGAGTGGGCGGCCTTCGAGGCGGCCTGTGGGCGTCACCGGAAGGCCACGGACATTTTGCGCAAGGGCATCGACGCAAACGCCAAGCCTTCCGCGCCCCTGCACGACCTGCTGCGATCCTTCGAGCGCAACTCGGCCATCGGCGACGAGCCGGCAGTGCCCCGGGGTGCAGCCACGCCGGCGCCGGGCCGCTCGCATGCGGAAGAGGCTCCGTCGATGGCGCCCGAGCACACGCTCCGCACCCCGGCGCCGCGAGCGGCCGCCGTCGGGAGCCTGCCAACGCGCACGCCGATCGGCTCGCAGGCCCCGGCGCCCGTCGCCCGCCGCGCCCCCGCAACTGCGCGGCGGCCGGCGACGCTCGCCACTCCGGCGCACGCCGACGCCCTGAACGGCGCCACCCCGGGCGTGTGCGGCACGGCCTCGGCGCACACCATGGCCAGCGTCGCGTCCTCGCGGTCGTCCGAGTCCGTCTCGCAGGCCACGAGCGCCACCGGACACATCCCTACGTCTTCGGCGCCGGTGCCGCGCTGCTCGGACGCCGGGCACGCCGGCGACGACGGCGGGAACGACATGGAGATCGACGAGACGGGGAGGATCGTCGACCGCGCCAGCGCCGCCCCGCCCGGGGCGTCGTCCGCGCCCCCACCGCCGCTGCCGCCAGGGGCGCGCAGCGACGCTGCAGCCGCAGGGCGGCTCGTCGCGCCCGGGAGCGTCGCGACCGCATCGACGGCGGCGGTCACGGCAAGCAGCGGTCACGACACGACGCGCGTGAGCTCGGCGGCGGCAGCGGGCGACGGTGCCGCCGGCGCGCCCTCCGCCAAGCGCCACCCGACGTTCCGCCGCCTCGGCCTGTCCGGCGGCGCCGCAAGGCGCGTCATGCGCTCAGAGGACGCGGCCCCGAGCGCGAGCGGCCTCGCGGCGCCGAGCGCGAGCGTTGCGGAGGTTGCGCTGGACCCGGTGGCGCAGGCGGCGGAAGAACGGCAAGTCGAACCGGCCGCGGCAAAGGAGGCGGAGGCAGGGGGCAGTCTCCGCGTGCACGACAGCGCGCCGGCCGCAGAGCGCGCGCAGCCCGCGCAGGAGCACGCGGCGAACCCCGCGGCGGCGGCGGCGGGGGGGTCGAAGCGCGCGCCCCTGCGCACGCTGGCGTCGCATCCGGCGGACGCGCAACCGGCGACAGGCGCAGCGAGCGATAGGGCCGCGCCGGTTTCGAAGGAGGGCGAGCCGCCCGCGCAGGCGCCGGCTCCCCCGCCGCCCGCCGCGCAGGACGCAGCGAAGGCTGCCCCGCGGCCCGCGCGCCCGGTGCAGCAGCGGCCCGCCGATCCATCGGTCCTGGTCAACGGCGTCAAGTACAAGGTGAGCGCGGCGCCAGCGCCGCCCCAGAGCCCGGTGCAACGGTCAACACGATTTCTTTCTTCCCTGGCTCGCGCTGCGTCGGGCAGCTCCGCCGCGTGCGTGGCGGCTCCGCTCCCGCGACGGCGGTCCATCGTTGCTGTGCGCGCAGGTGCTGGAGTGCGTGGGCAAGGGCGGCTCCAGCAAGGTGTACAAGGTCATTGGTCCGGACAACCGCATCTACGCGCTGAAGCGCATCAAGCTGGACGGGCGCGACCCCGAGGCCTCGCGGGGTTTCCTCGACGAGGTGTCCCTCCTCAAGCGCCTCCAGGGCCGCGACAACATCGTCCGCCTCATCGACAGCGAGACCCCCCCGGACACCCACCTGCTGTACGTGGTGCTCGAGTACGGCGAGACGGACCTCGCGCGGCTTCTGCACCGCCACGGCAAGGCGCGGCGCGAGCGCGGCGAGACGGGGTTCGACGAGAACTTCGTGCGCATGTACTGGCAGCAGATGCTGCGCGCCGTCGACGAGATCCACCGCGAGCGCATCGTGCACTCCGACCTCAAGCCGGCCAACTTCCTCGTCGTCGAGGGCACGCTGCGGCTGATCGACTTCGGCATCGCCAAGGCCATCAGCAGCGACACCACGTCCATCGCGCGCGAGGGGCAGGTGGGCACGCTCAACTACATGTCCCCGGAGGCCATCGCGGGGGGGTCCGGGACGGGGCCCGGGGGCAAGCCGGGCTTCAAGGTCGGCCGCGCCAGCGACATCTGGTCGCTCGGCTGCATCCTGTACCAGATGGTGTACGGACAGACGCCGTTTGCGTCGCTGCAGTTCGTGCAAAAGATCCACGCCATCACGGACCCGCGGCACGAGATCCAGTTCCCGCCCGTGGAGCCGAACGCGCCGGACGTGATCGACGTCATGCGGCGGTGCCTCGACCGGGACCCCCGCCGGCGCGCGGACATCCCCGCGCTGCTGGAGCATGCCTTCCTGCACCCGTCCAAGAGCGCCGCGGGCCCGACGGGGCCGCCAGCGGCGCCGGGGCTGTCCGCGGAGCACCTGCGGGCGATGCTGCGGCAGATGGCGGCGATCAACGGCCGGGAGGGCGCGGACGTGCATGCCATGGCGGAGGTCATCATGGGGCAGGTGGCGCGCGGGCAGCCGCTGGACCTGACGCAGTTTTTCAAGTAGGCGAGCGCGTGGCCGGGTCGATGCAGCAAGGGGGCGTCTACGCCTCGGCGCGCGAGACGGACGCGTGGAATGTTGGTTGGTGCGCACACATGTGAGGACAAGGGGCTGTCAGTCAGACGCGGTCCACAGGGCGACGTGGAGCTATTCGTGCGGGGCCTGGATGCCGCCTGGGGTGCTGCTGTGAGGGTTCGGGTCGCGTGCAGGTGGGGGTGGGGCCACAGTCAGTGGCTGACGTCTGTCGTCTGCGCGTGCGGGCGCGCTGGGCGTGTTGAGAGGCCTGGATGGGCGCACGCAGCGGCAGAAGTTGTCGGGATCGACGGCATTCAGCAGGCACCCCCGAAGGCGGTATCTTCCGGCACCCCGCGAGTGGGCTAGGAGACCTAGCAACAGCAGGGTTTCGCACAACGCTGAAAGGCGCCTTCAAGGGTCCGTGGGCCCCTGGCCGGCTAGATGGAGGTCGTGGGAGCCATTGACCAGGGGACGCAGTCCACTAGGTTCTTCCTGTACAGTAAAGATGCCAAACCCCTGGTCAGCCACCAGGTGCGCTGCATCCCTCGCGCGCTGTGCGCGCTGCAACGCGGAGAGACCCCGATATCACAGCTCCGGTTCTCGCAATGACATAGATATCCATCCGCACGGCAGCACGGGCGCCCAGGGTGCCGCAGGGACTGCAGCGGGGCACCGTGGACGTTGCAAGTCCAGGTCCTCGCTGTCCTTATTGCGAGACGCCACAACGCTTCAGATTCACGCTCCGCCTCGTTCTGACCAACGATATGACCAGGGGTCGTTGAGGGGCAGCCCCGGCCCCTGCGAGAGCGGCGACGGGCGCACCCAGTCCTGAGCATGGTCGGTGCTCGCAGGTGCCGCTCACGCAGCACTCGCCGCAGCCGGGGTGGTGCGAGCAGGACCCCGCCGACATCATCGAGTCAGTCTACAAGGCCATCGACGGCTGCATGGCGGAGGCGAAGTCCAAGGTCCGCGGCAGCATCAACCACCGCCCGCGCCCTCCTCCGCCGCCCCCGTGCCGCTACCCGCCGACCCCGATTCGCCTTTTCTCGTCCCACAACGCTTCCAGACGCTCAGAACCACCTCTCCGGCCCGCCAAACGCGCAGCTCGGGGACGTGAAGATCGTGGCGATCGGCCTCACCAACCAGCGCGAGACGACGGTGGCGTGGGACCGCAACACGGGCGCGCCCCTGTGCCGGGCGATCGTGTGGCACGACACGCGCACGTCCGACATCGCGCACCGCGCGTGCGACGCGTTCCTCACGGGCCACGAGCACTTCCGCGTGAAGACGGGCCTGCCTATCTCAACGTACTTTTCCGCCCTCAAGATCAAGTGGATGATGGAGAACGTCCCGGAGGTGGCCGCCGCCGTCGCCGAGGGCCGCTGCCTCTTCGGCACCGTCGACTCCTGGGTCGTCTACAACCTCACGGGGGGTGTCCACGTCACTGACGTCACCAACGCCTCCCGCACCCTCCTGATGGGCATCGAGTCCCTCGCCTGGGAGGAGGACCTGTGCAAGTGGTGGGGCGTCCCGATGGAAACCCTGCCCCGCATCGCGAGCTGCGCGGAGGAGCTCGGCCGCGTGGCGTCGGCGCGCGTGCCCCCCGCGCTGGCCGGCGTGCCCGTGGCGGGCTGCATCGGCGACCAGCAGGCGGCGGCGCTCGGGCAGCGGTGCCACGAGGGGCAGGCGAAGTGCACGTACGGCACGGGGGCGTTCCTGCTGCTGAACACGGGCACGCGGCTGGTGCGGTCGAGGAACGGCCTCCTCACCACGCCTGCCTTCCAGCTGGGCAAGGGCGTCGCGGCGCAGTACGCGCTGGAGGGGGCGATCGGCGTGGCCGGGCAGGGCATCTCGTGGCTGAAGGACAACATGGAGATCATCAGCAGCCCAGCGGAGTCGGAGACCCTCGCGGCCTCCGTGCCGGTGCGCCCACGCACGGCCCTGTCTGCGCGTGGGCGGCCGCTCGATCGGCACATGAAGCGGCTGCCCTGCTGATTGTCGTGTGTGTCGGCGGTGGCGTTCCGCGCGCGTGGGGGCGCTGCGAGACCCGTGCAGGATGTCACGAGCTGTTGACACGTGTGCCGCCCTTCGTCGTTCCCCGCAGGACTCGGGCGGCGTGTACTTCGTCCCGGCGTTCGGCGGCCTGCTCGCGCCGCACTGGCGCGACGACGCGCGCGGCGTCCTGATCGGCATGACCCTCAACACGCGGCGTGCGCACGTCGTGCGCGCCATGCTCGACGCCATCGCGATGCAGACCCGCGAGGTCCTCGACGCGATGCGGCTCGATGCAGCCGCGGGCGGCGGCGCCGGCGCCGACCTGGACCAGCTGCGCGTCGACGGCGGAGCGACGGCGAACTCCCTGCTGATGCAGATCACTGCTGACGCGCTGGGGCACGCCGTGGTGCGGCCGGCGCACCAGGAGACGACGTCGCTGGGCGCGGCGTTTGCGGCGGGGCTCGCCGTCGGGTTCTACACCCCCGAGGGGGTCTTCAACCGGCGCGTCGAGGGGGACACAGTGTTCACGCCGCAGGTGAGCGACGCGCAGCGCGTGGCGATGACGGCGGCGTGGAAGGTCGCGATCGAGCGCTCGCTCGGCCTCGCGGACCTGGGGAAGGCCACGGCGGAGGCGGCGAAGATGTGACGCGTGCCCCGGGGTTGTGTTGATGCAGTCAGACCTGGTCACCAGGTCTGACACCAGTGGTGTCGGGCGGCGCCTGGCGGTTGATTGCCTGGCGCGGCGGCCGCCTGCTCTCGTCGAGGTCGAGCTGCGGGCCGTCGGACGTCGCGGTGGCGATCGTCCGGGGGGCCGCTCCGCCATGGTCAGTGGGCTGCGGCCCGTGCGGGCGCGCCATGTGCTTCGTAGTGCCCCGGAAGTGATTGACGAGCTCGTGTGTCGAGCGAGGGTGGCCTGCAACGCAACTTGCGTCGCACCCACCGACTGCACGGGGCGCGGCGAAGGCGCAACCGCTGCGCTCTCCAGGGCCTGGGTCCCTCGGGCCTGGTGTGCGTCGCCAGGTGCAGTTCGTGAGCCTGATTCAAATGATTCAGACTCTACCTCGGCGCTGGGGCTGATCAGAGATGTTGCGCTGGCCGCAACACGCGCTGCTGGACGGAGGAGAGACTGGGGTCCTCTGCTGCCGAACAGCTCGGGATTTGCCCCACCAGGACGTTTCCGCGCGCTCCGAAGCCATCACGACTGTCCTCCAGATCGATATCATGTCGGAGGGGCAAGATTCACGCGTGTTCGTCAGCTTCATTCGTCGTGCGGAAGCCATACCTCGCGCACCGCTGCACAGCCGCGGTCCCTGCGCGAAGAAATCCTCAACGTCCCGAACGCGATCTCGGTAGCCCGGCTCCTCTCCTCGCCGCTCATCTTCAGCCTGATCGTCCAAGAGCGCTGGGACGTGGCGTTGCCGGCACTCGCGCTCTCCGGGGCGAGCGACTGGGCCGACGGCTTCGCGGCGCGGAAGCTGAATCAGGAATCCGTGCTCGGCACCTACCTCGATCCCGTCGCGGACAAAGCCCTCGTCGGCGCCACCGTCGCCGCCCTGTACGCCCAGGGCTCCCTCCCGCTGCCCACCGTCGGCATCATCCTCTTCAGGTCCGCCGCGCGCCTCTCAAACCGCGACGCGCGCACCGGGCACAGCCCTGTCGTCCAGCGCGCAGCCCGTCCCTCCAACCTCGCCCACGTTGCTGTGGACCTGCTCCATCGCAGGGATGTGTATCTCATTGGCGGGAGTCTTCTGGCCCGCGCCAAGCACCTGCAGGGGCACCGTCTCACTCCGAGGACGTTCTTCCAGCTCGCGCCGGGGCCCTCGCACGGCCAGGCGTCCGCTCCGGCGATCGAGCCGGTGCGTCCAACCCTCCTGAGCAAGGCAAACACGTGCTTGCAGTTGGCGCTGGCCGGCGCTGCGATCACGGGACAGGCGTACGGGGTGCCGCCGGCGGAGGCGATCGGTGCGCTGCAGGTCGCGACCGTCGCGACGACCGTGGGGTCGCTGGCGCAGTACCACCGACGTTTTGCCCGCGTGTGGGGGCGCCCGCTGGGCTAGGCACCTCGCGCGGACTAGGCGCGGTTCCCGCCCGGCGCCGTGCGCCTGCGAGGGAGGTCGCCGCCGCACACCGCTGCGGGCATGCCGTGGTGGGCGGCGTGCGAGGGCCTCGTGGGGCAACTGAGCGGCCACCTGCGGCAGCCAGCTCGGTCGATCGATCAAGCAGCCCGACTGACCGGCGGGGGAGGAATCGGCGCGATCAGTTCGTAAGACGAGTGAGGTGAGGTGTCACATTCTTCGCGTCGTCAGCCATAAGGCTTTGGGACCTGAAAAGATCATTCGACTAGGTGGCGAGTCATGCTAACCCCCCACCGTTATGGTAGCAACAGGTTCGGCAGCTGTGACAGAGTCAGCCTGGAGCAGATCCTCGATGCCACGAGCAAAGATCGCCATGCCTCGCTGATTCGGCAGGTTCAGAAGATAACGCACTGCAGCGTTGGCAGCGGCTTCCGAGTCGAGTGTTGCAGCGCCGTGTGAAGTGTGAAGGCCGGTACTTGCGCAGCGGGGGCTCGTGCGAGGAAGGGCCCGGGAGCGAGCACGTGACGCGGGCGACTCTTCCACGACTTGGCTATGCGAATCACACTGTCTATCGTCGGCTCTATGCCGCAGCACTTGAATTTCGCGTCGCGGATGGTGGTTCCGCGACTGTATAGTGTTATTTATGTTCACCGATCAAGTGTGCATGGGGATCGCGCTAAGAAGGGGGGGACAAAGAAACTAGGGATGCCTTGTCGCTGCACCAGCCCGACGAGCTGGGTCGGGCGGCTGCCGCGCGCGGAGCTGGGCTCGCGTCGCAGCTCACGACGGCGGCGCGGCCTTGGGCGCGGCCTTCTTGGCGCGGACCTTGGGCGCCGCGGGCGGGTCGGCCTTGACGGTGGTCGCGGAGCGGTCCGTGTAGGTCGTGTGCAGGAGCTCGTGCGCCTTGTGGCTGTTGGGCTCGCCGAACACCTCCTTGTAGATCTGCACCACGTCGGGGTTCTCGTGCGACTTGCGCGGCGTGCTGCGCTCGTCAATCTCGTAGATCCCCATCATGCGCTTGAAGGCCGCCATCGGGTCGGCCGTCTTGGGCTGCCCGCCGCCGCCGATGCACCCGCCCGAGCACGCCATCACCTCGACGAAGTCGTAGTGCACCTCGCCGCGCTCCATGGCGTCCACCAGGTTGCGCGCGTTGCCAATGTTGTTGGCGATCGCGATGCGCACGTCGCGGTCGACCGCGCCGTCCTTGCTCTTCATGTGCAGCGTGGCCTCCTTGACGCCCTCGAACCCGCGCGTGGGCGTCAGGTTGACGTCCGCGAGCGGCTCGCCCGTCACCACCTCGTAGGCAGTGCGCACGGCGGCCTCCATCACGCCGCCCGTCGCGCCGAAGATCACCGCCGCGCCCGTGCCCGAGCCGAGCGGGTCGTCGTACTCCTCCTCCTTGAGCGACCCGAGCGGGACGCGCTTCTCGCGCAGCATGCGGCCCAGCTCGCGCGTGGTGATCACGTAGTCCACGTCCGCGACGCCGGCCTCGCCCATGCCCGGGCGCTCGGCCTCGTGCTTCTTCGCCGTGCACGGCATCACCGACACCGAGATGACGTCCTCGGGCTTCACGCCCGCGCGCTCCGCCCACACGCGCTTGATCACCGCGCCCATCATCTGCTGCGGCGACTTGCACGTCGACAGGTGCGGGATGAGCTCCGGGTGCTCCTTCTCCACGAAGTTGACCCACGCGGGGCAGCACGACGTGAACATCGGCACCGGGCCCATGTGGTTCTCGTGGTCGCCCTCGGCGGCGGGGTGCCCGTCCGTGCCCGCCGCGGGGAGCGGGTGGTCGATCGACCCGGCCTCCTTCTCCTCCGCCAGCACCGCCGTCAGGCGCTTGATCAGCTCCATGCCCTCCTCCATGATCGTCAGGTCGGCCGTGAAGTTGGTGTCAAACACGTAGTCAAACCCGAGCTTGCGCAGCGCCGCGACCATGCGGCCCGTCGAGATCGAGCCGGCCTCGAGGCCGACCTCCTCGCCGATGGCCACGCGCGTCGCCGGCGCCGTCTGCACGACCACCACCTTGCCGCCGCGGCGGTTCTCGAGGTGGCGCTCCACGTCCTGCCACTCCTCGCGCTCGAAGATCGCGCCCGTGGGGCACACCGCCGCGCACTGCCCGCACTCGATGCAGTTCGTGCTGTCGAGGTCCACGCCCGCCGCGATGCCGATGCGGCGGTCCTTGCCCTTGCCGACGTGCTGCAGGACGTTCATCATCTGCACGTCGTTGCACACGTAGCTGCAGCGCCCGCACTTGACGCACCGGTCGAAGTCCAGCTGCAGCGCGGGGCTCGACTGGTCCTTCACCGGGCCCAGCGCGTCGTAGCCCTTCTCGTCCACCGCCTTGAGCGTGCGGTTGTGGTCGTCCGTCACGTGGTACTTGCGGATCAGGTCCTGGAAGTCGCACTTGCCGTCCGCGAGGCACGTCATGCAGTCGTCGGGGTGGCACCCCAGCAGCGCGTTCAGCTGCTTCGTCACGCCCGCGCGGATCGCCTCCGTGTCCGTGTCGATCTTCATCCCCGCCGTCACCTCCGTCTTGCACGCCGGCTTCGCCTTGCCGTCCACCTCCACCTGGCACAGCCGGCAGCTGCCCGGCGCGTTGTCCTCCAGGCGCGGGTGGTGGCACAGGTGCGGGATCTGCGAAGCGGGCAGCACGCGCGCGCCGCGGGTCGGCACCGGCGAGCAAGGGAATCTCCACGTGCGCCGCGCGGCGCTGCGACGGGAGGCCGCCGGCGGCGCGGCGAACGCGTGCCCGGCGACCAGCGGCCCCGCGCGCGGGCCGGACCGGCGCGTGCGCGGGCCGGAGGCCCCACGTGGGAGCAACGTGGCACAGGCGAGGCGGCGGCAGCCGTTGACGCGTCGCGGGGCCGGGCGGCGGCGCGGGCGGCGCGGCCGGGCGCGTGGGCGGGGCACTCACGTAGACGTCGACGTCGTGGGCGGCCTGCATGATGGTGGAGCCCTCGGGGACGTCGACCTGGCGGCCGTTGATCTCCAGGGTGACCTTGGGCAGGGCCTGGCGGGCCGCCTCGTCAGCGGCGGTGAACCAGATCTTCCCGGGCTTCTTCTCCGGGTCGTCGAAGGCCTTGGTGACGACCTGCGTGCGGCCGACGTGGCGGCGCGACGCGGGGTGGCGCAGCGGCACCTGCGGAGGGTGACACAACGGCAGCAGTTGAACGAGGGAACCTGGACCGGGCCGTGGACGCGTGCCCGGGCAGCGCCCCGCGCGGCGCGCGCGGATTTGCCCGTCGGGGGAGTGAACGAGGGCAGATGGGGGCCCGGCGGGGCCTTGGACGGCAATGTCGGCCCCCTGGACCGGGGGCGCACGTCGGCGCTTAGGCATGCAATCCCGTCGCGTAGGAGCGTGAAACCGGAAGTTCAACTGCGTTTCTAGGGAGCTGCGATACCATGAACGACGCGCGGCGCCTTCGTCGCCGAGGAGCGGCGCGGCAGGCGGCAATCTGCGGGCCATGCGTGCTGAGGAAAGACACGCACGGCGCCGCGGTGCGCTCGGGAGTGTTCGGGGGGCCGCCAACCCATGCCCGCGCAGCTACGATAACGGGGAGGCGAACGGCGGTGCGACGACGCCGGCGTCAGGCGCGTGTGCCGCGCGCGTGGGGTGCAAGGTTGCAGCGTGGACTGACCTGCGCCGCGGGCTTCAGGACGAGGTTGCAGCGCATTGCTCCGCCTCAGTCGATCGCTAGTGGTGTGTGTGGTGCTGTCCGAGGGTTGCTATGCCCAGGGATCGCCGGATGAGCCTCCGAAGTGCTGGTACGGTCGTTCGGGGAGTCGTTGACCGCCGCGTGGGCCACGGATCGCAGTCCGAGCGCTTGTGGAAGCTTGTCTTGTTCGAGAGTCTGTTGTTCGCGTCGTTCGAGTCGCTTTCGTCGCAGAATGACGGCCCAGCGCCGCGCGGCGAGCCCTTGACCCCGCACGCGGCCAACCACTCCCCCAGGTATTAGTCGCGCATCTCTCGCCTTCAGCGCGCCGCACATCAGGTCGCTCTAGTTAGTATGGGATATTGAGAAGCGTCCAAACCCAGGCGGTTGCGAGCCGGTAAACGCCCCTGCGGCCCCGGAATTCCCCGCCGAACGTGGCGCTCCGTCAGTTGGCAGCGAGGCGCGGCGTGAGCCGTGATAAAAGGATTCCCGCAGCGCCGATGGCTTCACACTTTATCCGAGCCCGCCGCGGGCCGCGTGACGCGCGGCCGGTCCTCCCCCAGTGGCGGCATCAGGGCAGGCCAGGCTGGTGGTTGTGCAAGTCGGAGGCGCAAGTGACCCCCGCCCGCGCCCCGCCGCAACCCACGCCCCGCGCCCCCCGGCCCCTACAGACGCCGGCCGGGCCGCACGGCGCTGCGAATCTCCGTGAGCATGTTCCGCAACTCCCCAATCCGCCCCGCACTGGAGCGCAGCGCGCCAGCGGTCAGTCGCTGCGCGCCCACGGGGCTGCCCGCCGCGATGGAAGCGCGCAGGCTCCTCGGCGTGCCCCCCGCCGACCGCACGCCCGACACGCCGCCGATCCCGTACCGCGACGCCCCCCCGGCGTGCGTCGTCGTCGTTGCCGGCGTCGCGGCAAACGACAGCTGCCGCCGCGGCGCCGCCGCCGCCGTCCCGGCCCCGACGTGCACGTTGAACTCGACGGGCTGCCCGACCAGCTCGACGCGCTCGTAGCCCTCCTCGAGCACCACCGGGACCTCGTGTTCCCCGGGGGCCTTGCGCCACAGTCCGTCCCCGACCATCTTCTGCTCCGGCGAGCGCGGCGGCAGCTCCCTGCGCGACGGCGTGATCACGGGGGAGTGCACCGGCCGCGGGACGCCCTCCGCGTCGAACGAGGCGTCGGCGGTGCGCGCCGGCGTGTGCGGAGTGTAGCCCGTGCCGCCGGGGGGCGCGGGCAGCTGGCGCGGGAGCCCCAGCGCCGGGCGCAGCGCTGGCTGTGTCTGCCGCCGCGCCACCTCGCCGAGCATTGATCGGATGTTCTCGACCCGGGAGGTGTAGGTGCGCGCGGGGGAGTACGGGACGCTCCGCGGCACGGTCCGCGCCGGCGTGGGCCCCGGTGCCGCCGTCCGGCGCGGCAGAGACAACGAGGACGCCGGGAGCCGCACGGGCGCCGCGGCGGGCGTCGCGGCGAGGCTGTGCGCGCGAGGTTGGCCGTGTGCGATGCCGACGTCATACGACGTCCTGGCCGGGGTCGCACGGGGCAGACGCGCAGGCTGCGGGCGCGCCAGGGACGCGTGGGCCGCGGCAGAGGCGGCCAGGGCGCGTGCGTCGGCTAGAAGATCGCGCGAGCGATCGTCCAGGGACGCTGTGCGAGCATCCAGGCCAGGATCGCCACCGCCAGCGCCACCGCCCGCAGCACCGCTGAGAAAGCCGACGCCGGCGTCGGCGCCGGGCCCGGGGGCGACGTCGCGCGCAGCGGCGGGAGCTGGTGCCGGGGCGTAGCCGAGTGCGCTGCCGTGCGCGGCGGTGGCGGTTGCCGTGGACGCACGAGGCGATGCGGCGGCTCGCTCGCCGGATCTGGCCGTAGGTGCCTCGGGAAGTCCCGCGGCGGGGGTCGGAAAGCCCGCCCAGCCCGCTCTTTCGCCGCCTGCGCCGTTGGTTGACTCAGGCTGGACGCCCAGGTCCAGGGGGGGTTCGAACTTGTCTCGGCCTGGTGCTGACGTGTAGGTGTGTTGGGGAACCACTGCGGCATCGGGCGCGGGTCGCGCCTCGGCGTCGCTGGCGCCTGTGACGGACGCTGTACCCGCGGGCGCGGCGCGCTGGCCGCCGCTCCCGCCCGTGGCACGAAAAAAATCCGCGGGCGTCGGGCCGTGCGCGGCGACAGGCACCGCTGACCATGGCGGGGACGCCGCGCCGTCCGCGGGCCGCCCGCTCGCCCCCTGTGCCGCTGCCGCCGTTGTTGGCCGCTCGTCCGCCACAAGTGCTGACTCCTGCAGCAGCTCGGACCTCAGCCGCTTCAGCTCTGTGCCCAGCGGGCCCGTCGGCGCCGGCCGGCGGTCCTCCGGCGGCCCAGCGACCGCCGGCGGCCGCGGCGGCGGTGGCGGCATGAGCTCCGGGCTCGTCAGGGGCCTCGAGGAGCGCTCCGGCCACAGCTGCGAGAAGTCGCGCGGCACCTTGGGGCTCGTCCGTCGCGGCGGCGAGCGTCCTTCCCGCTGCGCCTTGCGCGCCTGCGCCTTGGCGGCGCTCGTCTGGATGTCACCCAGCAGGCGCGACCACTCCGAGGTCCTGCCGCCGCTGGACGGCGCCGGGGTGCCCTCGGGGGCCCTGGCCGGGGACACCTGCGCTCCGATGGACGCGGCGTCCGAGCCCGGTGAGCCCGGGCCGCCCGGCTGCAGCACCATGGAGGGCGCGGCGGCAGCTCCGGCGGGGAAGTCGAGCCTGTGCGGGAGGAGCGCGCTCGCGTCCGTGTCTGCTCGCTCCATCCCGGCGAGCCTGCGGTGGCTCCGGCGAGGGAAGGTCGGTCAGGCGGCGCAGGTGGGCGTTGCGTTTCCGGGCCAGTGCTGCCCACGCAGCGCCCGTGTCTCACGCTCAAATGAGGCGCGCGCACGCGCCGTCCGTGCACGAGTCGTGCGTGGCGTACCCGTACGCCGGGGCGGGGGCCACGGCGGCGCCTGACGGCGGCGAGTCGATGTAGACGTTGAAGGTGACAGGCCTCTGGCCCGACATCTCCGCGGCGGCGCGCTTGGCGGGGCTCAGGGCCGACGCGATCTCGCCGGGGCCTGCCGGAGGCGACCGGAGCTTCGCGGTCTTGGTCGGACTGCGGGCGGAGGGGCGTGTGCGCGCCGGCAGACGTGTGTGTTGGCGCTTGTTGAGGGAGAGCAGCGAAGAAGGCGCCGCGCAGGGGGTCCGGGTCGGCCGTTTTCAGGCCTCGTAGCACGTCACTGTATCAAACATGCCTCTTCAGCGCTCAAACACGGAGGTTGACGCGTGCGCGATGACGAGCGAGCGCGGAGGTGCGAGGCTTGCCTGTGCAACCGTCCCAGGGGTCGCGCTCCCGGGCTCGTACGCGAAGACATTGGCACCGCTGTCGAGTACGTAGAGCGGTTGATGGCAGAAAGGCCCGCAGGCTGCGCAAGTCTCCCCCCGGAGAGCGCAGTATCGTGCACAAGCAGCACACAGCGAGAAAGCCCTGAATCCTCACGCTGACGAGGGCTGCGCCGCGTGTCGGGCCCCGCGTCGGCGTGTTCGCTGTGGTGTCGCCCAACCGTGCGCTCAGGCCATCACGGCCGACGCAGACGGCGCGGTTTCCGGCGTGTACACTAGCACCGAAGCCGGTCGCCAACAACCGTGCGCCCCGGAGAAGTGCACGCCTGTCCGACGGGCACCGCCTGCAACGCGAGGGGTGCGCGCCGGCCGGCGGCAACGAGGCGCTCGCGTGCCGGCCCGGGCCTGTCATACCGTCCCTGGTGTGTCGCGCGCCAGAGTTGCCGAGTCAGCTCGCAGAGACCTTGCACGGGGGAGGATGGCACGGGCCGCGGACGGCATGCTCGCACTTTGTTTGTGGGACTTGGCGGTTGAGAGGAGGTATCGAACGCTGCGATGGCACGTCAGGAGCGGTGACGAGGGTGAAGCAGATGGGTTCGTCCGGGGGCGGGAAGCGCGGCAGCGACGGCGGGATGCCGTCGATAGAGACGGTCGTGTCGAGCGATTCCGCGCGGCTCGCTGCGCAGGCGGTGCTCCTGTTCGTCGGGGTTCTGTGGCACACTGCCATGGTGGTTGCCGCTCTGCCGTTGCTCCTCGTCCAGAACGCCCTGCTGTCCATCGCCCCCGGGAAAACGCGGGAACCAAGCAGTTCTGTTCGGTTCTACAAGGTAACGTCCGCACGCCGCAGGTTGACGGCGCGCGACCCCGGGGCGCACCTGCGCGGCCATCGTCACCTCATCCTGCCGCTCCGCCCCCGCAGGGCAAGGTGACACACACGCGGCACTCCCCGAAGGAGCACTCCTTCACCTACGCCGTCCGGATGGCCGTCGTGTCGCTCGACCGCCCGCCCACGTGGTTCGCAGGGCAACAGCGGGACCACCTGACAGCAGGCGAGACCGCCGCCCCACGCGCCCGCGCGCCCCGCGCCGACGCCCCCCTGCGCGTGCGCCAACGCCCGCGTCCCGCGCGGCGTCTCCGCAGATGCGGCGAGGGCGGCGACGGGCACCAGGGGCCGCGTGGAGCTCCTGACGCACCCCGCGTGTCTCGGGTACGTTCAGAATCCGATCTCGGTGTACTACTGCCACGACGAGGACGGCGTGCTGCGCGCGTGCATCGCGGAGGTGACGAACACGCCCTGGGCGGAGCGGACGTCGTTTGTGTTCCGGCCCGGTCAGCCGGGTGGCGGCGAGCGCGTGCGCAAGGCGCTGCACGTTTCGCCGCTGATGGACATGGACGCCAAGTGGCGGATAGACACCGCGGAGCCGGGCGAGCGGCTCCGGCTGTCCGTGCTGTGCACCGAGCACCCGACGCTGCGCGGCCCGACGCGGGGGGGGGGGTTCTTCGGCGCGTGGCTGGAGGGGGAGCTGGACCGGGAGCGGCCCGCGGCGCGCAACGAGGAGGCCGGGCTCGGCACGCTGCTCCGGTACGGGTTCCAGCCGCACCGCGTCGCTTGGTGGATATACTCGCAGGCCGTGACGCTGCTGTGGAAAGGAGTGCCGTTTTACGGGCCGCCGGGGCTCGGGCCGCTCTGCTCGGCGTGCCGCGGCAGCGCACATGGCCATCCCAAGCGGGCGGACACGCAGGAGTTCTTCTGGTGGGCGCCCGCCAAGGGCTGGCCCTGGCAGACCTGAGCGTCGGCACCGCGCCCGCCCGCGTGCCTGGCGGGGCGCGGAGCCGCTCTGTCGACGAGCGGCGGCGCCGCGATCTAGCTGCCTCGCGCGAGGCTGCGCCGGTGCGGCGCGGGGGGGCGCCGCCCGTCCCCACGTGTGCCGCGGTGTGAGACGTCGAGCATGATGATGTTCATTCATGTGCGTCCCGGCGACTGCGGGCCGCGGCGGGCGGGGGGAGGCCGCGCTCATGGGCGGCGACCGCGGCGCCGCGTCGCGCACGCGGGGCGCTGCTGCGGGGCCGGTCGGACTGGGGGCCAGACGCTGGCTCGGCACGGCGCTTGTTGCGTGGCCCGCCCCGCTGGGTCGGCAGAAGAAGGACACGACGTGGTTGATGTTATGTTGCGACGAATGATCATAGACACAGCGAATTAGACACACACGCCACCGGAGGCCGCTTGCTTCCGCAATGCTAGTAGTCGAAAATGCCGTTGCAGCGGGATAGTCAGTCGAACTCCGGCCCGCATGGAAAATTTGGATCAAATGGCGGAGGCACGGGCGGCGGTCGCGGGGGCATGGTCGCCCTGGGCGGCAAGGTGCGCCACTCGCCGGTCTCCAGCCTCTGCACGGCGCTGGCTGCGCGCCCTCCCCCCGATACGGACGGGCGCCCGCGCGCGCGTTTCACAGTATCGGTGGCTCGGCCTCCGCGCTGCGAAACGATCGAGCGGGCGCCACCCTCGGTGGCGGGGGGAGCTGCGGCCTCATGCACTTTGTCGACCTGTCCTGAAGATTCTCACGTCTTGGCGACCCCCAGAAAGCCGGAGGACGAACTCCCCCACCCGCGGTGCCGGGAGGGGCGTCCGCGCATTTTTCCCGCACGGCCCGGCTGATACCGTCATGCTTTCGGCTGCTCTCTGTGGGCGTGCGTGGTCCCTGGCGCGGCCGGCGCCGCCGAGGGCCTACCTCTCCACGCATGGCGTCGGCTGCGCCGGTGCGGCAGCCGAGCTGGCGCCGCTGCGGGGTCGCAATCCCACCAGCTCCTTCGCTCTTCTCCTCTGCAGCGCGGCACGAATCGCTCGGGCTCTGTAATCGGCCCCAAAGTCGCAGTACCAAGACCTGTTAATTTGCCGTCTCTGCGCAAGGTACGCCACCGTCTCGCAGCCATCCCGCAACGCCACGGCGTTGCCTCCTCATCTACAGCAGGCCCCACGCCGACCGGCGCTGCAGCGCCGCCGCGAGCCGCACGCAGCGCCTCCCCGCATCCACACGCACCCGGCGCCGAACGTTCCGGGGCAGGATCGATCGCGGAGCGACCGCCCACCTGGCAGCACACTTGCCGCCTGCCCACACGCGCCACGCCCGCCCGCCACGTCGCCGCAGGAGCACGCCGGCAACGACCCTTCCACACAGCTCGTCAAGAACTCCACCACCGGCACCTGGACGCGGGAGCAGGCCGAAGACTCGGCCGCGACCGGCAGCCATGGCGCTGGCAACGGCGTGCAGGGCCAGCCCGGCGCCGCCGCCGCGGGCCCGCCCGCCGGCGCCGCCCCCCCGGGCCGCTCCAACTGGCCCGCCAGCCGCGCGAACCCCTTCGGCTCCGCGCAGGGCCGCCTGAACGACGAGCTGGACTACCCGACCCTGGAGACGGCCACCGTCACCGTGCAGCGGCCGCCCCCGCGCGGCGACGCCGCGGACGACTGGTCCGACGAGGACGAGCGCGGCGTTCCGCGCAGCCGCCTGGTGGGCCGCGACCCTGAGAGCGGGTTCGGCCGCGAGGGCGGGGGCGGGTTCCAGCTGTGGGAGGAGAAGTACGGTCCGCGGGGGCGCGGGGGCGACGACCGGTGGGACCGGCGGGGCGGGGGCGGGGGCGGGGCGGGTGGCGCGACAACTGGCGCGGGCCGGACGGGCCCGGGCGCGGCGGGAGGGCGGGCGCAGGGAGGACCGCGGAGGGTTTGGGTGGGGGGCTGAGCGCGAGGGGCGGGGGGGGTTCGGGTGGGGCGAGGAGCGCGGCGGGCGCGGAGGCGGCTTCGGGCGCGGGCGCGACTGGGACGACCGCGAGTGGGGCCGCGGGGGGGGTTCCGGGCACGACCGGCGCGACCGCGGCTGGGACGAGCGCGGCGGGCGCGGGGGGGGGTCCTGGGAGGACCGCGGCGGGCGCGGCGGCGGACTGAGGGCCAGGGACGACGACAGCCGGCCAGCGCCGCCGCCGGTCGCGCCGCCGCCGCCGCCGCGCGCCGGCCCGCTGCCAGCGGCGCCGGTGCGGCAGCCCGAGCCGGCGCCCGCGCCGCCGCCGCCGCAGCCTGCGCCGCCCGCCGAGGAGGAGCCCGACGAGGAGCGCGAGGCGTTCGAGAAGGAGATGCTGCGCGTGGCGGAGGCGCTGCGGCGACAGAAGATGGAGGGCCGCAACGGGCCGCCCGCGGTGGCCGCTGCGGCCGCGGAGGTCGCCGCCGCGGCCGCGGAGGCCGGCAGCGCGAGCGAGCACGGCGCGGCGCCACCGCCACCCCCGCCGCCGCGGCCGGAGAGCGACGCGGAGGCCGTGCGCACCTGCCTGCGCCGCCGCCCCCCGCCCCCGCCGCGGCGGCAGCGAGCCGCGCGGACCGCCTCCCCGCCCCCGCCGCCGCCCCGCCGCCGTCGAGGCGCGACCGCGTGGAGGGGCGGGCCGCGCGGGCGCCTCCGCCACCACCGCCGCCGCGCAAGGTCGCGACAGCGTCGTCGCCCGGCGCGGGGCCGCACCCGCAGTGGAGCGGGCCCGGCGACGGCGAGGGCGCCGCGTGGAGCAGCAAGCTCGCTGGCAACGGCGCGTCCGTCAACGCGTCGGCATCTGCGGCGAACCTCGCCACCTCGGATGCCGCGCCGCCGGCCGCCGCGCCGGCGCCCGCCTCGGCCCCGACGACGCCGAGCAAGTACGTGCCGATGCACAAGCGCCTCGCTGCGCAGCGCGAGACGGAGGCTGCGCCGTCGCCGCCGTCGTCGCCCGGCCAGCCACCAGCTCCGGCTGGGGCGGGCGCGCCGGAGCCCGCCACCTCGGAGCCGGCGGCCGCGCCGGAGCGCACGGTGCCGCTCGAGCCCGCGGAGTCGTCGTTCGCCGCGGTGCCGCGCGCGGAGTCGTCGCACGGGTTCGGCCTGAGTCACTCATGGGGGGCGTTGGGGGACATCGGGGAGGGGTCCCTCCACGGGGCGCGCAGCGCGACCGGCGGCGGGGACTCCGTCGCCGCGCACGGCCACAGCGAATCGCTCGAGTCCCTGGACGCGATGCTCTCGAACCACATCAGCGGGTCGCTGGCCGACCCCGCCGCGGCGGTGGCGAGCTCGGCCGCGGACGCCCCGCCGGCGCGCGGCGCGGCGATCGCGCCGTCGACGATGCCGCCGATGTCGTCGATGTCGATGTTCACGTCGGCGGGCGAGCCCGCGGCCGCGGTGGGCGGCGTCAGCGCCGGCAACGACTCATGGACCCGGCAACAGCAGTTCACGATGGACCTGTACCAGGCCTCGCTGCAGGCGTTCGGGAACACGTCGAGTCAGGACGGCGCCGGCGTGGTCGGGCAGGGCGCCGCGGCGCCGATGCCGGCGTTGTTTGGCGGCGGCGCGTCCATGATGCTCTTCGGAGGGCCGTTCGTGCCCGCGTACGCGAGCTCGTCCGGAATGGGCACCGAGCAGTACGTGTCGCACGGCGGGCAGCCTATGACGTTCGGGGGCGGGTACGCCGGGCCGCAGGGAGGCGGGCTGGCGTCTCCATGGCCAGGAACGGCGCCCGCCGCGGCGCCTGCGCACGCGCAGGCGACGCCGTTGTCGCGCGCGCTTGCCTTTACGAGCGCTGAGCCGGACCCGCCTGCGGCGCCGGCGGCCGGGAACGCGACGGTGTCGGTACCTGCGCCTGCGGCAGGCGGCAGGGCGCCCGGCGCGAAGCCGGAGGGTCCGATGGTGACGGCGGTGCCGGTACCACCGTCGAGCAGCGGTGGATCCCAGTCTGGATCGCGGGGCCCGTCGCGCGGGCGGTCGGCCCGGGGCGGCCGCGGCAATCCTGGCGGTGGTGGCGGCGATCGCCAGCGAGGCCGAGGGGGCGGCGGGGGGCGCGGAGGGCGCGGTTCGGGCTCCGGAGGGCGCGGCGCGCGCAGTAACGAGTAGTTGCCGCAGCGGCGGCATCGCTGCCGCGGAGGAGGGAGCGCCACATGCGTCGTCGTCTGGTGCGCAGCGCGAAGGGTGCGCAATTGCGGGAGAGCCGCGGCGGGCGGCCGCTGCTGGGAGGCGCAACGACGAGTCCTTAGATTTAGCGCGACGGCAAGCGCACCAACGCTTGGCCGGCCTTGTGCGGGCGTGATGCGGCGGACCGCAGGCCTGCCGCACAGCACGCACTAGAGCGCAGACCAGCAGCCGACGCCCGAAGCGCGCGAGCGGAGCCCGACCGCGGGCATGTGAGCGGCCACTTAGCAAAGCACACGCGGGTGGTCAATGACTTTTCACGCAGCCAAGCGAGATGTCAATCCTGGGACTCCGGAGGACCTCTGCAGCAGCTTCGCGCCCTTCTTGGTGGACTCCAGCCGCGGCATGCGTGACATGGTGACCGCGTATCTACATGACAACCCACCACGCTCAGCGATACATGCTCAACAACCACCTCTGCTGCTGGGCGCCGACATCAAGCGGCTCTACACGCACATCCGGCACGAGACGAGCGCGGACCACGGGACCGGCCTCATCGACTGCGTCATCGAACACATCGACGCTGTTTTTGCACTGCATCCAGGGCAACACCTCCTGATCGACTTGCAACCCGCGTTTGACGCGAGGGAGACGTGGTGGTGGGTGGCGCAGCTGCCGGACGCGGACGGCATGGTTGGGAAATGGGCACCGAGCATCGAGCAACTTCATGGTCTCGTGCACATCCTCGTCAAACGCGCCTACGTGGTGTTCGGGGGCGTCGTATATCACCAGACCTGCGGTGTGCCCATGGGGCTCTCGGCCTCCCCCCACCTCGCGAACTGCTACATGTTCCGGCATGAGCTCGCGTTCCTCTGCCAGTTTCGCGACCGCTGGTTGAGCACTGGCGACGTCGCTTGGCTGAAGGTCTTGGGGTCTTTCCGTTATTCCAGGCGCTACATCGACGACAATTTCTCTCTCGCGAACGCACTGTACCGCTACTTCAACACCCACCCCCGCCCCCCCACCCCGCCCCCCGAAACCCCGTCGTCGATCGTAGATCTCATCTCTGGTATACATAACATGTACCCCCCCTGTCTTGAGGTCGAATTTGACGCCCCAGCGAACCCGCTCGACGGTGTCTCCTTCCTAGACCTCCGCGTGCGTCCGCATCCCGAATATCAGGGCTTCCTCCTGATCTCGCACTATGACAAACGCGGTCTGTTTCCTGAGAACATTCACCTCATACAGTACCCCCACGCTTCGTGTGCGCTGCTGCGACGACACCTTTACAACATCGTCCGCACCGAACACATCCGCGTGTCCAGCGAGGTGACTGACCGCGACAGCTACGTAGCCAAGATGTCGGCCATGATGCGCTACATGCGTACGCATCGAGGTTACTGCATGCGACAGGTCCTGGCGATCCACCGCGCCGCCTGCCGGACGCACCCGAGCCCGCATTTTGGCCCTGCCACGCCGGCGGGCCTGGCTGACCTCGTGCGTCGCCACGTGCAGTTTGCAGACCATACTGGCCAACCTGCTGACAGGGCGTGCCCGGCGCCCTGCAACTCGTCACCCTCATACATGATCCCGGCGCTGCGAAGCTGGCTCGGAACTATCCAGCCATGCCCGCACACATGACGCACTCTGTTACCCCCCCGATGTTGACATGTTGGCCATGCGCGTATTCCGTGGCCGCTAGACCGAGGTATGATCCCTTTTCGCATGACAGGCCACGCGCGGGGGACGGCGATGACGAGGAGAGCTGAGTAGCCGTCGGCGCGTCGCCACACAACGCGGACAATGCCGCAGACTCAGTCACCGCTGTCACCCAGCCGGCTGCCGACACCCCCTGGTACAAGCAGCCTAGGACGTGGACCAGCACTTCGGCGCGTCGGCTGGCGGGCGTCGTCCAGTACTCGCGCGGCTCGCCGCGTTGTTGCTGACGACGCCCGCCACTCACTCTAACTGATTGCAGGTCAGAGCCTTCCCTTGGCACATGATGGCACGCTCACATGGCATTTCGCGCGAGTACTCCTAGCACGCTGCCGCCTTGATCAGGACGATAGCACACCCGCATTTCGTTTCGTGCGCGGGTGGTCAATTACTACTCTATGTCAATCCTGGGGTGCGCTGGCCCGAGCGTTGCTGTCGTTGCAGGACGGTCATCACTCAAGGGCTGCGCACAACTGCCTCGAGTCCACCGAAAGCGCCCGTCCCGCCTTGTCTTCGCTTGGAGTGTTCGCTGACCGTCTGCTCCGTGCTTCGTGTTGACTCAAACCATCAACAAGGAACACACCCGCAACGCACGCGCGCTCACATCGGCGCCGTCGCCGGAGCGCGCGCCCTCCCTCTCCGCGCAGCAACACCCCCCCGCCCCCCTACAGCCCCGCGGCGACCTCGAGCGTCTCCGAGAGCCCCGCATCCTCCGCATCCTCGCCCTCCTCGTCCATCGCCAGCTGCAAGTACTCCGCGGCCGCGAACCGGTCCCACTGCGACAGCTGCGGCGCCTCCTGCTCCTGCTGCCGCGCGAGGAAGGGGTCCCGGTTCTCGAACGCGATGAACTTGTTGATGTTGAACAGGCAGTTGAAGAGCACGCCCGCGTGCTGCCGCGACCGCTTGAGGTCCCGCAGCGTGAACAGCCCGTCGCGCTCGGGCTTGACCATGTCGGTGAGCTGGCACACGATGTCCTCGAACAGCACGGGCTCGTGCATGAGGTTCTCCATGCGGTGGACCTGCTCCTCGTAGAAGAACGCCGCCTCGTCCTGCGTGATCAGGTTGTCGCCGTGCAGGTCCACGCAGCGGAACCAGTACGCCAGCGCCATGTCCGTCGTCTTGTCCTCCTCGGACAGGATGAACCACACGAAGTCCTCGTAGCCCATGCGCCCGGGCGTCTGGCAGCGGAACTTGCGCGGGACCTGGTCGAAGATGCGGTCCACGATGCGGTACGTCAGCGAGTGGTTGCCGTACCGCAGGAGCGCGTCCTTGTCGATCATGAAGTCGTGGTCGCTGTCGAGCTCCCAGAACTTGCAGTAGATGACGTAAAAGTGCTCGTACGAAAAGTACCGCAACACCTTGTTGATGTCCTCCTCCTCGTCCACGCGCGTGAGCGCCTCCAGCAGGTCGCTCCGGTGCAGCTCCCTGCGCACCGCCGCCAACAACACACCGATCAGCGCCACACGCGCAACGACCACCACGCACACCCACACCTGCGCAGGCGCCCGCAACGCGCGGCAGCGCGGGAGGGCCGTGGCTCTGGCGATCGCGCGTGCGCGGGGGGCTCACTTGAGGGTGATGCGGCCGGTGTCGGACCGGTTGACGGTGTAGAGGATACGGTAGATGACAGTCTCCTGGTAGCGGTCCTGGAACTCGGGGGTGTCCTTGAGGAACTCGAGGCCCGGGTGCGTGTTGATGACGGCGCGCACGACCGGCACGAAGTCGTCGTACTGCAGGTAGTCGTTCTCCGGGCCCCGCAGGATGGTCCACAGGCGGTGCACGCGCGACACGGTCAGCGCGTCGCACCCCGCGCACCACGCGTCGAACTCCGCCTCCGACACCGTGTCCTTCTCCATCGGCGCGAGGCGGTCGAACAGCACGTACGCCACGGACGTGGGCATCTCGAGCACGTCCTGCGGGGGGCGCCGCGGGCAGTGCGCGCGTGCTGGGCATACGGAGCGAGCCGGCGGCGGGCGGTCGCGGCTCGTCGCGTGGAGCGGCGCTGGGGGATAGGGGGGCGAGCCGCGCAGAGGCGTCGCCCGGAGACGCCCGGGGGCGTGCGCGGCCGCGGCGTCTAACACGCCGCGCGGAAGTAGGTTGTGCGTGCTCGCCCCGTGAGGGTGCGCGGGGGCGCAATCCAGGGTCTGGGCCGCGGTGCGCGGCGGTCGATCGAAGGAGGGATGCGCCGCACGGGAGGAGACGGCCGTTGCGCCGCTGATTGCGCGGCGGGCGGCCGCGGGGCAGGGCGCTCACCTGAACCATGGTGACGAAGCCCTCCAGGTTCAGCCCCGGGCCCTTCGCGGCCGCGAACAGCTCCTTCTTCTTCGCCAGGACCACCTGCGGACCAGAGGGGCGCGTCCAGGGGGAGGCGGGGCGGCGTTGGTAAGCGTGGGTGTTGAACGCGACGCCTTGCGACGGCGATCGCCGGCGTCCTGGCGCGCGATGTACGCGGCCGAGGCGCGCCGCTGGTTGAGCTCGCCGCTCAGCGCGCTCGCAGCGCGAGCCGCACGGGCGCAGGGCCGCGGGGGCGGGCCGCGGACCTGGAGCTGGTCCTCAGGGGGAGGCTTGCCGCGCGGGAAGTAAAACTGCGGGATTTCCTGCTCCTTGTCCGACTCCCGCTTGCTCCCCGAGCTCCTCGACTGCGAGAGCTTGCGCAGGGGGCTCGGGACGAAGGGGCCGGGGCTCGCGCTCTTCCCAGGGCTCAGCGGTGGGTACATGGTCGCCGAGCTCGTCGGGCTGAGCGCGACGCCGTTCGCGCCCGGCGTGGCGAGCGCCACCGAGTGCAGCGGCTTGCCCTCCTTCGCATCGTCGATGAGCTTGAACGCGAATTTCTGGCTGTCGGGGAGGAGGAGCCAGTGCACAAAGAGCTCGTCGAGCTTCAGCCGGCTGCAGGGGAGTCGAGACGGCATGGTGCGCGTCCGCCCTTGGCCGCTCGAGCGCCCGGAGGCCAGGCGCGGCGCGCGCTAACCCGCAGCGCGTGCCCGCGCGGGCCCACTCCTGGGCAGAGCTTGGGCGATGCCACCTATTCGGCTGCGCGGACAACTGCCAGTGTTGTGCGAGGTTCCAATTCTGGAAAGTCGAAATAAGCCAATGTCGCGCCGGACGGGGCTCGCCGGCGGCGGACGAGGCCCCAGGCGACGCACTTGCCCGCTTCGCTCGTAAAGTCGCCTCAACGGCGGTATATGGGCAGCCAGGCACTACGTCGTCACCTGAGGCGCATCCACGCAATCGGTTGTGCCGAAGCCCAGCCCCCGCCGCGCCCGACGAGCCGCGGAAGCACCGCCTGGGGGTGAGACCTCCAACAACTCCGGGCAGCTGAATCGGCCTCGGTCGCACATCCGAGTCCGCGGCAGCCAGCAGCGTCCCTGGGCAAGGCCTGTCCCACTGATGTCCCTTTCGCGCACCGCCCGCGCCGTTCGTGCCCGCGCCGCGACCGCCCAAGTGCCAGATACTGCCCGCTTCACGCACAGCGCAACGCAGGCACCGCACGCAGAATGGTCCGCGCGCGCGCCGCAGCGCAGCACGCCGCATTGCCCTAGCTGCCCCCGTGCGCGCGGACGCCGCCGCTCGGCCGACCGGACTCCCCGCGAACGGAAGCGTCGGTTGATCATGTGCCCCAGCAGGCCACGACACAGTCATGCCGCCGCGCGGGAGGTCGCGGACGCGGCGTTCCGTGCCCCGCGGGAGCACGCCGCGAGGCCGGGCAGTGCCGTCGGTGCACAGTCGCGGGCCCGCATCACAGGTTCGGTCGCGCCGGGGCTCCTGCGTCGGGGCGCGGCCGCTACTGTGGTCGCTGGATCTTGGCGAGCGCGGCCTCGAGGCGGTCCATGGCCTTCTCGATCATGCCCAGCGACGCCGCGTACGAGATGCGCACCGTGCTGTTGGACCCGAACGCGTCCCCGGGCACCAGCGCCAGGAGGCTGTCCTGCAGAATGTACCGGCACAGCGCGTCGCAGTCCGGGACGGCGCCGAAGTCGGCCGCCGTGCACCCGGGCCCGAAGAACGCCGACAGGTCCGGCAGCGCGTAGAACGCCCCCTGCGGCACCGGGAGGCTGACGCCCAAGCAAACGCGGGCGGCGCCGCGATGGGCCCGAGCCGCCACCCGGTCACGTTGCGAGTAAGAAAAGCAGGTTGAACGTGAGCTGGGCTACAGCGTTGCCCCGACCGAGCACCGCAAGCATGAGTGAAGGTCATGTCGTGTCATGCAGCTCCAAGAGAGTCACAGATCCTTCGGCGATGGCTCGCCACGATCCTCACAGGACACCTCGCGCGGCTCAGCCAGCCGACCGTCGATCTGCCAAGCGAGTGTGGCTCTCAATGTGGTGCACGTGTGCAACCCGCATGGTGCCTGTCACAGGGGACAGTGCCACACGTCGGCCGGCGTTGCTGCACTCATGACCTGTGGATCCAGCAGTACGCGCAACCAGCCGTAGTAGGGTTGGGGCACCTGCCGCCGTTGGGATAGATCTTCTGGCACTGCCGCCCGTCCGGCCCCTCGCAGCAGCCGTGGTCCTGAACATCCCAGGACTCCTGGACGGGGTCGATCTTGCCGTTGATCTCGCACATGCTGCGGCACGTAGCATTTGCATCGAGAAGCGTCAGGGCAGTGCGAGCTTGATATGTCCGAGGGGGTTGGGGCTCGGTGCCGCGCCCCGGTAGCGTGCATGAGGTTCTCAGGTCGGGAGGCTCGCGCGGCCCCTTCCGAACGCGTCGGTCGTGATTGGCCCAGTGTGTCGGGCGTTGTGTAGTATGTGGACCGCTGTTAGCACGAAATGTCTCCCGTGGAAGGCCCGGAATGCAGCTTCGTCGGCAAGCAAGGTCGTGAAGGCGCAAGCGTCCCAGCGCTCCGCACCTTGATGCTTCGCTGCGTGTTCGCCCACAGATGGAGAGCTTGAATAGTGGTTATTCGATTCTGCCGCGACTTCGGCGCTGTGGCTCCCGTTCAGCCCCGGGCCGCGCACAGGAGAGGACGCCCCACAGCTCCTGGAGACCTCCTACAATCGTGCGACCCACGGCACCGTGCGGCCCCCGGCAGCAGAAGCGGCTGAACAGCGCGACAGCACCGTGTCCTGTCGAGACTCCAGGCGACCGCAGAGAGCTCACAGACCGCGGTGTGCGGCGGCGGAGCCTCCGAACCTGGATGTCGCGTTGCCCAGCGGTGCTGGGCTCATCCTTCCCCTGCTGTCGGCCCCGGCACCCTGCTGCACGAGCCGTGAGCTCCCTCGCTGATTTTCTACCTGCAAGATGCCCCGAAAGCACAAGTGACGCGCTAGCGCAAGGAAGAATTCCACACGCAACTGTGGTCGCTGGATCTTGGCGAGCGCGGCCTCGAGGCGGTCCATGGCCTTCTCGATCATGCCCAGCGACGCCGCGTACGAGATGCGCACCGTGCTGTTGGACCCGAACGCGTCCCCGGGCACCAGCGCCAGGAGGCTGTCCTGCAGAATGTACCGGCACAGCGCGTCGCAGTCCGGGACGGCGCCGAAGCCGTCCGCCGTGCACCCGGGCCCGAAGAACGCCGACAGGTCCGGCAGCGCGTAGAACGCCCCCTGCGGCACCGGGAGGCTGACGCCCGAGCAAACGCGGGCGGCGCCGCGATGGGCCCGAGCCGCCAGCCGGTCACGTTGTGCGAGGGAGAAAAGCAGGTTGAACGTGAGCTGGGCTACAGCGTTGCCCCGACCGAGCACCGCAAGCATGAGTGAAGGTCATGTCGTGTCATGCAGCTCCAAGAGAGTCACAGATCCTTCGGCGATGGCTCGCCACGATCCTCACAGGACACCTCGCGCGGCTCAGCCAGCCGACCGTCGATCTGTCAAGCGAGTGTGGCTCTCAATGTGGTGCACGTGTGCAACCCGCATGGTGCCTGTCACAGGGGACAGTGCCACACGTCGGCCGGCGTTGCTGCACTCATGACCTGTGCTGCCAGCAGTACGCGCAACCAGGCTCAGCAAGTCTCTGGCACCTTCTGCGGTTGTCCATGATGTACTGGCACTGCCGCCCGTCCGGCCCCTCGCAGCAGCCGTGGTCCTGAACATCCCAGGACTCCTGGACGGGGTCGATCTTGCCGTTGATCTCGCACATGCTGCGGCACGTAGCATTTGCATCGAGAAGCGTCAGGGCAGTGCGAGCTTGATATGTCCGAGGGGGTTGGGGCGCGGTGCCGCGCCCCGGTAGCGTGCATGAGGTTCTCAGGTCGGGAGGCTCGCGCGGCCCCTTCCGAACGCGTCGGTCGTGATTGGCCCAGTGTGTCGGGCGTTGTGTAGTATGTGGACCGCTGTTAGCACGAAATGTCTCCCGTGGAAGGCCCGGAATGCAGCTTCGTCGGCAAGCAAGGTCGTGAAGGCGCAAGCGTCCCAGCGCTCCGCACCTTGATGCTTCGCTGCGTGTTCGCCCACAGATGGAGAGCTTGAATAGTGGTTATTCGATTCTGCCGCGACTTCGGCGCTGTGGCTCCCGTTCAGCCCCGGGCCGCGCACAGGAGAGGACGCCCCACAGCTCCTGGAGACCTCCTACAATCGTGCGACCCACGGCACCGTGCGGCCCCCGGCAGGAGAAGCGACTGGACAGCGCGACAGCTTCGCGTCCTGTCGAGACTCCAGGCGACTGCAGAGAGCTCACAGACCGCGGTGTGCGGCGGCGGAGCCTCCGAACCTGGATGTCGCGTTGCCCAGCGGTGCTGGGCTCATCCTTCCCCCGCTGTCGGCCCCGGCACCCTGCTGTACGAGCCGTGAGCTCATTCGCTGAGTTTCTACCTGCAAGATGCCCCGAAAGCACAAGTGACGCGCTAGCCCAAGGAAGAATTCCACACGCAACCACTGCGAGCGACGTCGTGTCACGCCTGTACGACGGTGCAGGGACACGCCGCGAGGCCGGGCAGTGCCGTCGGTGCACAGTCGCGGGCCCGCATCACAGGTTCGGTCGCGCCGGGGCTCCTGCGTCGGGGGCGCGGCCGCTACTGTGGTCGCTGGATCTTGGCGAGCGCGGCCTCGAGGCGGTCCATGGCCTTCTCGATCATGCCCAGCGACGCCGCGTACGAGATGCGCACCGTGCTGTTGGACCCGAACGCGTCCCCGGGCACCAGCGCCAGGAGGCTGTCCTGCAGAATGTACCGGCACAGCGCGTCGCAGTCCGGGACGGCGCCGAAGCCGTCCGCCGTGCACCCGGGCCCGAAGAACGCCGACAGGTCCGGCAGCGCGTAGAACGCCCCCTGCGGCACCGGGAGGCTGACGCCCGAGCAAACGCGGGCGGCGCCGCGATGGGCCCGAGCCGCCAGCCGGTCACGTTGTGCGAGGGAGAAAAGCAGGTTGAACGTGAGCTGAGCTACAGCGTTGCCCCGACCGAGCACCGAAAGCATGAGTGAAGGTCATGTCGTGTCATGCAGCTCCAAGAGAGTCACAGATCCTTCGGCGATGGCTCGCCACGATCCTCACAGGACACCTCGCGCGGCTCAGCCAGCCGACCGTCGATCTGTCAAGCGAGTGTGGCTCTCAATGTGGTGCACGTGTGCAACCCGCATGGTGCCTGTCACAGGGGACAGTGCCACACGTCGGCCGGCGTTGCTGCACTCATGACCTGTGCTGCCAGCAGTACGCGCAACCAGGCTCAGCAAGTCTCTGGCACCTTCTGCGGTTGTCCATGATGTACTGGCACTGCCGCCCGTCCGGCCCCTCGCAGCAGCCGTGGTCCTGAACATCCCAGGACTCCTGGACGGGGTCGATCTTGCCGTTGATCTCGCACATGCTGCGGCACGTAGCATTTGCATCGAGAAGCGTCAGGGCAGTGCGAGCTTGATATGTCCGAGGGGGTTGGGGCTCGGTGCCGCGCCCCGGTAGCGTGCATGAGGTTCTCAGGTCGGGAGGCTCGCGCGGCCCCTTCCGAACGCGTCGGTCGTGATTGGCCCAGTGTGTCGGGCGTTGTGTAGTATGTGGACCGCTGTTAGCACGAAATGTCTCCCGTGGAAGGCCCGGAATGCAGCTTCGTCGGCAAGCAAGGTCGTGAAGGCGCAAGCGTCCCAGCGCTCCGCACCTTGATGCTTCGCTGCGTGTTCGCCCACAGATGGAGAGCTTGAATAGTGGTTATTCGATTCTGCCGCGACTTCGGCGCTGTGGCTCCCGTTCAGCCCCGGGCCGCGCACAGGAGAGGACGCCCCACAGCTCCTGGAGACCTCCTACAATCGTGCGACCCACGGCACCGTGCGGCCCCCGGCAGGAGAAGCGACTGGACAGCGCGACAGCTTCGCGTCCTGTCGAGACTCCAGGCGACTGCAGAGAGCTCACAGACCGCGGTGTGCGGCGGCGGAGCCTCCGAACCTGGATGTCGCGTTGCCCAGCGGTGCTGGGCTCATCCTTCCCCCGCTGTCGGCCCCGGCACCCTGCTGTACGAGCCGTGAGCTCATTCGCTGAGTTTCTACCTGCAAGATGCCCCGAAAGCACAAGTGACGCGCTAGCCCAAGGAAGAATTCCACACGCAACCACTGCGAGCGACGTCGTGTCACGCCTGTACGACGGTGCAGGGACACGCCGCGAGGCCGGGCAGTGCCGTCGGTGCACAGTCGCGGGCCCGCATCACAGGTTCGGTCGCGCCGGGGCTCCTGCGTCGGGGGCGCGGCCGCTACTGTGGTCGCTGGATCTTGGCGAGCGCGGCCTCGAGGCGGTCCATGGCCTTCTCGATCATGCCCAGCGACGCCGCGTACGAGATGCGCACCGTGCTGTTGGACCCGAACGCGTCCCCGGGCACCAGCGCCAGGAGGCTGTCCTGCAGAATGTACCGGCACAGCGCGTCGCAGTCCGGGACGGCGCCGAAGCCGTCCGCCGTGCACCCGGGCCCGAAGAACGCCGACAGGTCCGGCAGCGCGTAGAACGCCCCCTGCGGCACCGGGAGGCTGACGCCCGAGCAAACGCGGGCGGCGCCGCGATGGGCCCGAGCCGCCAGCCGGTCACGTTGTGCGAGGGAGAAAAGCAGGTTGAACGTGAGCTGAGCTACAGCGTTGCCCCGACCGAGCACCGAAAGCATGAGTGAAGGTCATGTCGTGTCATGCAGCTCCAAGAGAGTCACAGATCCTTCGGCGATGGCTCGCCACGATCCTCACAGGACACCTCGCGCGGCTCAGCCAGCCGACCGTCGATCTGTCAAGCGAGTGTGGCTCTCAATGTGGTGCACGTGTGCAACCCGCATGGTGCCTGTCACAGGGGACAGTGCCACACGTCGGCCGGCGTTGCTGCACTCATGACCTGTGCTGCCAGCAGTACGCGCAACCAGGCTCAGCAAGTCTCTGGCACCTTCTGCGGTTGTCCATGATGTACTGGCACTGCCGCCCGTCCGGCCCCTCGCAGCAGCCGTGGTCCTGAACATCCCAGGACTCCTGGACGGGGTCGATCTTGCCGTTGATCTCGCACATGCTGCGGCACGTAGCATTTGCATCGAGAAGCGTCAGGGCAGTGCGAGCTTGATATGTCCGAGGGGGTTGGGGCTCGGTGCCGCGCCCCGGTAGCGTGCATGAGGTTCTCAGGTCGGGAGGCTCGCGCGGCCCCTTCCGAACGCGTCGGTCGTGATTGGCCCAGTGTGTCGGGCGTTGTGTAGTATGTGGACCGCTGTTAGCACGAAATGTCTCCCGTGGAAGGCCCGGAATGCAGCTTCGTCGGCAAGCAAGGTCGTGAAGGCGCAAGCGTCCCAGCGCTCCGCACCTTGATGCTTCGCTGCGTGTTCGCCCACAGATGGAGAGCTTGAATAGTGGTTATTCGATTCTGCCGCGACTTCGGCGCTGTGGCTCCCGTTCAGCCCCGGGCCGCGCACAGGAGAGGACGCCCCACAGCTCCTGGAGACCTCCTACAATCGTGCGACCCACGGCACCGTGCGGCCCCCGGCAGGAGAAGCGACTGGACAGCGCGACAGCTTCGCGTCCTGTCGAGACTCCAGGCGACTGCAGAGAGCTCACAGACCGCGGTGTGCGGCGGCGGAGCCTCCGAACCTGGATGTCGCGTTGCCCAGCGGTGCTGGGCTCATCCTTCCCCCGCTGTCGGCCCCGGCACCCTGCTGTACGAGCCGTGAGCTCATTCGCTGAGTTTCTACCTGCAAGATGCCCCGAAAGCACAAGTGACGCGCCCAAGGAAGAATTCCACCCGCAACCACTGCGAGCGACGTCGTGTCACGCCTGTACGACGGTGCAGGGACACGCCGCGAGGCCGGGCAGTGCCGTCGGTGCACAGTCGCGGGCCCGCATCACAGGTTCGGTCGCGCCGGGGCTCCTGCGTCGGGGGCGCGGCCGCTACTACTGTGGTCGCTGGATCTTGGCGAGCGCGGCCTCGAGGCGGTCCATGGCCTTCTCGATCATGCCCAGCGACGCCGCGTACGAGATGCGCACCGTGCTGTTGGACCCGAACGCGTCCCCGGGCACCAGCGCCAGGAGGCTGTCCTGCAGAATGTACCGGCACAGCGCGTCGCAGTCCGGGACGGCGCCGAAGCCGTCCGCCGTGCACCCGGGCCCGAAGAACGCCGACAGGTCCGGCAGCGCGTAGAACGCCCCCTGCGGCACCGGGAGGTTGACGCCCGGGATGGCCTGCAGCCGCGACACCACGTAGTCGCGCCGCTTGCGGAACGCGTCCCGCATCGCCGCGACCTCCTCGCCCCCGCGCGGCCCGAACTGGAACGCCGCCATCGCCGCGCGCTGCGCGACGCTCGACGCGCCGGACGTCGACTGCGACTGGATGATCGCACACGCCCGCGCGAACGGACGCGGCGCCGCGATGTACCCGAGCCGCCAGCCGGTCATCGCGTACGCCTTCGAGAATCCGTTGACCGTCAGCGTGCGCTCCCACATCCCCGGGAGCGACGCGAAGGAGTGGTGTTCCGCGGGCTCGTACACGATGTACTCATAGATCTCGTCCGACAGCACCAGCAGCCGGGGGTGCTCCCTGCGCCACAGGAACCAACGCGCGCTGCGAGTGTGCGCGACGTGCGCGGGGTGTGCGGCGGGCTGTGTGCGTGAAAGCAGGGGGGGGGAGTCTCGTGCCTGATGACGTCTGCGAGGGCTTCGAGCTGCGCGCGGGTGTAGACCATGCCCGAGGGGTTGGAGGGCGTGCAGAGGATGAGCAGACGCGATTGCGGGGTCAGGACGGCGCGCAGCTTCTCGGGCGTGAGGAGGTAGTCCTCTTCCGCGGTGGTGTCGACGATGACGGGCTTCGCGCCCGACAGGCGGGCCATCTCGGGGTACGAGACCCAGTACGGCGCCGGGATGATGACCTCATCGCCCTCGGCGACCGTCGCGAACACGCCCTGCCAGACGGACTGCTTGGCGCCGTTCGACACCACGATTTCTGTCATGGGATCATACGAGATGCCGTTCTCTTGCTCGAGCTTCTCCGCGATGGCCAGCAAAAGCTCCGTCGTGCCTGCGCAGCACCAATATCGCCGTGTTGCGACGGTTCGGCGCTGTGTGCGGCGACGTCTCGAACATCGCGTACGTGTGTGCTGTGAGACAGCGCGTGCTGTTCCGTCTCTGGGCCCGTGGCGCCGGTGCGGGACGTGCGGCCCGGCTGCGGCCGCGGGCCCGGTGTGGCCAGCGACGCCGGCTCGGTCGCTGCGTGCGCACCAGCGTTCGGGGTGTAGCGCGTGTAGCCTTCCTTGATCGCTGCAATGCCCGCGGCCGAGATGGCCTCCGGGGTGTCGAAGTCCGGCTCTCCGGCCGCCAGCGCAATGACGTCCTTCCCCTCCTCCTTGAGCCGCCTGGGAGCGCGACAGGTGGCGCAGGCGGGACAGAGCGAGGTGAGATTTGCTGTGCCGCCGAGCACGGAGCGAACGAGCGGTCCAGACCGAACGAGCTTGCGCAGCGGGCGACGCCTGGCATGTCGGGATCACGTCGAGTCCGGCGATGTGAGTTTCGCTGCGTCTCGCACCTCGCGAGGTCCGTGAGAGCCATCGTCTTCGAGGGCTGCACCAGGGCGAGCCTGGGGTTCAGGGACATGTCGACGCTGTATGAGCTCTTCGACGCCGCCATCCTGACGCGGTGGGAGACTGTCGCGCGGTCGGAAGTCCTCAGTGATCGCTGCGGGGCCGCGCAACGCCGACTTGGGAGCAAGGCCGTGCTACCGCAGGCGTTCCCCGACAGCGGCGGCGTCATGTCCGGCACCGGACGTGCCTGTGTGCGCTACGGAGTCACGGACGCGGACGCGGCGGGCCGACCCCTGCCGGGCGACGCGTGCGGAGCGACCAGCTCCTCTCCACAGGCGACGGGACGCTGCTAACCCGACCCCGCTCGTCGCTTTGATTCGACGGGGTAGTCAGCGCCAACGTGCGCATGTCTCGGGCTCGAACCGGGCAACGAGCCTCTCCCCGCGACCGCTGCAGGGCTGTCGGTCCTGAGACCACCCCACGGGGGCGACGCAGGGCCGGCGCGGAGCTGCGGGCCACAATGCGGTGCGCCCAGCGGCCCCCGAGGTCGAACGCTGATCGCCTCTGCGCTTGCTCTCGTCCGCACCCCGGAGCCGAGCGACGATGCCGCTTCCCTCCCCCCTGCAGTGCCGCAGCCCGGCCCTCCCGGCACGGGTCCTCCTGGGCCGGCGGCCGGCGCAGCGGGGCAACGCGCTGATCGTGTGCATGGGCCGCCGAGCCGCCAAGGTGCGCGACCTGCCCGCAGGCTGACATCCGACGTGCGCTCCGTGCCTGCCGCTGGCCACGACGAGACGCGGCAATTGCGCCCCGCCGCCGCCGCCGCAGATCGCGAACAGGAAGGGCAAGGCGGACGCGGCCAAGGCGAAGCTGTACGGGAAGTTCGGGAAGCTCATCATCCAGGTGCGGCCTCTGCGGAGCTGCGCGCTGCCGGGACCGCGTGGCAGGTTCATCTGCGCGGATGGCTCGACGCGCGCAACGAGCCGTCCTCAGACGCCCGCACCTTCCCCGCACAGTACTGAGAGACACGCGGGAAGTTCGCGCAAGGGCGCTGGTGCGGTCCTGCGGGCGCGCCAGGCGCTCGGCACTGCGGCCACGCGCTGCTGCCGCTGTGTCTTTGCGAGGCGGGACGCCCTCATTCCCGCGCGCACCGCAGGCGGCGAAGGAGAACCCGGACCCGGAGAGCAACGCCGCGCTCCGCGACGTCATCGCGCAAGCCAAGAGCGCGGGGTGCCCGAAGGACATCATCGACCGCAACCTCTCGCGCTCCAAAGACAAGAGCGGCGCGGACTTCCAGGAAGTGACCTACGAGGCCTACGGCCCCGGAGGCAGCGGTGCGTCCCCGCAACCCCGCCCCACGCGCACGCGGCCCCCATGCCGTCGATGCACACAGCGGAACAGCTGCCATCCAGCTGCTGCCTGTGTCTCTGCCGCTGCCCTGCCTCGGGAGGCGGACAGGGCGGGCACAGCGCTGCTGTCCGCGGCGGCGCGCCTCCCGTGCGGCGACCGGCGCATGGGCGCCCGCCCGCGCTCGCGAGCAAACCGCGGTGTGTGTTCCCGGGCGCGGCCCTCGCGCGGCCCCGCAGGGTTCATCGTGGAGTCCCTGACGGACAACGTGAACCGGACGGCGTCGGACGTGAAGAGCACGATCACCAAGGCCGGGTGCAAGAACGCCGAGCCTGGGTCGGTGCTGTTCAACTTCACCAAGCGCGGCGTGGTGGTCATTCCCGCGGAGGGCGTGGACGAGGAGCAGCTCTTCGAGGACGCGGTGGACGCCGGGGCGGACGACATCGTGCCGGGGGACGACGTCGAGGGGGGGTCGTTCCGCGTGGTGACGGAGGTGGAGGACTTTGGGGCATGCTTCAAGGCGCTGTCGGACAAGTACAACACGCAGGCGCGTGCGCTGCTGCTGCGGCCGCGCCCGCCGCGCGTTGCGTGCGTGGGCCTGGGTCTGACTGAGTTCACGGCGCGTGTCGAGGAGTGCAGAAGGAGGAGAGCGGGCTGAAGTGGATCCCGAACACGGAGGTGGAGCTGGACGGCGAGGACATGGGCACGTGCGAGGACCTGTTCGAGAAGCTCCTGGAGCTCGACGACGTGGACGCGGTGTACGCCACCGTGGCGGGGCTGAACAACTAGCGCGGCACCCCGGGGGGGTGTCGCTGCTACGGCGGCGGCGGCAGCGACGCCGTGCCTGTTTCATGCGCCCTGGCTGCTGAAGTCTCGCACGAGGCGCCGTGATGGCGGGCCTCCGTGTAGGTGTGACATCACTGGCCCACGGGTGCCCGCGCGGGGCAGCCGCGATCCACGGTCGCCCATTTTCTGCGCGGCCGATCAGGCCCTGAAGTGGGCGGCCGTTTGCGGCCCAGACATGCAGTCGTGGCCCCCGACTCCGATCGCACATGGCAGTGACACAGCCCTGCATGTGCCCCCTCTCCCACGCGCAGTGGACGAGCTTGCGCAGCCGGCGACTGGGCGCAATCGACGGCGTTCTATGACAGGTCGCGCAAGCTCGATGTCGGAGTGGGTGAGGAGTCCCCCCTGCGCCCCCGTTGACGTCAGTCGGCCTCGTCCCCTCGAGGCGCCTCGCGGTCAATGCCGGGCGTCGCAGGCCCCGCGCGCCAGAAACGACGGGGCGAGCGTGGTTTCCTGCACCGCGGACCTCGCACACCAGCGTTCTGAGCCCCGCAGCGGCCCGACACCGGCCAGCCGGTGCCCCTGGGCAGGCGACCGAGCCCACACCGGGGGCAGCGCCCGCCCTCGAGGCACTTGTGCGGCCATGACGGGCGTACGCGAGTCCGTCGAGCTCATGCGGAGCCAGGGCCCCAAGCACGACGAGCCCCTGGCCGACATTCTCGACAAGCTGCGGGCGGACCAGGCTCCGGGCTCCATCGAGCAGATATGCCGCTCGCAGGAGGCGCGCTGCCTGAAGCTGAAGGGGCAGCTCAACAAGGCGATTGCGCGGCGGAAGGCCAAGGTGGAGCACCTGAAGAAGGTCCGGGCGCAGCTGGGCCTCCTGGACAAGGAGACGCTCGACGAGAGCGAGGTCGCGAGCCGGCTCGCGGAGCCCTCCAGCTCGTTCATCGGCGGGGCCATGGACTCGGAGCTCGACCTGGACATGTCCTTCGGCGCCTCCAAGATGGACCTGCAGCCGTCCACCCTCGGCGGCGCCTCGGCCATTTCCGCGACGAACGTGTCGTACGAGACCCAGAAGGCGCGCATCCAGAACAGCATCGAGATGCAGCTCTTCAAGGCGATGGAGGAGGAGCGGCTCGGCAAGTCCTACAAGCAAATCCACAGGTGCCGTCCTCGCCCCAGGCCGGCCAGCATGCACCCCCGCGCCGCGGCCCCCGCGAGCCCCCGCCGCCCCCGGGCGCCCGAAACACTCCGCAAGCACCCAGACGCACCGGAGCCGCCGCGCACAGGCCGCCCCGCCCCGCGCAGCGCCCCGTTGCCCGCACGCACATGCGTGGCGGGAACCTGGGATGCCCGTCGCTTCGCGGCGCCCCCGCGGCCCCACCGGCGCCTCCCGCGCACCAGCATGACGCCACATTCTTTGTTCGTGCTCGTGGCCGCGTCCAATGGCGACACGTTGCCGGCGCACGTCCGCGCGGGCCGGTCTCCTGCCCCCACACATGGATACGATTCTGCCGCCGACACGCCGCTCCTCGGGGCCGTCTTGCAGCGCCGCGTGATCTCAATTGTGTATTTCTTGCCAGCTGTTCGATGAGCGCTGCCGGGAACGCGCCCAGGGCCCCGGACGCTGGCTCTTTCCCCCACCCTGCTTCACCCGCGCCGTTGCTGCTCGCCCCGCGCGCGCACCGCGTCGCTCGCACGCCCGGCGTGGCGAATCTAGCTCCGGGCGCCGGCTTCTCGCCCCGGGCGCCCGCCGGGTCCCCGCTGCGGCCCGTCCGGCGACCCAACTGTGTGCCCCGGTGTGCGTGCCGCTCTCGCAGGCGTCTGAAGGACGAGCTCACGATCCTGAAGAAGAGCGCGGACGACATCAAGACCGCGGTGGAGGACTACCAGGACGCGATGGAGCAGGAGCGCCTCCGGCTGCGCAGCGCCAACCAGTCGCGGCGCGAGGCGGTCAACCTGTGGAAGGAGGTCAACCGCGTCAAGGAGGAGAGCGCGAAGCTCTGGCAGCACAAGATGTCCGCGAGGGAGCGCGTCGCAGAGAAGGTGCGCTCCCGCGGCGCACGGCCTTGCCCCCGCGCTTCGCCCGGTCGACGCCGCTCGCGTCGCGCCTGGGTGTCGCGCGGCCGACCCGCGGCGGCCCGGAGTCCCCTCGCGCAGGTCATCAAGGAGCGCACGGAGCTGGAGAACCGCGCGATGGAGCGCGAGAAGGCCCGGCGGCGCGCGCAGATCCAGCAGAAGCGCACGCAGACGGGGAAGCACTCGCAGGCGGCGCACGCGGAGCAGGCGCAGCGCGGCGCGGCGGCGGAGTCGGAGGGCGCGCTGGAGCCCGGGGACCCGGTGGCGGAGCTGGCGGCGCAGGGCGACAAGCTGGACCCCAAGGTGAAGGCGTCGGTGGAGGTGTATGAGAAGATGCAGCACCTGATGCGGGGGATGAAGGTCGCGGACGAGGGGCCGGACTCGCTGTACAACAAGATGACCGACATGCAGGACAAGGGCGCGACGGCGAAGGAGCAGGCCGCGGCGCTGGAGGCGACGCTGAACGACCGCAACGAGGTGCTGCGGGGCCTGACCAAGGAGCGCGACGCGCTGCGCCTGGAGGCCGCGGGCGGGGACGTCAAGGGGCTGGAGGAGCTCAAGCAGCGCGAGGACGAGGTCGCGCAGGCGAGCGCGAGCGCGGCGCGCGTGCAGCGGCAGATGAGCCGGCTGGAGGCCACCCTGGCGCAGGTGCTGCTGGGGATCCGGCTGCTGGGCGGGCGCGTGGACCAGGTGCTGCCGGAGGTCATGCGGGACTACGTGGACCAGAAGGACTTCAAGCCGGACCTCGGGACGGTCGACGAGAACAGCGACCGCCCGGGCAGCAAGGGCGTGGACGGCGACGACACGCGCCTGGCCGAGGAGGTCTCCACGGCGTGGAAGCGCCTGCAGGAGCGCATCGAGATGGTCATCGCGGCCGAGTGGCCCAAGGCCAAGCCGTCGGACCTCCCCGCGGAGATCAACGCGGACCTCGCCAAGTCGGCGTCGCGACAGCGGCTCATGTCCGGGGCGTCGCGGCAGCACCTCGAGAGCGAGCCCTCGGAGGCGCAGAGCGGGAAGGGCTCGCCGCTGCCGGGCAAGGAGGCCTCGAAGGCGTCGCTCACGCGCGGCGAGGAGGAGCGCAAGAGCCTGCGCGTGATGCGGGCCAACCGCTCGATGTCGTCGGCGAGCCTGAAGAAGCGCCTGGGCATCCCCGGGCAGCACCCGTCGGACCCGAACAACAAGGTGATCCTGCGGACGCGGTCGAAGCTGCGCTCGGTGCAGCAGGAGGGCATGAAGCACAACATCCGCATCAAGCTCGAGGGGGAGTCGGACGAGTCCTCCGAGGAGGAGCACGAGCACACCGAGGTGAACCCGCTCGCGAGCCTGCTGCACCACCGCCGGCACAACAAGGACGACGACGTCCTCGACCGCCAGACGCTCAAGGCCAAGTCCAAGGCGCTGGCGGAGAAGCACGCGCCCAAGCACAAGGACTCCAGCGCGGCGTGATGGGGCGCAGACGCGCGAACGGGGGCGACGGGCCGCGCAGGGGGCGTCGCCGCCCGTGTGAGCGCTCAGTTGACGCCCGTCCGTGCCAGTACAGAACGTCGGTAGTGCTTCTTTTGCAGCGTGCATGCCCAGCTCCTGGCGGAGACGCGCGACCGCACCGGGGCTGCCGTGTCGGCGGCAAGACGGCCCAGCGCCGGTCGTTCGGGCCGGAGGTGAGTGCACGTCTGCCAGCCACGGTAGTCCACAGCAACGGCAGCTGTTGTGCGCCGACCTGCGCACGTGCCGCGTCCACGAGGATCTCGTCGACAAGCGCAGTCTGATTTGAGCTTCCTTGAGTCGCGCCACTGACTGGCCTCGCGATTCGTTCCAGGAAGACCCGCTGCGGCCACACACGCTCTCGCGATGGGACCTGCCGAACTCGTCGCGCAGAGGCGTCGTGCAGCCGCCGCCAATCGCGACTCCCGCCGCGATGCGACGACATCGCAGTGCCCCAGCCGTCGCGACCGACGCTGGGCACAAGTGCGCTGATCTGTCTCCGGTTGAGCGTGTTTGCCCCCGCCCGCGCGCTGTGTGGGCCGATGGTGGCCGATCGCCGGCAGGTATGGCTCGCCTCCGGCCACCGAACTGACGCCCGGCGTCGCAACGACTCCAGGGAACTTTGCGAAGGCCGGCATTGACCGCCAAGCACAACCAAAGGAGACCTTGACAGTGCCTTGAGGGACTCCGTCGGCAGGTCCGGCCGCGTTCACACAGCGCCTCCACTGCCCCGGGATCGCTCCAGCCCGCTTCCGCTGCTCCCAACCTGCTCCCGTGCCTGTCAGTCTGGTTTCGCTGCCTGAAACATCCCACGTATGCCCAGCTGGCCCCCACGCCCGCCCCGCCCCGCCCCGCGCCCGCGCTTCCTCCCACCCACCCCTCCACGCCCCCCGCCCACCTCCACGCCCCTCTTCTTCGCACCCCCCGCCGTCAACATGCCCTCGATCTTCCGGCGGTGCTCAATGTCCGCCAATATGCGCTGCTGCTCCCTCAAGTCGACACCGAGCCCCGCCGCGACCTCCCGCACCTCCACTGCCTCCTTCGCCCCATTCGCGCTCCCCATAACAACCCCCTCAGCACCCCCTCCCTCCAACGGAGTCCCCGGCTCCCCACCTCCGCGCCCAGTGTCTCCCGGCCCGGCCCCGTCCTCCTTCGCGCCTCCGCCTCCATCACCTCCGCGCCCGCCCTGCGCCGCGCCCTCCCCTGCAGCGTCCGCCCGCGCGGCGAAGAACCTCGCGATCGACTGCGCCGCCACGGGCGCCTCCGCGAACTCCGTCGTCGACAACGCGAGCCGCGTGCACGCCACGGGCAGGCTCGTCCCCGCCGCCGACGCCTGCGCGCACGCCCGCAGGAGGCCCTCCGTCGCCGCGGTCAGCGCCGGCACCAGTGCCTCCTCCGCCGCCCCGGGCCGCACCGACCGCGGGAACGCCGCGGACCGCGACAGCTCGGCCGCCTCCTTCCCGAACCCCGACCGCACGTGCAGCACGACGTTGCGCGACCACCGCCCGTACCGCGCGTGGTCCTTGACGATTCGGTTGGCCAGCTCCCGCACCAGCACGCCCATCCAGCGCCGCAGCTCCCCCGCGTCGCTCGTGGACGTGAAGCTCTTCGCCGCGAGCATGCTCTTCGGGCGCTCCTTCTCCTTCACCGGGTCGTCCGTCTCGCCGCGCACCGCCCGCGCCACCCACGCCGCTCGCTCCGCGCCGCCCACCAGCGCCGCCAGCCGCTCCGCAGGCAACGCCGCGACCTCGCCCGCCGTCTCGCACCCGCCAACCTCCAGCGCCTCGCCGAGCTTGCCCCCGAACCCCGGCACCTTGCGGATCTTCGTACCCGCCATCAACTCCTCCACGACGCGGGGGGGGACTATTGTCTGCCCGTTGGGCTTGTGCATCGACGACGCCATCTTAGCGAGCAGCTTGTTGTGCGCGATCCCCGCCGAGCACGTGTACCCGAGCTTCTTTGCGACGGCGCCGCGCACCCGGCACACCACCGCGGCCCCTGCAGCCAGGCGCAGGTCAAACGCCTTCGACGGGTCCAGAGTGCCGCCGCCCGCGATGAGACTGCCCCAGGAGAAGCCGTCCAGTCCGTCCGTGCCGTCTCTGCGAACCCGGCGCACACGGGCACGTGAGCGACGACGACGACGCTGCGCAAACGGCGATGCAATGATGACCGTTACCGGCACGGTTCTCACCCGCCGCCCGCTCCCTCGCGCGCCTTGATCTCGCGCTCAACGGCGCCGGTGATGTCCACGTACGCCTCGTCGATGCTTGCCTTCTCGATCACGCACCCGGGCAGCTGCTCGTGCAACACATCAAACACGTCGCGCGACGCCGCGCGGTACCGCTCCAGACTGACCTTCTCCATGCTCCTGCGCACAGACCGACAGAGCAAGCGGATGGCGAGGGGGGCACCGGCCTGGCTGCGAGCGCCAGCCGCTCGTGCCTGAACAAAACACCATGCGTCTGCCGAACGTGCCGCACCTGTCGTGTGCGCGGCTCGGCTCGTCGTCCCCGCCGCCCGCGGCGCCGGAGATGGTCTCGACGTGCACGAGCTTGAGGTTGGGGCACACCGCCAGCGCGTCGGGCACGCGCATGTGCCGCTTGACGCCCGCATTGCGCGCTGGGTAATTGACCGCGATCAGGCCCTGCCACTGCTGGACGGCCAGCGGCGCGTCCCGCGGAATGCTCAGGCGCACGGTCTCGACCTGCGTTGCCGCGGGGCCCGGCGCGGGCAGGGCGCTGAGAGCCAGCGTAGGCGCGACCAGCGCAGGCGTGGTGCTGTGCGCGTCCCGGTGCGTGGGAACCGTTGCTTCGTACCTGGCAGTAGAAGCAATCAAGGTCGATGTGCGTGACCACGCGGAGAGGGTCCTGGCCCATCGTGCTTGTCGCGGCCAGCGCCCTGTGGTCATTGCCTCACTCCTGGCATCGCACCCCCGCGTGCGCCAAGACCGGTGCCCGGGTGACTGACGGGACCGAATATGATCGAAACGTCCCGACGTGGTCTCCGTCAGGGCGAAATGTGCCACACGCGGACGCTCCAGGGGCTCTGGCTCCAAGCGCGGGTGCTCTCTCGCGGCCGTCTGTGGCGGGCCGACGTCCTCGAATAAGCCCAAACGGTGTATCAGTCTCCCCTGCCTACAGTACCAGCCCGCGCGTCCAGCCTAAAGCAATGACAGAGCTGAGAGCCGCCCGAGCCGGACCAGGGCGCTCCAGTCGTCCACAGCGCGCGAAACGCCCAGCGCAGCTGGAATCAAACTTTGGCGCCCCGCACCGGCTGCCAGAGGCATTCAATCGAGGCCAAGCCGGCCGCGGGCCCCGACCCGTTCACAAGGGTCGCCGTTTCGGCCATCTTTCACGACCGACGGGGCGCAGGCCGCGCACACGAGGCGAAGAGCGATTGAGCGAGCGCGGGCATCTTGCCGCCCCGCACGCGCGCTTCCCGCCCGACACAGCTGCCTGGAGGGCTTCACAGACCCGGTCAGGTCTTCGGGTAGCGTACTTTCGGCACGATGGCGGCGGCAACGGGCCAGGTCGCGTCGTCTTCGGACATGAAGGCGAGCCTGCTGTCCGAACTCAAGGGCTCTGGGGTGCTCGACAACGTGCGCTCGACGCTCCGCACGCAGCTGCTGGCGTTCATGAAGACGAGGATGGACCCCGCGGCGCCCCCCGCGGCCCCGCCGTCCCTGTACCACCGCGTACTGGACAGCCTTGTTGCGGACTACCTGGGCTCCAGGGGCCTCGCGCTCTCTCTCTCTGTCTTCTCGCCCGAAGCGGGCCTGTCCGGGCCCTCGGGGAAGCTCTCTCCGGCGGAGATCCTCGAGGCTCTCAAAATCTCGGAGGATGCGCCGGCGCACAGGCGAGTGTCCCGCGCTGATGCACCGCGCTGCCGCCTTCCCGGCGGCGGGAACGAACGCGCTCGCGTCGTCCTGCAACCTGGCTGCACCGCGTCGAAGTGCGGACACACCCTCGTGATATATCACGCCGGCCTGACACAACGATGCGCAGGTTCTTCGTGCGCTCCGTGGAGGCCTCTCAGGGCCCGAGCGACGCCCCGGACGCGCCGCCGTCCCACGACAGCCTCGCGCTCGGGATGATTCGCGCGCTCGTGGCCCTGGGCTCCGCGACGCACCGCGCGGAGACCTGCACGCAAACCTCCGCAGACGCGGACGACCGCCTGGCCGCGCAGCTCAACCAGATCGACGCGCAGTACCTCCGCCGCGTCGAGACCGAGCGCGGGGCGCCCGCGCGCGCCGCCGAGGAGCGCATGGCGGCGTACCGGCGCGACTGCGAGGCCCGGCTGCGCGCGGAGATCGACGCGGGCGTGCAGCGCGTGCGGGACGTGGAGGTGCCGGCGGCGCGGATCGACGAGGCGGCCAAGCAGCGGCGCATCATGGAGCGGGAGCGCGAAGAGCTGGACCGGCAGCACCGGGCGCGGATGCGTCAGGTACGCCCCCGGACAGTCTGCGTCATGCGGTGCGGGGCCGCACGGCCGCGTGCGACGCCCCGGCAGCGCGAGCGATGCAGCGCGCCGTTCACGTGCCGCGCGGGGTACCTTGACCGTGACGACCGCCACGAGAAAAGGGATTTTCCGATGTTCTGAACACCGCTTCGTCCAAATCGCGTTCTCTGCGCACGGCCCCGCTCCCCGCAGGTTCGCGAGCGCGAGGAGCGTCTCGTTGAGCGCCTCCGTCTCCAGAAGGACGAGGTCGAGTCGCTGGCGTTCCGGCACCGCCAGCGCATCCTGCAGGAAGAGAAGCGCCTCACCGAGATCCGCGCCGCCGCGGAGCAGCACGAGAAGGCCACGCGCGAGCGCCTCGACGCCCGCGAGGCCCAGCTCCGCGAGCGCGAGGCGCAGGCCGCCGCGAAGGAGACGGAGGCGGCCCGCGCGCTGGCGGAGTCTCGGCGGCAGGTGGCGGCGGCGGGCGACGACGCGCGGCTGCAGGTGCAGCGCGAGCTCGCGCAGGGCCACGAGGAGCTCCGGCAGCGCCAGGCGGACCACGCGCGCGCGCGGGCGCAGCTCGAGAACGACCGGCAGGAGCTGGCCGCGGAGCTGACGCGGGTGCGGGTGTTGGAGGAGCGGCTGCGCGCGGCGGAGGCGCGGACGGCGCAGGAGGCGGCGCGCGCGCTGGCTGCGGAGGCGATGTTGGGGCGGATCCGCGAGGAGGACGAGAAGCTGCGGCTGGAGGTGTCGTTGCTGCGGGGCGGGGGGGGTCTCGGAGGACCCCACGGGGCCGGCGGGGCGGGCCACCAGGCCGCGCAGGCGCAGGCGGCGGCCGCGGAGGCGCGCGTGGAGCTCGAGGCGGCGCGGCGGGAGCTTAAGGCGCTGAAGCGGCACTGCGCGGAGCTGCAGCGGGCGCAGGGCGACGCGGCGGCGCAGGTCACGGCCATGGACGCGGAGGTCGCGCGGGCGCAGGCGGCGGCCGCGGCGTGGCAGGGCGCGTGCGAGTCGACCGAGCAGCTCCTCGAGGAGGCGCTCGCGCAGAAGGAGGAGGCGCTGGGCGCCCTGGAGGAGCTGCGCATTGCGCTGCGGTCGGCGTACCGGGACACCGCGGAGGAGCGCGAGCAGGCGCGGCGGCTGCGTGCGATGCTCGGCAAGAGCGAGGGCGTCGCGCCGCCGCGCGCGGAGGTCCCTGCGGGCGCTGCGGCGGAGATGGCGCTGGCGGAGGCCGCGCAGTACCGCGACGCCGTGCCGTCGCCCGCCGCGGACCCGCTGCAGAGCGACGACGAGGGCGAGAGCGAGGGCGGGCTCGCGTCGGTGCCGCCGTTCCTCGAGGGCGTGGGGCGGGAGAGCCGGATGAGGCTGCGGGAGATTGAGGGCGAGGAGGACCGGCTGCGGGTGCGCATGGACGGGCTGCGGCGGCGCGCGCAGGCGCTGCAGGAGGCGCGCGCGGCGGAGGACTGGCGCGCGGCGGCGCAGGTGGCGCAGCAGCAGCCGCGCGGGGCGATGGACGCGCTGCGGGCGTTCGGGGGGGAGTATGTGGGGCGTCAGTCGGACAGCCGCGAGGCGTCCGACTCGTTCGGGCTGTCGTCCGACAGCCAGCGGAGCGCGGGTGGACGCGAGGGTCCCGCGGGCGCAGCCGCGGACGCCAGGACCGCGGAGCAGACGGCGAGGCGCCCTGAGGGCAACGCAGAAGCACCGAGGGGGGCGTCTCGGGACCCTGAGTCAGGCAGCGCGCGCACCGACGAGGGCGTGCGGCCCGGTTCTGGAGAGCCGCGACCCGACAGCGTCGAGGCGAGGCCCGCTCGTCCCTCGGATAGCGGCGACCATGGCGTTGTTGCAGGCGAGTTGCATGAGAAGCCACAAGCGCCGACCGCTCCCAGCGCGGCGGAGGGCGCCGCACCGCGCGAGCCAACCCCTGGCGCGCCCCGTGACGCAGCGTCCGCGGCGGTCGAGCCGCCGGTCGCGGAGCGCAGCCAGGCAGAGGTTGCGGTGGCAGCGCGCGACGACGCGACGAGTGAGGCACCCGGCGAGGGCGGGGCCTTTGACTACGTGGCGCCTGTGCGGCACGGCGACAGCAGCCGCTCGCCGCGTTCGCTGGCGTCTCCGGACCAGTCCCTGCACAGCATCCCTGCATCGAGGCTGGTGCAGTTGGAGGTGCAACAGGTGGCGGTGGAGCCGCCCGCCATGCGCCCCGCTTCGGGCCAAGGCACCGCGTCCTCCGAAGCCACGAGCGCGAGCGCGAGCGCGTCGCAGCGGTCGGAGGGCAGCGCGGGCGCGGTGCGCGAGCCCTCTGCGACGCCCGCGCCGCCGTCCACGTCGACGTCGCCAGGCACGCTGTCGTCGTCACGCGACGCGTCTTCTGCGCCGGCGGACGGGCCGCTCGCGGCCCCGGACAGCGCCGCCGCGCCGCCTCAGGAGGTGGAGAGCGGCGCGGCGGTTCCTGCTCCGCAGCGCAGCGAGTCGGAGCCCGCCAGGGAGGAGCCGCAGCAGGACGTCGTCGTCGCTACATATCAGTCGGCGAGGGTCGCGCCGTCGTCGTCGTCGTCGTCGTCGTCGGCAGCGCAGCGCACGACGAGTGCCACTGCGCAGGAGGGCGCACGCGACGTGGACGTGGTCTCGGCGGCGTCGGACAGCGTCGGCATCGGCGGCCTGGGAGAGTTCTCCGCGGGGAGTCTGCCGGAGTCAGACTCGGGGCTGGCGTTATACCAGGTTGACCAGGAGTACAGCGGGGGACTGGGGGAGTTCGCGGCGCTGCGGGACGGCGACGCGTGGGCGGGCGCGGGGGAGGGGAGCGCGGTGGAGCAGGCGGAGCGGGCGGCGCGGGACGTGGCCATGGAGCTGGAGGGGTTCGGGAGCGAGTCGGCGAGCATCGTGGAGGACTACGAGTCCGTGGGGGTGTCTGGGACCGCGAGCGAGGCCGGCGCGGGGCAGGCCGGCGGACAGAGCTCGGGCGACAGCGTGTTCTGATGCACGCGGGCGTGGGCCAGGTCCTGCGAGAGAGAGGTGGTTTCTTCCACCTCTGCTTGTACGGGCCTGATCTGCTGCAACATGTTGCGGCGCCGGGGGCCGGTGCTGCGACCCGTGCGCATAAATGTACGCTGCCGAGGCTGCCGAGGTCGTTGTTCAAGCGCGCATGAGGTGAGGTGTTACATTCTTCGCGTCGTGAGCCATAAGATCTTTCGACTAGGTGGCGAGTGATGCTAACCCTCCACCGGTATGGTAGCGACAGGTTCGGCAGCTGTGACAGAGTCAGCTTGTAGCAGATCCTCGATGCCACGAGCGAAGATCGCCATGCCTCGCTGATTCGGCAGGTTCAGAAGATAACGCACGGCAGCATTGGCAGCGGCTTCCGAGTCAAGTGCTGAGGCACCGCGCAGGTCCTCGAGGTGCTGGCGCGGCCGGCGGTCGAGGGCGAAGCGGCGGCGCTTGCCACCAGCAGCGCTGGACGCGTTGCATGGGCGGGTGAGTCCACGGGGCGATTGAGCGAATGCATGCACCATCCTTGGGCTGATGAACTTCAGTCGGTTGGGACGACGAGTGGAAAGCCAGGATGGCCAGTGAACTCAACCCCGGCGCCGTAGCAGAATTCGTCGAGCTGAGCAACCGGGTTTCTAGGCTCGCCATGCAGCGGGGCAACCCACGATAGATGCAGAGCCAGGAACAAACCACATAGAGGTCGGAAACGCACGAGACCGGCCTGCCGGCACCCCCACCGCGCTGTCCTTGCCCCGCCGCGCCCGCCCCCCGGGCAGCCACTCGCGGCAGCGCCTACATCTTCCCCATGAGTTTGCTCAGCCCGAGGATGCCCATCGCGCGGCGCTCGCAGTACAGCTGCAGCACGTACAGCGGGTCCGTCGCGGCGCGCGCCGAGTTCTCGAACTTCACCCCGCCCTCCGAGCCCGAGTGCCACCAGAGCGCAAACTCCTCCAGCGTCAGCTTCCCGTCGCGGTCCTGGTCGTACTCCGCGACGCTCTTCACGAACGACGAGATGTACTTCTCGCCGATCACGTGCACCAGCGCGTCCCGCAGCTCCTGCATGCTCAGCAGCCCGTCGCCGTCCTTGTCCCACATAGTGAACACCCCCCGGATCTCGCGGATCTTCTCCGCGGGCACGCGCGAGCGCTGCTCCTCGGAGTACGGGTTCCCCACGGCTTCCACCATCGCCTCCACGTCCTGGTCGACCGAGTCGGGGTAGATATAGAACAGCAGGTCCGCGAAGGTCACCTCGTCGGCGCGCCGCTCCACGAGGCGCTCCTGCAGCCGCCGGAACCGCATCTCCTGCCCGACGTCCTGCACGAACGACCGCGCGCCCTCCATGTCGCGGAAGAAGATCCGCTTGAACACGGGGAGCGTCAGCGGGCCCTTGGCCGACTGGTACAGGTGCTCGTAGAACCCCCGCACGTCCGTCAGCTCCTGCAGCGTCACCACGGGCCCCCCGATCATCTTGAACACCGGCCCGATCCGCCCCGCGGGCAGCTGCGACGCCCGCATCGCCAGGCCCGTCGGGGGCAGGTCGAACGCCACGTCGTAGTCGGGCCGTGCGAGAATCGGCTGCCCCGAGTCAAGGTATCCAATGGCGCCGAGACGGGCCGAAATCGGGCGCGCCTTCGCCTTGACGCGCTTCCCCTTGTTCGCGGCCGTCTCGGGCTCGGTGACCTGCACGCCCCCGGGCTCGGGCGGCGGCGGGTTGGCCCTGCGCTCGCACGTGGCGCAGCTGACCTCGACCGTGCCCGCCGTGCTGGGCCGCGCGGGCGACGATGCCGACACCAGCGTCGTCCTGAACGAGCCCTGCTCCCTCTGGAACGACAGCCACCTGGCGGGGGGCGCGGAGCCGGGCCGTGCTGCGGTGCCGCGCAGGTACCCGGGCACTGGCTTCGCGCGCGCGCCCGACGCGGCCGAGTGGCCGCTCGCATCGGGGTCGTGCAAGTGCATCCGCGAGCGCCGCCGCGTCGGTGCGCCTGGTCCGACCGTCTGCGGCCGCGCGGGCAGCATTTCGTCGTCGAAGGTGTCCTCCTCCTCCCCGGACAGCCCGTCCTCCGTGTTCGTCGCCACGGACTCCGTCACCTCGCTCTCGTATGCAGCCGCCTCATCAGATCCCGAGCTCTCCGCGCTCACCGCCCCGACCTCGGCGCTCTGCCGCACGTCCACCGCGGCCCCGCCGTCATCTTCGCCACCCGCCTCAGCGATCACGCCCCCTCCATCCCCGCTCGCCCAGCCGTCGTCCCCGCCGTCCTCGTGCCCGCGCTCCTTCCGCGTCGTCGCGGTGGCCGGTCTTCGCCGCTGCTTTCCCGGCGAGCCCCCAAACAGCTTCCGCGCTGTGCCGTCGCGGCTGACGACGTTGGCGGTGGCCGGGCGCCGCGGCGTGAAGCGGCCACCGGGCAGCATCGGCGTCTTCGCTCCGCCCTCGCTCGGGCCGGGGGTGTGTGCCCCGTACGCCGAGGGGGGTCGCAGCGGCAGCGTGCCGTGCTGCGAAGCGCCCGGCGCGTCCGCAGCGGGCGTGCGCTCGACGCCGGCCGTCGCTGGGCGCGACCGCGGGGCTGCGCCTGCCGTGAGCACGTGAATGCCAGACCCCCCGGGGCGCTTAACGACGCTCTGTCTTTCCTGGCCTCGCGGCGCGGCGGAACGACGGCGGTCCCGCCCGAACAGGTGCGCGGTCTCGGGCCGAATCATGTCCTTCGTGCTCGATGCGCCACTGTGCGGGTATATCGCAAACACCCCCGTGGTCCGCGCCGCGCGCTGCCGCCGCTCCTGCTGCGGGCGCACTGGGTGCGTCTCCGTCCACAGCGGCTTGGGCAGCCGCGGATCGATCGTCTTGCGCTTCCCCGCCCACGCGTCGCGCCGCCGCCTCGGCCGCCCCGCGGCGTCCAGCCCCGGACCCGCGTCAGACCACTGTCTCATCGTCGGCGCCGCCGACCCCAGCAGGTGCGCGCCCATCCCCGCGAGCAGCAGCGACGACGGGCTCGGACGCGGCAACGGCTTCATCTCGCTCTGCTGCCGCGATATCGTGCGCGAGTCTGCCCCCGGGGGCGCCTGCGTGGACTCGGACCGCGCCAGCGACGGCGCCGTGGTCAGTTCCGAGCGCGCCAGCGACGACGCGGTCAGCAGCGCGCCGGCCTCGCTGTACCCGCGCCGGCGGAGCGTGCGCGTCGGGCCCCCGAGCGTCCGGTCCACGCGCGCGCCGTGCTCGGACACCCCCCCGGCCAGGCTGTGTCGTCCGAAGCTCTCAGGAATCGACGTCATCGCGCGGAGCCGGCGGCCCGAGCCCAGACGGGGGTCTTGCGGCTCGTGCTCGCGCTCGGCGGAGAAGGCGGTGCCGATTTCGCGCGGCGGGATGAGAAAGGTGACGGCGTCCGTGGGCTCGCGGGGCCCGCCGATGGCGTGCTGCTCATGCGCGTCGCCGCCGGGGAGGCGGTGCGTGGCCGCCGTGATCGCCGCGTGCTCGTCGAGCGCGCGCGTCGACGTCCGCAGCTCCAGCGTCGGGCCGCGCTGCCTGCGAGCGCAACCAGGCGCGAAATCGTTGCTGAGCATGTAACAAGGGGTCTTTGATGGAGGTGTGTGGATGCCCTGTGTCAGCGCGGCGCGCGAGGCGGAGGGCGCGCACTTGAACGAGGCGGACTCGACCCTGCTGCGGAAGCTGCTCCCCTGCGTCCGCAGCGCGGGGTTCTTTTCCGAGTCCACTTTGGCGTACTTCATCCACCGCTCCGAGTCCCCCGCGAGGCTGCCGCGGACGGAGGCCGCGAGCGAGCGCCTCGAGTCGTTCGCGTCGAGCACGGACTGGCGCGAGCTCGCGCGGAAGCTCGCGGTGACGGACGCAGCCACGCGCGAGCCACGCACACCGACCGCCCCGCGCCGCAGGGCCGGCTGGGATTCGTCCCGCGACATCGCGCCCGCTCGCGCTTATGTGCGGGACCTTGTCCGCGGACCTGCAGGTCGTGGCGCTGCTCGGGCGGGGTTGGCGGGCCGCTGAGGGACAGCGTCGTGCATGTGGGTGCGGCCTGCGCAGGGCACGCTACGCATGCGCCCGGAGCTCTGAGCGGGAACAGGAACGCGCAGATCATGAACGAGCATGGCCGGGGAGCGGCGTTTACGCCACGACTCGCCGAACATTGCGCCCGTGGTGGAGGCAAGGGATTGCGTACCTACCAGCCTGCGTTAGCTTCTACAGGACGACATCTTCGTATTGTTGGAACTCCTCCCCGCCCACTTCGAGTACCGAGGATACCAAGCGCGAGGTATCAGCCGCTCGCAGTCCACGTGGGCCTCGAGTTCCCCCGAAATGCCTGCAGGTGCGCCGTGCAACAGCTCAGGTCTCCAACGCGCGTCGATTGCGGCCCCGCAGCGCCGTTCGTCCAAGGAGCGGGTAGAGTACAGTCGAAATCGTGAACACACCCGCCCCACTCGGTCCCAACCAGCCGTCCGACGCGCAGGGTGCCGGCAAAATGCAGTGAGGCTGGATCCCGTCGGTTGCGCGCTGGACTTCGCCCGCCAGCCTCTCTCTATGGAAAGCGTCGATGGACAGCCTCGAAGCGCTCGCCGCAGCGCGTCGGGAAGGCGTCAGGAGCCGTGCGGTGCGCCGCTGAGCTACACGGGTGGTGACCTCCTGCTACAGGTGCACCACGCGCGCTCTCAAGGCAGTGTCAGGGCAATCAATGCCGGCCAAAAGTGCTCTGTCCTCGTCGCCCGGCGCGGCCACGAGGTTCGTGTGCGCTGTCCTGCGCCACCTGATGCGGGTAGTCGGGCCCAGCCCTCGAGTCAAGACCCTCACAACACACAATCTCTGTTTGGCGGACCGGACACTCGCTGCGCCCGACCTCACACGCCTCACTCGCCCAGGGACATCATCGCCGTGGGTATGCGGTCCTCATCGTCGTTCGAAGCCGTTCCTATGACCTCGAGCAGGCCGGGCAGCAACGACGGCAGCGCGGGAAGGTCCTGCAGGTTGACTGACATGAGGTCGTACGCCGCGCACACGCGGCCCTCGAGCTGGCCGTGCACCTGCGGCATCTTCGGGTACCGCTGCGAGAAGTGCGTGAGCAGGACGCGGTACGCGTTGGCCGCCGCCGCGCACCCCAGCGCATCCCCGAACGTCGAGTGCCGCTTGAAGCGCGCCTCGTCGACCAGCTCGTCCTCGAAAGTCGCCTCGTGCACCAAAAGCGTCGCGCCCCGCGCGGCCGCCGCCAGCTGGTCACACGGGTACCCTGCGTCAGACACAAGTAGAGGAACAAACAAGTAGATGTGAGCTCTTGTGCCTCCCTGATGATGGAGTCACTGCGCGTCGCGAGGCGTCCTGCGCACGGCAGCGCCCACCTGTGTCTCCGGAGAACACGAACTTCCACCCCGCGTTCCCCTCGATGACCGCCGCGAAAGCATGTGCGCAGTGCAGCACCCGGACGCTGTCCAGCCGCCGCAGCTCCAGCTGCGCCATCACCTCGCGGATCACGTCCGGAACGCACACCTCGCGCGAGTGCACCACGCCCCCGGAGGAGAACCTCCCCTGCCCGCCGTCCAGGGCGACCCCCCCGGTGGCGTCCCAACCCTCTTGGCCCGACATGGCCTCGACGTCGGCGTCGGGTTGCGGGCGGACTTCGAGGGACTTCTGCGGGACGAACATGATGCCGCAGGGGCCCGCCCGTGCGTACCCGCGCATGAAGCCGCGCAGGGCGGGCGGGGCGACGACCGGCAGCAGCGGTGCCGACTCCGCCTCTGGGCCCAGGGCCCGAGCACGCGCCTGCAGCAGCCTGCGCGGCAAACCCACGAACCGACAAATGCAGCGAGCGTCGCGGCAGGACGCGGCGCGTGTGGCCGTGTGCACTGATCAAACCATCGATGCAGCACGAACACTCAGGTACAAACGGCGGCGGACGTACCCTGCGATGCCGAGGTGGTGGTCGGCGTGGATGTGGGAGATCCAGATGCACTTGAGGTTCCGCAGGAGCTCATAGGTGCGCCGCGCCCCGAACCGCCGCATCAGCTGCCCGGTGGTGTCCTCCCCGCAGTCCAGCAGCAGACACCCGCGCTCGAAGCGGTCCACGAGGATCGACGTCACGTTGCGGTGCGCGCTCGGCAGCGCGGCGCCCGTCCCCAGCAGCGTCACCTCGAGCTCCTGGCGCCCGAGGCGCGCCAGGGCGGGGGGGAGTGGCTCGAGACCCTGGGGGACTTGGTCGTCGCGGGGGACGTCCTCCGGCGGCACGCGGTCCGGCGAGCACGGCTGCACGATGTTTTTGTCGTCGTCGGCCACGTCGGCGTCGTCGATCTCGCCGACCCTCTCGGCGGGCTTCAAGTGCACGCGGCGCAGGTTGAAGCCAGGAAAGTGGCCCGGGCGGTCGCCGCTGCCGGTCGCTGGGGGAGCGCCCTCGTAGTGCCGCTGCTTGTGGAATACCTGGGGTCTGAGCTCGCACAGCTGCGCGCTGATCCTCGCGCTGACCGCGTGGACGGGCGCGCCGCGCGTGGCGGAGGCGTTGGCGTAGATGTGCTTGGCCTTCGGGGCGAGCCGCGCGGCCCACGCAGCGTAGCGTGCGTCCGCGACGACGTGCGGGGGCGCGATGTGCACCACGCTGGCCACGCGATCGACGACGGGGCCGCCGTTGGAAGTGGTCGTCGTCTGCTCGGCAGCCGTTCCGCCCTCCTGCTGCTGGATGTACGGCTCCCAGGCTGGCGCGGAGACGAGAGAGTCGACGTGGTCGACGGAAGGGCAGTCGACGATCATGGCGACCGGGCCCTGGACGTCAGGCGTCATGCAGTCTGCTGGCGCAATCACGCGGCCGTCCGCCAGCGTGATCGACTCCCCCTTGACAAGCAACGCGCGCTCGGGGCCCGCGGGCACGCCAAGCTCGACGGCGCGCTGTGTGAGGAACTTCCCGGGCGCAGGCCGCAGCTTGCAAACGTAGCACACCGCTGGCGTAGGGTTGTAGTTCCCGTGCATCTCCTCCAGATCCTGCAACGAGCGGCTCGCGGGCGTGACTGGGCGGAACGACGGTCGATCAATCGTACGGCGGCGCCGGCGAGTCCAGCACGGGCTCGGGGGCGCTGCATTGTCGCGAAAGAGGGGGGCGCGGGCACCAAGACGCCCACCGCACCTGGAATGACGCCCGGCCTTCTCTCGGGAAATCCGTGCGGGGGCGCTTTGCGGGACGCTCCGCTGCGTCATCGGGCGCGCCCCGTTTGGCTTCCGCGTCCCCGGCCGCCCGTGGATGCACCAGCACTGCGTCTACCGTCATGAACTCATTCTCGATGAGGTTCTCCGCCAGCGTTCCCGCGGGCGCTTCGCACTCGCCCCTGCCCACCTCCGGCTCGATATCCGACGCCTCGACCTGCAGCGAACGGCTCTGCAGCATCCCGCGCACGGCCTCGAGGTGCGCCACCAGTCGCCGCGGTCCCAGGACGCTGAGCTTGCTCCTGCCGTCCTGGGAGACCGGCCCGGCCGTGATGTCGCCGCCCTGCCTTATCACGTCGCTGCCCATCAGGACCAGGCCCGGGAGACCGCCTGCGGCGAAGCGCGGACTTGTTGCTGCTGTGCTGGTCGTGGGCGCGTCATCCAGAGGACGCGCCGCGCGCCGTGCGATCGCGGGCGATGCTGGTTTGGGCGGGTCGCGCACCGATGGCGTCGGCGGTGCTGCGCGTCGCGAGGACGCCAGCAACGCGGGTGATCTTGATGCGGTGCTCCGCGCAGAACCGCTGGAACCCTTCCCCGGCGTTGAAGATGAAGCGGGCTCTATCGAAGAAGAGCAAGACGCTCGGAGCCGCCCCGGCGCCGACGTCGGTGCCCAGCCCGAGCACCTGGAGGTGCGCGCTGGTGTGCAGCCGGCCCGAAGCGTCGCGCGGCTCGCGGGATTTCTTGCCCCGTTTCCCCATATCGCTCTCCTCTACACAAGGAAGCGCGCCGCTGTGCCTGTCGCTGTCCGCTAGCCAGCGCGGGGGCGGCGCCGCGCGCGACACAAAGAAGAAGCGCCTGCTGCCAAGGCCACCGCCTTCGCCCAGGGAATGCAGCGACCGTGATTGCCCTAGCAAGCTGCTGCAGTGCGCAGAACGTTCACCCGGGGAAAGGCCCGGGGTGCCACGCAAAGACGCCACGCGGCAGGCCGTGTTGCGCAAGAGCGAACCGACCGCCTGCCTGCTTTCAGGAGATCCTATCGAGTCCAGACCACGCGACAATACGAATGTACACGTGCGTAGGCCACGGGGCATCGGCGCCGCGCGCCAGCGGTCCCCACCGGCCGCGCACCGCGGCTGCCAAGAGAGGTTCAGCACCTACACGCAACGCACGCACTGCGACCCCAGCACAGTCGGCTCGCCCGGGACGGGCGACGGGCAACTGCGCCACGGACGCGCGACGCAGTACCGTTGACGGGCCGTGTCGCACGGGATGACTGACACGCCATCACTCCCCCAAAAACACCTCCACGCCGTCACGCGTCGGGCTCGACAGGGGCGGGCAGGGCCGCGCGGGCCGACACGCACGGCCATGCACCGCTGTCCCAGGCCGTGAGCTCGCGACCTCTCCTGCGCGGGTTCGGCCACGGCACAGGAGCGTAGCGGCGGTATGGCGCCCGCGGGGCCCGGGACGTCCCGCGGGGGCGGCGTGGACGCGATGCTCGCCCAGATGCGTCGCGAGCTCTCGTGCGAGATCTGCGGGCAGCTGTTTCGCGACCCGCACACAGTCCCGGGGTGCGGCCACAGCTATTGCTACGCCTGCATCATGGGGTGTATCCAGGGGGTGGGCGCGAAGCGCGCCGAGTGCCCGGGGTGCAAGCTGCCTGTTTGGAAGAACGACCTCGTGGCGAACATTCAGTACAAGAACCTCGCGGAGACCTTCGAGGCGACGTTCGGCAGCACAGCGGACAAAGCACACGCGGCGGGAACGCCCTCGCGCGCCGACGCGACCCCGAACGCAGCTGAGGCCGACGCCATGGACAAGCTCACCAACGACATGATGCGGATGACGCCGTCCGACGCGGAGCCGTGCACCACGCGCGGCGGCGCGGCCGAGGGCGGTTCTCCCGCGTCTGCACCGGCGCCTGTAGGCCCGCCGAAGCTCCCTTCCTTCACGTCCACGATGCTCAGACAGATCTACAGCCTGACGGGGGTGGCGCCCGAGGACGGGTTCGAGGCAGAGATCGACGCCAGGGTCGCGGAAATCGCCTTGTCCCTCGCGCAGGGAGCGCCAGGCGAGGCCGCGGGTGGCTGGCCGGACGCGGCGGACCAGGCGCTGCTCGCCGACCTCCTCGACGAGGTCGACGCCCTGACGAGGGAGCTCGAGGCTCGTCACCGCGCGAGCAACGCATCCGACCTTGCCACCGCGCCGCGTCAACCAGCCCCGCACGCCTGCACGCCCCCCTATCAGGAGGACGGCTCCAGCGGCCCAAGCATCATCCCTGCCAGCGCCCACGTCGCCCGGGCCCGTGCATCGACCCCGGGCTCCGCGAACGCGCACGCCGCCGCCGCGGAGAAGCAACCACAGCGGTGCGCGGAGGGCGTTGAGGGGGCGTCGCAGCCGCACCAGGACGCCAGGCGCGCGCCTGGAAGCGTGTCCGGCCACGAGCGGGCTCCGGAGGACAACGACGCGGCGGCGGTGCCGGAAACAGAGGACAGTGTGTTTGCGCGACATGCTGTGCTGCGCGCGATCGGTGCGGTCGCGGCGGAGACGCCCGCGGGCGCGATGGCGGGCGCGGAGCTGTGGACGCCGCCGACACCGGCGGCCCCGGCGACCTGGGGCGGGGGAGCTCAGGTGGGGGGTGTGGGTGGCGGCGGGGGGGCGTGGCAGGCGCGTGAGGGATGGCGCGGGGACGGACGCGGGGCTGCGACGCACGGGGCCGGGAAGAAGCGTGGCGGAGGCCTGACTCAGGGGTCGCTGATGTCGATGTTCCCCGCGACGCAGACGCAGACGCACACGCAGGCACCAGCGGAACGCACAGGTGCGCCCGTGCTCCTGCGACGATCGCGCCGTGATCGGTACGAATTCCTGAGCTCGCACGGGCCGAGAGAGGCGCCGCGGCGGTCGCCGAAGTGACTGGTCACATGATGGGTGGTGCGCGACGGTGGCTGTGGTTGCAGGGCGCGTGCTGCTGCCCGTCGGGCTCACCGACGAGCAGTCCGAGGAGCTCTGCACCGCCGCCAGCCGGCTCGGGGCTCTGTGTTTGCCGCCGGGCGAGGACAAGGACGGCCTGGACTTTTTAGGCCCCGGGGACGTCTCCCACGTCATCGTGGGGGGCAAAGGTGCGACGCCGTGGCCGCGCCACCTCAACAGACCAACTCGCCGGCCCGCAGCTCGCAGTGTGTCCTGAGGCGCCTCGCGCCGTGTCCCCGCTGCAGGGCTGCAACTGAGCGGCACGCTGTGCGAGTCGGGAGAGATCGCCGCGGCAGTGCGCCGGGCGGCGGGGCGGTTTCCAAGGAGCGACCTGGTGCACGCGGGCTGGGTCGAGGCGTCGCTGGAGCAGGGCGTCTGGCTCGAGGAGGCGCCCTACCGCGTCCCTTGCCGCCGCTCATAGTGCCGCAGCCAGCGAGGGTGTGATGCCGGGAGCGCGGCGAATGACTCGTGGCGGCGACGTGGACGTCGGGCTGGAGGACAGCTGCGTGCGGGCGCGGGGTGCGCGTCGGTAGGTCGTGAGTCGGGCGGACTTGTGCTGTGTCGGTCCAGCATGGGTGGGCCGGGGGGTCCCTGCGAGTGCGGGCGGCATGGCAGGCGCTCGAGGGGGATGTTTGCGGCAGCGATAGGTCAGTAATGTGGCATTGAGGGTCCATACGCGTGTGCTGCGACGACAGATCCCCAAGTTGAGGCTCCTCACAGAGCTGCAGCGGCAGCTAGGGGGCCCTTGAGAGATATCGTCCGCAGCGGATCGCGCCGGCGGTTAGGTCGCAGACAGACGCGTGCCTCGTGGACAGAGCTGGCCTGCTGGGACCAGGAGCGAGCCGGCTCTTGCTCCTCCCCGTGGTGTGGTCTATATACGCCAATCATGTCCGCCGCCGTCCCTCCTCCGAACCCTCCGCCCGGCAACGGAGTGCAGAAAACGTCTGAGACCAGCGCGCCGAAGCCCAAGAGCACGTGGGCCCAGAAAGGTGCGCACCGGCCCCCCTGCAGCTCTTGCGGCTTCCACGCACTCCGACTGCCCCCCTCGCACGCCCCACGACGTGCCGTCAGGCAGGCCCGCCGCGCCGCCGTCCTCCTGCATCCACCAACACGGAACGCCGCTCCCCGGCCCACGATCGGCCGGCAGCAGCGCCTGAGACGCCCGCTGCGTCGATCGCAACTGAAATTCCTCCAACCGGCGGCCGCGCGGCCCTCGCAGCGAGCGCAAGTCCCGGGCCCCGTGCTCCGAGCAGACAGACAGCGGCGGAGGCTGCCTGCATCGCGCCCTGTGCCCCGCAGGCGCCGGTTTCTGGGCGAAGGTCAAGTCCGCCAAGATCGTAGCGGATGCCGGGGAGGCCATCAACAAGGCCAAGGCGGGGAAGAAGTTCGAGGTGCCCGTCAAAGTGGACGTCGACTTCATCAAGCCTGCCCAGAAGGCCGCCACGGTGCGCAGCCGCGCCCCCGCGTCGCCCCGCTGGCCCACCAGGCCCCGCTGCACGCACGGGGCCGTCGTGCCTGACGCTGCGACCCCCGGTGCCCCCGCGCGCCGATGCAGGACGCCTGCGAGCAGGCCTGGGCGTCTGTACCGCCGGACATGAAGCCCCACGTCAAGCCCGCGGCTACATTCTTCCTGGGGCTCTTCCTTGCATCCTGGGTGCGCCGCACGCCGAACCCTGACGCTCACTGCGCGGTCCTGCCGGCTGGACGTGTCTACGCAGCACGCCTGGCGTCCTCGCGGCCGCAGCACGCGCCTCCCGACCGCGCAGCACGTCGTTGTGGCATTGCGTGTGTGCGTGCGTGTGTCTGCGCGGCGCTGACGCCCGGCCGTTCGTTGCGAGGTGCAGTGGCAAGGCCGGAAGATCACCGAGCAGCGAATCAGGCTCGCGGACTACGAGCTCACGACGAAGACGCTGCGCAAGGAGCGCGACGAGATCGTCGCAGCGAGCGGCGTCGACGTGGCGACGTACGCCCGCATCGTGGCCGAGCTGACCGCGTCCTCGGCGCGCGCCGCGCAGACGGCGATCCAGGCGTCGCAGGCGTGCTACCTCGGACAGATGCACGACCGTTCGCTCCCGCCAATGTACGACGTGCCGCCCGCGGGGCGCAAGGGCCGGACGGGCAACATCGCGACGCGCGAGAACTGAGGCGGCAGGCCGTGGGGATGCGCTACACCGCGGTGCGTCGCGCCAGCAGCTGCGCGGGCCAGCAGCGGCACTGCGCGGCTCTGATGTCATGTGCGCTGAGGTTTGGGTGCGGCCCGTGTGACCTGAGACGTGTGCGGACTCGCGTGCGAGGCGGTGGCGGAGCGGGGCGGCTGGCGGGTGTGGCGCTGCGGTGTGCGCTGGCGGTGGGGCGGCGGGATGTTTCCAAGGGTGGGGTCAGGGTGTGTGCCGCGGGGGCGCTGGAGGCCGAGCGGGGCTTTCGGGGGGCGCTGGCCGCGTACAGTAGGGGACTTTCGCTTGCTGGCAGTGCGAGAGAGGGAAGTTGAGAAAGATGGCGAAGCGTGCATTGCTCGTCGGGTGCGTCACAGAGCCGCCTGTTTCCCAGACTCGCGCTCGCCTGGATCCGCACGGGCTTTGACGCCTTGCGCAATGGCCGGCAACGCATGTCCAAAGCAGTTGCTCGGCAACTGCGCAGTTGCGCGCCTGGCTGGGCTCGTGCGCGCGCCGATCGTGAGCATCTGCGAGCGCATATCGCAAGGGTATGGCGTCTCCGGCACATGATTCGCAGGTGCAACTACCCGGGCAGCCGGGCCGAGCTCCGCGGCTGCGTGAACGACGTCTGGGCGATGAAGGGCTTGCTGATGGAGCACTACGGCTTCCAGGAGAGCGACCTGACCATTCAGATCGACACCGACAGCCGCTACGCGCAGCCAACGGCACGGAACATCAAGGCGGCGCTCTCCTCGCTCGTCTCTCAGACCAAGGTATGCTGAACATCCACTCATGCTGCACCCGGGCGCCCTGAGCGCGGCCGCCGCAAGCTACCCTAGCCACCAACGAACATCGGGCGCTCCGACACACGCCGTTCGCCCGCTAACCAGCCGACGCCGGCCGAGGCGTCCAGTCAAGCTCTCGGTTCTCCTCACGCCGCCCCAGCTCTCTCACGGAGCCACCGGCCCCGCTGCCACACACCCATGCCGCGCCTGACCCACCTGCGCGACCCTCGCTGCCCCGCAGGACGGCGACGTGCTCTTCTTCCACTTCTCTGGACACGGCACGCAGCTCCCGTCAGGTCCGAAGCCACGCCAACCCCCCCTCGCGCCCCGCAGCCCCTCCCGCGGAACCCTCGGCCTTCCGACTGCCCCCCTCGCTGCGTCGGCCCACCGCGACACCCGCGCCCCTGCCCGCAGACGACCCCTCCGAGGCCGACCAGTCCGACGAGGCGATCTGTCCGACGGACATGAACGTCATCCTGGACGACGACCTGCGCGCCATCCTGGGCCCGCTGCCCGACGGGGCCTTCTTCACCATGGTGAGCGACTGCTGCCACTCCGGCGGCATGCTCGACCACCCCGAGGTGCAGGTGTCCGGCGTGAAGGACGCCAACTCGGGCCCCGCGCCGGCGCCGATGGACCTCATCTCGTCGCTGTTCGGGGCGCGCGATGCCGGCGACGAGGGCGGCTTCCGGAACCGCGGCCTCGAGCCGAATCGGTTCATGGACATCCTCTCCGGCATCGTGGGGCACCGCGTCACGCGCGGCAACGTGCGCACGTCGCTCGGGCAGCAGTTTGGCGGCGACGCGTCCGTGGCCGTGAAGAGCGTCCTCAAGATGCTGCTGCCGCACGCGCAGCGCATGGTGCAGCAGCAGGCGCGCAGCGGGAACAACAGCGGGTTCATCAAGATGCTCGGCCCGCTCCTGGGCTGCCTCGGGAAGGCCGTGAACTCGGGCGGCGGCGCCACGCAGAGCAGCAACCCCGCGTTCAGCGCCCCCGGCGGCGGGATGGACTTCGGGAAGATCGCGAGCATGTTCACGGGCGCCGGAGGAGGCGCCCCCGCCCCCGCCGGCGCCCCCGCCCCCGCCGGCGGGATGCAGGAGCCGGTGCTGCCCGTCAAGGTCCCCGCGGGGAAGCACAACCGCCCCGGGGCGGGCGAGATCCCGGAGCTGGGCGCGGACAAGGGCGTGCTGATCACGGGGTGCCAGTCGCACGAGACGAGCGCGGACATGTGTCCGGGCGGGGACCCGTCCAAGGCGTACGGCGCGCTGACGAACGCCATCCGCACGGTCGTGCAGAGCAACGCGGGGCGGCGCATGACGGCGATGGAGGTCGCGCACGAGGTGCGGTCGACGCTGAGCCAGGCGCGCATCAAGCAGAACCCCTGCCTGGAGTGCTCCCTGGGCAACGCCAACAAGCCCTTCATTGTGCCCGTCTGACGCCACGGGCTGTGAGCGCACTGCGCGGGGGAGCGCTCGTGCAAGGCGAACCAGACCTGCAGCGTGTCCGAAGTATTTATACCTGTGGTATGAAGAACACCTCGGTCTGTCGTAGTGTCATGGTGTGGTCGTCGCTGTGAGGGGGCTCTAGGCCAGGCGGGCGCCCGGTGCGGGGCGAGAACGCCGTGGTCGGTGACGGGGTCCGGTCGGATGTCACTGGGGCAGCAGGGGTTGGTCGGTAGGAGCGGTTCGGTCGAGCAGCGGCTGCGAGCGTAGGGGTCCCGCGCCGTGCGTCGAAGACCGGCCCGGGGCAGGGACGTCCTGGGGCCGCGACGTGGTATCATGTACAACGACTATGATCCGTTCACGGACCTTATGCCTCAGGAACTGGTCGAGGAGGAGGACCGCCGACTCGCTGCAGAGGCCAAGAAGAGGTGCGCCAACTTGCGCTGCAGCCGTGCTGGCTTCCAATCATTCGAGATGCATCCGTGCAGAATCACAATAACTAGGAGCACGAGCAGCCGCACAACGGAACGTTGAGGTCCTCCTCCCGAGTGCAGGGAGCCACTGGTGCTGTTGAGCGCACCATGGGCAACGTGGACCGAGGCGCACAGACAGAGAGCCAGCCCAGAAGGGCGCGTCGCCGTCGACACCATGATCATCACGACAACGTCCGCCTCATCCATGCTCGTCCGCGAGGCCTGGAAGCCCGACCCGGCGAGCCTTCTTGGATCCGTCATTGCACCGCGCCAGTCGCTCGCCGGCGTGAGCGCCACACCCGGCCCGATGGACCCCTGCACGTACATCTACCTCGTTGAAGCCGGCGAGCCGAGCCAGCCAGAGACGGCCGCGCTGGTCCTGTGCCAGGGGCAGCTAGACGAGGAGGACGCCAGTGGTTGGATGACGGCCCTGCTCTCGGGGCTGACCGCGAAGAGGGTCTTCGTGCTCGACCAGGACGCAGAGCTCGGCGGCAAGGTCCTGGGCGGTGCGACGCAGAGTGCGACGTTCTTGAAGTGCCTTGGCGACGCAGGGGCGAAGATGTTTGCAGGATGCGCGAAGCAGCCGCTCCCGCCGCTGCCGGAGAAGGCGACGCTCCAGCGCCTCGCGGACGCGGGGGCGAAGGTGCTCGAGGAGGCCGGGTTGCCTGCGTGCGTCGTCGCGCAGGTCAGAACCCACTTTTCGAGTCTTTGGTGTTTCGCAGCACTCATTCGCTCGACATGCTGACCGACGGCGACGCGCTGTGTGTCGCAGCTCGTCGCGCTGTGCACGCACATGTCCTCGATCGGTCGCCCGAGTTCTGCGTCCGTTCCTTGCGTCGCTCGCAGGCGCTTACGCTGCCGCTGCCGGATGCGGCTGCCATTGCGGAGCTGGCACAGGAGGCCGGGAAGGCGTTGGCGGCGGCGGGGGCGACGCAGGTCGGCGAGAGGCTGGCAGACGGTGTGGCGGCGACCGTGGCGGAGGCGGAGCGGCAATGGGCCGGGCGGGCACAGCGCCATCTGTTCATGTGAGTGCCGAAGGCGCACAGGACGGTCTCGCTGCCTCGGCGGGCGCGTTTCAGGTCGTGCGTACCCGTCGTCGGGCTGGTTGCGTCGAGGGTGGGGCGTGAGGGGGCGTGCTGGTTGCAGTGCTGTGTCAGGCCTGACATCATTGAGCCCAACGAGAAGGACTGGACTAGGGTCGACATCATGGGGCGGCGAAACTCGATGACGTGGTCAGCTCTGCCTTTGCGGGCCCCACACTTGGCAACTGCTCTGCGGGAGCCTTCGATCGTTGAAGTAGCCTGTGCAACTGGAGCTAAACGAGCCGTCAAACCTGACCGAAGCGGCAGGATGCTGATCCTCATGGAATGTTCTGAGTGAATTTGATTAGGTCAGCGCGAGGAACCCGCAGCAGGTCGTAGAACAGGGCCGAGATGGGCCTCAAGGTCATCGCACTGGTGTCGGGCGGGAAGGACTCGTGCTTCGCGCTCATGGAGTGCGTGCGCATGGGCCACGAGATCGTGGGACTCGTGAACCTCCTCCCCGCGGACTCGGACATCGACGATACCAACTCGTGGATGTACCAGACGGTGCGTGATGCCCTGAGTGCCCTACACACCGCCGCCACACGCCGCCAAGGACGCTCCAACCATCCGCGCAAGCGGGGCTGGCGACTTCTCCTCTCAAATTCATCGTGCGACTCAAGAATCGTTCCGTCGCCGCAATTCCCGGCTCGCAGGCAGGCCATGGTGTCATTGAAGCTTACGCGCGGTGCATGCAGCTCCCCCTGCTCCGGCGCCGCATCCAGGGCGCCGCGGCGAACACGCAGCTCGCCTACGCCACCACCGACGGCGACGAGGTCGAGGACCTCACCGTCGCCCTCGCGCACGCAAAGCGCCGCTTCCCGGAGGCCACCGCCGTCTGCTCCGGCGCCATCGCCAGCGACTACCAGCGCACGCGGGTCGAGAGCGTTGCCATCCGGCTCGGACTCACGCCGCTGGCGCCGCTGTGGCGCCGCGCGCAGCTCAGCCTTCTGCCGGCCATGTTGGAAGCGCACGTGCATGCGATCCTCATCAAAGTGGCTGCGATCGGCCTGGTGCCGAGCCGCCACCTCGGCATGAGCCTGCAAGAGGCCGAGGAGGAGCTCCTGCGCCTGCGCGCCAAGTACGGGAACAACGTGTGCGGGGAAGGGGGGGAATACGAGACGCTCGTGCTCGACTCCCCCCTCTTCACGGGTGGACGCATCGCGGTCGGCGACTCCGCGGGCGAGGTCGTGCTGCCTGATCCGGACCCGTACGCACCCGTCGGGCTGCTTAAACTGACGAAGTGGAGCGTTGAGGCCAAAGACACGGACAGCGCACACAACCAGGACGCCGTCGTGGAGGAGATCACGGACGACATGGGCGCCGCAGCGGTGCAGGAAATCCTTGGATCAGCCAGCGAGGTTTCGTCGCCGCGGAATGCCGGCGCGTTCGACGTGCGCCCGTGGGCGGCGCAGGGCGGCGGGTTTGTCCGTGCGGGATGTGCGGTCGAGGGCGGGCGCGGGGCGGAGAGTGCCGCTGCGGCCGTCGAGTTCGCGCTCAGAGCAGCGATCAGCGAGGTGGGCTGGATGACTTACTCGATCGCCGGCGGCTCCGAACCTGCCTGCAACTCTCACTCTGTCCTGCACAAAGTCTCGATCTACCGCGCCCCCCCTGCAGGCCACGGAGCTCGCGGGCTGCGGTATCGAGCGCGCTGCTTTCGTGCAAATGACGCTGCGCGACATGGCCACGTTCGCGGCGGCCAACGGCGCGTACTGCCAGCAGATGCCCCAAACGCTGCCGCCGTCGCGCGCCTGCGTCGCAACCGGAGCCGGCACTCCCATCGCCTCCGTCGAAATTCTGCTACCCCTGGACGGCGGGCGGGACCGCAGGCAGCTGCCGCGCCGCGTGCTGCACGTTCAGAGCGTGTCGCCGTGGGCGCCCGCCTGCATCGGACCCTACTCGCAAGCCACGGCGCTCGGTCCGCTCATCCACATAGCCGGCCAGATCCCGCTGGATCCTGCCTCCATGGAGGTGTGCACGCGTCTGCCTGGAGACGCGGGACAGGCCACGCCAGCGTGGGCAGCACACATTGCGCAGCACGCCGGCCTCGAACGCGACGCCGCGGGGCCCCTGCTCGCGGAGCTCGAGCGCGCCCTGGTGAGTACGCAAGCTGTCGCGGTCGCAGCTGGCGGCGACGTGTCGTCGGGCCTCCTGTCGGCAACTTGCTGGTGTTCACCGGACGCCGCCATTGGGCGGCGGTCTCCGGGGGCGAGGCGAACGGCTTGCGAGATGGCCGTCGCGTCGCTGCTCGACGGGTCGCTCATGGCCACGTCGCGGTACTCGCCGCTGTCGGCCGCGACGGAGTACGGTGGAGGCGCGCTCTCGGATGCCACGGACTCCGGCAGCGAGGAAGCCGACTTCGGGTTTGGCTGGGATCCGTCCCGGGATGCGCGCAAGGGTGGCCAAGGTGCGAGCGCCGCTGGGGAGCGGCGCCCGGGCGAGGTGGCTGCGCAGGCTCCCGAGCCGATGTCGCAGAGTGCGCGGGGTGCGCTGGTGAGGGAGCTGGGCCTGGAGGGGGACTTGGGGGAGTTTTGGACGCCGCAGAAGGCGGCGAGCTGGAGGAGAGGATGGAAGCCGCTGCTGGTGTGGTGCGAGGTGCCGCAGCTGCCCCGCGGATGCGCATTCGAGATCCAGCCAGTGCTGGCGGAGCCAGCGTTCCAGGGGCACGTGCCGAGCGAGTCGACGCGGAGCAGCAGCGACGAGGGCGCACGCGAGCAGACAGGCTGCTGTCCGGCGTGGCTGAGGGACGCGAGGCGTGGCGACGCCGTCGAGGAGGCGGGTGCGGGTGCTGTAGCCATGCAGTGCTTGGTTTCGCGCGGGAGGTTCGCGAGAGCGCACGTCGGCGTACGTTTCCGAGAAGGTCAAGGTGCGGACGCGGACGCTGCATCTTTGGGTGCGACGGCGGCGCGGATGGTGGCGTCCGCCGCAGCGGAGGCGGGCTTGTCGCTGCCCGCATCCATCGCGCTCTTGCGGACGACACGAGCCGTCTCCTCGCCTGGCTGCGAGGCGAACGCCATGCGGGAGCTGTGCGAGGCGTTCGCGAAGCCTCTGGGCACGGCTCTGCCGCCCCCGATCGCGGCCACGGCCGTCGGGCACGACCCATCTATGCTGGATGACGTCATGATCGAAGTCTTAATGTTCCATCCTGAGATGACGGCCACCAGCTAGACCGCGAGTCTCGGCCGAGCTGCTCTACGTGCTGCAGAGCTGCGGCCCGGCGCTGTCACGACGCGCGTTCATCGGGCAAGCGAGCGCCATTTTTGTGAAGCAATCCGTCACAAGAATTCGTTCTCTACGCGCTCTGCGGAGCCTCGCTGCCTCCGTCGCCACCGCCCTTCTTCGGCGGCCGCGCCGGCGCCCCGCCCTTGCGCTCCATGGCCACCACGAACACCTCCCTCGACATGCTCCGCGTCGCCTTTGGTCGAATGGCCTTGACCTTCTTAAACCGCTGCTTCACGATGCCGAGGAACTCCGGAAACCCCTCCCCCTCGAGGATCTTAGCCACGAAGTTGCCCCCCGACACCAGCACGCCGTCCTCCGGCCGGATGTGCGACCCCGTCAACAGCGCCAGGTCGTCCGGGTGGAAAGACACCCCCTCCGAAAACATGTCGCCCATGTCACCGTCGCCGGCCGAGACGGGGTCCAGGCCGCCGTAGTTGTGCGCCCACTCCTCCGGCAGCGGGCCCGTCGCGAGGGCGAGCGCCCGCGACGCGACGGAGAGGGACCCCCCCACATCGAGCGCCACGTTGCCGCTGGTGTCAGGGCACATGTCAGACAGGACGGTCGTGAAGCCCGACGGGCTCATCGCGAGGAGCTGCACGGCGCCGTACTCGAACGCGTCGCCCTGAAGGATGCGCGCGCGCGAGTCGACGCGCGGTGGCTTGGGCGTGGCCTTCAGGTCGATGCCGACGAGGAGGCCCTTGCGCTTCGGAGGGCCCAGCGCCTCGCACGCCACTTGCATCCACGAGCCTGGGAAGCACCCGAGGTCCAGGACCCTGCGCGGGGACGTCGTTGCGGGCGTGCATCACGTGCGCGCTCGACGTGCAAAGCAGGGACGAGTCGCGCCGAACCCGGGCGTCTGCGTCAGACGCTTCTGTCTGAAACGCCTCTCTGCCACAATCAGCCGCGGCCCACACTGGGTTTGGCTCACCTGCCGCCGGGCCGCACCACACGGAAGCGCTGCTGTATTTCCTGTAGCTTGTACGCGGCCCTCGAAACATATCCAGCCTTCTTCGCGTCCCGAACGTACTTGTCATTGATGACTGGAGCTCGCCCTCGCGGATTTGCGCCCGCGACGACGGGCGCAACGGTGATGTGGCGGCGTGCAGGCCGCTGCGGCCGTGCGCGTTGGTGAGGCAGCCAGGCCGGGCCCCGACTGCCCCTCAGGACCGCACCCAGCGAACACGTGTGGTAAAGACCGCTCATGGAGCGTCAGACACCGGCAAACAGACCCACTTCCAGGAAGAGATGCGCCTCAGTTGCCTTGATCACCGCAATGCGGCGAGTTACGGCCAATGCCTCGGTGATTCTCGACAGAAGGGTCGACCTTGCTGCAGCAACTACGCTGCGCGCCGCCTGCGCGGGCCCCTCATGCCCCGCTGAGCAGGCCCGAGGGGAGGGTGCAATTGCCACCTCGGCAGCGCCTGTCCGTCCCAGACAGCCACCGGTTCGACGGCCGGGGAGGTGCCTGCGGGGCCGCACTAGCAATGTGCGTGGCGCGCCCCTTGCCACCCCTGCGGCCCCGACCGCACGTGCGCGGGGGAGGGGCGGGGCGACAACAGCGCTGGCGAGCGCGTTGTTCGCGCGCTGACGAGGACGTGGGACCGACGAGAACACTGCGGGAGAGAGAACTGGAATTTGTCATACGCCAGGACAGCACGTTCTACCGTGAGGAGTCAGGCCCTTCGAGAGACTTGGCAGTTTTGATCGCTACAGTGCTGGGGTGAGTGACGCTCCGCATGGGCGGCACGAGACATGCGCGTCTGGGCGGTTCGGTGCGTCATCGCCGGGCGCTCGATATCAGAGTCTCGAGCTGCACATTGGTGACGTCGGCCGGGCTGTATGCAGGAAGGAGAGAGCTGGAGATGTCTCAGCGCTGGACCTTATGTCGGGCTGCGGCGTCCGCGCGGCACGGTACGTGGCGGAGGCCGGGGTCAGGAGCGTGTGGTGCAACGATCTGGACGCCCGCAACTTCGCGATCATGGCGCGCAACACCGCGCGCGCGTGTCAGACGGCGGAGCAGCACACCTGGCCCGCAGACGCCGCGAACAGCGACGCTGGGACCTTTCGAGCGGCGCTGCAGGCCGTTCGCAGCCACATCGGCGACGTCCGCGAGGTGTCCTCCTCTGTCGTGACGAGCGTGGATGCCACACGGCTTCTTCAATTACTTGCAGCAGGTCCAGATTCCGAGGGGGGTGTCTTCGACATCATCGACGCTGATTCGTTCGGACTGAACGCGGCCGTGGTTGACGGAGCGACCGCGATGGTGCGGGACGGCGGGCTGCTTTACCTGACCATGACGGACGGCCCTGTGGCGGGCGGCCGCGCACCAAAACGCGCCGCTGCGCGCCTGAACGGCTGCAACCTGCCAGCAACGCCGTACTCCGGGGAGCTGGCGCTGCGAGGGTGCGTCCACGGCCTGAGCTTGCAGCCCGACTAGCTCCCTTTGAAGCTCCCTGCATTTCAACAGTCATGAACCAGCGCTGATTATTCTTTGATGGAGGTGCGTCTTCGCATCGTACGCACCGCGGTGACGTGTCCTTACTATGTTGACATGATCGCAGGCTGATCGGCAAAGCCGTGCTGTACGGCGCGTCGCGCGGGTGGAAGCTGTCGCCCGTCTTCAGCTTGTACGCGCGCCACGGCCCCGTCCTGCGCTGCATGCTCCGCGTCGACCGCGGCACGTCACGCAGCAGCGCGCGCGACGCCGACGGTGTGCGCGACTGGGGCTACCACAACATGGGCTACGTGGCATACTGTCCTGACTCAGGAGAGTCCTCCGTCTTCAACCTCGCGGGCAGACCGAGCGCTGAGGTGGCTGCCGGCGGCCGCGCCGCCACCGTCGTCGCGGGGCCTCTTTGGACCGGCCCGCTCCATCGCGCAGCCGACGTCAGGGCGATGGTGCAGGGCGCCATCGAGCGAGAGTGGGTGACAAGCTCAGACATCTTCCCGGCCGAGGAGACCCTACGACGCGACGAGCTGCATGAGGCGGATACGCATAGCGACGGCGGCGCGACGGCGCCGGAAGAAGGAGCCGCGTCGCAGAGGCCGGCCGAACAGCCACGAAAGGAGAAGGGGTACGTGGGCGAGCGCGCACGCCGGCGGCTGAGCAAGGTCCTGAGCGTTCTGGCCGACGAGGCCGGGCTCACGGAGGCGTGCGTGACGTCGGGCAGCGGCTTGGGCGACCCGCCGCTGCCGCCCTGGTTCCTACGGTGTGCTGAGATCGCGCGGCACGGGCGGCTGCGCGGCGTGCCGTCGTCGAAGCAGCTGCGGGACGCCCTGCGCGAGGAGGGGTACGTTGCGAGTCTGTGCCAGATGGAGGGCGCTGCAGTGCGGACGACGGCGACGCTCCAGCAGGCAGCGCAGGTCGCGGTGACGAGGCTCGGCGTGCCGACCGAGGAGCAGCACAGGGCTGCGTCGCGTGAGTGAACGAGCGATTCACACGCCGCGACGTTGCAGGCATGGAAGGCCAAATGTGTATGTATGTGTGTGTAAGGCTCATTCGCCTTAGGTGCTACGGGCAGCGGCGCTCATGAGCGCATCGCTGTCCGCCAGGGCGCCGACGTCCTCATCGGCGCGAATCTCCTCTATCGTCGTGCCCCCGATCCACAGCAGCTGCGCCAACAAGGACACGGCGTCGTTCTCCGCGCCCGCCAGCACACACGCGCACGCAGCGTTGAACACCACGCCCAACCGGTCCTCCCACGAACCCAGCGCCGCGGGGTTACTCAGAGCCGCCTCGTACGCCGCCTTTGCCGCTGAGAAATGCCCCTGCGCGTCCCCAGCACCGGCAGCAGCGGCAGCCTTCCCAAGCAGCACATTCGCCTCCGCAACGCCCACGAGCGCGTCGACGTCCGCCTTGTCGATCCTCAGCGCCGCCTCGTAGCCCTCGGTCAGCGCCGCAGCCAGCCACGCGGACTCGCTGCGCCCGCGCACCGTGCCGTCAGCGCTCTCAGCTGCGAGCTCCGCCATGGCCACGTGCACGTCGCCGATGCCGTTCAGCGGCGCCACGTCCTGCCGCCCGAAGCTGACGGCGTCGCGGAAGCGCGAGGCCGCCTCCTCGAGCAGCTCCACGGCCTCGCCCTGCCCGCCCGCGACGGCAGCGTGTCCCGCCATGGTGTGCAGCGCCGCGCCCCAGTCCAAGAGCAGACCCGGCAGGTCGTCGCCGTTTGCGCTGTGCGACAACTGGCACGCGTCGGAGTACGCTGCCCGGGCCCGCGTGCACGCTTCGAGGCCTGGCTCGACCTGGGGGGGGTCTGCGTTCAACAGTCTGTCTCCGAGGGCCGCCAACGATCCCGCGTGGGAGCCGAGCACGTCCGCGCGGGAGTCCTCTGGACACACGTCCGCGGACAGGGCAGACTCGAGCATCGCGACGCTGCGCTGCAGGAGTGGCACGGCTTGCGATGGGTCTGGGCAGAGCTCGCCCCACGACCGCAGAGCCCGCGCGCAGTTCACGAACGGCACCTCGGCGCCATCCCCTGCGACGTGCACGTCGGACAGTGGGGTCAGCTGGCGTGCGCTGCGCGGAGGGCCGCGAGTGAGATGCCGCGCTGATGTCAGGATGGCGTTGGTGGGGCCACGGGAGGCGCGCACCTGGCTCCGACGCGTTGATGCAGGGCTGGTAGGCGTCGACCGCTTGACTGTAGTGCTGGCATGCCTCGGCGATCGCGGCTTCGGCCTCCCGCAGGACAGAAGGGGATGGCGGTGCGAGGGAGGGCAGGCGCGCCGTGACGTCCGCGAGCGCCTGCAAGTGGGCCCCGAGCAGCAGCTGGACTTCCAGGGCTTGTGCCTGCCAGGACGGTCCGGCGCCACCCTCGATCGCTTCGCCGGCGAGTGACAGCGCACTGCGGCACAAGCGCGCGCCCTCCCGGTACAGACCGCGAGCTGCTTCGTCCGGCCTTCGCTCGGCCTGCTTCTGACATTCCTCGGCAGCTTGTACCAGCTGCCTGAAGCTGCGAGCGCGCTCCGTCTGCGTCGACGGCCCAGTTTGCGCCTGCTGCCGGTTCGGTGTTCCCGCCGCCGCCGTGTTCCCCGCGGGCTGCGACCCGGGCGCCTGCCACCAGAAGCTCCCATTCTGCTGCGTAGGCTGCGCAGGCTGCGCTGGCTCAGCAGGGGCGCGGTCAGCGGGCTTCGCGCCGCGCAGATGTGGTGGCCGGTAAGCGTGCGACTTGCCCATGCTGGTCCTCCGCGATGTGATGGCTCAATGTGCGCGAGCTCGGCGGTGGCAGGCCATGCCCGCGCCCAACGTGCCCGAGACGGTGCCCCGCCGCCACACGGCCCGACCAAACGTGGTCTGTCCAGCTCCCTGACGTGGGCGCAAACACGCCCCGGACACGGCCATTTCGCCGCGCCGAGCCGCCCTTCGCCGCGAGTGCGCACCGCTCGACTGGACGTCGCCGTCGCTGCCGTTCCGCAAGGGACCAAGCCTTCGCGGTCGGCCCCGCAGGTCTCGAGGTCGCCGGCACTCGCGCCGCAGGGGGGCTCGCTGGCGTCTCTCGCGCCCAAGTCAGCACCATGGGCGGAGGTAACGCGCAGGTGAGCTCGGGGAACATGGCGTGGGCGCATGGTGTCTGACCGCGCCGACGTGCTTGGATACCAGGAGCCGGCGCCACCAGCACGCACGATTGCAGCGGCGTCCGTGCGATTTGTGCGCACGGTGGGCCTCTGGTCGCTTTTCTGGCACTGCCACGCATTGCGAGGAACGTATCGAGCGCGCTCACAGCGCGGCGCACCCGGCACCAGGATGGCAATCGCATCTTCCCGCACCAGCACGCCGTTCCAGGCGCACGCGTTGCGCGCCCGGGCCGTCGCCGCAAATCCCCTCCCGCGCCTCCACAGCCGCCGTCCTCCCCGGCCTCGCAGAAATCGGCCACCAAGCGGGCGCGCAACGCCGAGAAGGCGGCCAAGGCGAACAAGGGCTCGCAGCTCAAGGTGAACGCGTCGGCGATGACGAACAAGTGCAGCGTGTGCATGACGCAGTTCATGTGCACCGCTGCCAAGCGCATGCTCCAGGAGCACGTCGACGGCAAGCACCCAAAGAAGACCTTCGAGGAGTGCTTCCCGGACTTCACCGAGGCGTAGCGCCGCGGAGCTGGCCGTGCCTGGCGCGCCGCGGACACGGCGAGGATCGTGGCGGCGGGGGCCGTCCCGGGGCTGACGCGCTGGGATGAGGACAACCCCTCGTGCGGGGGGGTTGTGAGAAACGTATTCAACCGCAGAAGTTGAAGCGGCGCGGCTCGCGAGTGCGTGACTGCGAAGCACGTCCGCGCAGCTCCCCGTGCGGCGCGCGTCCCGTCATGGCGCGCAAGTGCACCCGGCGGACGTTGCAGCTGCTGTTGCGCGTGGCACAGCCCGCCCGCACCCAGCGGCCGACCACGCGAAGCGCGCCCTGCACGCCGCGTGTGCCCGTCGAGGAGCGCGGCGAGTCGCCCGGCAGTCGTGTTGACACCGCGCGCAGCGTCTGTGCAAGTTCACAGCCGGTCGCCAAACCCTGCTCAGACCTCGGCGCTGCCGCCCTCCGCGCCCCGCTCCACCAGCGGCGACTGCTCCTGCCGCGCCTCCGGCGCCTCCCGCTCCGCGTCGCGCGCCACCGGCCGCCGCATCGGCCACGGCAGCCACCGCGTGCGGCGCGCTGTCTCCGCACCTCGTGGGCGACTCCGCGACTCCTCCGCCTCCGCACCCCCGGCGCCCTGGTCGTCCCTGGGCGCCCCGACCGCGATGCTGACGATTCGCGCGCCGTTGCGGTTGCCGAACGTCCAGCGCTGGCGCCTGGCATGGCCGGGCCGAGCGCCCGGCGCCGAGGACGGCCCCGCGCCGCTGCTGGTGCTCGCGTCCCCGGTCGTCGTGCTGTCCTGCACGCCCGCCTCCCGCAGGCGCTGCGCGATGCGTTCGGACAGCACGGCCTTGCACTGTGGGCAGGAAGCACGCGCGCCCTGGCACCGCACCCAGCGCTCGATGCACGGCTGGTGGTAGTGGTGTCCACACTTGAGCGTCGACACGTCCTGCCCTGCCTCTAGGTCGTCCTGCGCGGCGGGAGGCGGAGCAGGCGTTGCTCACGAGGGGTGGGAAACATGGTGCGCAGAGCGGGGCGCACCGCCCGCGTGCGCGGCGCAGAGGGCAGGGTGAGACGCGATGTGCTGCTCACCAGGCAGATGGCGCAGCAGGGTCCCTCGGAGTCGTCGCTGGAGGCGCCCCCCTCGCCTGCTTCGAGGTCGGAGGAGCCGCGCGCCGTCTTCACGTCGCTGGCCGTCCACTTGCGCGTCTGCAGCGCCGAGACGACTTCCTGCGCGACCTCCTGGTCCAGAGCGTCCTGCAGCGAGCAACGCGGTCATCGGCCGAGCGGTCGGGGCGCGATGGTCAGGGAGCGCTGGGTGTGCGTCACGCGGGGCGCGTCGAGGGGCGCAGGGGTGACGAGGACGGCCGGACTGCGGAATTTCAGGGCAGGAGTGCCAGGCAGTGCGACGCGAGCGCGAGAGACGCGTTGGCGCGTCGTTCTTCGCGCGTCTGGTGACGTCGCCTGTGGACCAACCTGCTGTTCCTGCTCGTGCTGGTCCAGGGACTGCTGGAGCTGGTCCAGCGCGATGATCATTTCGAGGTCGCTGGGCTGGATGTGGATGTCAGCCTGCTGGAACGCCCGCCTGAGGCGCTGCATCCGCCGGTGGCGCTCTGCGGGAGTTTCGGCCTGCCTCGCGAGCCGCAGGTTGCCCGAGTTGATCGCCGCCTGCTGGGCGGCGGCCCTGTTCTGCATCTCGTTGATCATGTGCCGGTGCAGCGCGACGCGCAGGCACGGCATGCTGATCAGGAAGAGCAGCAGGATCCACATCAGAAGCGCCGGCGGCAGCATCGTGAGCAGCATCACTATGATGAGCATCACCAGAAAACCACGGTTGTCCTGCGCTGAGTGCGTCGCGAACGACTGGCCCCCCGCCGCCCCCGCGTGCACGCGGGCGCCCCCCATCGGGGCCGCGCCCGAACCTCCGAGCTGGCTCATGGCCGCCGGTGCGGTGCAGACGACCCGGCTCCCGGCTGCGGCCAGACGACAGATGAGTCCTCGCTCTTCGCGGGGGGAGACAGACCGCGGAGGCCGGGGGTGCCGCGCGTAGCTGCTGTACTTCTGAGGCAGACAAACCGAGTGCGAAGCCGTGCGCGGACTGCGACGACACGGTGCACCGCGGGTGCTCGCCGCGACGAATGTCCTGCCGCGTTCCCCGTGGCCGCCCTTGTGCCCCCGCGCAGGCCGGGCCGTCGCATGTTTTAGGGGGGGACTGTTGTGGGGGTGTTGACTTGCGTCAGCCCAGCGGTCGGGGCGCGACGCGGCGGGCGCCGGCGCGCAGGCCTCACACGCGGGCGTGTGCCGCCAGCGACGGCGCCCGCTGTTCGTGCGGGTGCTCGAAACCGCTGGAACGCGGAGTTGTCTTCGGATGCAAAGACTGGGCTCGAGAGGCAGGCAGGACTGCGCGGCGTCGTGCCAAGAGTGACCGCGCGTGCGCGAACGAGACGCCTGGTGCCGCGGGAGGCCTTGAGCTGCAGGCAGAAGACTACCGGGGTTGTTCGCAGGCTGGAAATAGAAGGCGGTCAACTGCGCTGTGTGCTGGGCGACCCCCGCCCGTGGACGCGTCGAGGAGCTGGCCGACGCCGTGGTTGGCCGCTCCCGCGAGGGGCTGGCTGCAGCGACGCGGTGGCCTGCTGAGCGGGACTGCAGCATAGGGTCGGATGGGTGCCGCGAGTGCGGTGCATGGCCAGGTCAGGCGCTGGCTCGAATTTCGGCTCACAGATCCCGACCTAGGTTGGCCCCGTGAGTCGCGGACAGCTGCATCGCGCGAGCTGTCAGGCCGGCGGCGGTACCGCACGGTCAGCGCGTCAGAGTCTTGAGTGGTGGTTCGAGGGTGGGGGAGATTACTTGTTGGCGCGTTTCGGGCGCGATGTATGCGATGCGGGCGTGTCCGAGGGCCGGAGGCAGGAGAGAGGGAGGAAAAGTGGGGGGCTGGGGTGTTTTGAGACCGCGAATGGCCAGAGGGCGCGTGTTTTGTCAAAAGTTGCGAAAAAGGGAGGCAGGGCGCGTGCCAGAAGATCTGTGAGCGTACAGGTCGGAATGTCCAGTGCGCAGCGCGCCAGCGATTCGGTGCGACGCCGGCGGGCCCCTGGGGCCTCTTGCACGAGTCGGGCATGCACGGCACCTCAGCCCTGGCGCTCCGCGGCCGCGGCCGCGAGCCCCAGCGGCACGTGCGCGTCCACCGAGTCGAACGGCCGCGGTTCCACGGGGCCCGGGATCGCCGGCGCGGCGGTGCTGGCCGGCGCGGCTTCCTTGGCGGCGTCCTCGGTGGGCCAGTTGTACGCGACAACGCCGGCGACCAGCACGCTCGCGCCGCACCAGAACCGCGCGCCGAGCTCGGGGCTCGGCCCGAGCAGCGGGAGGTTGAGCGTGAAGGCGAGCAGCGACACGGGCACCACGACGGCCATGCACAGGCTCGAACGCAGGGCGCCGAGCCGGCGGACGGTCATGAGGAGCACGAGGTTGAAGCAGATGTTCACCGTGACGTAGAAGGCCGTGACGAAGGGCGCGCCGACGCACGCGGCGCCGGCCTCGACGGCGCCCGTCGCGACGCCCGCCAGGCACGCCGAGCCCGCGTGGAGGTACGACCCGAACTGCGCGCCGGTCTGCGCGAGGAAGAAGGGCAGTGCGCAGAGCACGGTGCACGCCTGCGCGATCGCTCCGTGGTAGTTGACGAGGATGCAGTCGATGGGCTGCCCGAGGGCGCGCTCCGAGTCGCGGAACAGGCGCTCCTTGAGCACGGACGAGACCGACAGGGGGAGCATGCCCAGGCACAGGATCGCGATGCCCGCCGGGTTGACGTCCGCGAGGATCGCGCCGCTGCCTGCAGGGGGCGGCGGGGGTGGACGGGGGTTGCGTCACGTCGCGACGACATGCCGCGGCTGCGGCGGGCGCGGCGGGCGCTGGTGCGCTGGGAGCGGGTCGCGGGCGCACCTGCGCCGGGCGTGGTGGCGATGCCGACGCCCGTGATGACGAGCGCGACGGCGGCGAGCTGCAGCACGCGCAACCGCTGCCGCAGCATGAAGCGCCCGAGGAGCACCTGCCAGACCATGATGGTCTGCGCGATGAGCGGGAGGAAGATCCCGGGGAGCTTCGACGCGCCCGTGAGGCCCAGGAGCAGCCCGGACGCCTCCAGGACGCCCACCGCGTACATGGACAGCCTAGGGTACTGCAGCATGCCTTGCGTGACGCGGCCCGCGCGCTTGCGCAGCGCGAGGAGGACGAGGTAGGTCGCCACGTACGAGGTCGTCGCGACCTGGCCCAGGAAGATCACGTGGTCGCCCATCGGGACGAGGGTCATCCTGCGGGGGCGATTGCACACGGCGACGCAATCGCTGAGCTAGGTGGCGCTGCGGGGGCCGGGGGCGCGCGGGCGCGGCGGCGAGCGGTCGCCATCGCGGCAGAGGACCGAGACGGCTGCGGCGGGCGCGGGGCGCGGCGGTCTTGGCCCGCCTATTGCGCCCGCGAGCAACGCGCCAAAAAGTGCACGCCGCGAGTGCAGGGTGGCAGGCGCCGTGGCGCGTCGCGCGGGGGAATGCGCGGCCACGAGGGGCCGTGCGGGGGCCTCCGAGCCGTGCGGAGCCGCGGGAGGGCGATGATCTGGAGCGCCGGCGCCCGGACGGGTCCGTGCGGCCGGCCGAGCCCGAACCAATGTGGCGCGCGTCGGTGGCGGAATGGCGCGCAGCCGGGGGCGGGCGGCGACGCACCTGTGCAGGACGCGGTTGCACACGCCGAGCGCGATGCATCCCGCCACGAGGAAGATGGGCGGGCTGCTCGTGCGGGCGCGCGGAGTCTGCGCGCCGCGGGGCGCCCGCCATGTAGGGCTGGGTGCAGCCTTTTCGGTGGCGCGCTCGCGCACCAGGGACTCGAGGAGGGACCCGCCGGTCCGCACAGCGCCCTGGAAGACGCTGGGCATGTCGGCGGAGGGGGACGTGCTCGCGCGGGCCGCGACCGCGTCCTCCGTCTGAAGCCTGCCCAGCGTTGAAACTCCTGGGTGCCGCGCGCCGCCGTGGGGCGCGGAGCGCGGCAAGCGCGCCGCCGCCTGCGCGCGTGGGGTCGAGGCATCCTTCCGGCGCAGGCCACGGGCGAGGCCGACGTGGGACTGCATGCTGAGGGCCGGTTTCAATGAAGGAGGCACAGCCTCCGGACACGCGTCTTACGCGGTCTCGCAGGGGCGTGGGCTGGCCGCAACGCGTGAGGTGCAATGCCACTGGCGTTCTATGTACGGCCCGAGGGGAATGCGGCTCGTTCGGGTCCTCCCTAGATAGCTCGCCTCGCGCTGCGCGAACTGACCTAACTCGGGGGAATAATCGCGAAGTGAGCGATTCTCCGCGGTGACTTAATACACTTGTTCGCTATCCCGCACCTCGAGCGCGCCCAAATGGACCGGCGCGGCCGCGGCAGCCGCAGTACGTGGCAAGTCGTACTACAAGCGTCGGGCGCCGCAAGCGTCGCCGTCAAGCGTCTACTCTACTCGCGCTGTGCGTTTTTCGCCATGTCATGACGACCCTGACCTCTCGTTCCGCGTGCCCCGGCCGCGCGCCCACCACAAGGATGCGCGCACACGTCTAGCACACAGCAACAGTCCCGCACTTCGGCTTCGGCTGCCGCCTCACACGTCGAAGTGGTGCAGCCTGTACAGCAGCGCCCGGCCCTTCGCGTTCCCCACCGCCAGGAAGCCCCCGCCCGGCGAGAACGCCACGCAGTGCACATAGTGCAGCGGCGACTTGGACGTGGGCCAGTTCGAGAACACCGTCAGCGTCGGCACGTGCACCAGCCGCAGCGCGTCCTTCCGCATCCGCGACGCCATCGCCAGGACCTGCCCGTCCGGGCTCCACTCCAGGGTGTCGGCTGCGGTGGTCAAGTGCATCAGCGTCTTGACAGGCCGCGGGGCCAGCGGAGCCAGCGGCGCCGCAGCCCCTTGAGAGGCCTGCCCCGCGCCCGCGAACAGCCCGCCGGGCCCGTAGATGTTGACGACGCCCACGTCGGACCCCGCGGCCACGTAGTTGCCGCCGGGAGACACGGCGAGAGAGGTGGCGTGCACGCAGCCCTCGTCCACGGCCCTGCCGCGGCACCGCTGCGTCCGCAGGTCCCACACGTACACGACGCCGTCGTCCCCCGACGACAGCAGCTCGTGGGACCGCCCCGGCGTGAAGGCGAGGTTGCGGACAGTGCCGCTCATCTTGAGGGTGCCGACGGCCTGACGCGACCGCAGCGACACGAGCGGAATGTTGCCCTGGACGCCGCAGAAGGCCGCGAGCGGGCCGGCGGGGCCCAGCGAGGCTGGGTCCGCGTCGGCGGGCGTGGCAGCAAACCGCTCAAAGGAGCGCTCGTCGCGCCCGAAGATGCCCTGCACGCGCTGGACCTTCGCCGCCTCGACGTCGTAGAGGTACCAGAAACGCCGTCGCCCTGCGCAGCATCCAGGAGAGTCGTCCTGCCGGTTCGCATGCGCACGGCCATGTCTGGCGGCCGGTCTCGACCCGCCCGCACAGCGCAGCGCAGCGCAGCGCAGCGCAGCGCAGCGCAGCGCAGCGCAGCGGCTCACCTGTGCAGAGGATCTGCGCGCCGCCGTTGCAGAACGCGGCCTGGTGGATGGGCATGTCGTCAAAGTGCACACTCTGCAGCTTGGGGTTCCGCAGCCCGTCGGCCTGGAACAGCCGCAGCTTGCGGTCCAGGGAGGCCGTCATGAGGATCTGGCCGCCTGGGTGGAACGCCACGCTGCGCACCACCGCCTTGCAGGGCTCGTGCTGGTTGGCGTCCCGCACGCGCGTCGCCTCGATCAGCCCCGGCGGCAGCGTGGCGCGCGCCGACGACAGCACAGCTCCGGAGTGCTGCAAGTGAGCGGTCCGTGGGATGCATCGCTGGTGAGCCCACGCCCGGAGCATGGGATGCACGGCCCGTTCGGGTGCTTGCAACAGAATGCGAGGGGTCGTCATTGTGGGGGTGAAGCGAGAGGTGCGCTCGGGCGACGGTTCTTGCCTGCAGAATGCGGGCTGCGGCCTCGCTGGCGCCCGCGGTGGACTCCTTGTGCGTGAGCCGGCTCCACTTGACGCCAGGGTTGAGTTTGCGGAACTGCTGGCGCAGGCGCTGCTCGTACTGCTTGCCCGTGATGGTCTCCTCGTCCTCCTTCTTGCGCAGCTTCCGCAGCATCGCGCGCCCGGCGATGTTGACTTCCACCTGCGGCGATGGCACCAACACTGTGTGTCGGCCGCCGCGCAGAACGTGGCTCGCTCCGGATGTCGTCGCAGTGCCAGAACAAGCTCGACGTGAGTCCATCGAACGACAGGCTGGCGCGGATGACCGCGATTACGCACCTTCTCGTCGTCCTCGTCCACCCAGACTGGCCGCCGCTTGCCGGTGGCTTTGGCGGGGCCAGCGTCCCGCGTCGGGGCTTCGTCTCGATCTTCTGGCTCCGAACCATCCTCCTCATCATCACCTGCACCCTCTCCGTGCCCGGCCCGGTCGTCATCGTCCTCGCCGGCGGCGCCACCTGCACGGTGCCCAAGGAAAAACCTTGCCCGCTCTGTGCTCGTGTACCGGCCTCGACCTCCAAGTAGCAATCACTCCTAGTGACAACGAGGTACTTATGAGCGGCCACGCCGCGTATCAATGGCCGCGGCGATGGCGGTGTGTCGGACTTGGCCTTGCCGGCTGCGTCCCGCCAAAGCAGCCGCGCCCGGCGCGCCGCATCGCGGTCATTGCGCACGGACTCGCGCCAACATCCAACGATGTACCACGATGCGCTCGTTCAAGCACCAGGCCACCGTGGAAGCCACAGCAGCGGCGGCTGGCGTGCGGAGCTGCTCACGAGAGCGTGCGGCTGCACACCCGCTCCCACCTGCCAGAATGTCGTCCATTTCCGCCGCGCCGAAGCCCGCGCCGGCCTCGTCATCGAAGGCTTGGGCTCCATGGCACGTCCCGAACAGCTCCGCCTCCAGCTCAGCGGCGCGCTGCTCCTTGTCCCCCCGCGCCGTCCCTGACCCGCCTGCTCCGCGTTTCCCGCGAGCCATCGTAACACCGTGCCGCGCTCAACGACCTGCCGCGTCTGCCTTGGGCACGCGGCCGAAATGCCCTGCGAGGTGCCCGAGAGCTCAGCTCTCGGAGCTGCGCTGACTCACTGCCCCGACACCCCCCCGCTGTCCGAGTTCGCGTCCACCACCACTGGCCATAGAGTCGCGAGCCCCAACGCTCGCGCTCAGGCCCTGACGAGCGAGCCGCTCGTCGACAACGCGCAATTTCACCGTGGCACAGGTTGGCACGCCGCCACTGTTGGTGCACGCCTGGACGCGGGCAGGCATGCACGCTGCAAGCGGCCGCTGTCGGTCCGTCCGCCCGGGCCCGTTGAGTGGCAGCTTCGCGGTCAAACCGTGAGACACTTGAGGGCGGTGACGACTGCGCATGTGCGCGCGTGTGTCTGGAGCAGCCGTTACAGGCAGGGGTGGTGCTTACGCGCCGAAGGGCGTGCCGAAGTTGGACAGGATGTTGGCGGTGGTCGGCGAGGCGAGGTGGTCGAGGAGGTTCTCGAACGGACCCTTGCCCGTGAGGATGGCCTGCGCGCCAAAGCCAAACATGGCGAGCATGGCCAGGCGGCCGTTCTTGATCTCCTTCAGCTTCATCGTCTGCATGGCCTTCTCGTCCTTGCCCATGCCCATGAAGTTGAAGAACGGACCGCCCGGGTAGGCCGGGTTGCCCGACCCGTTGAAGCCCTTCTCCAGGCCCAGGAAGAACTGCTTGCCCTGCGAGCCCGGGTTGCGGTAGTCCTGCCACCTGCACGCGCACAGGGAGGGGCGGGCGGCCGCGCGCCGTCAGACGGAGCGAGCGACGAGGCGGCGCGGGGGGCGTAAGCGCATACGTATTACGCAGTGGCCGTGCCGCGGCATGGACCGCTGCGGCGCCCCGCGGGGCCGTTCGGCGGCGTTGCGCAGGCTGCGCCCGGCCGCGACGGTCCGGCGGCGCTCGCCGTCGTGCAGGCTACACACAGTCGCGTCGCTGTGGTTGAAAGGGTGAGAGCGCACCTCTTGAGCTCAGCGAACTGCATGAGGACGACCTCGATCCAGAAGATGGCGAGCGGGGAGCCCCAGTAGTCGTCGTAGGTGCCCGCCGGGGGAATGACGCCCGACTCGAACCACTTGATGCCCGTCTCCGCGGGGATCACGCCGGCCTTGCCGAGGATCTCGGGGGCGATGCAGCCCGCGGCGCCGAGCATGGCCCAGCGGCCGTGGATGACCTCGGAGTACGCCAGCCACTCGGGGGTCACGAAGCCGCCCGCGCCCTCGGGGTCGGACATGCCTGCGGTGGAGTTGGAGGCAGGGGAGCGAGTGAGGCGGGCGCGGCGCTGCGGGGGTCGGTGCGGGCGCGGGCGGCGCCGGCGGGGAGGAGAGCATGCGGGTGCGGCGTGGGCGGGTGGGCGGCGGCGGGGGCGGCGGGGGCGGGCCGCGCACCGAGGGGGTCGAAACCGAAGTCGCCCGGCAGGGTGCCGTCGAGGTACGACAGGGACTGCTCCGAAGCGAAGTACAGCGTGTCCTTCGAGCGGTCGACCTGCGTTCACGCGGGGGAGCGGCGCGGGGAGTGGGTCGCCGCGGGTCTCGACGCATTGCCGCGCGATGACGTCCCAAACCCACCATGCGCGCCGATTCCGCTCGAGCGGCGAATCTGAGCGCATCGAGCGCGCGCAATCGCCCGCTGGCTATTCGGGCGACCCGGGGGTGGCGCCGAGGACGGATCAGCGGCCGTGCAGGCGCGGCGTCACCGGACCCGGGTGGCCCAAGCAATCAGGAGTGCGGGGCGGTTGCGCGGGGGCGCCGCACCTTCGCCGGGGGCGCGGCCTCCGCCTTCTCCTCCTCCGCGCGGCACACGGCGCGCTTGGCCTGGGCGCGCTTGGGGGCGGCCACCGTGGCGCCCAGGAAGGCGCGCTGCATCACCTGCAGTGATTGCCGGGCCGGGGGGGATGGTCAGGCGGGATTCACGCCCGCTGGACAGGCCTCTGGGGCTCGAGAAGCGGCCCGGAGAGATGCTCGGGGGCGAGAGGAGCTGTCCGGGCCGCGAGAGAGCGCGGGGGGGCACGGAGGAGCACGCGTGCGGGCCTCCAAGGGGCGGTGAGGGGCAGGCGCCGCGGGAGTCGGGGTGCGGCCACGCGCGCCGCGAAGGGCGAGAGACGCGCGAGGAGCAAATAGAGGAACGCAGTGGGCAGGCTGGGGCGGGGCGCGGTGCGCCGGTCCGGCGTCATCGAGGCCCTGCTCGGGTATTGGGCGAGGTCGGCCGGCAGCCGGGGGCGCGGCCGTACCTGAGCCATTTTGTCTGCTTCGGAACTGGAATGAGTCTATTCAACTGCAGCGAAATGCCCGGCGCCCGTCCCATGTAGGGCCCGGGCGGGGCCACACGCGCTGCCGAGATCGGTTTCAGCAGGATCTCAGGGGGGGTAACAGATACGTACGACTCCGGAACCGACCCCCCCCCCGCACGACCCGGCCGGCGGGTCAAGGGCCTCGCGGGCTCAGCGCCCGTCCGGAGCCGTCGCGCGCGTCGCCCGGCGCGCGGCAATTGCGGCACGATTTGCCCCGACAGATCAAAGGCGCTGCCGTGCCCCCGGGACGCCGTTTGGGCACAAGTCTGAGCCCTCGCATCACGGACGAGCGCCGCAAGCAGTGCCGGACGCCCTCGGTCTGGGAGCCTCCCGGCCAGTTGGGCGCGTTCGCGGCGCATTGTGCGTGCCCCGCGCAGCGTGAGGGCGCCCTCGCTGCAGCGCACTTGGGCGCGGGACCGCGGGCGAGGCACCTCGGGCTGGCTGGGACGTATCAGCCGGACGTGCGCGCAGGGGCGCCCGCAGCCGTGTGAGGAATTGTACCCGCTAAGGTCCCTTCATCTGTCACTGGCACGCATGAACCAAGGGCGGCCGAAAATCAACAGCCCGTGCGCGGCCTCGGGCTGCGAAGGTCGCTCGTGCCGGCGCCGCGCGGTGCGTGGCGGGCGGGACCGCCTCGCCGGTCCGCGCCGGACTGCGCGCCGCTGCGGACCCGTGACGGTGTTGCGGTGGTGAATTAGGGACGTGTCGGTTGTGGCGGCGAGGCGGTCCTGCAGCCGCCATGACCGCGGCGTGCGCGTGTGTCCTGGCACTATCTGCACGGCAGCCGGCTGTGCGAGCGCGCTGCGCTGGTTCTCGCGGCGAGACGCCGTCGTGGTGCCGCAGCGGGAGCAGGATGGCGTCCGCGCCGCCCGTGGCCGGCGCGAAGGGCGGGAAGCCGAAGCTGAGCTCGAAGATTATGCAGCTGAAGTTCATGCAGCGTGCGAGGGACAAGGAGTCGCGGCAGGAGGCGGCGCGGGAGGCCAGGTTGAGGGACAGCGCTGCCGAACTCGCCAGCCCCGGTCGGGAGGAGGACAGAGACGCCCCTGGGCTCGTGGTCAAGTACGAGGGCGACCCGCAACCGGGAGCCTTCTGCGGCAGGTTCTCATTCCAGGTGGGAAGCCTTGGCCCGGGCTGCTGCCCCGCGCCGTGCGTGGCCTCGACGATGGCTCCCCGCGTCTGGGGGAACGCAATGCGGTCGAGGACACGGGCGCAGCTGACTTTGCGACACAGATTCGTTCCACTCGTCCCCGAGTGACCCTCTGCGATGCCTACCATAGGCCGCCACCGACGCAGCCCACCACGCAGGTGGCTGGGACGGGGCGCGCCTGCCGTGTCCGACGGAACGCACCTCGCCTGCCACCGCGTGCGTCTCGCAGGCGTTCAATCCCACCACGGACAGGCTGAACGACATGCTTGAGCAGGAGCTGCGGCCCCCTGAGCCTGCTGCGAACATTGGGGAGGCGGCGCAGGCCCCGGACGGCGAGCGCGACCGCTCCGACACTGCGACACCGCCTGTGGCGGCTCCGGGCAGCGCGGGGGCGACACAGTCGAAGAAGAAGAAGAAGAAAAAGCGGGACCTTGCTGCTGCCGCCATGACAAACGATGCGGGAACGTCGGGACAGGTCTCCGAGCCAGGCTCGGCAGAGCCCCTGCGAAAAAAGAAGAAGAAGGGCAACAAGAAGGGCGCTGCGTTGGCGTAACCCGGGCCGCCGTCCCCGGCCACGCAGCTAGTTGATATTGTTATCTGGCTCCCGGCCCACCACACGCACGACGCCGCGACCCGCATCGACGCCGCGCCGGTGCGGCACAGCAGCGGCCACCCCACGCGCACTCGCACTCACAGTCCGCGCGCGGCCGCGACCCCGCGGCACAGTCTCGTCTCAGCGTTGTCCATTCAATGGGAAAGTATATGTGTGTGTGTGTGTTCTCCGGAGGGCCGCAGCTCGCGCTCCAGGCGCAGCACCTCGCGCGGCCCGGCCGTCCGTCGTTCGCATGCAGCGTGCGGCGCCCCGGGCGCCCGTCACGCGGGCTTGTAGGGGATGCCGGTGAAGGTGTCGAACCAGCGCTTGTACGACTCGTGGTAGTTGAACTGGTCCACCAGCAACTGAATGCCCTGCGCGTGCTTCTCCTTCGCCTGCGCGTCGAGCGGCGGACGGGCGTCCTCGGGTCAGCGCACCGAGGCGAGGACGGGAGACGGAGGTGGTGCGCGGGTGGGCGGGAGGCGGGGAGGCGGGGAGTGCGCACCCTGCCGTAGAGCTGCTCGATGTCCTTGCAGAGCACGGCGTACTTGTCCAGGAACGGTCCGAGCTCCTTCGTCACGTGGTCGTTCCACGCCTGGTTGCGGGCCACGCGCGCCTTGAGCTCGTCTTTCCGCGCGTTCAGCCGCCGCAGGAAGTTCTCGTACTCCGCCTGGCCCTCCTGGTCCAGCTTGATCTCTGCAACGCGCCGGGGCGGGCGGCACGGTGACCGCGGGCCGTCCGCAACGAGCACGGCGCGGCGCGGCGCAGGGGGCGCCTGCGCGGTCGGTGCGGGGTCCGGACCTTCGTCGAGCTGCCGCAGCCGACGGTTGAGGTTGTCCATGGCACCAGCGATCGCGCTCGACGTCGAGTCGACGAGCATCTTGTTCTTCAGGAGCGCCTTGTGCCCCGTCAGATTGTTGCCCCCGCCGCGGCCGCCGCCGCCGCGGCTCTTCGTCGACATGGTGCCTGCGACGGGTGAACCGAAGCAACGGAGATCGACGAGACGCGCAGACGATCGCGGAAGAGCGCGCACGGGCGAGCGGGAGCGATCGAAAGCAGAGCAGCGACGCTGCCACTCAACGACGGGGCTGTGCCGCGCGCCGCTCGCCCCAGGGGCAGCGAGGCGCGCCGAACACGCAAGTTGAGAGCGAGTTCCATCCGCCGACGCAGGTCGGACGTGGCAGCACCGCCCCTGGCGGACGCGGCGGAGCACGGCATGCTTGGGCCGGCCCGCACCTTCGCGTCGCCTCTCACTCCGCGCTTCCTGGCCTCAATCGATTGGCTTGTGGTCCTGCTGCCGCGCAGGGTGATGTGCGACTCCCGCGGCGTGCCCGAACGCATCGACCCCGGGCTCCGGCAGCGCCCCCGACGGGCTGGAGCGCCGACGTGGGGGACTCCGAAAATCGCCCTGGGCGGGGGCGGCGCGGGCTGGTGGGCCGCGGGCGCAGCGCCGGTCGCACCACTCACGCCTCGCAGCGACGGAGGCGGAATTCGTCCGAACGCGCGACCCGGTGCTCTGTGTGTCCAGCGCGGAAACGAGAGCTCCATCGCCCCGCTGACACGCGAGACCTGGGGACTCCCCGATCGCTGGGCATTCAGCTCGCACATATAGTGAGGCGAGCTCGGACTTGTCGGCGACAATTGGTCGCTTGAGTACGCGGCTTGGATGGCCACGGTTGCACAGAGCGAGACCCACGCCGCGCGCTGAGCGGTTCCGTGTCGAACTGCACACGAGACGCATGGAACGATCATCTCCTTAGGGTACTGCGTGAAGTTCCGCATTCGATGGGAGGGAAACGGTGCGTCTGCGCCCCCAACGACGCGCAAGCCCCGCGTTGCAAGCGCAGTGCGCTACAGGAGGCTCCGGGCCCCCGCGATCGGCTCCGCCGCGCCCGTCGACGTCCTCCGCCTCGTCTGCTCCCTCGAGCCACCAAATGTCGGCACGACCCGCGAAAGCACGCCAAGCATCGCTGGCCCTCTTCCGCAGGAAGGAACCGCCCGCGGGCGCGGGCGCAGATGACGCGGAGGACGTCGCCACGCAGCGCAAACGCCTCCTCGGTGGCGCCGCTCCGTCCCGCAGTCGCAACGTGTGGGGCAAGTCGAAGAAACCGCATCCGATTTACGGTTCGAGGCCAGGGGGCAGCAAGGCGCCTCCCGCGGGCCGCGCGTCGCGCTCGGCGCACGAAGCCGCGCCCCCGCGACTCGCTGCGCAGCCGGACGAAGCGGAGCGGCCTCTGTCGGACGGCCTGGCCGCGTCCCCGGAGCACGCGGGCCCTGCGCCGTCGCAGCGTGCGTTCCGCTCGACGTCGCAGGCGGTGCGGCAGCTGATAGGCGACGCGGGCGCAGCTGGACGCGGACGACCGAGGTGCGCGGCAGCGAGCTCATGCTGTTCGCCGCGTGCGTGCTTGTGCGGGTGCCGCCGCGACGACGCACGCCTCCGCGGAACGCTTGCAGGCCGCGCGAAGAGGACATTGAGCCCGAGCTCGCCTCCGAGGACGACGACGACGCGCCCCCAGGACCGGCGCCTCCGGCCGCGACGCCGCGCGCAGCAGTCAGCCTGCATGAGTCAGCCCCGGCCGACGTGGCCGGCCAGGACGCCGGCGCCTCGCCGGAAGTGCCAGCGCTCCCGAAGAGCGCGCCGCCCGCCGCGCGGCCCTCCGGCTTGATGTCGCAGCAGCGGGCCTTCCTGCAAAGCAACGCGCCAAAGGCGGGGGCTGGCCTGCGTCCCGGCGGCCTCTCGCACCTCGGCGTGGGCGGGCAGTCGCTGTGCGCACGGATGCGCGGCGTCGAGAGCGGCATCCGGAAGCTCGAGGCGCGGCTGGAGCAGCGCGCCCCGAGGGGGAGTATTCCTTCCCCCCCCCCCAAGACCGCTGGCCGGGAGGCGGCTGCGGCGCCGTTCGTGGCGCGCGTGGTCGCTACGTCGTGGATGACCACGCACCTCGCGGTGCACTGCGTGCCCGTCGCGGTGCTGGAGGCGCAGGTGCAGTGGGTGATTGGCGCGCAACACTCGAGCGCAGACAGGGACGCGGGCAGCGAAGGCAGCGCGCAGCAGGTACGCGCCCCGCACGCAGCGCGATGCCGTCAGCCCGCAACACCCGGTGCAGCGCTCTGTCCCGCCCGCCGCTGTTGACAGTGCGCGCCTCGGTGTGTGCACCCCCGGTGTGTCGCAGAAGTCGCAGGCGTCGCAGCGTGGCCAGCCCGCGCGCGCGGCGCTCGACGGGAGCACGTCTGTGGTGGTGCTGGTGCCCGCTGCGACGGCCCGCAAGCTCGAAGTGCTTGAGGGGGGGCGCATTGCCGTGCAGGCGCCCTGGTGCGTGGTGCTGGGGGCGGGGGACCCGGGCGTGGCGGTCGTGCTGGGACACCTCTTCGAGGTCGGCAGGTGACGGCGCCGAGGGCATGCGTGGCGGAATACAACAAAGGCGAGGGAGGGGACGACAAATAGGTACTAGGCTCTGTATAGGATCCCGCGCGCGGGGCATGGCCGGCCTGTGAGCCAGGCCCCCGACCTGCGCCGCCCCGCGTGACGCGAGAGCCCTCCCTATCGCGTCGTTCTTCCGCGTGCAATTATTATCGCACACCGTCCATTGCGCGTGCGGCGGTGGATGCAGAGAGTGCATGTCGCGACCGGCGCGTGTGCGAGGGAGCGGAGCGGCTCACAGGCCCCGCAGCGAGGCGGCGCGCCGGTCAGTCCTGCTCGTCGAAGTTGACCGGGTTGGCTGTCCCGCCGGGCGACGTGTTGGCCGCCTGCGCCCGCATTGCCAGCAGATCCTGCTCAATCTGCTGCGTGTGCATCCGCTCGGCCACCAGCTTCGTCTCCAGCTCCTTCACCTTCTTCTGCAGCATCGCAGCCGCGGGCGCCGCCGGTCAGCGCGCGTCCGCGCGAGCGGCGCAGGGCAGCGTGGCGACGCAGCGAGGCGCTGCCTGGGGCGCGAGGACTCGCCTTCAGGGCCTTGCGGGCCTTGGCCTTCTCTTCGAGCTTGTGCAGCTTGCCGAGCGTCTTCGTCGCGTCCCCCATGAGCTGCTCCTCGGACGGGAAGAGCCGCTCCGAGGTGTTGGCGGACTCCTTCATCTTGCGCACGCGGGCCTCGCCCTCGGGCTGCGGACGGGGCCGCGGCGCGCGCGTCAGAGACGTGTCTCGCCGGGGCGGGCGAGGGGGCGCGAGGCCCGCGCGGTGTGCGTGCGGGAGGCGCGCAGATGCGGTGCGCGTGGGCTGGTGCGAGGGTGAGCTCGCCAGGGCGCGCGTCGCTCGACGCGGGCGAGCCGCTTGGGGTTCTCGCGATCGCGTGGTACGCCTCGGATCGACGGGGCGGAGGGAACGGCGCGTGACATGGCCGGGGGCTCTGCGCGCGGGCAGGCATGTTGGGCGCGCAGGAGCGGCGTGGCGCCGCGCGTGAACGCACCCGCGGCAGCCGTCCCTTCGCCCGCATGTTGTGGAGGAACTCATTCTTGCACCACGTGTCCCAGGTTCGTCCCAGCTCCATCTCTGCGCCGCCTCAGCCCCGGAGGGTGCTGCTGGCCGTGCCAAGTGGCTCCCTGACGCGCCTCTGAGATACGACGGCGCAAGTTCGCCACGGAGGGCGGCCCAGTCGGGACGGTACCGCCGCCCGACTGCTGCGGAATCCGCCCAGGGGGCGCGCCGGCCGCGGGCGGAGGGGCCCACTGCCTTGCCGCAGCTGGAAGGAGGAACTGGCCGCCGTGCACGCTGAGATCCGAGCCTCTCGATTCCGTCGTAGCGCCCTTTGTGTCCATGCCGCCGTGCCGCTCCCGGCGGGGGCAATGAAGCCCGGTGCTCGCTGCCAGGCCCTGCGGGGTATAAAGGGGGGCCACATGCTCCGGGTGCGGGCACGAACGGTCGCGGCGCGCGGCCGGGCGGCTCACATCTCGCATCGACGGACGCGCGGGCGGCAAGGACCGCGTCAGGCACGACGCGTGGCGCCCCAGCGTCGTTCAAACACACACAGGCCCGGCTCCTGCGCCGCAGCTGCGAGCGCGGCGGCCTCTCGGGGCGCCAGGCCCCGGGCCACCAGCTAGCGGACAGGGGCCACCGGCCGGGGACGTAGGCGGCGGGCAGGATGTCGGAGTCCAGGATATTTAGCTATGTCATGTACTATGCCTACAGGGGCTACTCGCGGCACGTCCAGGCCATCTGCGCGGACAACCTGAATCGCCGGAACAATGACCCGGTCCTTAGGTTCTGGAGGGCGTACGGTCTGGCCGCGGAGGGCAACACGAAGGAGGTGAGCGCGCCCAGCACTCTCCTGCATGCTGCTCCGGCCGCGTGCCCGCCCAGCGGGGCCCCGTCGGGCCGCGAGACCCGCCCCGGACGCGCCCCCGCGATGGAGCCGAGCCGCGGGTGCACGCCAGCGCCGCAACGGCCCTGGAATCAAGCCCCAGGGCCGCGGCGGGGCCCGCGCTCTCTTCCCCGCGACCATCGCAACGTGCTCCTTTCTGCGCCCCGCGCCCCGCCTGATCGCCGGGCGCAGCGCTCCGCCCCCCGTGGCGCGCCTCCGTTGCGTCATCGTCCCCACCGACCCGCTCGCACGCCGGATGGGCCACCGCAGGCGCCAGCGTCGCGTCACACGTCCCCCACCCGCCCCTTCGCTGCGCACCCCGTCCCGGAGCGGACCGCGCTCATCCGCGCGTTCCGCCCACGCCGCGCGCCATCGATCCCCCTCCCCGCCCCGCGCCCGCGACGCCCTCGTCCGCCCCGCACGACCCGGCCACCGCTCGCCAGCTCAGTCCGCTGCGCGCACCGCGCCGCTGCGCCCGCAGGCCCTCACGGAGTTCACGGCGCTGCAGACCGCGCCGGGCGTCGACCTCGCGGCCACGGCCGCCGCGATCGAGGTGCACCGGCAGCGGCAGATCGTCGACAACAACAGCGTCGGCGAGCTGGACCTGCGCCTGGACACGCTCGACCGCGGCGCGGAGGGGCCCGCGCTGCTGCTCCTGGGGCGGTACATGAGCCTCGCGGGGTCGCTCGAGCTCGCGCGGGGGAAGATCGAGCGGGCGCTGCGCGGGGGCGACGTGGGCCCAGAGGCGTACGTCGCGCTGGGGTGGGTGCTGCTGCGGCAGGCCGAGGAGGGGGACGCGCTGATGGACGACGAGGACTACTGCGGGGAGGCGATCAAGCTGTTCGACAAGTGCATCGCCATGGTGAGCGCGCCCCGCCACGGTGCACACACACACAGCGAGGGAGACGAGCCACGACCATGCGTTGTTCGCACGCCGGCGGTCCGGGTCGTCTCCCTCCGTGTCGCGCGCGTGCCGTTGGACAGGCCGTGCGTGTCGTCGCCGCCGCGGACCAGGCCGGGGACGGGGACCGACCCGCGCCCGCCCCCGCCGGTCCTTCTCTTGCAGAGCGACGAGCGCGTGATGCTCGACGCGCTCCTGGGCCGCGCGCTGTGCCTCGAGGTCAAGGGGCGCGTGCCGGACGCGTGCGAGGCGCTGTCGGAGCTCGCCTCGCTGTACGACTGGTTCACGCCCGCCCAGACGGAGCGCGCGCGGATGCTCATGTCGCTGTACGACTGGGAGGGCGCGACGGACCAGTGCCATCGCGTCCTGCAGCACGAGGAGTACAACGTCGACGCGCTGTACCTCCTGACCGCGGGCCTCGTCGTGCGCGACGGGCGGTACACCTCGGCGGTCAAGCACGGCGAGGACCTCCAGCGCGCGCTCCAGCAGCGCGAGCCCCGCAACGCGCGGCTCCACATGCGCGCCGCGCGCCTCCTGTCGCGCTGCGCCCTGCACAGTCAGCCCATGCTGGCGCTGGCGACCAGCTTCGCGGACCGCGCGCGGAAGCTCGCGCCGGACGACTCCGGCGCGGCCACGCTGTACGGCCGCTGCCTGATGATGCAGGGCGACGCGGCCCGCGCGCTCGCGAGCTTCGACGCCGCGCTGAGCCGCGACGAGCTCAACCCGGACGCGATGGCCGCCGCGGCGCTGTGCGAGCTGCAGCAGCGCCGCGTGGACGACGCCCGCGCGCGCATCGAGCTCCTCCGCGAGGCGCCCGACCTCTCGCCGGGCCTCAAGGCCCGCACGCTGCACCTGGCCGCGCTGGCCACGTGGCTCGAGGGGCTGCCCAGCACGCAGTCGGCGCCGCTGCTGGAGGAGGCGTGCGTGGCGGCGCGGCAGGCCGCGGGGGGCGGCGGCGGCGCGCTGAGCCTCGAGGCCGTCGCGGACATGGACCCGTCGATGGTGGCCGACATCTGCGGCCTGATGCTGCAGCACTGCCCCGGGGACCCGCGGGCGCCGACGGAGCCGGTCTCGCCGCAGCTCGAGACGTGCCGGCGGATGGTCGAGGGCGTGCTGAAGGCCGCGCCGGGCCTCGTGGCGCTGCAGGCCATGGCGGCGCACATGCTGTTCCTGGCCGGCGACATGTCGGCGGCGGTGCGGCGGGCGACCGAGTCGCTGAACCTGGCGCCGGAGCTCACGCTCGCGCACATGGTCATCTTCAACGCGTACATGCACGAGAACAAGGTCCCCGCGGCGCAGAAGGCCCTCGAGGGCGCCATGGCGCAGGACTTTGGCATCCGCACGACGGTGGCGTGGCACGTGGCGCAGGCGCGCGTGATGCTCCACGACGGGCAGCACGCGCAGGCGATCAAGTTCCTCACGCAGGCCGAGAAGATGCCGGGCGTCCGCGTGCGCGGCGCGGGCTCGCCGTGCCTCCCGCCGCCGCTGCCCACGGGCCGCGCCGCCGCCGCGCCCGCCGCCGACGCCGGCGGCGGCTCGGGCATGCACCTCCCCGTGACCATCCAGGACCGCGCGCGCATCGCCGCGCTGCTCGCCGAGGCCAACAGCGGCCTCGGGAAGGCCGCGGAGGCCCAGCGCATCGTGCAGGCCGCGCGCCGCGAGTTCGAGGGCACGCCCGAGGAGTCCCGCATCGCGCTGGCGTCCTGCCGGCTGCGCCTCGACCAGCGCGACGTCAAGGGCGCGCTCAAGGAGCTCGCGGGCGTCCCCGAGGAGTCGCCAATGTTTCTGCGCGCGCGGATGCAGATGGCCGACATCTACCTGCACCACCGGCGGGACCGCAAGGCGTACGTGGAGGTGTACGAGGACCTGGTGAAGAAGTACGGCAGCAAGCAGGCCTACATGATGCTCGGGGAGGCGTACCTGCAGATCCGCGAGCCCGTCCCGGCGATCAAGGCGCTGGAGCAGGCGCTGAAGCGCGACCCCCGGGACAGCGCGCTGGCGATGCGGATCGGCGGCGCGCTCGTGGCGACGCACGACTTCGAGACGGCGGTGGACTACTACGAGCGCGCGATCAACGCCAACCCCACCTTCCTGCCGCTGAAGCAGGCGCTGGCCGACCTGTTCACGCGGCTGGGCAACCCCGAGGCCGCGAACGCGCTGCTGAAGCAGATCCGCGAGGCCGGCGGGACGGGCGCGCAGCGGCTGAGCTCGCAGATGCACGCGGTCAAGGCCACGCTGATGATGGCGCGCATGAAGCGGCAGGAGGGCAAGGTGGACGAGTACCTGCAGCACCTGCAGCAGGCCGACGCGGAGCAGCTGGTCATCATCGAGGCGCTGCGGACGTCCGACCCGGAGCTCGTGCAGGAGCAGCGCGCCGCCGCGGCCGACATCTGCCTGCAGGTGGCCGAGGAGCACCTGCGCTGCGGGCGCGTGGCCGCCGCCGAGGAGGCGCTCACCACCGCGCTCAAGCGCTCCGAGACGCACCAGGGCGCGGTGCTCGCGATGGCGCGGATGCGCCTCGGCCGCGGGGACGTGGCGGCGTGCCGGTCGGCGTGCCTGAAGGTCCTGGCCAAGGACGAGCACCACGTCGGCGCGTCGCTGCTGCTGTGCGAGGCGATGCTGTGCGACCAGGAGCGCGACGCCGCGGCGCTCAAGTACGAGCAGCTCCTCGAGCGCCGCCGCGACGACTGGGAGGTCCTCTGCGCCGCGCTGCGCGGGTTCCGCCGCGCGGGGCGCCTGGCGCAGGCCAAGGAGGCGCTCCAGGCGGCGCTCAAGGCGCGCGTGCAGGCCGCGCACGAGCCGGGGTTCCTGTACTGCCAGGGGCTGTACCTGCGGTTCACCAACCAGCTCAGCGAGAGCCTCCAGGCGTTCAACCGGTGCCGGCACTCCCCCGAGTGGGGCCCGCGCGCCGTGTGCCAGATGGCCGAGATCTACCTCGACCCGGACAACTCGTCGCTGTGGGGCGGCATGCAGGCGGAGGACGGCGCCGGCGCGCAGCGGGGCGCGCCCGACCGCGCGGGGCTCGAGGCGGGGATCCAGGCGGCCAAGACGCTGATGCAGTCGCTGACGCTGCCGCGGTGGAGGACGACGCTGCGGCACCGCGTGCTGGAGTGCTACGTGCTGATGTCGTCGGGGGAGCAGGCCGACGTCGAGAAGGCGCTGTCCGACCTGCTCGACATGGCGCAGAACGACCGCGACAACGTGACGGTGCTGCTGGCGATGGCGTCGGCGTTCGTGTTCCTCAAGCAGAAGCCCAAGGCGCGCAACCAGCTGAAGAGGTGAGGCCGTCTGTGTGTGTGTCTGTGTGCGTGTCTGTGTGTCTGTGGCGCGTGTGGTTTGACCCTGTCGTGGCTCTCCGCGCGTGCGCGCAGGGTGTCGAAGATCCCGTTCAACCCGGACGCGGCGGACGACTTCGAGCGCGCGTGGCTGCTCCTCGCCAACATCTACGTCGGCGGCGGCAAGTTCGACCTCGCGCAGGAGCTGTGCGAGCGCTGCCTCAAGTACAACCGCTCCTGCTCCAACGCCTGGGACCTCCTCGGGCAGATCCTCGAGCGCGAGGGGGCCTACAAGGTGCGCGACGCCCCCGCGCCCGCGCACCGCCGCCGACGGCACCCGTGCGCGTCTCGACCGCGCCGCGCCCGGCCGCTCGTTCGCAGGACGCGGCGGAGCACTACCACAGCGCGTGGGAGCTGGAGAACCGGTCGAGCGCGTCCGCGGGGTACCGGCTGGCGTTCAACTACCTCAAGGCCGACCGCTGCGTGGAGGCCATGGAGGTGTGCTACGAGGTGATGAACCGGTTCCCGGACTTCCCGGGGATCCGGGAGGACGTGCTGGAGAAGGCGTGGGCGGGCGTGCGGCCCTGAGGGGCGGCCGCGTGTGACGTCGCGCGTCGTGGCGGACCGGGCAGCAGGTGCACTGCCAGCATGGCATGCAACATGACACACGCGCGCAGGCTTCGAGCAATAAGGTCCGCGTGCTATCGACGGGATTCGAGCCCGCAACCTCTCGCTTTCGTGACGTCGTGTACAAGGCGAGCGCTCCACCAGGTCGAGCTGCGATAGCAAAAACGATCGCGTCAGAGGCCAATTTCCTGCTACCCAGAAGTGCCGCGCATGCGTTCGTCGCGGTCGATGCATATACTGCGTGTTTGGCGGCAGAAACTGAATGCAATGTATATGTGAATTACAGATATGCGACGAACACGTCGGTTGCGTCCGGACCGCCGCGGACGCGGCCTCCTCTGGCCAAGCACTGCCCCCGCCCGCACCCCGCGCGCCCACCAGCAGCCGGATATGGGACGGAACCTGCTTCCTTGGGTCACATGCGACCCAACGTGCCGCACTGCGACGCGCGCGACGCGCTCCAGCGCCCCCCGAGCCCCTCCTTGCTGCTCCCGAGAGCACACATCTGGCACGGTCGCGCGCGGACGCGTCGTCCCGCTGCTGCGTCGTCGGCGCCTCGTGCGTCACGGCGGCTCGTCGAGGGCGGCGACATCGATGGCACCACGCGCGACCGCGGGGGGGAAAGTTACACAGCGGCCGGCCTAGCCGCGCTTGGGCACCTTGGGCCCGCCGGCGAAGAACTCCTTGTAGATCTCCGCCATGCGCTCGGGCTTGGTCTTGTCGAACGTCGCCGGGTGCTCCTCGACGCACATCCGCAGCACGCACCCGTCCTCCACCAGCAGCGAGTACCGGTGGTGCTTCGCCGGCGACCCCCCTGCACGCACGGAGCAGCGCGGGAGCGACGTGGGGCAGCTCCCCAAGCGGCGCGGCGCGGCGCGGCGCCGTCGCCGTCGCCGTCGAAGACGACGCGCACCGAACGACGTGTGGTGCGGCAGCAGGCGGACGCGTTGCGCTCGGCCCCGCGCTCCCGCGTTCCCGCACCTGGGATGTCGACGCCGAGTAGCCGCACCCACGCCCCGCGCCCGTCCGACACCACCGACACCCGCGCCGGGTCCACGCCGTGCTTCGCCGCCCACCCCTGCACCTCCTCGGGCCCCTCCGGCCGCACGCACACCACCTGCGGGGACGTGCGCGAACGCTCGGGGCATGGGCATGCGGTCAGCGCGTCTCGCGCGCGTGCGGCCCGCGCGTCTCGCGCGTGCGCGGCGCGTCGTCGACGCACCTCGTCCACCCCCAGGTCCTTCAGAGACTGCGCCGACTTGAGGTACGCGGGCAGGTTCTGCTCGTCGCACACCTTGCCGCCCGGCAGCCCGAACACGATCACCTTCTTGCCCTGCACGCCACGGCGGCCGGGGGGACGGCGTCTCTCCTGCTCGGTGCGCGCGCGGGGCCCGCCTCCGCGCCCCCTGGCCCGGCGAAGCGGCGCGCGTGGGAGAGCACGCGTGACGCGACCCGGCCGGGCCGCGCTGGCCCGCGGAGGGGCGGCGCACGGCGCCCGCAGCGCGAGGGGCACTGCGCCCGGATGAGCCGACCCACCGGGCCCACGGGCCGCGGCGCAGCGGGCTGGCGGCGCGGGCGCGGTGCCAGGAGCGGCACCTGGGGCGGGGCGGGCCGGTGCGCGGGGAGCCGCGCCGCGGCGGGCCGGGCCGGGCGCCCCGCGGGTGCAACAGACGGCCAGCCAGTGGTAGGCCCTACCATGGGCTGCACGGTCCGTGGGGGGGTCGTCGGGGCCGTGGACGCACCTTGAACGTATCCCGGAGCGTCCTGAAGGAGTCCCCGACCGCGAACTTGACGTCTGACCGGAGCGTCACGTCCCGGCGCCGGCCCAGGCCGATGTTGCAGACAGCCGTGTTGAGGACCGACTTGTGGTGCCCCTCGGGCACGTTGCTGATGTCTACATTGGGGGAGACGACAGCAAATGCCCGGGAGGCGCCGGCGTCGGCGCTCGCGAGCGCCGAGAGCGCCCCACGGAACGCCCGAAGCCTGAGCATCCCGTCGACGTGCGCGCTGTCTCCGCGATGCCCGGCGTCTCCGATTCTCCCCGTCGCGCAACCTCTTAGTTCGAATCGGGAGAGCGCGCGTATGTGCGCGACGCGCCCTCGCGCGCCCCCCACGGCCCGCCGCGCGCCTCCTCGCGCTGACCAGGGCCTCGAGGCCCCCGGGCGTCCAATGCGCCGCGCCCGGTCGTCGGGCCGGCGCGCCCCGCCGCCCGGCCACTCGCGCGCTGCGTCCACGTCGACCCGCGCCCCTCGCACGCGCCACGCGCGACCCCCGCGACCGCCCCGGACCAGCGCGGCACCTGCGCTGCCCGTCGCGCCACCATGGCCGCACGCGCGGCCCGCGACCGCGCCGCACGCCGCGACGGCGCGGCCCAGCGCCTGCCCTGCGCGGTGCGTGCGCGCGTCCGCGCACGCGGGCCGCGAGCGCGCCCGGCGGCCGCGCGGAGGCACCCAGCGGCGCCGCTGGGCGCCGCTGCGCGCACGGCGGGCCTCGCGGCCCTCGCCTCCCTGGCGCTCCTGGGCGCCCCGGTGACCGCAGACGCGATCGAGGTGCGCGCGCGCCCCGGCAGGCCCCCGCGACGCGCCGGCGGGCCGCTCCCCGGCGCCATCCATCCAGAATCCGCACCGCGCGCCCCCGCGCAGCCACGGCCGCCGCGCGCGCGCGCGCGCCCTCCGCGCGCCGATGCACGCATGGAGCACGCGCTCCCGCGGCGCGCGCCCGCTCATCGGCGCCCGCCCCGCCCCGCGCAGACGGTGCCCCCGTCGCAGGTCGCCGACAAGGCCAAGCCGCTGGCGCAGCAGCCGGTGGACAAGAACAAGGTCTGGCTGCTCATGGGCGGCCTGTCGCTCAGCGTCTTCTCCGCCACGCTCGTCGTCGAGAACTCCGTCGTCGGGGCCAAGCTCTTCCCCGCCGTGTCGCGCGCCAACCGGTGAGCCGCCCGACGACGGCGACGGCGGCGAGGTGCGCTCGCGCCGCGCGCCGGGCCCGTCTCACGCGCGTGCGCGCGCCGTGCTGATCGCGTGCAGGGCGATGCGGATGCGGAGCAAGCTGTCCGACGAGGAGGAGGACCAGGTGGTCATGGGGGGCGACGTCGACGTGGAGCCCGTGCCGCCGCCGGAGCTCCCGCCCGTGTCGATCGCGTCGAGCACCGAGGCCGCCGTGCTCGAGGGGCTGGGGTCGGCGAGCCGGCGGAAAGCGGAGCGGCGGGCAGCCGCGCAGAACGGCGAGGGCAGCGGGGCCGCGAACGGCGCGGGCGAGATGGCGGGCGAGGCGACGGGCGAGGCGACGGGCGAGGCGACGGGCGAGGCGGCGGCGGGCAACGTGCCGGCGGAGCTCAAGGCGGACGACGACGCGGAGGACGTTGGCGTGCAGGAGGGGGGGAAGGCAGAGGAGGGGGGCATTCGGGTGGAGTCCGCGGCGCCGTCCCTGGGGGAGCTGTCGACAGAGGACCTGGAGAAGCTCGTGGCGAAGAAGCGGGGCGGCAGCTGACGATCGCGCGGGCCGAGCGTGTAAGCCCTGTGGTGTGTAAGCCCATTCCTCCTGTGTGCGTCCCTGCCACGCGCTGCGGGTCTCCACGGCAGTCGGCTCACACAACGACATCGGCCGACCGCGCGGTCTACTCGTCGTCGGTGTCGAAGCCCGGGATGTAGAGCAGCTTGACGTCGAAGATGAGCGGCGAGTTGGGCGGGACGCGCGGCCGGCCGGGCGCCGACGGGAGGCCCTTGGGGAAGCCCAGCGAGTCGTCGAACGAGCTGCCCGCGGGCGGAGGGGGGGGGCATTCGGCTGGAGAAGAAGCTCGTGGCAGCGTAGTCTGCGCGAGCTCGCGCGTGAGCTGCGTCGCAGCCACGCGATGCGGGTCGCCACGGCAGTCGGCTCACACAACGACATCGGCCAACCGCGCGGTCTACTCGTCGTCGGTGTCGAAGCCCGGGATGTAGAGCAGCTTGACGTCGAAGATGAGCGGCGAGTTGGGCGGGACGCGCGGCCGGCCGGGCGCCGACGGGAGGCCCTTGGGGAAGCCCAGCGAGTCGTCGAACGAGCTGCCCGCGGGCGGAGGGGGGGGGCATTCGGGCGGAGAAGAAGCTCGTGGCAGCGTAGTCTGCGCGAGCTCGCGTGTGAGCTGCGTCCCTGCCACGCGTTGCGGGTCGCCACGGCAGCTGGCTCACACAACGACGTCGGCCGACTGCGCGGTCTACTCGTCGTCGGTGTCGAAGCCCGGGATGTAGAGCAGCTTGACGTCGAAGATGAGCGGCGAGTTGGGCGGGACGCGCGGCCGGCCGGGCGCCGACGGGAGGCCCTTGGGGAAGCCGAGCTCGCCCGGGATGTACAGCCGCCGCAGCCCGCCGACCTTCATCGTTCGGATGCCCTCGTCCAGCCCCGGGATGACCTGCCCCGCGCCCACGCGGATGTCGTACGGCGTGCCCTTCTGCACCGAGTCGTCGAACGAGTTGCCCGCGGGCGTCATCGCCACGTAGTGCGCCGTCACCTGCACGCAGACGCGGACACGGAGGAGGACGCCTGATCACTGGTGCGTCGCCGGGGGGCAGCGCCGACCCACGTCGGGAGACGCTCGGCGGTGCGGACCTGGAAGCCGTTCGGGGCCTTGGGTCCGGAGCCCTCGACGATGTCGATGTACTCGAGCCCCGAGGCGGTCTTCTGCCTCGGCGCGTCCTCGATCTTCGCGGCGGTCTCCGCGTCCACCAGCGAGGACGTGATCGGGCCCTTGGGCTTCGGCTCGCCCTTCGCGAGCGCCGCGGAGCTGGGGCTGCGGAGCGGCACGGCGTGGGGAGTGGGTGGGGTGCGGTGCCGGGCATGCTTGTGGTGCGCGAGGGAGCGCGTGTGCGACTGGAGTGGCGACAAATCCAGTCGCGATGTCGAGGACATGCACCAGTCTTGGTCAGTGCGCGGCGCCGAGGCCGCGCGTGCGCCATCGGCGGCGCGTCAGGGCCCGCAAGCTGCCGCTGGGGACCGCTGGCCCTGCGGTGGCGGTCCGCCCGCGGCCGCGCCGCCCCGCCTGGGGGGCGCGCTGCGGGCAGGCGTGTGGGCGCACGCACCTCAGCGCGACGAGGGTGGCCGCGGCCGCGGCACCTTGCCGCAGCACGGCGGACCTGGACTTGGGCTCCGCCGCGCAGGCCACGGAGGTCTGCTGCCTCCGCGCGGCGGGGGCGGCCTGCGCGGGGCGTCGCACGGGCGAGGTCGGTGGTTGGGCTGCGTGCTCGGCGGGCGACGGACTGCGTTGCGGCGGCTGCGCGGCGGGGAGGCGTCGATGGCCAACCACTTGCGAGTGCGGCCGCTGGGGGCGCGGCGGGGGGTCCCGGCGGCTGGGGGGCCGGGGGCGCCACATCGCGGGTGCGGGCGAGGCGCCGAGGTGGTTTCGCGGGGCAGGCATTGCGCGCAGAGGTGCGGGCTGGCGCGCTCGGGTCGGGGCACCTTTGTGGCCATCGCCCCGCGGGCGGCGATGCTGGACGAGATCATCTCCAACCGGTCAGGATCGCGAATGAAACAATCACCTAGCGGATCTGACGCGTCGTCCGCCCGTGCGGCGCCGACGTGCCGTCCGGGGCGGGCTCCGACTCCCCTCCTCCTCTGGTCGTGGGAGTCGGGCGCGATGTAGGACCGGGCGGCGGACGGGCACGGACGAGGACGCAGTCGTGGCAGGGTGCCTCGAGCGGGACAGCCCCCTTGGGCCGCGACGACCAGCACCTGCGAGGTGCGTGCGTGCATGTCGAGACGTGTGCCATTCCGTCCAGAGCTGCGGCCGCACGGCGCTGGCGTGGTTTGCGGCGTGGTGCGCGGTGCCCTGGGTGGACGGGGCGCCGCGACGTCCGGCGCGGGTCGGCGTCGCGGCGCGCGCGTCGAAGCTGCGCGCGTCCCCTGTTGGTGCAGTTGGGTGCACCGGCTCGGACTCGACAATCCTCGTTCGGCGCGCCGGGCGCGGTCGTGAGGGAGGCGCACGCGCGCAGTGCGGCACGTCGCGCTGCTGCGCGGGCCCGGCCGGCGGTTCCGGGCCGCCCCGCACGTGCGACTGTTCCACTTCCACGTCGTGGCCAAGCGCCGAGGCCTGGTCGCGGGTGCGCCGCTGCCGGTCCGCATGGGACCTCGTGCGGTGCGTCTGCACTTGCAATGGCGTGTGCGGGCGGTTTCGCGGGAGTTTGGGTTCGCAGCACGTGCGCAGCGTCGTCGCAAAGGAGTGTGGGGGTCAGGTGTGCGACGTGGCTGCGCGGCGTCACGTGGAGCAACGGTCAAACATGCGCGCGTGCGGCATGTCTGGGGTATTTCCACGCTGCGGAGGATCCAGCGGGGGGCGTGCGGTCCGTACGGGTGCCGCCGCGGCGCCCCAGCGGGCAGGACAGGGCATTGCTCCCGAGAAGACGGGCATGGCCCGGAGCTCAACCCCATGCCAGGTGGTTGGAAGTGCACGTGATGTCGCGCAGAGGCGAAGTTCGGGCGGAACGAGCGCGTGGATGGCGGGACCGACGCGGGGGGCGCGCGGCAAGCCGATCGGCAGTTGCCAGGAGGGCTGCAATCATGTGGATGTCAGGTAGACACCCCAGACTGACATGGAGGCAAAATTTCCGTGTTTCGGGGCGCCCTGTGCGCGACGGGAATTTCCGCGCGCCCGCGAGCGGGCCGTCAGGCCCGCGAGCGGCGCGTGGAAGTTCCCGGAGCGCCGGTGTGTTGGCCCTCATGGGCGGCCATTGCGGCCGCTACGCAGCAATTCTTCCCGCTCCGACCCGCACAGTCTGTTCTGCGGCCCCTCTGGATGCGGAAACGGCGCGCAGCGCTGCGTAAGGACCGTGACGTGCCCTTGGACGCATCGCGGCCGCGTCCGGGGTGGTTGGGAGATCGCCCTGGCCCCTGACAGACCCGTGTCCGTTTCTACCTCCGACCTGGACGCACTCGGACCGCCGAGCGCACCCGCATGCGGCATGCCTCCACGGCCCTCTCAAGCAGGCGCCCGCAGAGCGCTTTGGCCGCAATCTTGCGCCCGCGGGTCCCAAGTGTGTGAGCCTGATGTGCGGCATCGACAGCGACGCACGCGGTCCGACGTCGGCCCTTTGGGCACTGCGGCATCCCCGTCTCACACATGTTTCACTCGACCGGTGGCTTCTGCTCCACCGGCTCAGCCTGGGCGGCGACGACGCCAGCATCCCCTTGTGCTTGCGCAGGCAGGCCTCCCGGTGCTCTGGCAAGCACGTCCCTCTGGCGCTCGCTGAGGGCGTCGATCTTGCCGCGCAAATACGCCTGGAACTCCGCGACCTTCCTTACCCTGTTTTTGCCTGCAATGCCCTTGATCCAAGGGTTCCCCAGGCCAAGTGCTGACCGGCACATGACGTGATCGCCATTCACGACTAGCTTGCGACACCACATGCAGCGCTGCGGGTCACCCTTCCTCTTCGCTCGCTTCGCAACGGCTTGCCGCTTGAAATCCCGCCCACGTTCAGTCTCCAGCACCCCGGCATACCAGTTGGCGGAGCACGGCACACCACTGGGGTACGCGCCGGGCCCCCCAGCCGCGATGATGCGCGCTGGAACTGTCCGGGACTCCCCGTGACGGATGGTGCTGGCGCCCAGACCGACGCACGCCTTCATCTCATCGATGACGAGCCCGGGGTTGGAGGTGTGAAGGCATGCCTGCATGTTGTTGCGCTCCTTACTGCAGCAGCACCGAATTCAGGGCAGTGCAGTGAGCTGAATGCGGCGCGCATGCAGCGGATGCGCACCTCGGCTGCAGCGACACGCGTGGTGGCTATCAGCGGGCGCTTGCTGCGCACTCGTCGGTGCAGTGGCACGTGGTGCGGGGCAGGTCGAGGGCGCAGTCGGAGGACGCTGGTGTGCCAGCAGGGCTCGCACATGAGTGCAGCGAGGCGTACGAAGTCGATCTCGTCCCGAAGCAGCAGGCCGCCCGGCTCCGACTCGACTGGGTTGTCGGCGCGGTGAAGGGCGTAGGCGTTGTAGAGCTGCATAGCTCGTCGCGTGTTGTTCCGCTCAGCTTGCAGGCACAGTGTCATCAGATGCTCCTCCCTCGATACCGCTTTCGGGTCGCGCCTTGGATCTTTCGGCCTCAGGCCGATTTGGCCCTTCATGGCCGCCGGCACACCTTCGCCCATCTTCTCTTCGCGGTACGCACCAGCGCGCCGCACCACGCCGGGCGTGCGCCGCACTGCCCTGCTGCTGCCCTTGCCCGACTTGTACCGAGTGCCGCCTGCATGGTCGCAGTGCACTCGCACAAGCATATATAAGATGGGGGGGGGGATTTGAAGGAGCCGTGCGCGCGAACGCTCCCATCGTGCCGTGGATACGCTGCGTTGCACGCGTGCCGAGCGCAGGTGGCCGCGCGCAGGGTGGCGGCAGCGGCCCAGGCTGACGGAGCGACGTGCGCGTACCTCTCTTCTTCTCGCCCTTGGTCTTCTTCGCGGCGCCCCTGGTCACGATGCCCCCGCCCTGATCATCCTCGTCTTGCGCCGGACGTTTGCGCTTCAAGGAGTGCCCGACCAGCGTCCGCGCACCCTTCGGACCTTCTTGCGCGGCAAGTGCATCAGCCACTTCCTTCTTCTTCGCGTGATATTTGCTGTTGACTGCCTGGAAGTCAGCGTCCAAGCTGCCTATGCCAGCGGTGTCGAGGCTCAGCTGCGTGCACGGCAGGGACGGGGGCGGCCTGGTCGCGTCGTGTTTGTGCGGTGCGGGCAAGGGGCCGCGTGCGGGCCGCCAACGCGTCCAACGCGCACCTCCTCGTCGCACACGTGCGAGGAAGACGCCGACATGGCGGTGTACCGCGCGGAGTCCGCCGGGACGTTGTCCAGCTTGTCCTGCATGTTGATCATCGCCATGTGTTCCGGCGTCGTAAGCCCTTCTCCACGCGTGCCGAACACCTTGAAGTGCTCGCCGAAGCCGTGGCTACCATGCGGTGCTTCCGGATCGGCCCGCACGACGTGTGCGTAGGGAGCCTGACCGTAAATCCTGGCCTCCAGATGGTTGATGTCCTGCGGAGGGGCCAAGCAGCGTACCGCCAGGTGAGGTCGCGCGCACGTGCGACGAGCTGGTGCGCATCGGGACGGGCGGGCTCACTCACGTGGACCGTCGTGAGGTCGGTCGTCGGCAAGACGGCCCCCTCGGTGTGCTTGTCCGCCTTCTCCTTGTTCCACATCGTGATGGACGTCAGCATCTTGGCATGCGTGAACAGCATGCTGTTGTGGTTGGAAGGCATGACCTGGTTCAGGCGGTGGTGAAGCGCCTCGTTGTACCCGGACCCCCTCAGCGCGAGGTACTGCGGCAGGCCGCACCGGTGCTTCCCGGGGTCCACCGTGTACATGTCCTCGAGCCTCCCCGACCAGTCTTGCAGACAGCCCCTCCTGACGTGCTCGAGCAGGTTGTCGATCGCCTCGCGGTTGTGCTTGACGCCGTCGCCGCTGTCGGACTGGATGATCGGCTCGCCCCCCGCCGCGCGCTCCTCCATCTCGGCCACCAGACTCTCCAGACACCGCTCGATCTCCTCGGGCGGGCGCACGCGCGCACGGCAATGCCTCCGGCAGTGCTTGTAGTACGGCAGCTTGCTCAGGGGAGTCCCCGGCTGCGGCAGTTTCGCACGTCTCGACACCGTCGTCCGCTGCGCCTCGGCGTCGATGTAGCTCTTGTACTTCTCAAGATCGCCCTGGTCGTACTCGAGGAAGCATAGGGCGAACATACCGCTGAAAGTCTTGAACAGAGGGTGACTGGATTTCGTCTTCCGCAGCACGCGGTTCATGGCGTGCCAGAGGTCCACGCGGACCAGCTTCAGGTCGGGGAAGGCCGCCAGGATGGGCGTATCGCGCAAACAGCACAGGTCGTCGTAGAACGCCTTGATGCCATCCCCTTCTTTGCCCTCGAGCGCTCGGAAGTACTTGAGCCGGGTGGCGAGGGACTGCAGGATCGGCTGCATCGCTGCATCACCTGCGCAGCAAGGACGGGGTGGCGCGGCGTGGTAAGCGGACGTCATCCGCCGAGCTTGGGGTGGGGTGCGCGTGCGCGTGCTGTGGGGCGCTCACTCTCGGACGTGACGAAGTTGTACGCCACGACCTGGCCGATTTCGTTCAGGACCAAGTACATTCCGTCGCAAACGCGTCCGCCGCCCAGATGAATCCCCTTGGCCACCTTGAAAGTTGTGTCTCCCCTCAGCACGTAGGATTCGGCGCACACGCTGTCCAGAACGCAGTTCATGAAGGGCTCCAGGCGCAGGAACTCCTCGAGGTACCGCCCCATGATGGCTCCGTACGACAGGAACTTGCCGTCGTAGCCCTCGTCCGCAAACTCGGACATCTGCTCCATGTCGAAGGCGGAGTACCAGTGGTGCAGCAGGCGCGTCTGGACTGGACCAGTACGCGCACCCGTGGCCTCGTCGCGCGCGCCGGCATCCGGGCCAGCGGCCGGGGCCTCGGATTTGACCCGGGGGGCCGCGGCGGGCTGCTCCGCATGCGCCGCGCGATGGCGCCCGCGATGGCGTTGTGCGGCAGCGTGCTCCTGTGCCTGCGCGCGCAGCCCACGGCGGCTGAGAGGGTGCACCGGGGCCGAGCTCGCTGGCGGGGCTTCCGGCGTGGGCTTCGGCTCCCCGTCGCCTTCGGCGCCGTAGAAATCGAACTGGCTCATCCTCTCGACGAAGACCGCCTCCGCCCTGTCGATCACCGCGCGATCCACCACGTCCTTGCGCGCACGCGCGAAGTCCTCGTCATCAGGCGCGGGAACGAGCGGGGGCGCGCCGCCGCCGTCGTCGTCCTCGGCGTCGCTGTCGGCTGCCTCCGCCGGCGGCGGCGCTGGGGGGTGCCCGGCGCCGCCGCCGCTAGCAAGCTCAGGGGGGGTGTCCGAGTCCGAAGCAGTACCCTTTGAACCAGCTGCCGGTCGCGCGCGCTCATGCCTTGGATCGCGAATCGTCGGGATGGCTCGCCGCAGTTCGGCACGGCGCTGCTGGCGGTCCTGCGCTTTTGCGGCCGCCAGGATGTCGGCCAGCGGCTGCGCCCTCAGGACGTCGTCGCCCGCGACGTTGACGAGCACCTCGCGCGCGCGAACGGCATCGTTCCCATGTTGGGCTTTGGCACGCTCGGAGAGCACCAACATCGCCTGCAGCGCGGTGGGGTCCTTGTTGCGCAGGCTCCGGCGGAACTGCTCGACGATCCGCCGTCTGACGGCCCTCCTCGCGGCCTGCGCGCCTTCCCGATTGACGAAGTCGACCAGTTGGCGATGAGACGCGAGCTTCGGCAGCTGCTGCTCCGGGCCCGCGTGGCGCGGCGCCTGCATGGCGGGCAGCAGGACCAGCCCGCGTGCGTAGCACTCCGCCATCTGCAGCACGTGGGCCCCGCAGTCGCAATAGTTGCCCTGCGTCGGGTAGTTCTGAGGGACGACGGTTGTCCAGCGGCGCGCAGGCAGGTCTGCATCCGCCCGGATGTCGTTCAGGAAGACGGGCAGGATGGACATCATCTGCACGCATGGCGGAGGCGGAGTTCAGGTGGTCTGTCGTGCAGGAGCGGGGCTGCGGATGGGCACATGTGTACAGCGACAGTGGACAACAATCACGCACCCACTCGTGATGCTTCACGTACATCCGGCGGAGGGTGTCCAGGATCGTGATGGATCCCTCGACGTTGTCGACGACCACGGTGTACCAGTGATTCCTCCGTGTGCTCTGGCAGAACCCGCCCGGCTGCGAGGAAGCGTTGACCGGCAGAATGACCCGGTGCGCGTCGATCATGGGTTGGCCGGTGGCTGGGTCGACCGCCGCCGTGCGGGCCCGCCGGCGGTACCCGAAGGCCGCCAGGATCTCTGCCGAGAACCAACGCTGGCGCACGAACTTGCGGGTGTTGTCAGTGGCGACTTGGTACTCGGGGAACTCGCGAGTGTCGTAGTGGCACATGAGGTTCACCACCGCGTTCGTTGAGACGAGCAGGACGTCGTGCAGCAGCTGCTGACCCCTGCAGCAGAAGTCGGGTGCTCGCGCGTTGTGCCACGTGGCATTCCAAAGGCGTGGCATCGGGGCAGGTCGACCGACCAGCGCTCGTCAGCACTCACTGGTACGGGGTCTCAGCTCGGGATCACTCACCCCGCGCGATGCTGCCCCCACTCGTCCTCCATCTCGTTGTACAAGCTGTAGAACGCGAAGTCGATCGTCTCACCTCTGATCCACGCCAAGTCGTTCTCCATCTCGGCAACGGTGGAGGCCGTGAGTGTCTGGGCCACCGCGCCGCACCGCCCATCAGGGTGGTGCACGTCGACGTCCACGTACGCCGCCACAGGGAGCTCGAACAGTGGCTTGCCCGGGGGCTTAAGCCCCGCCAGATCAAGCAGCGCGTTGTGTAGGCGCGCCGGGATCTCGTCGCCCTTTGCTGCGAGGTCGCGCACTTGCCAGGTCGTGTACGCGTCGGCGAGGAACTCCATCGAGTGCTGAGGGCTGCGGTGGCCGACGCCAAAGTCCTCGCGCAGCGGGTCGTTCGGCAGTGGCTCCGCAAAACGCATCAAGGCGTCGACGCCGTTCTTGGTCTGCGGTGGCAGCGGCGCCGCTGCCACCTCGGGCGCCGGCGCGCGGGGCTCGGTGGCGGCGCGTGCCGCTGCTGCAGGACGCCGTCGGCCGGCGGCCTTTCTCTGCGCTCGCATCTGCGCGATGGACTCGCGCGAGAACTTGTGCCGCGCCGAGATGCACGACTTGTCCACGACGAGCTCGTCCATGGCCTCGAAGTACTTGTGCACGTCGGACAGGGAGTTGCCGTCGTGGCCCGCGCACATGGCGTTCGTGATCTGAATCTCCGTCAGCCACAGCCGCAAGCGAAGGTACCTGCACGCGCGGAGCGGCTGGGTCGCGTCACGTGCTGTGGGCGTCCACGAGGGCGGGAGGAGGAGCTGGGGATGTTGCGTGTGTGTGTTCGGGACGCGCGGGGCGCTCACCGCGTGATCGTGGCGTCCTTGAGGAATCGCTCCACCTTCAGCATGGAGGTCCCGGCGCCGATGCGAGAGATCAGGTCCATCGTGTCCCGGGTCACTGAGTTCTTGTCCCGGAGGACGACGTTGTCGTAGGCCGACCTGGCAGCGGGAGGTAGCTTGCCGATGTACCCGGGGTTCGTGAGGTTGAAGGCGTACCCGCACCCCGGCTTGCCCGTGAGCTCGTTCGTCTCCGAGGCGTTGCACAGCCACTCCCGCGAGAAGGTGATGAGGCTGCGGTCGATGTCAAACACGCGCTTGTGCAGCCCGTAGTTCGGGCCCTTGGACGTGGCGCGCCCCCCGCAGCCCGGGCACTCCACCACGCGACAGCCTGCGTTGGTCGGGCGCCCGGGGGCGGGTGAGAATCGCCGCGGCGTGGGCTCGAGCACCATGCGTTGCGACAGGCGAGAGGGGGCCGCGCGAGGGGCTGGACACGCACTTGGGATCTTGTAAAAGAAGATCGCCGGCTCGAAGAAGACGACAGGATGGATCTCCATGAGCTGCTTCGGCGTCAGCTTCGGGAACCGCACCGTGCGGCCCAGCTTCATGGAGGGGCAGTGCTCCCAGTCTACACCCTCGCCGTTTGCGTACATGTGCTCCAGGCTTGGCCCGAGCATGACGCCAGGTATTCCCTTGTATGCCGTGAAGTACTCCAAGCGGATTGGCTTGGCCATGTGGCCGCCGTCCAGCGCGCCGGAGAGCAAGTGCCACCCGAAGTTCATCACCCACCACGTGGGGAAGTTGACGCCCCATTTGGCCCTTCCTCCGGGCAGGATCTGCAGACAGGTACACCGCGGTGCGGCGGCGGATCACGAACGAGCGCCTGCTGACGTGGCGGGCGGTCGCTCGAGCACACACAGCAAAAGCGGCACTCCAGGCGGGTGCAGGTGGTCAGGCAAACCACCCACCAGCCCTCCCAGACGGCAGACAATGCGGGGACGTGGACAATCAGGCAGGTCACGGAGCGGCGGGCGCGCTCACCTCCCATTCGGGGCGCTCGGATGCAGGCTGGGGATCAAAACCCAAGTCCGATTCGTCCGCTGGCGAAGCGTCGGGAGCGGGGCGGGCGGGAGGCTCGGGGACCGACGGCTGAGCGGCTCGGGCCTGCGCTCTGGTCGACACGCCCTCCGTCGCGGCCGCTTGAGGCGGGGAGGGGCCCGCAGGGGCGTTCCCGCCTTGCGGCAGTCTGCCGGCTGGCGCGGCCCGCTTCTGCCCAAGGAAGTTCTGGAGCGTCAGCTGGTTTGCCTGCTGCCCCGCCTGGAACAGCCCCGTCGGCCGCCCAGCTCCACGCGTGCGGCCGTTGAGCTGCAGCCGCTCGCTGGTTGCAGGCACCGACCGTCCGGCCTTGCCCCCGCGCCGGTTCGGGCCCATGGCGCCATCCTCGTCCAGCGGCACGCTGGTGAGGCGGAGAACTGGCGGGGCATCGCCGTCGTCGACCGAATCGGGCTCCTGGTGTGCCGCGGGCGCCGCGGGCGCGGGCGGGCTGGCGGGCGGGGTGCCAGCATGACAGACCGTCCGGTGGCCCTTACGGAGTCCCTGCGACGAGCAGCGGACGTACTCGGCGGCATGTCAGAGCCACATGGAAGCACCTCCGATAGAATGTAGGCGGGAAACCCCCAGTGGTGCGACGCGAAAGCAACAGATGGGCGGACAGAGGGAAGAGGGGGGTGAAGAAAGACGCGTGCGGGCTCGTATGTGGGTGATTCGCGTAGCACACAACGCGACAATTGCATCGATGGTGCGCAACCGGCGCAGCAACGGGTGTGCGGCGCGGGTAAGTCGGAAACGTGGAATCAGAGGCACATATTGGACTTTCACGCGCGGTGGCCTGCGCTACAGGGCCAACACACTGCGCTAGGTCGTCGTGCATCGACTGGGCTGTGATGTATCACGAGAGTTCAGGTGCTGCGCCGACCATCCGAGCGCGCAAGGGCGAGGCGAGCTGCTCTTAGCCCTTACCCTCCGCTCCAGCTGGACGTTTGAGAGCATACAGGGCGCGACCGGGGCCGTGTGCGCCATGGAGGCCCGGCACGCCGTTGTGTCGACGCGTTGATGGCGCCCGTACGGGCCCAGGGCGCAGTGCTAGGCTGGGACAGGCTTGCCAACCGCAAGGTCAACGGCGCCTATTTCTGCACCTCGTGCGCGGCTTTCCCGGCGATTCACGCGCCAAAGAGTGCGCTCTGCTCACCTGGAGTCGTAGGGTTCTCCCGGAGGGGTCGCGCTGGACACCGCGAACCAGGCCACTTCCAGAGCCGTCGTTTCCCGACGCGGTCACTCGGGCGCCGAACTGACCGCTCCGGTGCTCGCCTTGTTGATCTAGCGCGATGGCACGAAGTAGGAGTTCGAGAGAGGAGGTGTCCATACTCGTCGGAGTGCTCTTACCCCTAGCTAACGAAGGTTGCCCGACATGGAATCTACAAAGTCAGCTTGATAACAGTGTAAAATGGTACGAAAGTATAAAAAATGCCGCCATGGTGTAGCGGTTATCACTCTGGACTCTGATGGACACCGTCCGGATGACATCCAGCAACGGGAGTTCGAATCTCCCTGGTGGCTGTTGCTCCGCGCGACCTGAACTTATGCTCCCCACCACACCGCCCGCCGCCCCCGCCGCGCCCCTGGCACGCTCCCAACGCCCCCCCGCGCCCCCCCGCGGCGCACCGCCTCCTCCGCCCGCCACCCACACCGCGCAACAACTCATGGACCGGCCGCGCGTGCACGCACACCGAGATGACGCGGGGGCGGGGGCTGCGGCGCGGTTCCGGGCGCGCGGGCGGCGTGCGCGCGGGCTCCCGCGATGTCTGCGGCGGGCCGGCGCGCGCTCTGGCGATGGGCGGGGTCCGGGGCGCGGTCGTGCGTGGGTGCGACGACAGCGCGGTGCGCAGGACCGCAGGGGCCGTTGCGGGGGCGGGGGCGGTGCGCGAGGAGGCTGGGCGCGCGATGCGTGGCGCGGGCGTCGGGCGCAGCGGCCGGTATCGCGGCGCGGCCCTGCGCGGAGGCGCGGAGCGACCTGCGGTGCGGCGCTGGTGGGTTGTCACATGAGTGACGCGGGAGAGGGACGCGGGGCGGGCGGGCCAGCGCGCGGGCGGCGTGCGCGCGGGCTGATCTGGTGCTGCGGCGGGCTGGTGCGCGCTCTGGGGCTGCTCGGGGGCCGGGGCGCGGTGGTGCGCGAGTGCTACGACAGCGTGGTGCACGGGACCGCGGGGGCGGGTGCGCGGGCGTCGGGCGCGACGAGCACGTGACGTGGATGGGACGCAGAGCCGCCGCTTGCACGTGGACTGGGATGACTCACTGACTGATTGTCAGACATTGGAGGGGTGGGCGCACCCCAGCGTGCCATCCGATGCCGGAAACCCCGCCACCGTGTAGTTTGGTGGTTGCGGCCAATATCCCGGACATTGCGGGGGGGTCGCGGGGCGTACCCAGTGACGCATGTGCCTCGCCGGGCGACTGGTGCCGAGCGGTAGGGTACCAAGCGACAGGCGACCGCTGTGATCCCTTCCACGCGGGGACTCGGCCTGCAAACACCTGCCGTGGGCGGCACACATCCGTATGCGGTGGTTCAGCATCGCGCTCCCTGCTGTCAGTGATCGTTAGCGCAAGCGGCGACGCTGTGCTTGCCTGCATGGGACCACGCGGAATGCGGCGGCCGCGAGGGACGAAGCCGCGACTTCTCGCCCCCGAGATCGCACTCGCTATCGGCTGAGCGCATGGACGTCACTCAACCCTCGCCTCGCTCCACCACCGGCCCGCAGGAGCGCGCGACCCAGCCCGCGCCCGCTGGCGTGCCCACGGTCGCCCCCGCACCTCCTGTTCCGGGAGCCACCTGCATTTTGACGGCCCAGCGCGGTCCTCCGGCGTCGAGCGACGCGCCTGCTGCGCTGCGTGGGCGCACGCGCCGGCACGGCCTCTGCACGACCTCGAATTGGAGCTGCTAGGCACCAATCGTATACAGTCACGCCGCGCACGCGAGTCGCGCGCGGCCTGCGGGCTACCAGGGCCGCGAGGGCCCGCACAAGCGGCCGCGTGCACCGCGTTCGCGTAATTCGCGCGCGGCCGCAAATCACCTGACTGCAGCGCTGCGTGATGACGCGGGAGAGGGAGCTGCGGCGCGGTTCCGGGCGCGCGGGCGGCGTGTCGACGGGCTGGTCTGGTGCTGCGGCGGGCTGGTGCGCGCTCTGGCGCTGGGCGGGGGCCGGGGCGCGGCCGTGCGTGCTGGCGACAACAGCGTGCATCACAGCGCCGCGGGGGCCGTTGCGGGGGCGGGGGCGGTGCGCGAGGACGCTGGGCGCGCGATGCGTGGGCGCGGACGTCGGGCGGCGGCCGGCATCGCGGCGCGGCGCGGTACAGAGACGCGGAGTGACCTGCGGTGCGGGAGTGGTGGGTGACGCGGGGGGGGCGGGTCAGCGCGCGGTCGGCGTGTCGACGGGCTGCTCTGGTGCTGCGCCGGGCCGAGGCGCGCTCCGCGGCTGCTCGCGGGCCGGGGCGCGGTCGTGCGTGCTGGCGACGACAGCGCGGTTCCGCAGCGCCGCGGGGGCCGTTGCGGGGGCGGGGGCGGTGCGCGAGGACGCTGGGCGCGCGATGCGTGGGCGCGGACGTCGGGCGGCGGCCGGCATCGCGGCGCGGCGCGGTACAGAGACGCGGAGTGACCTGCGGTGCGGGAGTGGTGGGTGACGCGGGGGGGGCGGGTCAGCGCGCGGTCGGCGTGTCGACGGGCTGCTCTGGTGCTGCGCCGGGCCGAGGCGCGCTCCGCGGCTGCTCGCGGGCCGGGGCGCGGTCGTGCGTGCTGGCGACGACAGCGCGGTTCCGCAGCGCCGCGGGGGCCGTTGCGGGGGCGGGGGCGGTGCGCGAGGACGCTGGGTGCGCGATGCGTGGGCGCGGGCGTCGGGCGCGACGAGCATGTGACGTGGGTGGAACGCAGAGCCGCCGCTTGCATGTCGTGCGCGGCCACGTCATGTGTGTTTTGTTGTACCTGACGTGATGCACGTGGGGCGAGCTACAGCGGTGCATGCGGGCCCGAGCGGGCTCGTCGGTGGCGCGCCCGTGACGGACAATGCCGCGCCTGTGCGGGTTGACGCTCTCGGGGTGCTGATCTGAGTGTTGTTACAGCATGCATGACTGGCAGGACTCACGAGCCTGCAGCTCGTGCTGTCGTGCCGTGTGACGTCCCGCCCGCCCGACCCCCACCACCCCCCCCCCTGGTCGACTCGCTCACTCGTCGAACTCGTCGCGGTCGTCCAGCCCCAGCTCCTTCGTCCGGCGCGCGACGATTTGAGCTGCCGCCGAGCCCGGCGGATACACCGGCGGCGCTTGCTGCGTCTCCGAGCGCGGGAAGGTCGCGAAGCGCCGGCTCGCGCGCGCCTCGGCGCTCGTGCTCACGTAGGGGCGCACCCAGTCCGGGATGAGCTCCTTGACGAAGTCGCTGCACTCCGTGATGTCGGCGCCACGCACGGCGGGGTTCATGAAGTCGAACACCTGCTGGACGTCCTCGATCTCGCCCAGGCCCTTGACGTGCTCCAGGAGCGTCATGAGGTCCTGCGCCTTCGAACCCTCGTCCCCAAACCTGCACCTCTTGACAGCGTCTTGCTGCGCCAGGAAGTTCAAAGGGATCGGCATCGCGTCGTCGTAGAACAGGGTCGTCCACGACATGACGACGCCGTCCGTGAGCTCGAAGTCCGTGTCGAGGTGCTCGCTCTCGAGCGCCTCGACCACCGCGGCGGCGATGCGGTGCAGCCGGTACTGCGAGGAGACGTGCATCCCGCGGCGCCCCCGGTGCTCGAACTCGTCGACATTGGCGCACAGAATGCGCGTCGGCAGGCCCGTCAGCCTGCACCAATAAATTGCGAGGTCCTGCGCGCGCCGCAGCTGTTGCGGGCCGTCGTACAGGTCGTGGGATCTTTCGTCGATCTCCAGCACCACCACGGCGTGCTCCCCGACGAACACGATGTCCCCTCGCGACTTGCGACCAAAGTCACTGTTGGTCGTGTTGCGTCCCACGATCGTCAAGTCGTCCACCCTGAGCTTCAGAATGCCCAGGATGAAGTGCAGGTTGGCGCGCTCCGCCGAGGACTTCCACCCGAGCGGCGTGTCGGGCGCGTCCAACCCCTTCATGTGGGGGCTGCCGTGCCCCTTGCAGTACCGGCGGCGCACCGCCCCGCGAGTCCGGTTGCTACGCGCCATCGTGGCGACGTAGACCGCCTCGGCGCCGCATCCCTCCTCGGAGCACTGCCAGCGCTTGGAGAGCTTGCTGATCGGGTCCATGTCGTCGAAGAGCGCTGGTGACGTCCAGCCTGCAGCGAGAACGACGTGCAAAGCCCCCTTTGAAAAAAAACGAGGTCGATGTGCGGTGCCTCGCTGCGGGAACCAGAGCCGCTTGATCACGTCCCGGGGGCACGCGGTGACGCCAGGCCGCGACGGGACGACGCAATCGCGGGACGAGGCTCCCGGGGAGGGCCTGGGTGTCGCACAACAGCATTTCAGTCCGGCCGCCACGCACCTCGACTCCTCGCACTCGCGTCCCTTGACGTGCGGCGACCTGTGACGTCGACGATAAGTGAACGTCTCCAGTCCCCGGCGGACAGCTGATGGCGCACGAGCGACAAGGCACGGCAAGCCGGGACTGACTGGAGCGACGACGCCTGACGGGCTCAGCACGGCTGCGGCGCGGGCTGTTTCGCCCGCGCCGTCGACATGTCGCAGTCAAAAACAGCGGAACACCGTCCAGCCACGCTCGTGGATGCTCCGCGCTCCACGCTGAGCGCCCAAGCAAGAGACGCTTGGCGCCTTCCCTCGTGACGCCCGCTCAGAGGACGAAGCGAGGCGCCGTGCGCGCAAAGCGTAGATGGACTCTTCACCTTCCGCGATGACGGAGCTTGAGCTGTCACTCGCCGAGGAGGAGGAGGAGAGCAGCGACGAGGAGGAGGAGCAGCGCGAAGAGGGCGAGCGCTACCTCACGGAGGGCGCTCTCCATGCCCTCGTACGCCTGGTGCGCGCTCATGGTGCTCGGGTTCGTTCCCGACCGCTGCATGTCTCCGTGTCGCGTCCGAGGAGTGCGGAACCGCTGTGCAACAGTTTGAGAGGGCCCAGCACGCGCAGCAGCACGCGTGTTGTTTGAGCGCAGGACTGGGCCACACTCGCCGGCCACGTGAGCAGGGAGCCTCGCGCCGATCGGGCCGAGGCGAGCGTGGACGGCGACGACGGGCAGGCGCGCCTCTACACGGCGCGCCAAATGCGGCACGCCTGGGCGGTGCTCACGGCGCCGGTCCGGGCGATGCCGGGCACGAAGGGGGCCGCGGCTGCGCCGAAGAACCCGTACCTGCCGACATGGTACACGGTCGAGGACGACATCCTCGTCAGTCTCATCGACGCGCTGCTGGCGCCGCCTTGCCTGCAGCTGGAGCCGCGCCCGCCGGTCAAGTCCGCCCAGGACGTCGACTGGCAGGAGATCGCGGACAGGCTGAACGGCCAGGTGGCTCGGCAGCTCAAGGAGTGGGGTCTCGACGGGCAGCACCCGCCGCGGTCCGCCGCGGCCGTGCGCGAGCGCGTGTGTTGCGCCTTGGACGTGACGTACCACTGGCTCGCGCACGACCGGGCCCGCGCGAACCAGTTCTCCGGACCGGTGGAAGGCAACGCGCAAGGCGCCCGGAGGAGGCAGCCGGGCTGCTTCGACAAGCCAGACGGCGGGAAACTGCGCGCGGCCGCCTTCGCGGCCGGGAAGGTGAGCAAACCCCACCCACGTGCCCGTGTCGCTGCAGCTGCTACTGGCCGGCGTGGGCCGCAGTGTGTCGCCCCGGCGGCGGTTCCATCGGCGCGGAGCACGATGTGGCAGAGCATGCCCCCGTGCTCGTCGCAGGACAAGGAGAAGCTCAACAAATTGGCGCGCAAGAACAAGAGGAAGCTTGACGAGATGCGCAAGCAGGACGTGGAGAACGGCAGGAAAGACAGGGCGGAGTCGAACCTGGCGGCGGGGTGGTCGAGGAGGGGAGAGCAGGATGCGTGGCCGGACGAGCAGCGCGAAGCCTTCATGGCGCTCATGGTCGCGAAGCTCAAGGCCCGCCCCCCCCCCGAGGGCCGGCCGGAGGTGCGCATCCCCGCCCTGCTCTCAGCCCCCGCACCCCCTCTCCCCCGGCGCGGCCCGCCAACGGTCGATCTTGCCCTCGACTCAGTCAGTCAGTCAGACTGACTCTATGACGACACACACCGCGGCGCGGTCGATCGTCAATCCCCTCGTACCTCCCAGTCTGACGTCCAACCCCATTCTCCTTTCTCCCGCCCCGTGTTTTTTCGCAGGCGCTGGCGCCAGTGTTCGAGGATGTCGCCGCGGAGCTCAACCGGCGGTTCGGAACCAATAGGGGTGTATCTGGACTTCACAATCAGTGGAACAAGGGCGCAAGGCAGCGCGCCATCAACGAGCACGGGCTGCAGGACGTCCTCACGATCCGCCATCCGTGGGGGGCGGAGGAGGACGGGATGATCTTGGACCTGTGTGTCAACCAAAACAACACGGTGAGACGCACGACCGACGAGATCTTCGCGCCCGACGTGCGTCCTCGATGCCCGCGACCGCGGCCTGGACGCGGCGTGGGCAGGTGCATCGCATGTGCTTGCGGCGCATTGACTCGTAGTTTGCATAGTCGGCACCGTCCACGTGCGCGCACTGCAGAGCTGGAAGCACAAGCACCAGGCGTACAACGACAGGGTTCGTGCTCGGAACGCCGCGAAGCCTCCGGAGGACAAGCTGCCCACTCGGACTCGACAGGCGTTGGAGGGCCGCTACCAGTCGCTGGCGCCTGAGGGTACTAAGAGACTGGTGGACGCCCAGGCTCGCTACAGGGCGGAACGCCGGGTGCGGGAGGCTGCCAAGCTTGCTGCGGCAGGCGAGGCGGCCCAGGGGACGCCGTGAGTCCCGCAGCGCTGGTCGCTGCAGCGATGGTAAGATGGCAGTTTGGGGAAACGTGAGAATCGCACAGACACAGCGGCGCCCACGCAGCGCCCGGTGGTGGACAGTATCAAGGCCGCGTGCCCTACGACAATAGGTGGGTCTGTGACGACGTTCGAGGAGCTGTGCGCGGTTGGTACGAGACACAACCTGTTGCACAACCACTGTCGCCATGACCACCAGCTGCATCATCATCGAGGTCCTGTCGCGTGGATCGGCGCGCAGCTCGCTCGGCGGCGATCTCTGCGCCGATCGCATGCCCGGGCGGAGGAGGGCGTGGATCTTGCTGGGCCAGCAAGACCACCTGGGGCTCGGTTTGCTGTCGTGCCATCCACGCGGCGACTCCGTCGCCGTCGCTGCGTTCGGCCGACCCGTCGCACGGTGGCCGTGACACTCAGCCAGCCCGGCTGTCACGCCTCTCGTTCGTCACACGACACACGCAGCCGTATGGCCAGCAGCGCTGCGGTTGTGCGCCCATGTCATGGGGGTAGCGTGGGGGCGAGGAGGGCGTGGGGGGCGGGCAGGGATCCCGAGCGATCCGGCGCTTCAGCGCGCGGAGTTGTGGCTTCGCGCCCCGTCGTCCGAACTCGGCTCGCAGCAGCGCTGCTGCTGCTAGCTAGCAGACCTCGTGAGCAAGGTCGCGTGGCATCGCGATGTCGTCCAGCCGGACGCTCGTCGTCTCGTGTCGTGGGCCGCTGGCGCTCCGTCCGCTCCCGCCCGGAGCCGCAGCACCCCCTCGTCGTCGGACCTCCTTCTCCTCGCAACGCCCCATGGAGCTCTTGAGCGCGCTGCTGCTGCTCGCCATGCGCTCCGCCGTGCGCGACCGCGCTGCTGTGCCGCCGCGGATCGGGGGCAGCATCGCGCTGGCCGCAGCCGCATTCCGTCCAGATCGCCAGCAACATTAAAAAAATAAACAGCTGGGGATCCCCTCTCCGAGGACGGCCCGGGAGACGCTGCGCCCCCGCGCCCCGAGGACTCGGACTGCAGCGGCACGGGCTCGGAGGCGCCCGCGTGTGGACGCGGAGGGCGTTGCGGGCTCGATCTGCGCGGCAGAGCAATGCACGGCGCACTAAAAGGAGGCGCGCATGCGCGGAACGACCGTGGGATTTGGTGTTGTCTCTGTCGCGCGCAGGGAATCGCAGGGCGGCAGCGAGCTCGCCTCGCGGTCGCGCGTGAAGCCCATGCGCGGCGCGGGCGACTTCCGCGCTGACGCCGACGCAGTCCGGCCTGGGGCGTCGCGGTGCGCACGCCGGACGCACCGGGCACGCGAGAGCGCGCGGCTCAGCTGCCCTGCGTCGAGGGCGCTTGACGCAATCGCGATCCACTGCGAGGGGCCGGGAGAGCAGCAGGGACATCGGTGCGCGTGCAACCCGAGGCTGCCGTGCTGCCCGCGGGCAGGCGGGGAGCGGCGTGCGAGGCGGGCGAACACAGATCATGCAGGGAGGGGCCGGCGCACCAGCGCGCGGCGCTCGTGGTCGCGGAGGGCGTGGGAGCGACGGCGTGGAGAGCGCCGCCACGCTGTCCCTCCTGGTGGTCGCGTCCTAGACGTCCTGGCACGAAGGGAGGGGCCAGACCACACGCCGGGTGTCGTGTCATCCGGCCGCACATCGTCAGCGCCGGGGCCGGCAGCGTGCCGCCGCCACAGCACGGCGCTTGTCCGTGGGGGCAACCTTCGGCTGGGGTGGCCTGCGCGTTCGCCGCCGCGCTCATGGCGAGGTCCGCAGGACGCAGAGAGCGCAGATGAACGGCGGCTCGTGCTCAAGCAGTGCATTCCTCCCACGTGCAGGGCCAGCGCCTGCATCCAACCAGGGACAATCCACCCGCTACCGCTGTGACGACAATCACGCCGAAGTGCCAGGGAATCCTGACAGGTCGACAAACAACCGACCTGGTGCGTGCGCAGCAACGGCGTGGCACGCCCCTGTGCGGCCCGGGTGGGTGTGCACAGTGCAGGTCAGAGGCGCCACGCGCAGCTTTCCTGGGACTCGCCCTTCCAGCAGCCCATCATCGCCGCTGGAGGATGTAGAGTGCCATTTTCTGCGTGGAACTCGCCCTCACGGAGCGCGGAGCCGTGGGCGCCGTACACCTAGCTGCCGCTGACCACCTCGCACCCGATGCCCCAACCTACGCGATCGCGTGCTCGGCGCACGAGCCTCGCATGCTCGTGATGGCTGGCCGCACAGGCAGGGCGTGCATGTATCGCCAGTGATCGCTCGACGGGTCATGTCACACCGCCCCGAGGGTAGTCCCATGCCCCAGCTCACGATCACGACAGCCCCGCATCGTAGCCGCCGCGAATCCCACGACCACCGCACTCTCGCTTCGAAGGCGCGCAAGAGAGACGTTCTCCTGTTCCGGACCGTGCCAGGCGCGAGGAACCCCCCATCATCCCAGCAGCATGGTTTCGCTGCCTCGCACAGCGTACTCACCAAGGCGCCGATCAGGATGGAGGGACTTGACGGCTTTCGCTGCAAGATTCTCGCGCCGTCCTCGCGGGGGCAGGCTTTCGCCGCACGAGAGAGCGCCCACTGGAGATCTCAGCCGCTTCCGAGCAGCCGCCCCGGCGGCGGGCGCGCAGTGAGGCCCACCCGGAAGCTCCTGTCTAGGAAGACCACCTCCAGGTCCACTCGTGTTTGCTTCGCGACCGCAGGTGGGCCCGGACAGCTACAAGTACTAGGTCACCCGTCCGGTAGCGCGGCTCTCGGGCTCGACATGGCCGCCCCCGCGGCTTCCCTGGAAGGGCCATCGTTCACGCTCGCTGTCGACGGCGGCGCCACGTCCGTGGTGATCGAGATCGACGAGAGCGCGTGTACGAGCACCTGGTCTGCTGCTCTCAGGCTGGAAATGCGCAGACTGGGCGCCATCCTGTTCCGCTTCCGCACCTGACGGAGTGCTGGTCAGGCCTGGCCTGTCGTCAGGCGCGCCGACGGGGCGCGCTCAGGCCTGTGAGAGCCGCCTGCTCGATGTCTGCAGTGCCGCAGACGTTCCCGTTGCGGAAGGCCCCGTTGCTGCTCGCTTCGCCTCACACTCGCCTCGTTTCAAGGTTGCCTGGAAAATCGGCAGCCAGAGAAACGTCGATACGCTCCCCTGTGCGGCGTCACCGTCCCACATTGATTCCTAGCTATCAAAACAACAATTCTCACCGCTGGTCTGTGTCGCCAGCCGACGACTTCAGGGCGCAGTGCGGGGCTCGCCGATCAAATCGCTCGACCGCCCGCGAGCTCTGTGCCGAACGAGCGCCCCCTCGGGCGTTCTTGCAGTGCTTGAGTGTGCAGTTTGTGTGACAGTTTGACACCACTTCGAAGCCGTGCGCCGCATCGCACTTCCGCCTTGACCTCATTGTCGCCAAGACCAGGGACACACATGACGCGAGGCGAGTCAAGATGCACTACTTTTACATGCGCACGGATCCGTGCGGTCCGGGACGGTCCGGACCGCAGTCGCCCCCTACACCCCCCCCCCGGTCAGACACGTACGCCGATGTACGCGCACGACGGTCAGGCTAGTCCTCCTCCGAATCGAGGTCGGAAGCTCCCGCATCATGCTCCGCAAGCATCTGCTCCCGCCACTCGTCCGCGCCCAGGGCGGGTGCGTTGGTGAACGCGGGCTCGTCGAGCGCCTCCATCTGGCACCATTGCCGGTCGACGGCCACGGGCTGCCACACCCCATCCACCAGACTGATCACGCCGCCGACTGGCTCCAAGCCCTGTGAACAAAGAGCTCTGCAGTCTGTGTGAGTTCGAATCAACAATAACAGCCCTTCTCGGCTCGTTGGGCTCGCCCCGTCGCGTGGGCGGGATGAGGCGAAGGCGCGCGGAGGGCTTTCGCGGCCAGGCAACAGACATGAGCGAGCAGCTGCGAGCACGTCGTAGTCTTCACCTTGGTGTCTGGGTTGGGAAACAAGCCCTGCTCGCCCATCTGCACGACCCTGCGCACGCTGCCCGCCGGCGCGCGGAAAGCCTCCTGCACCAGTGCACGTGCATGGCGCTCGCCTCCGCCCGCACCAGTGAGGCTGGTAGCGGCGCGGACCATGCCCGCCGTCAGCCGGTGCAGCAGATCGTCGCGCAGCAGCCGCGCCAGGATCAGGTCCGACTCGGCGGCCGCCTCGTCGACCCGGACACCGCAGACGAGGCACCAGACCAGAATCGGCTCAACGGCGTGGGCCAGGCGCAGAGGAACCTCGACACACGACCCTGGCTCGATGACGAACTCCTTGCGATCGACGCAGAGCGTGAACTTCGGAAAGTTCGACGCCACCATCGTTAAGCACGTCTCCCACGACATTGCCGGGCGGGGCGTCCGCATAAGGCCCGGGTGCGCCAGTCGAGTTGTACGCACCACGAGGGTCTTCCGTGCGACCCCGGCGCCATCGAGGACAGCGACGAGGAGAAGTTGGCCGCCACGCGCACGTGACACGCCCATCACCTGCGCCCCGCCGGGGCGCACCGCTCCACAGACCTCGGGGGAATCCGGCTCCGGCTCCATCAACAGCCGGTACGTATACGCCGTCTGCCGCGCAAACGCCTCCGAAGGTGCCGCCGGGTATTGCGCCGCGGTCACGTCGCTCTCGACGACCAGCCGGTCCAGCGGCGGTGTGTCGATCGTCGGCGGCACCAGCGCCGGCGCCGTCAGCACCGCCCATTGCTGCTGCAGCTGCCGCATGAGGTCACCGCTGGTGACCGGCGCGCCGCCCCCGACGACGGGCGCGCCGGCGCCCTGCAGCGGCGTGTCGCCCGCAGCCGCCGTGCCGCCGGCAGCTGCAAATGCATTTGCAGCTGCCAGGTCCAGATCCATTGCATCTGCCGGCACCGCGGCGGATGCGCCCACGACAGGGCCGCGAGGGACCGCCGGCCCGGTCGCCGGCGCTGCGGGCGGCAAGCTCGCGGAAGTGCCTCGCGGCGGCGGACGCATCCCCGCGCGGCCCGTCTGGGTCCTACGGCGGGCCGCCGTCGACGGCGATGCCTGCGATCGGCACGCGGGGCGGTGGTCCGTGGGCGCGCGACCGGCAGAGGGCGTGTGCGCAGCAGAGCGCTGCGGGGCTGTGTGCCGGTGCGGTAGTGAGGAGGAGGGGGAATGTAGCGTGTCGGGGGGGGGGTGTGTTTGGGCCAAACAACGCGGGGGCGCGGGTGGCCCGGCGGCGGCGGCGTGCGCACCGTTGCGGGCATGTTCTCCTCCTCCTCCTCCGACGCGAAGCGGTCCGACGCGGGCTCAGGCAGCCCCATGCGGCCCCTCCGGACTATTGCGGCCCACGACGATGGGGCCGTCGGCGGCGCCTGCGATCGGCACGCGGGGCGGTGTTCCGTGGGTGCGCGACCGGCAGAGGGCGTGGGCGCAGCGCGCGCTCCGGCGAGCGCCGCGGGGGCTGTGTGCGGTAGGGGGGGGGGGGAGAGAAATGTAGCGTGTCAGGGGGGTGTGTTTGGCAACGCAGGGGGCGCGAGTGGCCCGGCGGCGGCGTCGAGCGCACCGTTGCGGGCATGTTCTCCTCCTCCTCCCCCGGCAGCCGCGGACCCGCCAGCGTCGCCGGCCCCCTGGCGAGGCCCTCCAGGCGCGGGGTGGTGTGAGACGCTGTAGCAGACGCCCTAGGCGCCGGCGCCGCTTCGGCCGTCGCCGGCGTGCCGACGGGCACAGCAGCGGCTCCGACGGTCGCGGGCGCGCCACCAACGTGGCCGCTTGGGCCCGCGGGCGCCGCCGTAGCAGCGGCCGTCGCCGGCGCGTCTACGTCTGTGGCCTGCGACGAACAGGGAGCAGGTGGACGATAGTACGCGCCGACCACACGATGAGCGCGTGTTCCACGATGCAGCGTGCTCTGCGTACGGGAGTCACCTGCGCGGCGGGCGGCCGCCCGCCGGTGAAAAAATTCATCGCACGTAGGCTCCTGATTCCCCTTCCCCTCCCTCTCTGCTGGGCAAGCGTGGGGCGGCCCATCGCGTGCACTGCATCCACACCGAGACAAAGACAGATCATCGGACTCCGGCCCGGGCCTTGCGAGCTCGACGCGGACGCTGCTGTTGCAGGGAAACAAGCCGCGCGTCGAAGCGGCTCGGTGCCGGCGCGTATCGAGATTGCGCGACGTTCCCTCGGTCCAACATAATGTGAAAGAGCTCGCACGCAGTAAGCACGGAGCGCTTCTCCAGGAACGGGGCGGAGGTCCCGAGAAAAATCAGTTACGAAGCAGTTGAGGCCGCGCACAGCCCCCGCGCCACGCGCGAGGTCGCGCAGCTCGCGGATCGCGCGCGAAGCAGCCTCCGTGAGCCTCGCGCAGCTCTGGCTGCCCCTCGCCGCAGCGCGCGACCGCGTGGCACGCACCTGTGGGGAAAAGCTTGCTGGTCGGTCGACCTGGCGGTGGCGTCGGTCCCCGGACGACGCAGGGGGTAGCAGCAGAAGCTCTGAGGAGTACTCGCCCGCGCCGCGGCCGGATCGCAATCAGCGCCGCGCGGCCAGACCGACGCGCCCCCACGTGCATCACGTCAGGTACAACAAAACACACATGACGTGGCCGCGCTCGACGTGCGAGCGGCGGCTATGCGGCACCTCCGCACGCCACGTGCGCGTCGCGCACACGCCGCGCCCCTGCGCACCGCCCCCGGCGTCCAGCCGCGCCACCAGCACGCCCCACAGCAACACCGCCCCCGACAGCGCGCTGGCGTCCGCACGTGACTGCGCTGCCGAGGGCCACAGCGGCTTGTGCGCGGCCTGGCGGTGCTATTCCCCGACGGACCGATGGAGGCATCGTCGCGTTGCGACGATGCCCCGCAAGCAGACGGACGTCCTGAGACGGGCAAGTTGCTCACATTGAGCCTGATGGCCGCTGCGCGCCACTACACCCCAAGTTTGCGATCCCGCGGCCCAATCGGCCGCCCGCCCTCGCCCTCCAGGACGTCCCGAGGCGCCGAGTCCTACTGGTTGTTGGGCGCCTGGTCCGGCGCCAGCCAGTGCAGCTGGGCGTCCAGGACCAGAACGGCGCGCTTCCAGACGTCGTTTGCGGACCTGGTGAGCCCATATGTTGAGCCGTCAAGCTCGGCGTCTTCGGATACCCGCGCATGCAGGCGGTCGGCCAGGCCCTCCCAGTCGATGTCCGCCGTGGTGGGCTGCGGCGATACGTCCAGCGCAGCGATCTGGTAGCGGAGCAGGCGCTCGAGCCACATGTCCTCGATGGAAAACCAGTCCTCCACGTACGGGTTCGGCGTCATCGCCGCGGCCTCCGCCGACCAGGGATGGAACAGCCGCGGCGCTGTGAGCTCGTCCCACATCGCCTTGCATTGCTCGTCAGTCACCGAGCTGTCGCACTCGCGGTTGACCAGCGCCGCGATTGATGCCCAGGCCTGCGGGGAACAAAGCGAACGCTGCCGCTCGCTGAGACCAGGCCCGGGGGGGCACCAACCAACCACCAGGTGGTTGGTAGCCGACCCGCGCTTTCTGGACCGCCACGACGTCCACGAGCGTCACTCAGGCGCTGTACGGACAGGGAGCGTACCCGAGCGCCATGCTTCGACACCCACTTGACGAGCGAGTGAATCATCGCGGTGGTCCAGCGAAGCGCAGCGGGCCACGTGTCGTCCTCGCTCGCGCTCTCCTCGGCGGGCCGGACACTCAGGAGAACGACGACCACCTCCTCAATCGGCCTCACATCCATCGCGTACTGCAACCACACAGAAAGACAGAGACAGATGATCGGACTCCTGCTCTTGCGAGCTCACCGCTGGCCCGATTGAAGCCACGCGCAGCCCCCGCGCCACGCGCGAGGTCGCACAGCTCGCCGGTCGCGCGCGAAGCAGCCTCCGTGAGCCTCGCGCAGCTCTGGCTGCCCCTCGCCGCAGCGCGCGACCGCGTGGCACGCACCTGTGGGGAAAAGCTTGCTGGTCGGTCGACCTGGCGGTGGCGTCGGTCCCCGGACGACGCAGGGGGTAGCAGCAGAAGCTCTGAGGAGTACTCGCCCGCGCCGCGGCCGGATCGCAACCAGCGCCGCGCGGCCAGACCGACGCGCCCCCACGTGCACCACGTCAGGTACAACAAAACACATGACTCGGCCGCGCTCGACGTGCGAGCGGCGGCTCTGCGGCACCTCCGCACGTCACGTGCGCGTCGCGCACACGCCGCGCCCCTACGCACCACCCCCGGCGTCCAGCCGCGCCACCAGCGCCTCCAGCATTGCTGCGTGACGCGCCCCCGCAGCAGCGCCGCCCCCGACAGCGCGCTAAGCGCCAGCAGCCGGCGTCCTCCGGCATCGACCGCCCCTCCGCAGCCGCCCCGTCGATCGCCACGTCCAGCGACGCGCGCCCCAGGATCGCCACGCCCAACCCCGCTCTGTCGCTCGCCGCCTGCACGTGCACCGCCCGCACCACCAGCGACTCCGGCGACGCACCAGCGACGCACCAGTGTCGCACGCCCTCTGCAAGGTCGGGCGGGGAGCCGCACGCCGTCCCGCCACGCGCAAGCTGAGTCAGGTCGGACCGGCATCCACGCAAGTGCGTCCAAGTGCGCTCTCACACGCGAGCCCTGCTCGCCCCCGCCTGCTGACCGCTCCGCGCAGCTTCAGTGTCCTGCCAGTCGATGGCAGAGAACGGCGGCCGCCCCTGCTTGCGCGTTGCCACCAGTGGCCGCGTTCACGTTCATGTGCCCGACCAGGAAGTTGGCCTCGATGGAGTACAGAGGACGATGTCTCGATCGGGCACCTCACCACGGTGCGGGCACATATCGCTGCCCGCCCCGAGCTGGCCCTGAGCTGTTGCTGCTGCCGAACTCACCTGACACGTGGTGCTCACTCCACCGGGCCCTGCCAGGAGCCCCAACGCGCCGAGGCGAGCTTGATGGGCCGGCTTTCGGACGCGGTATGGGATGTACTGCACCATCTCGTGCCAATACGGAGCGACTGCGGGCTGGTCGGCGCGCCGGAGCGCGGTTGGCAGCTGAAGAAGCAGCACGGCCGGACCGCGAGGCTGCAGCGACGCGGACGTACCTTCGAGCATCCCATCGCACGTTCCGAGTTTCAAGGTGCGCCGCAAGCACCCTGATAGAACACGTCAACGCACCTGGCACGTGTAGCGCGCCGAGCACTCGCCAGGCGCGCCGCTGCTTCGGGTTGCGTTTCAGGAGCTGCACAGAACGTTCCAGGCAACTTGGGGGCGCTGCGCACGACGATCAGATAGCTGACAAGCAGCCGCGACACGTGGCTCTATAAACGGTCCTTGATAGGCACGGTGTGCGAGCCCCCTTGTTTGCAGGTGGTTGGAGCAACGACAGGCTCGAGCTCCGTCCGAACTAGGCACCCGTCTGGCGCAGAATCACGAGCGAAGCACGCAGAGATGCCGAAGACGTCGGGCGCGGAGACCCCGAAGCACTCAAACGCGAGCGCGCAGGTGGGAGCTCACTGCCGTGGCCCGTCACGCCGCGAAGCACGCACGGTGGCGCGACCGCGGTCAGCGACTCCTTGTGACGGGGGAGCATAGCAGGGCTGCTGCGTGCGGCCCTCATCGCGCACCGTGCTGATCAACCCATCCCTCTTGCGCGTATGCGTGCAGGATGATGGCGGGCGGCCGAGCGACAGGGGGAACGCTGGCGGTATGCCGAGGTGAGCACCGTGCTGCGCATCTGTGCCTGGTGCCGCTCGTCAAACACGGTCTGACCTCGATGTGGATCACGTGCACGAGACCCTTGTCATCCCTCTGTGCATCATCACGTGCAGGGGGCGTGACGTCGAGCTGAGGGACGATTGTCTGCTTGCGCGGACGATCCGCCAGCTGCCCGGCGGGGAGATCGTCAGCAGGTTGTCGGAGCCGGACCGCGCCGCGTTTGCTGCTGCGTCGTCGACGATGATGGCGGCGGTGCTGGAGGGCTGCGAGAACGCGTGTTGGACTACAATACACGAAGATGTCGGCGTGCAGATGCACGGCAAGCTGCGGGGCAAGGTACCGCGTCACTGCAGGGGGCTCGTGGGATGGCCGGAAGGCAACACTTTGATGGAGTTCCACCGACGTGCGGGCGCGGACGTGCAGGACCCGAGCGCCATCGAGTGCATTGGCCTTGCTCGATCTATCCAGGAAGCGGGGCGGAACAGCCAGCGCTTTTCGATAACGCCGGACATGACGGGCCTGCGGGAGCTGACACTGCCCGTGGGACAGGGCTTGAACGCGGACTGCGCTGGAGGGGACAACTGGCTCCCGGCCAACGTGGCGCAGGGCATCAGCGTTCTGAATGTCTCGGTGACCGACGTGCAGCGCGTCCCGGCGGGGATGGCAGAGCTGCAAGAGCTCAGTGTGGGGTACTGCGAGGATCTCGACCCCGACGAGTGGCTGCCAGCGACGAGCTGCGCGAGGCTGCGAGTACTGTTCGCGAGCAGTAGCTCGGTTTCGCGGCTGCCGGAGGGCATGATAGCCCTGGAGACGCTGGAGTTGGAAGAGTGTGCCAACTTGGCACCCGACTCCTTCCTGCCTTCTTCGAGTGCTTCGAGGCTGCGAGTCCTGTACGCGAGCAGCAGCTCGGTTTCGCGGCTGCCGGAGGGCATGATGGCCCTGGAGACCCTGGAATTGGACCAGTGTCACAAGTTGGCACCCGACTCCTTCCTGCCTTCTTCGAGTGCTTCGAGGCTGCGGGAGCTGACGCTTTTCGCCACCAACGTGGAGAGGCTTCCCGCGGGCATGTCGGCGCTTGAGGAGCTGAATGTGTCGCGTAGCATTTGCCTGGACGTGGATGAGTGGCTGCCGGAGAGCAGCAGGAGGGCACTGCGCAAATTGGACGCCTGCGGCACCGACCTACTGCGGGTCCCGGACAATATGCCGGCACTCGAGGTGCTGAGGCTCTATGGCTGCGAGGAGCTCCTGGAAGACGACGACGAATGGTTGCCTGTGTCGTCCCGCAACAGGTTGCGTGCACTTGTTTTGTCCGCCAGCTCGATCGCCATCATCCCGGAGGGCATGCCGGCACTCGAGCACCTGGAAGTGGAGGAAAGTGAGCTGTTGGTGGACTTCTTGCCTGCGTCGAGCGCAGGCCGCATCCGCAAGCTCAACGCAAGGAATAGCGGTCTGGCGAGGTTGCCGCCAGGCATGCGGGCGCTCGAGGAGCTGAACATCGTGAATTGTCGACATGTGCGCGAGGACGTCCTTCCGCCGTCGAGCGCGGCGCGGGTGCGGGTGCTCAACGCATGCCAGAGTGCGTTGAGAGAGCTCCCCGAGGGGCTTGCGTCACTGGAGGAGCTGGACGTGAAGGACTGCGAGCTGCTCGACCAGGACATGGACCAGGACATGGCCGCACGGCTGAAGGCGTGGGACGTTCGGGGCAGCAATGTGTGTCTGCCAGACGGGATGGCGTTCTTCTGCGGAGAAATCAGTGCCTTTCAAAGGGTACATGTATATAGTGCACGCATCTAACGTGTGAACATATGTATACTTGTGTGCCGCACCGGAGCGGCAAAGGTCCCGAGAATATCAGTTGCGAAGAAGCTGAGGCCACTGGCACGTCAGGTACAACAAAACACGGTGTCACGCAACATGACGGGGCCGCGCTCGACGTGCGAGCGGCGTCTCCGCGCTCCCCCCGCACACCACGTGCGCGTCGCTCACACACCGCACCCCTGCGCACCGCCCCCGGCGTCCAGCCGCGCCACCAGCGCCTCCAGCACGCCCCGCAGCGCCGCCCCCGACAGCGCGCTGGCGTCCTCCAGCACCGACCGCCCCTCCTCCGCCGCCCTGCCGATCGCCGGGTCCAGCGGCACGCGCCCCAGAAACGCCACGCCCATCCCGCGCGCCATCCCCTCCCCGCCCGCCTGCGCGTGGAAGACGTCGGTGCGCACCACCAGCGACTCGGGCGACAGACCGGCGGCCGACAGCGCGTCGGACACCATCTGCGACCGAGCGACGGGGAAGCCGGGCGTGTCGGGAGAGCAAACGACGACGACGCACACCGTTGCAAACGGCGGGCGTCGTTGTTGTTGTGGCTCAATGTCGCAGTGCCGCAGCGTCGCGCGACGGCGGCGCACGTGGCCAGGACACTTCGTGCGTCCCACACCCGCGGCGATCCCGCGCGCGCCGCGCTCACCTGCGTCAGGTCCTCCCCGGAGGCCCCCAGCACGCTGCACTGCGGCAGGCGCTGCACGAGGCCCGACATGTTCTCCACGACGCCCAGCATCGGCATCGACACCTTCTTGCAGAAGTTCACCTCCTTCCGCACGTCCGCGAGCGCCACGCCCTGCGGCGTCGTCACCACCACCGCGCCGTCCGCCGGTGTCGCCCTGAGCAGCTGCACGATCGAGATGTGCTCGTCCGAGGTCCCGGGCGGCGCGTCGATCACCAGGTAGTCCAGGTCCCCCCAGTCCACGTCCTTCATGAACTGCTTGATCAGCCCGTTCTTCCTGCACGCCCCGCACGCGCCGCACAGCACATGTCATCCCCGCGCAGCGCAGCGACGGGCCGCGCGCGTGGCGGCGACGAGGGGCGCGCGCGCACCTCGGGCCGCGCCAGATGACTGCGTCGTCGGGGTTCCCGAGCATGAACCCGATCGACATGACGCCCAGGTTGTCGTCGACGTACACGGGGGACCACCCGCTGGCGCTCTGGTGGATCTCCTCGCCCTCGAGGCCGAGCATGCGCGGGACGGACGGGCCGCAGATGTCGATGTCCATCAGGCCGACCTGCTTGCCCGTCTGCGCGAGCGCGAAGGCGAGCTGCGCGCTGAGCGTGCTCTTGCCGACGCCGCCCTTCCCGGACAGGACGAGGATCTTGTGCTTGATGCGGGACATGCGCCGCTCGATCAGCGCGAGGTCCGGGTCCGGCGGGGGCGGCACGCCCGACGCGCAAACGGCCTGGTTCGGGCACCCCTGCGTCGCCGACAAACTCGAGGCGAGCCGGGAGTGAGCAGCGCGGCGTGCGAGGCTCGTTCTGCGCGTGCAACGACGACTCGTGTCCCTCGTCTGGCGCCGGGCCAGGTTTCGGGACGAGATATGGCTTGAGGAGCGCGCGCGGCGACGCGAGATGCCACGCGGGCCACGCCGTGCGAGTGCGCGCCCGGCAGGCCCCGCGGACGGGACGACGCACCGCGCAGGCAGATGCCTTGCCCGCCCCTTCATTCCCCGTGCCCGGGCAGCCCTCGTTCGCGTTCGCCGGAACGTCCGCCATGGCCACAACCTCCGCCGGCAACCAGCACCAGGGATGTCCTTCCTGCGTCCGCGTGCCGCTGCCACCACCACTTCTGTGCGATCCGAACGGCGGCTACGGCTCCCTGCGTGGAGTGTGGCCGCCGCGCGGCGCTCGCGGTCCGCTGTAGGCGCGCTCGGAGCGCAAACACTCCCCCGGAAGGACTGATCGGCGGCCGTGTGCGCGGCAGCGGCGGGACACGAGGGCGCGCGCGACGCGGGCCGGCGGCAGTCGTGGCGCTCTTTGCCCTGCCGGGCGTCAGGCGGCATGAGTGACGCGGCGCGCGTCGAGCCGAGCGGCCGCCACGAGAGCAACTTGCACGACGGCAGCGCCCCGGTACGCGCGCCCCACACCACAGACGCACACGCCACGCGACGCAGAGCGCATCGACCCGCCCACGACGCGCCAAGCGTCCCGCCCGCTGTGCGTGTCCGCTTCCCAGAGCGCGAGCAGCCGCAGCACACAGCCGCTCCCTCCCGGGCCCCGTAGCGTCGCTTTCGTCGCGTCAGGACGCTCACATCTCGCGCTCGTTCGTCAACTCCGTGCAGCGGGCGGGACATCGATCCAGCGCGACGATCGAGGCCATCGCGGCGGCCATCCCCTGGCTGCGCACCAACGACCGAGGGGCGCTGGCCCGCACATGCCGGCGTCTCCGCGACGCGGTGGCCGCGGACGACCTCCTGTTCACAAGGGACATCTCCCGGGGCGCAGAGCCGCGCGCCATCCCGCTCACGCGCCCCGGCAAGGACGCACACCTGCGGCCTCCACCGCACCGCTACGTGCGCACCTCCGTCGCCCGCCTGGGCAACGGCGCCCTCGTCGACCCGCCGGACGGCCCCGGCTGCGACTGCAGCGCGCCCTGCGGCCCTGAGACCGCCTGCCCGTGCCTGGCGGGCCAGAGCACAGCGCAGCCGTCGCTGGCGCCGTCCATCCTGGAGTGCGGCCCGCGCTGCGCGTGCGCCGCGCACGGGTGCCCCGCCGCGCTCTCCTCCCGCGGCGCGCAGCGGCCGTGCGAGCTCCGCTGGACCGGCGACGGCCGCGGCTGGGGGCTGTTCGCCACGGCCGACGTGCCGCCGCACGCGCTGGTGCTCGAATACGCCGGCGAGATCCTGTCGACCGGCGAGGCGCGCCGCCGCCTCGCGCAGTACGACGAGGCGCGCATGGGGCACGCGCTGCTCGTCGTGCGCGAGGTCCTGCCGTCGGGCGTGACGGCGCTGCGCACCAACGTGGACGCGACGCGCGTGGGGAACGCCGCGCGGTTCGTCAACCACGCGTGCGGGTCCGCGGCGACGTGCGTGCTCGGCGTCGTGCGGCGGCGCGGCAGCCTGCTCCCGCGGGTGGGGGTGTTTGCTGGGGCCGGGGGAGTCGGCGCCGGCCAGGAACTGACCTTCTCGTACTGCTTCGGGGCGGAGGGCGAGGCGGACGGGCCGGAGCCGGAGCGCGGCGACCGCGTGCGGTGCCTCTGCGGCGCCCCGGACTGCATGGGCTTCCTCCCGCGCAGCGAGGCGTGAGGTGCGGCGGTGCTGCGACAACAGAAGCCTGGCGGCGAACGTAGCAGGTGAGGGGGGCGCGGAGGGCCACTTCGGCGGCGGCGCCCCCGCCACGGCCAGCGGCGCCTCGCGCGCTCGCGAGCGTGGGCCGGGGGGCGCGTCGTGTCGTGCCGCCGGGCGAAAGTCCCCGGGTGCCTAGGCAGAGAGTGCCAGCCCGAGAGGGCAGGACCCCCAGCAGCCCGCGCGGGCGTGCTCGCGAGCGGGCGCTGGGGCAGCTCACCAGTGCTACAGTTATGTGTGCCGGCGGGGCGGTCGCTTTGCGGCCGGTCTGTCAACTCAACGGGGCTTACTCCCGCGCTCACCCCACGCTCTCTCTTTCTTGTGCCGACGCACAGGGCTGACGGCGGCGGATGATCGGTCGGCGGAGGCTGCGACGTGCTCGCACACGCGTCGGCGCTCGTAACAACAGGTGTGGTGTGTTCAGCTCAGCTCCCCTCACAGCGCATTTTCTGGCCCCCGCCTGGGCCTTCGTGCCGCTTGCGTCGACGCGCTCCGATGCGCTGCACGCCGGCGAGTGCGGCACGCGCGCGATTTCCCCCCTCTCGCCCACCGGTGTGCGAGAGAGGTGCATGTGTTTCGGCGTAGGCTGCGTTGCGGGACGATGAGAAGCAGACACTCACAGACCTGTTCTGAACTCGGGGCTCATGGTGGAGCCCCCCTTGAGGAAACAGTCTCATGCACCACTCTGACCGCACGCGCCCGCGCCCTCGTGTCGACAGCGCTCCCTCCCTTCCGCCTCCGCTGCGAGCGGCTGGCCCGCTGCACCCACGCTCCCCTTGCGCCCGTGGTTGCTTTTCGTTCGAGCTGCTGCGGGGTCCGGATGAAGAAAAACCTCAACCATACACCAATTCCGAAGACAATGAATGTTGGAACAAATTGAACATGCACTACCAACCGACGGACCCCGCAGCAGCGCAGCGCGCCCCACCTTCCGCTCACACATTTCCCCGTGCACCTCCTCGCGCACCGCTTCCGCGGCCCGTGCCACGTTCCGCGGCGAACCATGCACGCACCCTGCCAGGAGCGCTTGCAGGTGCTGGAGCTCGCGCGTGGCTGTGGTCGGGCGCAAGCAAGACCTGCCGGGCAAGCCGAACGCTGCCGCTTCGTCAAGGTGAGGGGGGCGCGGAGGGCCACTTCGGCGGCGGCGCCCCCGCCACGGCCAGCGGCGCCTCGCGCGCTCGCGAGCGTGGGCCGGGGGGCGCGTCGTGTCGTGCCGCCGGGCGAAAGTCCCCGGGTGCCTAGGCAGAGAGTGCCAGCCCGAGAGGGCAGGACCCCCAGCAGCCCGCGCGGGCGTGCTCGCGAGCGGGCGCTGGGGCAGCTCACCAGTGCTACAGTTATGTGTGCCGGCGGGGCGGTCGCTTTGCGGCCGGTCTGTCAACTCAACGGGGCTTACTCCCGCGCTCACCCCACGCTCTCCCACTGCCGCACCTGCGCGCAGGCCGCGCGGCCACGAGGACGCGGGCACGCACACGCACGCACAAGGTGCTCTCACCACGACGACGACCGCGGGTCGAAGACGTTCCGTCCGGACGGGTTCCCGATCGACCGATTCCAGGCGTCTGTCGACGCCAATTGTCCGGAAACGCGCCGTGTCCTCCGCGTCAGACTGACTCACGATGTGTCAAGTGGGGGTCCATGTCGCACGCTCGAACGCGGCGGTGGATTCCGCCGCCGTTGCGACGGCCAGCAGGCAGCGCTTGGCACTCGAGAGCCTCACCGACGCGTACTCTAGCAGCGCAACGAACATTTGCTTGTGCCAGCACACAGCTTCCCAGCCCTCGCGGATCGGTCAGCGCCGCGCAACTTGCCAGGGCGTGGCGTGCAGCGGACGATGGCACCCGATAGAGCCGATCCTTCGCAGGCACGATGAGCGGGGCGAGCCAGGGAGGCGGTGCGGGAGGGCAACCGACTGACGGAACCCCGGGGCTCGCCCAGGGCCCAGAGCCGGCGGCCACACGCGACGACAGCCGCACGCCGTCCTCCCGCGCTGACGAAGACGGCATGCAGGCGCAGGACGCGTCGGGAGCGGCGACCGCGTCTGCCATGGAGGAGGACGAGCCACCGGACTCGTTTCCTTCTGGCCCCGTAGAGAACGGCTGGGGCGCCCCCGGGGACTCTGACAGCGACCCCGGCCACGTACGTGAGCTGGAGGGTCCAGATAGCCCACCAGGTGAGCCCGTGCGACGCGGACGCGATGCGCACGACGCGCTTGCTCATGCAGCATCTCGCGTGCTTCCCGACGCGCCCCAGAGGCATGCTAGGCGCCACGCGTGCGCAGACACACTCACACGTGATTCCATCACCGACCCGCGTCTGCGACCGGGCACCCGACGCCTCGCGCTGCGAGCACCCGCACCCTCCCCTCACGCTGCGCTCCTGTGCTTCGTGCGCGGTTTCAGCAGAAGCCGAGGCGCTGGATCCGTCCGGGGCCGGCATCAGAGCCATCAGCGCACTAGTGGAGAGCCTCGTGGGTGACAGTCCGCTCGGCGCGCAGCTCCTCGAGGACGGAACGGCCCTCCTGCGCATGTTGCATCGCCGCGTGGTGTCGACGGGAGCCGGCGCGGGCGTCCGGCAGGACATGAGCGGCAGCGAGAGCTCCGCGGACGACAGCGACGACGAGTACGAGACGGACATCGAGGACTGGGCGATGGACCGCGACGAGGACTCGGGCAGCGAGAGCAGCGCGGCGGGCGACACGCTGGAGCCACGCGCGTCCGCCGGGGCGCTGGACCCGGGCGTCGTGTTCCAGCACACGTACCTCGGCGATGTCGGCGACGTCGGCGGCGGGCGCACGTTCATCGAGTCTGACATGGAGCTGCAAGTCCCCCTCCTGCTGCTGCGCGACGTGGTGGTGTTTCCAGGAGACACCCTCCCCCTGCGGGTCTGCGTGGACCGGCAGCGCCGCGTCGTCGAAGCCGCGCTCACCGCCCCGCGGCCCACGCGCAACGTCCTTGGCGTCATCAACCTCCAGGCACGCCCTGAGACATAGCACGTCGCGACAACGCAGGCTCACACGCGCTGCTCAGGCCGACATCGCCCTCTCCGCGCGCTCGCAGGGCTACCGGACGACCGTCGGCCCCGCGGAGGTCGGGACGCTCGTCGAGGTCACCCAGCTGGAGCCGGCGGCCGGGGGCGCCATGCATCTGATCACCCGGGCGCGGGCACGGTTCGAGCTGGTGTCGATGGGGCCGCGGCCGAGCGCGCCGGAGCTGGACGTCACTGCACGCGTCCTGCCGGACGACGAGCCGCCGACGCTCCCGCGGGACCTCACGGCGCGAGAGTGTGCGCATGGTGCGTGTTGCACAGGCCCCCCCGCCATCTCCTGACGCAGGCCGTTGGCGCCGCGCCTTTGCGCGGACAAGGCTGGCACTCGCCAGTTGTGGTAGCCGCTGCTGCGCTCGGCGGCCTCGCGTGCTCTCTCGCCCCGGACGATTCCCGTGACGCATTTTCAGACCTGGTTTCTCGATTCTCGCAGTCCCGGCGCGGTTGTGGTCCAAGGTCGACCCCCCCGCCGTGGCGCGGCGCGTGCGCGCGCTCTACGCCGAGACCCTCGGCGCCGCGCAGCACCCCGGCGCGTCCGACCGCAGCGACGGCGTCGCCGGGTCCTCCGTCGACGGCCTCGCGGACTTCTCCTTCCGCGTCGCCATGAAGCTCCCCGTCGACACGCTGGCGCGGCAGAGGCTGCTCGAGAGCCCCGACGTGCCCAGCCGGCTGCAGCTCGAGGAGGTGCTGCTGCGCAACCTCTCTGCGCTGCGGTGCGCGACGTGCAGCACGAGGATCTCGCGATGCAAGTATCTGCTGCAGCTCGGCGGAGGCGAGGCCGCGGGGGGCGTGTTCGTGAACGCGTACGGTTACGTGCACGACATGCTGACGGTGACGCGGACGCGGCACATTCGGCTGCAGGGGTCGCCCGAGACGGAGCACAGCTGGTTCCCGGACTATGCTTGGACGATCGCGAACTGCAGCGTGTGCCTCGGGCACCTCGGGTGGCGGTTCTCGGCGGTGACGCGCGGGTGTCGGCCGCGGGTGTTCTGGGGGCTGCGGCGCGCGGCGATCACGCAGCAGTCGTCGCGGGACGCGGGGTTCCCGGAGCAGCGCGGCGACTTGGTGGCGCGGGAGTCGCGGCTGGCGCTGGACTGGATGAACATGACGCGGGCGGACAGCAGCGGGTCGGACGACGACGTGCTGTGGGAGGAGGGCACGGACGGTTGAGTGCCAACCCTTCTCAGCAAAGCAGATGACTTGCTGAGGGCCGCTGGAAATAGGACCGAGACGGGGTGGCCGAGAGTAACGGCAGCAGGTGAGGGTGGAGCGGGCGGGGCCGCTGCTGGCTGACGGCGTGGGGCTCGCAGGACGGGCGGCGCACGACATACATACGAGGTGGCGCAGGAACGCCGGACACAACTTTTGCATTGCCAGATTCATGGTTGAATTACATCCCCCGGATGTTCCTAGAAGGGCTTGGGCGGGTTGTGGTGCCAGTCAGGTCCCGCACCACACCAGGACACCTGGCATGGCGACTGTGATGCGACGGTCGACGACGCTCAGTGCCTTGCTTTTCTGTGGGCTCGCGGGGGGCGCCTCACGCCGGCCGCACCTCGCCGAGCTCCGCCGTGTCGTCCCACGCGCGCATGCCGGCCGCGGACAGGACGTAGTGCTGGAACCGCCGCGCGACGTCCGCGAACTGCGACGTCGTCCACTTGCCCAGGTTGTTGTGCAGCGTGACGACGATCCTGCCGTTCACCGTGCTCGCCTGCATCTCCAGCCACGCGCCAGCGAGCGACCGGTCGCCGCCCGCCCACCAGTACACCGCCTCGACGCCCTGCAGCGGCGCGCCGGCCGCGTCGACGGGCGCGATGACGCCAAGGTTGTTGAGGGAGCACAGAGGGATGAGCTTCTCGCCCCAGTCCAGCAGCTGCTCGCGCTGGGCCTCGTCGCTGCCCTTGCGGTCGCACATGATCTCCGTCGAGCGGACGAGCTTCATCGGCTTGTTCGCGGCCACCTGCTTCTGCAGCACGCGCCACTGCGTTGACGCCATCTTCCAGAACTCCTCCCTGCGTCAGGCAGCTTGCAACGCACGTGCTAGGCCGACGGTCGCACGGACAAAAGCACGGAGATATTGCGGCGACGTCGGGAGCGCACCCTGACTCAGGTAGGAAGATGTTGACGGGATAGATCAGCTGGTAGGCGAAGTTGCCGACGCCGTCGGGGTCGCTGGGCAGCGCGGGCGGCACCATAGCCGGACGCAGCGACAGCGACATCGACGTGCACACGGTCTGCTGCCGCGGTGTCTTCCGACACGGCCCACACCCCTGCTCTGCCGGCGGCGGCATCCAGCCCTGGTCCAGCAGCGCGGAGTACACGGCCAGGTTCGCGGCGCCCGCGAGCGCGGCCATCAGAGACACGTCTCTGGCCTTCGAGATGGTCCGGAGCTCCGTCGTCATGACGTCGGGGAACGACACAACAAGCAACCCGTCCATCTGTTCGTGCAGGTCGCGCCGAACACGCATGAACTCGTCGACGCCGGCCGCGTCTGCGGTGGGAGCAGCGCCGGCGTCGGCTTCGGCGAGCTGCGAGACATCGGCCGCGGCGTCGCGAGCGTCGGTGACCGAACGGACCCCGAGCTCGCTGCACATCTTCACCGCGGAGGGCCTGCCGAGCGGCAGCGGGGTGACGGAGCGCTTGTACTTCCAGTAGGCCAGAGCACCGGAGTTCAGCGCCGCCCACGAACCGAAAAGCCCACGCAGGCGCCGCGGGGGCTGGAACTGACGCGGCAGACTGGAGGAGTCCCTGGGGCCGGAGTCAACGCCGCTGAGATGCTCCAGGAGGTCGACGAGGAGGCGGTCGCGGAAGGCCGCGCCGTCGAGGGCCGCGTGGTGCAGGAGCACGAACACGACGCTGCGCTGCGTGCTCGCGATGCGCACCATGCACACGCGCATCAGCGGGCCCCGCTCCGGCAGCGGCTCCAGCGACAGGCGGATTGCCTCCTGCGGCGAAGAAGCGCACGGCATTGTTGTCACGGAGGACCGGGGCGAGAGTCAGCTGCTGAGGAATGGCAAGATCGTGAGAGCAGGTTTGATGTTCAAGACGATTGTTTGTGTGTTGGGTGGTCGCGGTGAGCGCGCTGCTTGCCTTCATCCAGCGGTGCGTCGCCGGCGTGCTGACGCTGACGGTGCCTTGGTTCTCGAGGCGCATGGGCGTGGGAGCGCTGCACCACCGCAGACCCTGTTGCGCTGCCTGCGGGGAGTCGTCATCCAGGATTTCGACAGGAATCGCAGGGCACGCGAGCCCGGACGACTCGCGGAAGAAAGCGCGCCCCTCGGCATCCTGCGAACAAGATCCACGCGGCCGGGAATCTCGACACGCAAGAAGGAATGACGGCTGTCCCTTACATTGGAAACCCTCAGAGGGGTTGCTCAGCCGGCCAGGTGGCCTTGATGTTCGTGATGGCGCACGTCGAGCACTGCCGAGATGTGGTCGTACCCGTACGATGCCGGACCGCAGTATCGCGTGCCTGGCCTGCATGGCTTTGACAGCGTTGTGGAGAGCCTCGCCTTCAACGAGGCATGACAGCTCGACAGCCGCAACAACCTGCGCCCGCACAGATACGACCGAACACGGGTAGCTCAAACAGCGACGCAGGACGACACGGTCGAACGGCGCCCATTCGAAGCTCTCCGAGCCGTTTTGGTCACGTAACTATGTTCGTATCAAACTTGGCGAAGATCCGCACCTGCATGCCCCCCTTCGCCACTGCCCAGGCGAGGAAGTCGTTCACGACTCCCAGAGGCGCCGTTCCAGCTGCATCCTGTCCAGGCTCCGCTTTGCCTGCTTTTGAAAACACCATGTTGAGAATCCCGATGGTCAACCACGGCGACTGCGTGATCGTCCCCTTCCGACAGTCCTCCGCCGTTCACCACAGCGCACCTGTCAGGTCCAAAAGCTTGCGCGGGAGCTGCAGGCGACGCCCCTCGTCGTCGGCCGCAGGAGCGCCACTGACGTGCAGTCAGACCGCACTCAGTGCCTCGTGATGCTCGAACGCTCGCCCTTGGCCCTTTCAGCCGACTCCGACAACGCTGATCACATGCAGTGTCATGCTACTCCTTGAACATCGAAAACCCAATCAAGGTTCGGCCATCGGCCCACGATTAATAAGTTGTGTTTCCTGACCTCATGTCATGCAAGCCACGACAACGAGCTCGCGGGAACCTACGGGCGTTCCCGGCATTACGCGTCCTCCCCTCCTGTCGGTCAGGACATGCGCATGGACCCCATGGGAGTCTGCGGCTCCTGATGCAGGGCCGCGAGCGCCGCGGGCATGCCGCGCATGGTCTGCGGCGACGGCATCGGCATCCTCTCCTCGATCTTCACGTTGCCCCCGGCCTCCTTGGTCAGCGTCTCCGTGCCGTCGAAGTTGCACGCGTAGCACAGCACCGTGCCCTTGTCCTTGGCGCTGCACGCGGTGTGGTTCGACTGGACGTCCGAGGTGCGGCACTCGAGGACGCCGCCGCGCGACGCGTACAGGGCCACGCGGTTCCCGCGCACGAAGCAACCTGCACCACGAAAAAGCAAATGCAAACAATCGAGGAATCATCACCATTCGCAGTGTCTAACATGGCAATCCCATCAAACCGGATCTGCAGCGACGTGGGCGGGCTCCGCGCGAAGGACAGGCGCGGATCGAAGCGGGCGCGAGGGCGTCTCGCGGCGCGTCGTTCTCACCGGCCAGGAGCATCGTCGCCCGCGTGTGGCACATGACACCAATAGCCGTCTCCTGGACGGCCGTGCGGCGCACCGCGATGGTGGCGCGGTTCGCGAAGATGCCCCACTGGCACCGCTGGACCGTACAGTCCACGAGCGTGCAGTTCACCGCCACGTCCGCGGCCGGCTGCGGCGGCCCCCGGGGGGTGTCCAGCTCCGAGCGCTCGGCGCAGTGCACCACGAGGCCGATACCGCACATCCCGCTCGCCTCGCACCTGCGCCAACAAGTAAATCAACGTCCATCAGTGCCAGACAGACCGGCCGCGCACCGGTCGGACCAGTGCACCAGACATCCCCCCCTGAAAGAGATGTGGCAGGAAGCGACGACGGAGGACCCATGCGCGCTCTCCCGCCCGTACCTCCGCAGCACGACCTCGCGCGCCACCTTGACCATGATTCCCGACTGCCCCGGGTAGCTCTTCGCCTTCCGCCCCGCCCCCTTCACCACGACGTTCTCCAACTTGCATCCAGGGGCCTCCACGACCACGCCCGGCGCGCACACCGCCTCCTGCGGCTTGCCGTTCGCGTCCGGCGGGCCCGGCACCGTCGTGTTGTCCGGCTGCGCCTCCCCCAGCGACGACACCACGCCGTTCGTCAGCGCGCATCCGGCGCGTCGCAACCGCAGCGACTGCCCGAACCGTCCGACGAGCTCGCGCCCACCCAGGTCGACCGTGCCCACGGAGACGTCGTCGAGCAGCGCCTGGACGTCGTCGACGGTCAGCTTCTCGCTCGGAACGACCACGGTGCGGCCCGCGCCCGCCGCGCCCTCGGCCTGCGACGCCGTGGCCGACGCCTGCGACGCCGGCGTGCCGGACACCGGCAGCGGCGACGCGGCTGGCGGGGGCGTACCGCGCTGCGAGCCCGGGAGCGTGGCGGCTCCGCGGTAGGACGGGGTCTGCACCGCTGACGCAGGCGTCATGGGGGTGCCCGTGCCTGACCGTGCCTGCGCGGGACGGCGCGGAACGCGCACAGCGTGTCATCACCGACGTTGTGCAGTATAGACATCCGTGAAACACGCACAAGGACGTCGTTCGCCGGCCAAACAACAGAAACAACTTCAAACGCGCACAAATCCACGCGGGTGCGCCTGTACGCAGCACGCGCGCGCCAGGTGTAAGCCACGTGCATGGGCCGCCGTCGTGGGCCGCGTCTGTGCGCGTCGCACCATCTGCAGGTCCTGCATGGCCACGCGCAGCTCCTCCTCGCGCGCCCCGAGCTTGTTCCTGGCCTCCGTGAGGGCCCTGCGCAGGTCCAGCACCTCGGCCTCGACGGCCGTGCGGTTCCCCGCCCACTTCTTCCAGTAGTCGTAGTCCCGCTGCCACCTGCAGACAGGGTGCCCGCCGAACGACCTGAGAGGACGCGTGGCGGGCCACACGCGCTCGCGCGAGCGCTGTCCTGTCGAAGAGCGCATCCTCACTTTCGCGTGGTCGTGGGAACCGGCAGGTCGCAGACGGTTGCGCGGTGACGGCGCGGGCAGGGCCGTCGCGGTGCAGGTCGTGTGGTCGGGAGCGTCTCACCTGAGGCGGTCCGCCTCGTGCTGGTCCCGCGCGCGCGCGTACGCATCCCGCTCCTGCTTGAGCTGGGTCTCCAGGAGCGCTGCGTTGCATGCGGCGGCCGCAAGAGGCTCTGGGGCGCGTGCTAGGACCTCGCAGCAACCAACGCAGCGTGGCGCTCCGGGGCCGGGTCAGGCACGAACGAAGTCGCGAGGATCTCAACACAGTCTGCGACATGCGTTCAAGCAGGGTGATCGACAGCCTCAAGGCGTCCACGTCCCGCGCGGCCCCTATAGGGTGTGCAAAACTGCGCACACGCCCGCGCGCGCGGGGGACGCGGGCTCCATGTCCCAGAAGCGAACGGCAAAGTCTACACGCCCCTCTGCGGGAGAGGCGGCGTCCTGCTTCGCTGTGGGCACGCACTCACCGATGCGCTCGCCATGCTGGCTGAGCGACTGTTCCAGGGTCGCGACGTCGTTGCCGAGCTGTAACTTCGCCGTCTGCGCGTCCGCGAGATCCGAGAGAATCTTCGAGAACTCCGCGCGGTCCACCTCACCGGCCTCCTCGGGCACCGGGGCCTCCCCAATGCTCACGCTGCCGCCCTCGCTGCTCGACGGGGGCGCGCGGTGCTCCGGCAGCTCTATCGGCCCCGACGGCTGCCCGTCGACGCGGCCCTTGCCCGGACGCTGCGCGCCGCCGTACACGGACGGCCCCGGCTCCATGGTGCCCGTTGCGAGGCCCGCGCGCGACGCGACGTGCACAGAGGACACGCAATGAGTGGTGACGGGTCGCTGGGGACGGACGCACGTCGTGCACGCGGTGCGGCGGTCTGGCCGCGCGCCGTCGTGGCGCGGCGTGTCGAGCTCGGCCCGCGCCACGTGGGGTGGTGGAACCCCCCCGGGATGTTGCGGTACAGGCCCGGAGGCGCGGGGGGGCGATCTTCGGCGTCCCTGGCCGCGCGGGAGCAGCACACGTGCGCGCTGGTCGCCAGCTCCGCCGCAATTCGTCCAGCGTGGTGTTCGACGCGACTGAGAAGAACACAGCAGTTGTGCGCGGCCCTCTGGTCGCCGGGGGTGTATTCCGGCGGGAGTTATACCTCGCGCTCGCCCTCACAGCGTAGTTAGGGTTCTGGACAGCGTGCGTTGCGTCGGAGGCGTCCGTTAGGGTCCGGAATGTCGGGCGAGGCGCAGCCTGGAGGCGCCGGGAACAGCGAGGTGCCCGAGGGGTGGTCGGAGGCGCAGGAGGGCAAGGCGAAGCTACTCCAGCGTGGCAATGACGTCTTCTACAACCCGGCCATGGTAAGTCGCTGTGGTGAAACGGCCCCGCGCCGGCACTGCGGGCGCTCTCAGCCGCCACAGTGGTGCGCTCGGCCTGCGAGCCACGCTGCATTCCATCAACGCCGATGCCGCATTTCCGACCACTTATCACTGGCACATGCGTAAATCCTCTCGAAAACTGTTATTCGTCCCGCCCCGCGCACGCTGCGGGCTTGCTTCCCCCTGTGCCGTCCTCACCGCCGCCCCTCCGCTGCAACGCGTCCGCTCGCTCCCGGACGCCACGCAGGCCGTCAACCGCGACATGTCAATCGCTGTGCTTCGCGAGTTTATCAAGATGCGCGACGAAGAGATTCGTTCGGGCGCCCTGAAGCGGTGGAAGCGCAAGCCGCTCCACAAGGCGCAGCCGGGGGCCGGTGCGGGCGCAGAGGGCGGGTCCGCGGCCGCGAAGGATGTCGCAAACGACGCGGAGGAGCTGCCGCTGCAGTTCAAGGCCCCGGGGGAGCCCAACACTGATGTCAGGATCTTTGAGGGGCTGGCCGCGACGGGGCTGCGGTCGCTGCGGTACGCGCTCGAGGTGCAGGACGGCGTCGAGGAGATCGTCGCGAACGACATGGACCCCGGCGCGGTCGAGGTGGGTGTCGCGACGCCCGCGCGCGGCCTGCATGTTGTCGCCGTCACGTGCGCAGCGTTCCCGCCCCCGACGAAGCCGTGCGCTCGGTGTCGCTCTGGACGGCGCGTGCGGGCATCGAGCGGCGCCGCGCGCACGGTCGTCGAGCCCACCGTCCGCCGCGCACACACTCCTGCGCGCACAGAGCACACACGTCGACATAGATAGGATACATCTATGAAAACTAGGATATGTATCCTATTTTTCGTTCGCTGAGAAAACGCCCGCGCGCGGCCCACCCTGCCGCCTCGCCCCCCGCGAGCGCCCGCAGGCCATCCGGCAGAACGTCGCGCGGAACGGCGCGCAGGCGGCGGCGCGCATCACCCCGTCCGTCGGCAGCGCGAGCGTGGTCATGCTCTCCAACCCGCAGCAGTTCGACGTGGTCGACCTCGACCCGTACGGGTCCCCGGTGCAGTTCCTGGACTCCGCGGTGCAGACCGTGACCGACGGCGGGCTGCTCATGGTCACCGCGACCGACACCGCGGTCCTGTGCGGCAACAACGGCGAGACGTGTTTTGCCAAGTACGGGGCCTACCCGCTGCACCGGTACTACTGCCACGAGCAGGCGGTGCGCGTGCTGCTGTCGTGCATGGAGGCGCACGCAAACCGGTACAAGCGCCGCATCGTCCCGCTGCTGTCGCTCTACATGGACTACTACGTCCGGGTGTTTGTCCGCGTGTACACCTCGGCCAAGGACGTCAAAGACACCCCCAGCGACCGCCTGGCGTACGTGTACCAGTCGCAGAACTGCGACACCTTCCACCTCCAGCCCGTCGGCACGCGGACCGTCAAGGGCAGCTCGGTCAAGTACTCGGCAGGCCGCGGGCCCGCCGTGCCGCAAAAGTGCGACGTGTGCGGGTCGGGCTTCCTGTTCGGCGGGCCGATCTGGGCCGCGCCGCTGCACGACAAGGACTTCGTCACGCGCCTCGGGAAGGGCGTCCGGGCCGCGGGGTCCTCGGGGCTCCACCTGTACGACTACGTGGAGGCGCGGCTGACCAACGTCGAGGAGGAGCTGATCGACGTGCCGCTGTACATCGACCTGCACCACATCTGCGGGACGCTGAAGGTGACGCCGATCAAGATGGACACGTTCCGGAGCGCGCTCGGCAACGCCGGGTACCGCGTGTCGGGGTCGCACGCCAACCCGCTGGCGGTGAAGACGGACGCGCCGTGGGGGGTGATCTGGGACGTGCTGCGGCAGTGGACGAAGGAGGCGGCGCCGGACAAGCAGTACGACCCGGACGGCGTGCCGGCGGCCATTCTGAGCAAGCCGATCGAGACCGCTGTGTCCTTCGCGCGCCACGTGCCGTCGCTGAGCAAAGCCAAGATGAACAACGTGGGGCGCTTCCTTCCGAACCCAGGTACGGCCACTCGCAGAGGTGCCCGCGTCCGTGCGCTGCGTTGCGTCGAGGCGCCTTGGCATGAAAAGCAGGGTCTTTTTTTTGCTGCGTCGTTGCAGACGAGAACTGGGGGCCGCAGCGGAAGCACGGGAAGGCGAAGATCGGCGAGAGCGCGAAGGACATCGAGCGTGCCGCGCAGGCGAAGACCGGGAAGCGCGGCGCCGGGGCAGACGGCGGCGGTGGCAAGAAACAAAAGCAGTGACTGCGGCGCATGACTGCCACGGACACGGCGCAGCGTGCCGGCCTGTGGGGCCGCATGTGAGACGGTATGTGTCCAACGTGCGGTCGTCACCATTCATTCGTATCCGCTGCTCGCAGGACGCCCCGCGTTGCCCAACTAGGTACTTGCGCGACACGTTGGCTCGGTTCGACTCTGCATCGGCGGCGCGGTCACTCCATGTCGTCGTCGTCGTCCACGTCCTCGTGCTCGTCGAACGCCAGGTCTGACACCTCGAGGGTGATCATGCCGCCGAGAATGGTGTACGCGACGGCCATCACCGCCACGCCCGCGATCCACATCCGACTGTACTTCCGTTGGCTCAGCTCCGCGGGCGTCGGCTCCTCCCGCTTGGGTTTCCGCGGACCGCCCTGCCCCCTGCGCCCAAAGCACAGAAACAAACGAAAGTCAATGATCAATGATCCACATTTGTCTAGCAATCGCACATCCTCGACTCCAAGCGGCTGAAGGGACCCCCCGCGAGCGCAGCGCACATCATGCTCTACGCGTCCACGCGACGCCTGCACACGCATCATCGCCGGCACGACGCGGGGGCGGAACGTACGTGTACTGCTGACCGGGTGTCACCGCCGGCAGGGGCGCGCCCATGTGCTCCGTGGCGATGCGCGTGACGAGCGCCGTGACGCTGCCGCACCGCTCCAGGTCGCTCGCGAGGTCCGGCGGCGTCACCGGGGCCGCCCGGAGGTACCCCACCAGCCCGTACGCCACCGCATCCGCCGAGGAGGGCCTCTCCCCGGTGAGGTACGGGCCCTTCCCCGCCGCGAGGATGTCCTGCAGGGCGTGCAGCGCGTGCGAGGCCTCCCCGTAGATCTGGTCCTGCCCGAGGTGGCCGAGCGCGCCCGCGATGCTGCGCCGTTGCATGGCGGGGGCGGTCCACGAGAGGGGGAACGGCAGCGACTTGCCGAGCGCGGGGCGCGTGTGGGAAGAGAAGGAGGCGCTGTCGACCCAGGTGCAGTGCAGCACCGCGGGCGCGACGTGCGTGAGGAGCATCGTGACGATGGCGGTGGCCTGGGCCCTCTGGGCGGCGTCCAGAGACGCGTCGAGGTCCATTTGGTGCGCGGCGAGGTAGCGCAGGATGGAAATAGCGTCGTCGAACTCGCACGGGACCCCGCGCATTGCGGGAACCGCGGGCCAGGACGCGCTCGGGACGCCGCTGCCGGGGCCCGCGCACACCACGTCGCCCTGCGTGTCGAGCGCGGGGAGCCTTCCGACGGGGCAGCGGCGCGCCGAGTCGAATTCCTCGACGTCGAACGGCTTGTTGAGGAAGCGCAGGTACGCCTGCACGCGCCGGGGCCTCGCAGCGGCTGTTGGGCCCCGCAGGACAGCACAGCGCCGCCCTGAGTCACCGCGCCGTTGTTCGAGATACATTCAATCCAGGACGGGGAATCCGTAACCAAGATACCACGTTGCGCAGCCGAATGGGCTACCAACGGCACCGGTGACGCCCGTGGAGCTGCATGAGGGGCACTGCAGCAACTATGGCGCCGCACCTCGACGATCAGGCACCCGGGGCTGATCGACGGCAGCTCCCAGCCACTCCTGAGCTTCAGAAGCTTCGGTTCCACTGCCGAACCCATCGTGCACCGCCTCCCGTGCACCCCAGCGCACTCCTAGCGACCCACCCGCCACACACAAACAGTCGCGGCTCCCACCAACGCCGCTGCCGATCTGAGCCACGCCGTGCAACGGGTTGGCCTAGAGATTTCCGGTGCGGTGGCGAGGTGCGAGCCTCGTATCTCGCCCCCTGCCTCGCCAATTACCGGCAGAAGTTGCACAAATGTGGTGTCCCGCGATCACGTAGCGGACGATGGTCAGTGCCAGCGCCACGCCTGCACTGCGACATGGCCGGGCGCCGCCCGAGCGGGCCGCGATCAGCCCGAGCGGCCCGTGTGCCCGCTATAGGCCCCACGCCCCCCTGTGTCAGCATCGCAGGCGCCTGCTCGTTGTTTCCCGCCCCCGGCGCCCGTGCCACTTTCCCGTCACGCAACGACCCCGCAGACGCCGAGCAGAGCACCAGGGGAACGAGCAGGGCCGCAGGAGCGACGCGCCGCGGGCGCGAGTCATGGCGCGGGGCAGCGCCGCGCTGCGCTGGGCCAGACCGATCGGGGCCCCGCGGGCGGGTGAGGAGGGCAGCAACGTGGGCGGCAAGGCGGTGGTGATAGCGCTGTTTGGGTGCGTCGGGGGGCTGGCGTGGCTGACGGTCGGACCCGCGCTGGGGTTCGGGAAGCCTATCGAGAGGCCAGAGGTGCGAGGGACCCGAGCTGTCGGCCCTGCGCGGCCACGAGCGGCGCTGACACCGTGTGTGCGCGCTATACAGGAACTGTGTTGCCTTCTGATGCGCCCGCGGCCGCATGGGAGGCGGCGTGGGGGAGCTGTGCTGCGCGGACGTGGTGTGTGTGCGTTCGGGTGATGCTGTTGTTGTTGAGACGCGACAGGTGCTGTGGTGCTGTGCAGGGCGTGGTGGCGCCGCAGGGGGGCGGCGGCGTGCGCGGGGGGTCGATATGGAAGCAGATGAACCGCCACGTCAGGGAGGAGTAGCAGCACAAGTGACGTCAGCGCCCGTGTGACGCCCGGCACCGCGCGGAAGTCGACACCAGTGCCGCGGCAGAGATGGTTCTCGCGTCAACGCAGCTGCAGACCCCTCAGCGGCAACACTCTCACACCCGTGCACTCGCTGACGCTGTCAGACAGAGCAAACCCCCCCACTTCTCTGCTCCGTCCTACGCAAACGGCGAGAAGTGCGGCTGCCGCATCCCGCTTCCGGCCCCGCCCGGCTCCCCGGCCCCGCTGTCCGCCGAGCGTCCCAGCGACCCCGCGCGGATGTTGGTCTCTGAGGACCCCGCCAGCGGCGCAGCGCGCCGCGCGCCCGCGAGCCCGCCCTTGCTCCCCGCCGCGAACATCGCCGCGCTGCTGGGCGGCTCGGCGTCCCAGGCGCCGGACGCGCGCGCCCACGCGCCCATGTCGGGGCTCTCGTTGCTCTGCGACCCCTGCCCTGACCCCAGGGGGGGTGTGTCGCAGGACCCCCCATCCGCCACCCCCGCGCACCCCGCCCTCGGCGCAGTCCCCTCCGCCACACGCTGCGCGTCCGCCGCCGTCGCCCGCGGCAGCGTCTCGATCGGCGACGCCAGGGGCATCTCGCACGACCCCGGGGTACTGTTCTCCGACCCCGTCTGACTGCCGACGACGGACTCCCCCGGCCCCGCGCCGCCCGGGCCGCGCCCGCCCTCGCGGTGCAGCCCCGTCAGCGGCGTCGGCACGCACCACGACCCCGTCGCCGCCGCCCGCGCGCCGCGCATCGGCGTGGCGTACTGCGCGATCGGCGCGACGGCCGGCGCCACGGGCGTCCCGCCGCTCTCCGCCGTCCCCGGGCTGCGCGTGTCGTGGCTCCCGAGCGCCCAGCTCCCGAACGCCCCGTCCTCGGTCGGCGCTTGCTGCGACGCCGGCGTGGGCCTCGTGCCGCCGGTGGCCGCGCTGTCCTGCCGGTACGACGCGCTGAACGTCGAGGCCATGCTCGCGTGCCGCCCCGCGACGTCCGCGAGCCGCGCGAGCGGCCCGGAGGCGGCGGGCGCGCACTGCGCGGGGCGAGCGGGGTCCGCGGGCGCGGCGCCGTGGTTGCGAATGTCCTCGACGAGGTCCATCATGGTCATCTCGAGGCACGCTTGTGGCGAACCGGCCTCGACGTCCTCGGAGTCGTCTGTCCCGAGCGTGTGTTGCCCTGGGGCCTCGACCGCGTCGACGACGCGGGCGCCAGCGGGGACGCTCGGCTGCGCGCCCGCATGGTCTGTCTGCGCGTGAGGTGTGGGCGCGGACGCAAGTGCTGCCGCGGGCCGCGCCCACGCCGGAGCGAACGCGCTTGTGGGGTGGCTTGCAGGCTTGCCGGCGCCGACGCCGGCGTGCACGTCGACGCCCATCCTGCACCGCAACGGGATTAACATGTAGCGTTCAGTGTGGGCGGCCGCAGGAGCGCGATGGAAGCGGCCGTGCGAGCGCGGGAGGCTCCAATTCGGCCTGGGACAGCTGTCATGCTTGTCCGGCCCCTGCTATCCTGACAGTGGTATGAAACTCTCAAAATTTCATGTTTCCAGAATGTTCACGGTATGTCCATTCGTCCGAGCGCAAGAACGCGAGCCACGCATCCGCATGCGGCCGTCACCTGAGCGTGCCCAGAAGCGCCGTCACCTCGACGCCCACGCGCCCCGCGCGGCCCCACCGGGACAGCGCCGTGGCGCCCGCGTCCACGCTGACGTCGACCAGCTTGCGGACCATCCTGAGAACGAGCTCAACGGCGCGGCTGCGCAGCGCCATGGCCGCGAACCGCGCCACTGTCTTGAACTGTCGCACACCAGGCAGCCTCCCAGCAGCAGCGACCACGGCGCGCGCGCGCCGGCAGACGGCAGTGTACACGGATCCAACCAGCGCGGAGAGTCCGGCGATGCCGTGGCGGAGCACCAGCGCGACGAGGGCGCGGCCGTAGCTCGCCAGAGGTGGACGCTGCGCGCCCCGCGCCGGAGCCGCGGCTGTTGCGGCGCACTGCGAGGCCTGCATCGTCTCAACGATACGCATCTACTGCGTCACGAGCGCCGGAGACGGTCGAACGAGGCGCAGGACGCTCGTGCCCCGTGCACGCCTCCCGAGTGCTCTCCGCAGGAGCACAACAACTATGCCAACGTCGCGGACCCGTGCGCCGCTGCCGACCTCCTCCTGCCCGTAAGCGCGCGCTGTACTCACCCGCGGACGCGTCGCTCGCCCCCTACGTCCCCAGCCCTACCCTCTAGGAGCTGAGCTCACCTGGGGACTGTCACAGGTAGAACAAAACCTCACCTGGCGATGTTCGTCGAGGCAAGCGATGAAACGCTCGCGTGTGACGCCCCCCGCCCTGGAACGTGCAGCTCGCCGCGTCCGACCCCACGGACGCCACATGCGGGGCAATCAGCGCCGCCTCGGTATTGTTGCGCGACCGCTGTCAAGCCACACAGCCGGCGTCGGCCCTGCCGCTCAGGGGGGCGGTAGCGGAGCTGGCTGCTGGCGCTCGGGCTCGGTGGCGACGCCGTTCGAGGCAGTTGGGCGGTCGAGGTGCCTACGAGTTGGTGTCCGTCACGAGGCGCGGCGAGGTGGGTGGTTTGGTGACGATGCGGCCCAGGCGTGCGTGCGGTGGACCAGGCTGCGTCGGTGCGCTGGGCTGCGGCGCCGGCGAGACATGCGTCGTGACACTGCGGGGGGGGGGTTGCGCCATGTGACAGACGCGCCATGCGGCGCTGGGGGCTGGTGTGCTGAGCGCGCCGCCGGTGTGCTGAATTCGGGTGGTAGAGGAATGTCGGCGGGCCGGGAAGTGATCGGAATCTGGCGGGTGCCGCGCTCCCCCCGTCCCGCACTTGCGCGCTGAGCCTCTGGCCGCGCGGGGCTGCGACGGTGTGCGCGTTCCTAGGCCAGCGGCGCTCTGAACCACGCTGTCTGTCGCGCGGGCAGCTTCGCAGGCGCCAGCATGCACACCGCGTGCCTTGTTTCGGACAGTTCCTGTGAGGTGCGGAGACGTTCCAGCATGCAGAATCGCCCTTGTCCGCCTCCCACACACGTCGACGTACTCGCAATCGCGAAACAACGATACGAACGACCGATACGTCGGAGCTCACCCCTGCCTCGACCCGTGTCCGACGTGCACCAGCCCGTCCCTGCTGCGCATCGTTTCCCTCCATCTCCTCGCCCGTCTCGTCAGACGCACGCAAGCGCCCCAACCACCCCCGAATCGCCTCCACCTGTCCACCTCCACGCACCACCCAGCCGCAGTGCAGCCCTGTCCCCGCACCGCCCACGGAACCGCCACCAACTAATTCGCAGGCGCCAGAACGCGCGTACCACGCAAGCTCCCTCCACGGCATGACCGCCGCGCGCAGCGTCGGCGACTCTGACGACGACATCGAGGTCGTCACGCCCGGGCGCTACCGCCCGCTCGGCGAGCGAGGGACCAACCCTGGCGCGACACCAGAGTCCGGTCCTTTCGGCCTCCGAGCGCTACAGCTCTTCCACGAGCACCTGGACGGCATCACGCCCGTCCCGCAGCACACGCCGCCGCGCTCCGCCGCGAACAACGCCGCGACCCAGCCCGCGCTGCCTACGCTGCCCGCTGGGCCCCCGCGCGACGCCGCCGGGCCCGCCCGGCGCATCTTCGACTCGCCTGGGCGCGATGGCACGACGGAGGACGCGAGCGCCGCGCAGGAGGCGCGTCGGACGCGCAAGCGGCCGCGGAAAGCCGCGGAACGGAGAGCGCAAGCCCGCGACTACGGGGAGTCGGACGACGGGGACTGCGTGATCGTCGGGCGGCGCGACGCGGTCATGGATAGGGACATCGAGAACGAGTTCATCGCGCGCATTCGGGCGGATCCGAGCCTGCCTGGGCCGTCCTTTGTGCACAGGTTGCCTCCGACGCCGCGGAGGGCGCCCGCGGGCGGCAAGCGGCGCGCGCCGGCGGACGAGTGGCGGCCGGAGTCGTCGGAGGAGCGCAAGTCGTCGTCGCAGGAGTCGGAGGAGAGCTGGGGCGGGCGTGACCGTAAGAAGCGCGGTGACGCATGGAAACGGCGGAGCAAGCGGGCGGCGGCGGGGCGGGGCGGCGAGGACGCGACGGTGCGCGGGGGCCGCGTGCGTGGGGCCGCGGCGGCGGGTTTCGCGGCGACAGCGGCGACGGGGGCAGGAGATGGTGGCGGCGGGGCGGCGCATGCGGTGCCTGTGCCTGTGCGGGCGGCGGCGCCGGAGGCGTCCGCGCCGCAGAGCAGGGTGGTGAGGCTGCAGGGGCTGGGCGGGAGGAAGGGGGCGCGTGCAGCCCCGGCGGTGCACGGGGCGGCTGGAGGTGGCAAGGGGCAAGTGCCGTGTTCGCCCGGGCTCGACGCAGAGAGCCGGATGCAGATGCGGCTGCGGGAGAAGATCCTGACCCTGCGGTCGGGGCTCAAGTGCGCTTCCTGGCCGCTGCGAGACACCCACGTCGCCTCTCAAAACCATTCGCGGATTCATGTACATTTTTTTTTCGTTGGCTCTGCGTTGCATGCAAGGCTCTGCCTCGCGACAGCAAAGCTTACGCCGTCCCTAGCGCGTTCATTCGTCCCTGCAGCGACCGGCTGGGCGGCGAGCGCGCGCAGTTCCCCCGTCTGACTGACAGGGACCTGCCCGCTCATGTGGGGCGCTTCTCCCAGGCGCTGCTGGACGCGGCGCGCGGCATGTGCGCGGGCGCGACGTACGAGAACGACTCTGAGGACTGGTGGAGGCGCGCGTGCTCGATCCTGCCGCAGGTAGGACTCGGGCGACCGCCCTGCACTCCCCCCCCAAACTGGCCAACATAGGTGTCGCGTTGACTGTGGACTCCGACAGCGATGTGGCGCGAAAGTTGGAACGTGGCCAGTCCGCTGCATGCGCACTGCGCGGGTGGGCGCATCGCACCTGCTTGCCCCATTGGCGGTCGAAGAAGATCAATTGAACACCGCACTTCATTCACAGACTGCCTCACCTCCGTTCCTGCCCGACACCGACCCCCTCTACCGCGCAGGAGGCCCCGTCCAGCGACGACCGTCTACGGGCGATCTGCCGCACGGTCGAGGCGTGGCTCGGCGCCGGCGCCACGGCGGCAGCGCAACAAATTGCCTCACACGACCCCAACAGATCCCTGCCGCAGCCCCTGCCCGTCGCCGGGCAGAACCCGAGCCAGAACCCCGCTGCGCAAGCAACGCTGCGCACCGCGACGCAGCACGGCGCCCAGCAGCGCGGAGGTGCCGCGCAGGGCAACCCTGAAGGCGCGGCAGGTCGCGCTTCGCCGCCGAGCGGCGCGACGCCTCCGCGGACTCCCCCGGCGGCACAGGTGCAGTACGTGAGCGACAGCAGCGCCGGCGACCGCGAGGACGACGACAGTATCTGGCTCGGGGGCCCGGTGCGTCAGAGGGGACAGGAGGTAGAAAGCGGCCCGGGGGGGGTCGTCAGCGCGGGGGGGGCGACGGGCGACCCGTCGTCGAGCTCCGCGGACGTGGTGCAGGTGTTGCCGCGGGGCGACGTCGCGGCGCAGGACGGCGGCAACGACGCGGAAAGCGGCTCGGTGGTGTCAAGTCTCGACATCGACGACTGACGAGTCCCCGGGAGGACGTACTCGCACGATGCATTCGCAGTGCAGCGAGGGAGACTTGCGCGCGGGGCGGATGGAATGCAGGGAAAGAAGCGACGATAGAAAAGGAAGGGAGAGTCACGGTGATGACTGGAATATATACCGCGCAGAATAGAGTGGAAAACACCCAGCACCTGGGACCCCGCGCAAGATGTAATTTACATACGCAGAGACTTCGTACTCTCGTGTCGCGTCTTCCGACGTCTTCCGTCCGCCCTTGCCGCACTTCTGCACGACGACATGCACTGCGACACCCCCGTGACCAGCGACGCACTCCCCCCCAGCACCTCCCGTCACAACGCCCACCTCCACATCACCGCAGCTCACCGCCCGACCTTCCCGAGCTTGCTGTCCGTCCGCGGGTCCGCCGTCAGCTCCTGCACCTCCACCAGCGCGCGGTCGACCGCCGTCTGCAGCGCGCGCAGGTCCCGCACGAACAGCGCCCGCAGCACCGACGCCGCATTGTTCAGCTGCGCGTCGCCCGTGTCGAACCCGGGCGGCAGCAGCCCCAGCGCGGCCGGGGCCCCCATCGACGCCAGCAGCGGTGCGGCCTCCTGCGCGGACGGCGCCGCCAGGGCGGCTGCTGCGTCGGCCGCGGCCGTCAGGCGCTGCGCAAGCGACCCCTGCGCCGGCACGCCCAGGGCGGCGCAGAGGTCGTTCGCGGCGGCGGCGAGCTCCGGAGTCTCCACAAGCGCTGCTGCTGAGGGAGGCGCGGACTTCGCGGCGGTCGCGGCCGCGGCGGTGTACTTCTCCGCGTTGTCCTGGTATTCGAACCCTGCGCAGCATGAAACGGGTCCGACGGCGACTTCGAGCGCGCCTTCGCGGATAGCGCAACGGGCAACGGATGTACGTCTGCAGGGCCGTGGGCCGCGACCGGGCAAGCGACGGCGCACTCGGAGCGACGTACCGACGGCCTGGACGAGCATCCACTCGAGCGCCTGCGCCCTCGGTGCGCCGTCGCCCCCCAGGGGGCACTCCATGGCGGCGAGGTACTTGGCAAAGGTTGACGGCCAGGAGGCGTCGTTGACGGCACGCAGGGCTGTGCGGTCGGCGGGCTTGTACAGCCGGATCTGCGGGCGGAGAGCGGAGCGGTGCCGGTGGGTCGTAGGCGGGCGCTGTGTGCGGCGGAGGAGACAGAGGAGTGGCGTGCCTCGTGCGGGCGCGTTGTGGGATGTCATGTGCCGCGAGAGCGATAGGTGCATGATATGCGATGTGGCCATGGTGGTAGAGGCAGGGAAGGGTGATTGTGGTCCTCGTGTGCGGTGCGCTGCCGCTGGAAGAGGACAGCTTCGCTAGAGGGTCGAAAAAGAGTACCTTGGTGTCTTCTAACCACACGACGAGCTTCCTAAACGCTGCCTCATCGTCGACCCTGAACGTGTCGGCGCTCTGGTACTTGAGCGCCTTCAGGAGGGTCGTGATGAGCGCCATCTCTGGCACCTGGCTCAGAGCGCGCCGCAGCGGCCGGGGAGCACCCCACTCTCCTCGTTCTGGTGCGGACGTGCAGGGAACTAGGCGCTGGACTCCTTCCCCGCAACCAAACTCTATTGATAGCGCGATGTCGCGTCGTGTCACGGCAAGAAGAGCTCTCCCAATGTCTTTTCGCGCCCAAACTCCCTAGATCGCGCAAAGGAGTGCAGTTCGACGCGTGTGCAAGATGATCATCGCGTGCACCGCGCCACGGTCGTGTGGGCGGGCATTCGCACCCCGCGTGAGGCCACCAGGAGACCCCGGAGGTGTGTTGCGCAGCGCGCAGCTCCCGCCCGTCGTTGCGCGGCCGCGCGCGCAGCTCGGCGCACACCGATGCAACGACGCGAAAGTCCGTGTTCAGGCCTGCTTGTGACGATCGATAGCGTTCGGGAGAGGCGCTGCGGGTGCTCTGTGCGGGAAGGAGGTGGCCGCGGGAGACACAGGTGGTAGCAGAGGGCGGGGGGAGTCGCCATGGTGCGTGAGCCTCGGCGCAGCTGCGTTACAGGAGCGGGAGCTCTGCGCGCGCCGGAACGCGCAGGCCGCTTGGCGCCGCGAGACCCGATGGCGCCGGATGCTCCACATGCGCACGACGGGCAGCGCTCCCGCGCGTCTCGCACGGGCCACGCGCCGCGGCCAAGCCGCTTGCATCGCGTTTTATGAAATTCACGCACCGAACGCCGCGGCTATGCCGTCGTGCGGGCCCCGGAGCACACGCCGCGAGGAGTAGCGGGCATACATGCCCACTGTGCGAGCCCTGCCGGACCCTCCGCGCGCAAGAGACCCCCACGCAAGCAGCACGCGCCCCTCTCAGAGCTCGTCACCCGTCACGCACCGTCAGAGGGCCGGAACATCCAGCCCCGGCTCCGTTTCAGCCCAAAAGCAGGCCCTCGTTCGCCGCAGCCTCATGTGCCCGCCGTTTCCGCCCTTCCCAGCCCCGCAACCGCCGCGACGCCGCCCTTCCTGCCCCCGACAGTTTCCACGCCGCCCTTCCCACCCCCTCCCCCCCCTCCGCGGCGGCCGTGCAGTCGGAGATCGAGGCTGCTCTGCAGCGCATCACGGGCTACCAGGGCGTGCTGGGACTCATCATCGTCGGGAAGGACAAGAGCGTGCTCCGCTCGAGCGTGTCCCCCGAGATCTCGCAGCAGTATGCGCTGGAGATGCCGGACCTCGTCGACCTCGCGCGGCGCTCCATTAGAGACCTGGACCCACAAAACGACCTCAAGTTCCTCCGGATAAGATCCAAGCAACACGAAATCATGGTCGCGCCCTTCCCGGAGTTCTCCCTCATCGTCGTCCAGGACGTCCAGGCCGAGGAGTGACGCGGCGCGGCCCCACCTGCCGTCCACTGCGCAGCGCCAGCCCGGACCGCAGCGCGGCGCCCTGTGAACGCACGCCGCGCACGCAGCCGCGCCGCCGCTTCGCCCGCGCGCGTGGCCCTCGCACTCGCACAGCTGCCGCGCACTGTCGGGCTCGGATGCGGTTCTGCGACTAAAACATGCAGAAATCCCTTACAGCGGATATTCGCCCCTCTGGCCGTCGGCCGACCGAAGCGCTCGCCGCAGCACATCGCGGCAGGCGTCCCGCCCACCGCCAGCAGCTCCGCGCGCCCGGTCGGCCCCTTCCCCGGCCTCCGACCACCCAACCACCCCTCGACGTCCCCTCCACAACCACGGATTCCCAACCGCCAGTCACTCAAAAGTCCATATCCGACACGAACGGCGCGGAGCCCTCCCCGCCCGTCGCGAGCCGCTCGAACCGCAGCGCGAGGCCCTGCTCCGCCTTGGACACCCCCCCCCTGCTGAACCCATACCCCAGCAGGCTCGCCTGCTTCAGTCCCCCCCCCTGCGTCGGGCCCGACACTGCGAGCTGCCGCCGCGCCGCGGGCGCCTCGTGCTCCGCGCCCACGTGCCGCTGCGCCTCGCGGTACCCCAGCTTGACGGGCGAGCCCAGGTCCGCGAGGCGGGCGCTACGCTTCTGAGCGGTGCGGGGCGCGGGGGGGGTCGTGGCCATCGCGGCCGGGTCGCCGAGGGAAGTGACGGGGGCGCGCGCGTTCTTCAGGACGGCCTCCTGCGCGCGGACACGGGCGGGAGGCAGGCGTTGGAACGGGGCGGGGGCGGGGGGTTGACAGGTGCAGCAGACGCGACGTCGGGAGCCACGTCCGGCACGGGAGTCCTCGCGAATCGCATCGCAGGCGGCTTGAGCGGGCCCGCGATGTCGCGCAGGAGCTACGGCGACAGCGCGCCCGTTGTGGTGTCGTCGTCGTGCATGTGTGTGTGCGCACCGTAGCGAGCCGCCGGCGCTGCCGGAACGCGTTCATCGCCCCCGCCGGCGCTCCGTTGCCCGCGCGATGCCGCTCCGCGCCCACCTGCGCCGGCGCGGCCCCGAACACGGGGACGGGCGCTGCCTTCGCCGCCCCCCACCCGCCGTACGGCTCCAACGGAGCCGGAGCCGGACACCGCGGACTCCCGCTGTCCGCCGACCCGCTATCCCTGCGCACGCCGCACCCGAGCGGCGTCGTCAGCGCCGCAGCAGCAGCCGAGCTGTCGCGCACACGCCCGCTCAGCGGCGCGCGGGGCGGCCTGGGGCGGCGGAAGGGGCCGCCGGGACGCGCGGGCGGAGGAGGGACACGCACCTGCGCCTGGAGTCGGGCTGGCTGAGCTGGAGCGTCGACGCGGTGGACGCGGCGGGGGAGCGCGGGTCGTGTGCCGCGGGGAGCATCCCGAGGCCGAAGCGCGGCTTGCTGGGGGAGGCCTCGAACGCCGGCTCGGCTGCGCGCTCGTTGTAGGTGTCGCTGCGCGCCCTCTGGTTCTGGTCGATGCTGACCCACAGCCAACCGTCGTCCACGATGACCTTGTGCACGCGCTGGACGGCCTCTGGCCCCTCGCGCATGCAGCCGTCCAGGCCCGTCTCGGCGCGCTTGCCGTTGTCGAGGAGGATCTGCGCGAGACGGAGGGGTTGTGCGCGTCTGCGTGGGCGGCGGGGCAGCGCGGGAGGTGCCAACAGCCCGCGCACAGCACCCGGCCTCGCGCGCGCTTCTGCTGCCTTTTTCCACGTCGTGGTTTCCGCTTCGTGGATAGCTGATACAATGGACATCGCGAAATTCATTCGCTGCGCGCCGGAGGGTCGCCGGCCGCCCGCTGGCAGCGCTGCGACCCCTCAGGATGGTGATGGTGCAACAACGGGGAAACGGCGCCGCGTGGCGCTCACCTTGTGCTTGTGCCACGGACACGTGATGCTGAGCCGTCCTCCCACGTCCTCGATGTCGCCCTCGGCCCCGATGGGCCCGCCCATGTGGTAGCACGACGAGTCGATGCAGTAGGCCTTTCCCTCCGCCCGCAGCACCGTCACCGTGCGCCCCGCGATCTCCTGCACGGAACGATCGTCACGAATAGCATTTGATCTGTCGAAAATGTGCACCAAGGTCACGTTCTGCCCCCGCGTAGGCCCGGCCGGGCTCGGCTAGGACGGGGCGCCCGCACCTTGCAAATGCGCTGCCCCTCGCCCAGGTGGGCGTCGCGCATAACCTTGAACAGCATTCTAGCGGCGGATTCCGCGCGCCGCGGGCCGCACGCCCCGTTCTGCGCGACGCACGCCGCGCCTGCTGCCAACATGCCCAGCTGGCTGTCGTGCGCTCATCGACCCCCCCGCGCGGGAGCCCGCCCAACCGGCCCCGCGCGCCTTCGCGGCCGCCCCGCACCACGGCCGCGCACTCACGGCGCCCCTGGGACGCGCCCTGGCCCTCGAAACGCGCCGGCTTGGCTCCGGAGCGGCTTGGCGGCAATGGCACACAGGGTGGCGATCCCGCGCGTGCCCGGCGCGGGGGAGGCGGCGGGCCTGCCCGGGGACCTCTCCCTGGAGCAGTACGACACGCTGAGGAAGCAGGTGCGGGAGCTGGCCGCGGAGGCGAAGGGCCGCGCGCCCGCTGGGGAGGCGAGCGCCCGGGCACGCTACGTGCGCGAGCGGGAGGAGCTCGTCCGCGCGCAGATGGCCGAGGAGGTCGCGGAGCTGCGGGACGAGCTCGCCGCGGCGAAGGCGCGGCTCCGGGAGGCCAACGAACGGTGCGTCGCGGCCGCTGCGGGGCGCGCAAGCGGGCGGAGCTGCACTCTGCAGCTTGAGCCGCGGGGGGGCTCCCTGCCGCCCCACGGCCCGCTTCGCCCGGTGTTTCGCCCGCATAGCGAAGTTGTTGAGTGTTATTTCATTTTGCGGTGGTCTTCGCGCGCTGGGACGCACTGAGCGCTCCGCGGTTTCGGATGGTCTGTGGCGGTGCAGTTCCGCTCGGCACCGGGAGGCGCAGGCGCGGGAGCTCGAGAAGGCCGAGCGCAAGATCGAGCGGCACGCGGCCCGCAGCGAGGAGCAGCGCGAGGGCTTCGAGAAGGCCCTGGCGCGGCAGGCGGAGGACCACGAGGCGCGACTGGAGGCCGTGCAGCGCGAGGCGGAGCAGGCCTCGCTGCAGCACGCCCGCGACCTCCGCGCGACCGAGGAGCGGCTGTCCGCGCTCCACCGCGGCGAGCTCGAGCGGCTGCGCCGGGAGCACGCGGACGCGGCGCGCGCGCTGGCCTCGTCGCGCGACGGCCTGCAGGCGCAGCTGGCGACAGCGCAGGGGAGGGTGGAGCGGCTCGAGGGGGAGCGGGACGACCTGACGGTGCGGCTCGAGGGCGCGGAGGGGCAGTGCAGGGCGCTGCGGCAGGAGATTCGCGACGCGTGGCGGCCGCAGGCGCGCATGTTGGAGGGGCGGGTGGCGCAGTTGGAGGAGGACTTGCGACGGGAGAGGGAGCGCGGGAGCGAGGCGTGCAGGTGCGGAGGAACAGCGGGCTTGTCTGGGCGGCCTGGCTGCGGTCTATATATGAGGCTCTAGGGCGGATGTCGCAAGTGTTGCTGCACGCAAAGCACGTGGCGTTGTTTTGGCGTTCCCGCGCTCGATGTCGCGGCGCTGCGCGCAGCTAGGGCCGCGCAGGGAGCACCGTGCAGGTGGCGGGGTAGCTGCGGCACGGCAACGTCGCGGCGTGCGGTGGGCGTGTGTGTGCAGGCAGGAGGCGGCGCGCTGGCAGGGGGAGATGGAACGGTATCGCGCGCAGAAGAGCGAGGAGCTCGCGGCGCTGGAGGGCCGCGTGCAGGCGGCGATCGCGAAGAAGGACGCCGCCATCGACACGCTGCGGTCCGACCTGACAGCGGTGCGCGAGCGGCTGGCGGCCGCCGAAGCCGCCCTGCGCGCATGCGCGGGCGAGGCCGGCGTCATTGTCAGATAGACTCGCTGCTTCCGCGCAGCCTGCGCGTTTCACAGACGCAGCGCAGGGCACAAACAGCGACGAAAAGAGGGTCATGTGAACCAGGTGCACAAATGAGAGCGTTCACAACAACCTCCACGCAGGGCGGCTCCGGCTGCTACGTGAACCTGCTCTGCAGCAGTTCGAGCCCCCGGCCGACCGCTGCGACGCAGTGCCCGCCTACGAAGGCCGCAGCCCACCAGCCGGTGGCGCCTGCGCTGCTCGCCAGCCGCCGCACGACGCCGCCCGGGCTGTCGACGAGGCGCGGACGCGCTGCGAAGGCGCCCGCGAAGAGCGCAGGCACCACCGCGACCTGCCAGAAGGACGGGTGTCCCGACAACTCTGCCAGCGGGGTTGTGTGCGGGCCCGCACCAGCCCGCTCCGCGGCCGTGAACGCATCCTTCGGGAGGGCCTTGCTTTCCGTGCTGCTGGCCGGCCTCGGACCATGCCGCGACGCCCTGCAAGGCAACGAGTGCAGTTGCCGCATGTCATGCCGCTTCTGACCACGGTCTCTGCGGCGCCGCGCAGCACCCTCCGCGCAGCGCAGCACGAAAGCGCAGCGGCACAGGGTACGAGGAAACACGCCCGGTGCACCGATGGCACCGCGTGCGAGCGGCACCAACAACAGCAGCGCTGCCGCGGCAGCGCGAGGTCTCAACGCAGGGGCGCGCACCCGTACACCAGGAAGCAGTAGATGACCATGTTGATCAGGAACGCCACGAGCATCCGCGTCAGCACCTCGAGCGCCGCCCCGCTCATCCCCCGCACGCTCTGCGCCGCCTTCCCAGCCCCCGCGCCGCGAACACCCCGCAACACCCCCCCCAACACCCTCCCCAGCGCACTCCCCTTCCGCACCGCGGGCTCCGGCGCCGCCTTCGCCGCAACCGCCGGCACCGCCGGCACGGCCCGGTGCAGCCCCACCTGCGCCTCCAGCTGCGCAATCCGCCGCCCCATCGCCGCCATCTCCGCCCGCGCCCGCACCAGCTCGTCCCGCAGCGCCTCCGCGCCAGGGACCTTCTCCGGCGCCGTCACGATCTGCTCCAGCATGTTGATCCTCTGCTGCATCCTCACTGCGTTGCCGCGGTCCGCCGCGGCCTGCTGCGCCGCGTTCTCCAGCTGCCGCACCTCGTCGCGCATCTCGTTCAGGCGGCTCTCCTGCGCGCCCACGCGGAGCTCGAGGCTCGCCTTCGCGCCGACCGAGCGCCCCGCTGCGAGGGGGTTGGCGAGCTCGCGCGCGCTGCGGCCGCGCGCGGGGGTGGCGTACGAGGGCGTGAACTGGTTGGCGGCGCGGCCGTACTCCGCCACGACGCGTTTCAGGTCCGCGACCTCGAATTTCAGGGCCTGGAACTCCGTGTCCACGCGGCGCACTTTCGACGACAAAATGTCGTTGTTGTTCGAGGGCGTTGCGGGCAGGGGGCGGAGCGTGGGGAGCGAGTCCGCGGCGTCGCGCGGCGGCGTGCGCGGGGAGGCGAGCGCGCCGGTCTCGCGGGGCGACGCGAGCTCGGCGGCCTCGTACGGGCGCGACCCGGGGGAGAGGATGGCTGCGAAGTGCACGGGGGCGTGGTGGTGAATGTCTGCGCGCCGGTGTGCGTGCGGGGACGCAGGGAGGGCGCGCGCGCGCGGGGGCGGGCGTTGCGTGCGAGCGGACGCACCGGCGAGGCTGGTAGCGGCGTCCAAAGGTGACCCGGGGGCGGCGCGACGAGGGGACTCGTCGAGCGTCCCATTCTGCACGGCACGGTGGAGTTCGACTACGGTGTTGGAGCGGGGTGGCCGGCGGGAGCGCGATGTTGCGCCCCCTGACGGCGGGTGGCGGCCGCGGGGAGGTGCAGCTTGAATGCAGCGGTGCGCGGCCTCCAGGCGCTGCGACGCTGGTGACGCGCGGCGCCGCGTGAGCCAGCGTCGGGATGATGCGAGGACCCGCGTGCCGCGCGTTGTTCCGGTCGCGGGAGGCGTGCGGAGCGACACAGGGTGGAGGTTGCACGAGAGGGCCAAGCGCTCGCACGGCGCCGGAGGGGCTCGGGGGCGCACCAGGCTCATTTCCCCGACGGAGCTCGTCTTCGGGGAGTCCATGAAATCCATCTCTCCGTGACGCGGCCACCGGTGAACGGCGTGCGGGGGAGGTCAGCAACGCTGCTTGGGTTCACGCGCGCCTGTCAGTACCGCTTCACTCGCGCCGCCGGGGGACTGCGCGCCAGCACTTGGGACAGGGACGCGTGCGTGAGTCGGCCGGGGGAGGAAAATCCGGGCGCGCGCTCGCGAGGGCCGGAGGTGAAACGTGCACAATCTGCTGTGCGTTGGCAGCGTGTTTCCTTGCCTGCGAAGCTTCGTTCGACGAGCATCCAGGCCATGCAGCTCTGCACATGCTGCCGAGCGACCGGCGCTCTCGTAGCCGCGCCTCCAGCGCCCAGCGGGGGTCTGTCCGGGTCCCCGACAGCGAGAGGCCTGAAGCCGCGTTTCCGGGGGCTCGTAGGCGCTGCGCCGCGGCTCGCGGGGCGACTGCTGCTCACCGGACAGCCGGGATCGCCCGAGACTGTTGGTAGTGTCTAGGAGCGGCGGTGCGGAGCCCACGGTGCTGTTCGCGGCAGGTCGCGTGCGCCGTTCCGCGGCCGTCGCCGCGCCGAGCCTCTGAGCGCGAGCCGGGCGACGAGCTTCGGTACGAGTGACGGGGCTCTGGGGGCGGGAAGATGACGCAGGCGAAGCACGCGCACGCGGGGGGCGCGGCGAGTTCGGAGTGCGTGAAAGTGGTCGTGAGATGCCGCCCGCTGAACGACAAGGAGGTCTCTGACGGGCGCACGCGCATCGTGGACATGGACACGAAGATGGGGCAGGTGAGCGCGCCCCGCCAGACGGCCTGCCACGCGCGTGCGCGACGCGTGTGCCACGCGCAGCTGTGGTGGCGATCTGTGGGCCGCGCGGCCCCTTCGCCGCTGCGCATGTCCCGCCGCGGATGCATGAGACGTCCACCTCCGCGCATGCGCTGCTCAACGCGCTGCTTCATCCCTCCCCGGCCGCGCTGCTGGCCCTGTTCATCCCACGCTGCGCTCCTGCCGCGCGTGGGGCGCGCGCGCAGTCCGGTCCAGTTCCAACCGCCGCGGGCGCCTGCCGACTCGATATCGAGCCCCCCCCCGCCGCACGGCCGGTCGCGTTCCCGCCCGGACGTCCTCGCCCACCCACCTCGCCCACCTGCCTCAGCTGCACCCACCCGCTGCGCCCGCCCCGGGCGCCGTCGCGCGCAGGTGTCGATCCGGAACCCGAAGGCCGATCCGCAGGACCCCCCGAAGCAGTTCACGTTCGACTACATTTACGACTGGACGTCGCAGCAGCTGGACATTTACAATGAGGTGGCGCGGCCGCTGGTGAACTCGGTGCTCGACGGCTACAACGGCACGATCTTCGCGTACGGCCAGACGGGCACGGGGAAGACGCACACGATGGAGGGCAAGGGCGCGGACGCGGCGCACCGCGGCATCATCCCGAATTCGTTCGACCACGTCTTTGCCTCAATCACTGGGAGCGAGGACCAGGAATTCCTGGTCCGCGTGTCCATGCTGGAGATCTACAACGAGGAGATCCGCGACCTGCTGTCGCGCAACCCGAAGAACAAGCTCGAGCTCAAGGAGACCGCCGAGGGCGTGCCCTACGTCAAGGACCTGTCGACGTTCGTGGTGCGGTCGGCCGAGGAGATCCAGAAGGTGCTCGACGTGGGGCGGAAGAACCGCAGCGTGGGGGAGACGCAGATGAACCGGGACTCGTCGCGGTCGCACTGCGTGTTCACGGTCACGGTGGAGTCGGCGAACTCGGATGCCAAGGGCAACGAGCACGTGCGCGTGGGGAAGCTCAACCTGGTGGACCTGGCCGGGAGCGAGCGGGTGGCGAAGACGGGCGCGACGGGGGCGCGGTTCAAGGAGGGCGTGAAGATCAACATGTCGCTGTCGGCGCTGGGCAACGTGATCAGCGCGCTCGTCGACAGCAAGGTCGCGCACATCCCGTACCGCGACTCGAAGCTCACGCGGCTGCTGCAGGACAGCCTCGGCGGGAACACGAAGACGGTGATGATCGCGAACATCGGCCCCGCGGACTGGAACTTCGACGAGACGATGTCGACCCTGCGCTACGCCAACCGCGCCAAGAACATCCAGAACAAGCCGCGCATCAACGAGGACCCGAAGGACGCGATGATCCGCGAGTACCAGGACGAGATGAAGCGTCTGCAGAAGGAGATCGAGGACATGGGCGAGGGCGGCGAGGACGCCGGGCCGACGGTGCAGGAGATCGAGGAGCGCGTCGAGAAGGAGATGACGGACGCGGAGAAGGAGCGCCTGCGCCAGGAGGTCGTCGCGCAGCTCACCAAGGACCTCAGCAAGCAGGGGAGCATCCACCTCGCGCCGGACCAGGTCGCGGAGATCGAGAGGGAGGCCGAGGCGGCGGCCGAGCGCGAGAAGCAGCGCATCCGCGCGGAGCGGGAGCGCGGGCTGCGGGAGGCCGCGGAGCGCAAGAAGCAGATCGAGGCCGCGAAGGAAAAGGCGATGGCGGCGCAGAGCGAGGCCGAGCAGGTGCGGCGCGTGCTGGCGCGCGCGGGGAAGCGCGCGGGGGGCGCTGGCCGCTCCGCGGCGCGGTTCTTGGGCTGAAGGAGAGGGGTTTCGTGTGTGTTGTGCGCAGGTGTCGGCTGCGAAGGCGGCGATGAAGAAGAAGCTCGACATGATGCGGTCGAAGCTGTTGCATGGGGGCAAGGACGAGCTGGCGCGGGAGGCGCGGGCGCGGCAGGCGGACGTGGAGAAGAAGCGGCGGGAGCTCGAGGAGCACCGGCAGCAGGAGCGGGAGCGCGCGCGGCGCATTCAGGAGCTCGAGGAGCAGAAGAAGAAGAAGGAGCTCAAGGGGAAGAGTCTAGAAGAGGAGCGGACGAAGCTGCGGGCGGCGCTGGAGCTGTCGTGGAGCCAGCTGCAGAGCGCGGTGCGCGACGTCGAGGACGCCGAGGAGGAGTTCGCGCGGGAGCGGCATTTCCTGCTGCAGCAGGTGCAGGACCTGCAGAGCGAGCTGCGGCTGCGGGAGGCGATCATCGACGCGTTCGTGCCGCCGGACGAGCGCGACAAGGTCACGGCGCGCGCGCAGTGGGACGCCGAGGCCGAGGACTGGGTCATGGGCCCCGCGCACAGCAACGAGAAGGACGGCGGTCGCATGCAGCGGCCGGTCTCCGCGTCCGCGCGCCGGCGGCCCATGTCCGGGTACGCGCTGCAGCAGGCGGCGGCGGGCGACATGAACCCGCGGTTCAAGGCGGACAACATCCTCAAACTCGAGCTAGACATGCCGGAGCGAACCACGTACACGTATGATGAGGCCGCGCTGGGCAACCCGGAAGTGCAACAGGCGCTGCTGAGCGCGTTCGTCGACGGGCAGGTGCTGTTCTCGTCGCCGCAGCACGGCAACGTGTACGGGTAGCCGCGGCGCGCCGCAGCGTGTGAGATTCCGCGACGAACGAACGAACGACGTCTTTGTTTACAAAAGCGTCATGGCTCGGGTTTGCACGCAACAATCGCGGCTCAAACCCCCTGTACGAGCCTGCACGTGACTGTGGCTCCGTCCTGCTCACTCGTCTTGCTTCTTGGCAGCTCCACCGCCGCCAAGAAGGCTTCGGAAGTCGTTGTTGGACATCGGCTTCTTCTGTGGCTCGTCGCCCGCCGCCGACCGCGCCAGCAAGCTCCGCGGCACCAGGGACGCCGAGGCCGACAGCGGCGGCGCGGGGCCGCCGCCGTCGACGTCGAGCCGGTTCCTCTGATGGCTGTGCGCGTTGTCGACACCCCCCGAAAATCCAACACCCCCCCGCCGCCCGCGCCCGCCGCCGCCGCCGCCGTCGAACCGGCCCCTGCCGTAGCGCCCACGACCCCCCTCGTACCGCCCGCCCCTCCCGCCATCGAACCTGCCCCCGCGGCCGCGCCCACCGCGTCCGCCACCGCCTCCAGACCTCGGATTCGACACCGCTACAAACAGCGTGGCCCCGGCGAGCTCCGTCCCGTTGAGCTCCACGGCGCGCTCGACGTTGTCCTTCGCCTCGAACTCCACGTACGCACACCCCCTGTGTCGGTCGGGGTGGTGTTTGTCCATCACCATGCGCACCTCCTTGAGACCCCCCACGGGCTCGAACAGGCCCCGCAGCGTGTCGGACGTCACCTCCGCCTTGATGCCCTTGACGAACACCGTGTTGCTGTCGTCGTGCCACTGCCGCACGGGCCCGCCGCCCTCACCCTGCGCGGGGGTGGTCACGGCGCCCTCGCCAGCGCCCGCGTCGCCCCGGGCGCGCTTCGGCGCCGCGACCGCCGCGCTGGAGTCGTCGCGCTTCCGCTTCGAGGACTCGCCCTTGCCCTTCTTGCCCGCGTCCGCGGCGTCTTTCCGCCCGTTCGCCGCCTCACCGCCATGCGCCGCGTCGCCTGGTTTCCCCGCCGCCGCAATCTTCGCGCGGCAGTCCGCGACCGACGCCGCGGTGCCGTACCGCCCCTCCATGCGCTCCCACGCGCGGCACACGCGCCCGTCGTCCGGCTTCAGGTGCCGCTGGTAGCACCTCTTGAACACCCCCCGCGCGCCCGCCACATCCCCCGCACGCCGCAGGAACTCCGCGTACGCGATCCACGTGTTCGCGAGCTTCCCGTGCGGGCCCTTCACCGCGCCCTCCCACACCTGCGCGCCCTCCTCTTTGCTCCCCTGCGCCTCGGCACACACTGCGTGCAACTCCAATCGAGGATCGAAGATCTCCGCGCCGCACCGCTCCTGTAGCACCTTCATCGCGTGCGCGAGCGAGGCCCGGTGCCACTCCGCCGACTCCTCCACCACCAGCGCACCGCTGTCAGGCCCCCACTCCCCCCCCCCGCGCGCCATACGCCCCAGCATGTCGCTGCAGGCTAGGGCGACCTCCACCACATCCTCCGCCTTCCCGCCGTCCGCAGACAGCACCTCCACCGCCTCAACGAAGACCCCGCTCTGCTTCGCCGCCAGATCCGCGGCCCCGTCCAGATCCTCGCCCTCCATGGCCAATTCTTGCGCGTGGTCAATCGCCCGCAGCAGCTCGAGCCACAGCACCCCTGACCGCGACCGCACGGCCTGCCGCTTCAGCGCCCGCGTATACACGTCTACCGCGCTCTTCGGGCCGCCCCGCGCGCCGCTCCGCGCCGCAACGAACGCGCCATACTCGCGCCACAGCTCATCGTCGTCGGGGGCGGCTGCGACGCCGCGCTCGTAGAGGCACGCGACGTGCGCGTCGTTCTTCGCGGCCTTCTCGATCTGGATGTACTTCTTCAGCGGCTCGCGCGCGATGCCCTTGCCGTCGGGGGCCGCGAGCTGCGATTCGAACGGCATGCGCCGCGCCAGCAGCGACGTGGCCGAGGCGTGCGCGCGGAGCGTCTTTTGCGGCACCTCGCGCCCGCCGAGCCACTGCTTGTACCGCTCGAGCGCGGCGGGCCCGTCCGCGAGGGGCAGCGCGAGCCGGCGGCGAGCGACCTCGTCGACGTCGTCGCTGCTCGCGGCACCGGCATGCGCGGCGGCGTACTCCGTTTCGAGCCACGCGTCCCAGACAGCGCCGCCGTGACTGAGATCCTGGCCGGCGACGGCCACGGCCCGCTCCGCGAGCGCCCTGCAGGACGACAGACAGGAAAACTCGTCTTGCGTGCACACTGTGATTGCTGTTGCATCAGCGACGCGGAGCTGCAATGTTCGGGCCGTTTCCGAGCGGGAGTGCGCTGCCGTACCTGAATTCTTTGAGGCCCTCGGCGTCGAAGGAGGCCACGCTTGGTTGTTTGGCGAAGGCTTTGAGGTATGCGGCCCAGAGGCTCGGCACCTCGAAGTGCTGCACAGCCCGCTCGTACAGCTCGACGAGGTTCTCGGCTGTACGACGATACCCCTCGATCCATTCCTGCCACATCTGCGCGTGTTCGCATTCGTTGCGAAACGAGGAGGGTTTGCATGTTTCGTGGAAATGTGTTTGTGCGAGTGTGCGCGGTGCCAACGGCCCCAGAGCGCAGTGTGAGGCGGCTGTGAGCGGTGCGCTGTGGGTGGGCGTCCGGGCGGCGCACCTCGGGCGGCATGAGTCCGACTTTTGCGTACTGGTCTCTGGCCTGATACACTTGCGTCTCCAGTTTGGGGTACTTGTCCAGCAACGCGATCAGCTGCAACGCACGTCGGAACGTACGTGCCGTTTCGCTCTCGGAGGGCGCGATGACGCGCCGGGGCACATCGTGCGCTGGCAGGGCCGGAACCCGGCCAACGGACGTCTGTCAAGCAGAGCGCGAAACCGGCCGCTCCGGCTTCGTGATGGAATCTCTGGCAACGCGCTCTCGCGGAGTCTGATAGATTCAATCCTCAGGAAGGAAAATCATCCCCGCGGACGCGCGCAGTATCGTGTGCGGGGGGCACGCTCACCTTGCAGCGCGTTGCGTCGTCGTGTGGCCGCTTGACGAGGACTTCCTCGAACTTGAACACCTGCTCGAGGACCTCATCATCCACCGATCCCTCAGACCCGCTCATGGACGCATCGTCGTCCGACTCTCCGGCAGAACGCGGCATGATGCACCGCTGCCGCCTACCAGCGCCCTCTCAGCGCAGAACACAGCACGCCACGTGCTTCTACGACAGAGCAGGCCACGGTGCGGACGCAATACGCGGCCACGCATCACGGGCAACCGAAGTTGCCCGCCCAAGCCAGGATACAGCACCCCGGAGGTGTGATGTTCAACTACCCCCCGACCTGACGTGTGGCGGCGGTCCCACGGCCAGGCCTACCACGCCCTGCCCCACGCACACCTCGCACCGCGTCGTACAGAGACCGCCAGGCAACGGCTGCTCCCCGGGGATCCAAACACCCCCAAGGACCCCACAACTCAACACCCCCCGCCGACGCCGCAAGCGAGCCGCCCCAGCGCAGCCGCGGCGCGAGCGTCCCTCTCGCGGCCCGTCACCCGCCGCGCCCTCCCGTGCGTTGCGCGGTCACACGGGCCCGACCGTTGCGTCAGCGATCAGTCCATCTTGACTTTCGCCCCCACGCCCTCGAGCTTCTTCATCAGCGCCTCCGCCTCCTCCTTTGGGATCCCCTCCTTGATCGGCTTCGGCACGCTCTCCACCAGCTCCTTCGCCTGCGAACCACCACGCCCGCACAAGCATTGCGTCACGCGACCACGCACTCTCTGCTTGCGTGCAGACACGCGCTGTCACGACAAGGACGACCGCTGCGCGGCGCGGTGCCAAGGGCCGCTCCGGTGGAGCGCCGCGGCCACCGCTGGTCGTCAGTCTGGCAGCACCGGCGCGAACATGCCCGGCAGTGAGTGGGTGTGTGACGCGCCTCCTTCAGACCGAGCCCCGTGGCCACGCGGACCTCCTTGATCACCGTGATCTTCTTCGCGGCGTCGAACCCGTCGAGGATGACCGAGAACGACGTCTTCTCCTCCGCAGCCTCCGCGGGCGCGTCGTCCCCGGCCGGCGCCGCAGCTGCAACGGGCGGTGGGCCGTGGCGCGCGCGTTTCAGCGTGGCTCGCGTCGCACGGCGAGCGTACTCAACGGCACGCTGCCGACCCGCGGAACAGATGCGGTAAATCCGGCAGGGCGGACGTGGAAGATGCACCGGGCTGTGGCGCCAGGGACTAGGGCGCGGTCGTGTGAGCACGATCTGGGCTCTGGCGGCGCTCGCTGGGCGCTGGTGGGATGCGGACGGTGATTGGGATCGGTTGGGGCACGGTGCGACTGGTGCGTTTCCCGGGCGGGGGAGCGGGCGTGCGGTGTACCTGGCATTGCAGGCATTGCCGCCATCGGGAACGCTGGGGCCGCGGCTTCGATGCGCAGGCGCTTCTTGAGAATGGCATGCAAGTCTGCGACCTCGAGGACGGTCAGCCCGCAGATCTCGTCCGCAATTTTCTTGACGCGCTCGCTGGCCTCAGGCTCTGGCTCCTCCCCCTCCGTGCTGAAGAAGCGCACGCGGTTCGCGGCGCAGCATCCCGCCGCTGACGAAACAGATGCCTCGCTAAACAAGCCGCCCACCGACCCCAGCGCCCTCCCGGCCCGCGCGACCCTGCTGAGCATCGTTACTCGTCCTCCCCGTCAACCCCGATATGCCCCGGACGCGCAAACTACCGAACACGGAACTCTGTAATCACCCATACACTGTTTCGTTCCCGAACGGCCGCGGCGCAGTGTAGGCGGCGATCACAGGACCCCTCAGCAGTCGTCACTACACCGTTCTACCTCCCACCACACCGGTATACGCGGCCCCTCGCCGCGCGGCCTGCAGCTGGAGAGCGCGCTGCCTGCCTGCGTCGCTGTGGATCCCGCGAGCCCGGCCACGTCGAAGCGAAACGCAGAAGTGTGTCAATGGGTCGTATACACGGCGCACGTGGGTCGGACTCGCAGGCAGGGGCGCCGCGACCCGCCCTGGACCAGCCCGCCTCTGCACGCGCGCGTTCGACCGCGTCACCTTGGCTGCGGCGCCCTCGACGCCCCCTGGACCGCCATGATTCGTGTCCACACTATGTGTCACGCAGCGCGGTCGAATCGGCGTCGGGACGGCCGCGCGGCGAGCCCCGAGAGCGGGCGTGCGCCGTGAGGGTGGGGGCGCAGGCGACGTCGCGATCGACCGCGGTTGCGGCCCTCACGTGGCGGACAAGTAGCAGGTATGAGGCGTGCAGGCTGCGGTGCCTGACGCAGGCCTGGTCGGGCGCTCGGCGCGCCAACACGCCGCGCGCGGCGGCAGCGGACGTATGTTTGTGTCCCGGGAGCCTGCTGGACGTCGTGCTCACGGACGGCTTGCGTAGAGGCAGCGGAGACCTGGTTTCTGGTAGAGGGCCTGGGCCCTGAGCTGTGAGGATGGCCGACGTGGACGAGCTCCCTTCGAGCGACGAGGAGGATGAGGACTACGACCCCACGGCGGAGTTGAAGGCGGAGAAGGCGGAGAAGAAGCGGAAATTGAAGCAGCAAAAGCTCAAGCAGCCTCGAGGGTGCGTCTCCGGCCCCCCCCGCGCCGCCAGCACGCCGTCCACAGGCCGCGAGCAAGAGCTCGTCGTGTAGCTCCATGGCCTTGGCCGCTGCGCTCGTGCACCTTGCAGGCGTGGCCAGGCGATGCTGGCTGGCAAGGAGGACGATGACGACGACGACGACGACGACGACGCGGATTTAGACGTCAATGAGGACGACGACGCGGACGTGGAGTTCGTCGAGGAGGACCTCGGCGCGCTCGGGAAGGTCGAGGAGCTGGGCCCGCGCGCGCGCGACCGGGCAGCCCGCGTGGCCGCTGCGTGGGACGCCCTGAAGAAGCGCACGGCCGTCAGGCCCGCGTCAGCGCCGAAAGAGGCCGAGGAGAAGCAAGAGATGGACCAGGACGGCGCGGAGGAGGCGGAGGAGGGCCAGGAGGAGCCGGCGCCTGCCCCGAAGCCAGCAGGCGTGGTGGGGGGCTACTTCACGGACGGCCTGATGGAGAAGATCGCTCCGGCGAAGCGGCGCGCGACGGGGGACGCGCACTGGAAGCGCGTGCTGTTTGCGGAGGGCGGGGTCAAGAAGGCGCCTGCCCGGGGGAGGGCTGCCAAGGCGACGGGCGGCGCGAGCATTGCCTTCGCAATGGACTTCGTGGCTCCGGTGGAGCAGGTCAAGTTCCACAACGAGCGCATGGTGCGACCCGCGGCCCTCCCCTCTCTGCGCGCGAACAACCACGGATTCATATTTGTTTGTGTGGGCCTTCGCTTGGTTCTTTGCCGCTCCTATCCACCGCGCCGCGCCGCGAGCTGCCCGCGCAGAAGGTCACGGATGCGCAGCAGGACGCCGAGCGCGCCGCGCGCGCCGAGGCGGCGGCGGCTGCGGCCCTTGCGCTGAAGCAAGCGCAGGCGCTCATCCCAGGCGCCCGCACCAAGGACGGCCGCACGGAGATGGTGGTCAAGGAGACCTTCGCGGGGCGCGAGATCGAGGTCACGCGCATGGTCGACGACGGCGAGCGCGAGGCGCTGCAAGAGAAGCAAAAGCGCATCGCGTCCGGCGGGCTCGAGGCCATGGTGGCGAACCTGAGCAAGAAGAGCAAGGTCAACGTGCTGGACAAGACGCGGCTGGACTGGGACAGCTACAAGCGGAAGAACACGGAGATCGATGAGGAGCTCGAGGCACATAAGAAGAGTGGTGGGCGGTACTTGGAAAAACAGGAGTTCCTGCGGCAGGCTGAGCTCAGGCAGTACGAGAAGGAGCGGGACGCGCGGCTGGCGTCGGACATCCGGACGAGGGGGCGCGTGTAGCGCGGTGTGACGCGCGTGCGTACTACACGTGTAGCGTGCTGTGTTGCGTGGGCTGGGCTTGCTCGTCAGGGGGCGGCTGAGCGGGCGCGGCGGTGGTGGAGGGCTCGCACGGAAAGGGGGAAGGGGGAAGGGGGTGCGGAGGGGGAGGGCGCTGCGGGGGGGCGGCGACAGGGTCCGTCGTTGGGCGCGACAGTTGCACTAAAGCGAGCGAGTGCGTGGCATGTGCGTGTGCGGGTCTCGACGCCGTCGCACGGCGATGAACAGTGCGTTACACGTCGTTCTCTTTCTCCGGCCGACCTTGCACCGCACCTGCACATGCACATGGCACCTCGTGCCGAGCGCCGACGGCGACGACGCTCGCGCTCCGGACCCTACACGCCGTCCGGACCGCGAGCAGTCCCTGACAGACCCCTCTGGCCCCTCACCGCTTCACCTTCTTGGAGGGTCCCGCGGAACCCCCCCCCGGGGGCCTCTTCTTCTTCTTGGGGGGCGCGCGCTCCTCCTCGCCGTCGATCGCGTCCCGCTCGCGGTCCTGGCGCTTCGCCTCGCGCTCCAGCTCGTCCCAGGTCTTCCCGGCCTCCTCGTCGCTGTCGGCCTCCTCCTCCGAGTCCGGCTCCTCGTCTGCACTGTCCACGTAGTCGTCGCTGTCCTCCTCCTCCGAGGACTCCTCCTCCTCGCTGTCCGTCGGCTCGAAGTCCGACTCCTCCTCCTCCTCCTCCTCGTCCTCCTCGTCCTCCATGCCCAGGAACCCCTTCCACCCGCCGCACTCAATCAGGGTTTCTGGGTCTTTGATGAGCGCCTTGAGCACCTCCGACCACTTGATGTTCTTGCGGTGCTCGTAGAACGCCGTGTCGGACTGCGTGAGCCACAGCCGGACGGTGTCCAGCCGCGTCGTCGGGATCGAGGACACCGCCTTGGCAGGTTTCGTGAAGTCCTTGAACACGATGACCATGTCGAACGACTTCGAGCCGAACTCGACGCGCTCGAGCGACACGAGCTCGATGTCGTCGAGCGGGCACACGAAGAACGGCATCTCCTGCAGCTCGACCAGGCAGTGCGCGCTCGGCAGCATCAGCACGTTGGACTTGGCGTGGATCCCGTGGAAGCCCAGGTCGCGGTACGGCTTGTCGAACTCCTTGTCGCGCAGGCGCGCGTCCTTGTCCCAGATGTCCTCCATGACCTTCTTGCAGAACGCGCGGAACTGCCGGTTGGTCATGTTGCGCTTCTCGCGCTCCCGCTGCTCCTCCTCGATCTCGTCGGGGTCGTACGCGTTGCGCCGCCCGCCGTCGAGCGTCTGCACGACGTCCATGACCTCCACGTACACCTGCACGTCCGAGGTCTTCTTCTTGTTCACCATGATCGGGTTCGCCAGGTGGAAGTGCAGCAGCGTGATGTGCTCCCCCTCCGACTCCTGCGGACGACGAACGAGGCGGTGGGGCGCGTGGGGAGCGCGCGGGGCCGGGCGCGGGGCCGGGCGCCGTCTGTACCTGAGCGCGCTCGTACAACGAGAGAGCATGGCAGGCAGCCGCAAGCAGCACAGAGCCACAGCAAGGCCGCACGCCGGGGTCGGCGGTCAGAAATCCCGGTCGAGCGGCCACCGGAGTGCTTCGTGCCGGTTGCACCGTCGTTCCGTCGCGCGCTGGTTGTTTGCGCGCGCACCTGGAGGAAGCAGTGCTGGATGTTGCGGTACATGATGTCGACCACCTCCTCGCTCCGCGGCGACGAGTACCGGAACCCGTTCGTGTGCGCCTCGAGCACCCCGGGGACCTTCCGCCCGCGGCCCGCCGTCGTCGGCCGGATCCAGCAGTCGGTCAGGCGGTAGATCTTGCCCTTCATGGGCACCAGCTTCTCCTGCGACACCAGCGTGCTCTTCTCGAGCCGCTCCTTGTCGCGCGCGCGCACGTGCCGCAGGAGCTGCTTGGCCTCCTGCACCACGCGCGCCGCGTGCTTCGGGTCCCCGCTGCGGAAGTTCATCTCCTTGACGAACACGTGGCTCTTGAACCTCACCGCGGCGTCATAGCCCTCGGTCCCGTGCGCCGCGGGCGTGTTGAAGATGACGCGGATCTGCGCGTGCTCGAGGTCCTGGCTGAAGTTGATCGAGCGCACCGTCATGATGTGGAAGGGCACCAGGACGCCGTAGATGGGCAGAAGGAGGCACTCGTGCCGCGCGTCGCACTGGACGACCATCTGGTGCATCACCGGGACGAGGTCCGCCAGGGACTTGAACGCCTGGATGGTCTTCGACGACCGCGCCTGCTTCTGCGGCCCGGTCTCGAGCTCCTTCTTCGCCGCGAGCAGGCGCTCCATGGTCTCCTGGTTCTTCCGCTCGACGATGTCCTTCTGCCGCGCCTGCATCTGCAGGTTCTCGTTCTGCCCGCGGTCGCGCAGGTTGTCCTTCCCGATCGCCGCGCCGTCCCCGTCGTCCGACTCCACCTCCATCTCCTCCTGACCCTCTGCGACGTGTCAGGGCGCGTGACGGACGGGAACGGAAGGTCAGCGGGGGCGGGGACGCGCTGCGGAGGCCCGAGGCGGCCGTGCGCGGGACGAGTGTTGGCGGTGTGTGTTTGGACGAGGAAAGGAACATCGAGTGGAGGATATTTGGCGGCTGAGTACCAGGGCGTGCATCGCAGCCGCGGTGGTGTTGGCTGGTCATGGACCTCGCTCGCACGCCACGGCCGCTTGTCGTACGCGATCTGAAAACGATGGTCGTACAGAAAGTCCTGTCAAGAAACGTATGAAACGAATACAGATAAGATGGCGCACCTTCAATCTTGTAGGCCACGTTGCCCCAGTCGCGCTTCGAGAAGTCCGTCAGCGCCTCCGCGGGCTTCCCCTCGCCCTTCACGAGCACCGTGTCCGCGACCAGCAGCGAGTACGTGCGCCCCGCCCCGCCCTCCTGCACCGAGCTGTCCTCCAGCGGCCCGCACCCGAGAATGACGTTAAACACCATCCCCGCGCGCGCGGTCGTCCCCGCGGCCTTCGGCGACAGCATGAACCGCGAGTCCTTGAACTCGATGCCCGTCCCGAACCCTATGTGCTTCGTCAGCGCGTCGGCCATCTCGGGGCACCCCGCGGCCCGCAACGCATCCTGCGCCGCGGCATAGACCCCCGCGAGGTCCGCGCCGTCGGTCAGCGCGGCCAGAACCTTGCCGTGCGCGTCGATCAGCGCCTTGTACTTCTTCTCCTTCTCCTGCACGCCGCACGCACGCACCTCAGCGCCCAGCTCAGCGATGCGCAACACAACAACAACGTACAGCGCGCCGCAGCCGCGCAACGCCCGGGCGCGGGGCGACGACGGGGCGTGGCAGCGTGCGCGCACCTCGGTCGCGTTGACGAAGAAGGTCCGCGACACGGTCGCGCAGTAGGACTGGTAGCGCGCGCCGAGCGACACCGCGATCATCGACGTGTCCAGGACCTGGTTCGGGTCGGTCTGCGCGGAGATCTTGAGGTCGAACTGCCCGCCGCTCTGCACGACGGGGTCGTACGCGATGTCCACGGAGTTCTTGTTCAGTTTCAGTCCGATCTTCGCCTTTGGGTCCTGGATGGCCTCCGAGGCCTCATTCGCGAGCTTGCCGTGCTTGATCGAGCGGCCCTGGTCGACGACGCCCTCGACGCGCTCGCGCACGACGGACTTCATGACCTGCGAGCACAGCAGCGCCGCCTTGCGGTGGTGCCGCTGCTCGGCGTCGTCGCGCACCGCCATCACCTCCGCGAGCCCCGCGGCGCAGTCCTGGCGGTCCAGGGCCGCGGCCGCGAACACCGAGTTGTACACCTGCACCATCTTGCCCTCGGGGTCCTCCTTGAGGAGCGTCCCGACCTGCACGCCCAGCAGCAATCGCGGCATCGTGTGTTGTTGTTTTGCTGTTGTTGAAGGTGGAAACGACACAGGGGGCGGTCGCCGTGCAGGGCTAGTGCCGCGCTGCGCGGAGGGGTACGCGGTTTTATTTGCGAGGACGTGGGTCGGCGTGCGCGGGGGGGGAGTGTTGTGCCAACAAGCCACACGGACCTTGGGGGAGTCGGAGGTGTCCTGTTCCTTGATGGCGGCGAGGAGCGCCTTCATCTGCTCGGACCCGTCCTCGGCCTTGTCCTTGGAGAGCAGCACGAGCTCCTTCCCGGCCTTCTCCTTGCACGGCGCCACCAGCGTCCCCAGCAACTTGCACTTCTTGTTGCTGGCCACCATCATCACCTTCTCCTTGCAGATCAGCAGCACCGTCTCTGCAAGCGCAGGGCCAGCCGCGGACACGGTCGGCCGCGCACGCACGCCGACAACGGAGGCGGGCGCGTCAATTAACACACCCAACAACCCTCGTTCGCGTGCCATCGGGCGAAATGCGAAGTTTCCTTGGTCGGAACGGCGCGTCGTGGCATGTGTGAGTGAACTGGGACCGGCGTATGTCGCCTCAGGCTGGCTGCCCGGCAGACACGGAGTGGAGTGCGTGCACATAGAAGCCCAGGGTCTATGGCGTACCTGGGATCTCGTATCCGAACAGCCAGAGGTGCAGGGACACGGACTTGAGGTACCTGATCTCGTCGCTCGACGCGCCCGCCGGAATCACCAGTGCGGAGGCCCCCGCGAAGACATCGGGGTTGGCCTGCACACAGAGCACCAGCTCGCACGACGCGGGTCGGACGGGGCACGTGCGCGTCCGCGCGGCACGCGCGCGGCGATTGTGGCGAGATGTGCGTCGAGTGGGAGCGGAAACGCGAGGGAGCGGGTCGTGCAGGCGGAGCATGGGGCGCCCGCTTGCTAGCCCAGCGCAGGGCCTGAAATGGCGCGGGAGCGGTCTCGGGGGCCTACGAGCCGCATATTAGCACCGCATCTGCGGGAACACTGTAATGGCTACGCGATGAGGCGATATACTGCCGCGTGCGGGCCGCTGCCTTCGCACGGGGTCGCTTGCTCGCTCACGCAGCTCAAGGCAGGCCCCAGCGCGCGGCACCGGCGTCGAAATGATGCGCGCGGGCCGCCAGACCGAAGGCCGAGCGCCCTCCTCGCGGGCCAGATCGCAGCACGCACCTCCCACGTCTCGTACAGCGACTTGAGCCGCCTACAGAAGGCCTCGGCATCGATAGTGAGGTCACCCATCGTGACCAGCCCCTCCCGCTGCACCGAAGCGTGCTGGCCGAGCAGCTCACGCACCGGACCTGGCGGCGGCCGCGATTCTGCCCGCGGCCAGCGCCAGCCGGCGCCCTCGTCGCCGTTCGCGCCTCTGAGCCTGAGTCCTCCAAACGGCCCCCCGCGCCCGCGCGCTGCGGGCCTGAGAGAGCCGGTCGGCCGCCCGAATCGTCACATCGCAAATCACTGACAGACTGCACAGCTCCAATCGACCTGCCGGACGACCAGTCTGTCCCACGCGCGTGTCGGTACCTTCAGCCCAAGCTCTAATTCGTCGCGGCAGACTCCGCCGGGCTCTTACGCGCCGCTCGCGCGCGGCACCGCGCAGTCCGCCGGACCTCCGGGCAGCAGCGACGCTCCGCAGCGATGGTGAGCCCCCCACGCGCCGTCACGCGGAGGCCCGCCCAGTGGCCGTGCGAAGCGTGCCCACGCTCAGCTCGCGGCCGAGCCCCGCGCACCCCGCCCTCCCTCGTCCCCCGCGCGGAACCACCACCGTTCCCCACGATATCTTGGAGCCGCCAGGCGCCAGAATGCCGCGGCTCGCGGCCTACGGGGCCCTGTGGAGACCGCAGCTGCGTTTTCCCGCCACCGTGGTTCCGCCCCGGAGGCGCGCGCGTTGCCGTTGTTTCCGCGACGTTCACGCGGTCGCTGCGTCGAGCGTGCTCCACGCAGGCGATTCCGGACCAGCCGGCGTCCCCGGACGTCTCGATGGACGAGGTTCCGGAGGAGAGTGACGCCATCAGCGAGCAGGTGGCCGAGGCCAGCGACGAGGACGGGGAGGACCTGTTCGGCGACGACTGGCAAAAGTACGTCCCCTGAACGCCGCGGACGCGAGCGCACAGGGCGCCGCTGCGCCGCTGCTGCGCGACCGAACGCGCGCCAGCAAGCGCCGCGTCTCACGCCCCGCGCGCCGGCCCAACTGCCGCGCAGTGACTACCGCGGCATCGACCAGCTCGACCGCTACGACCCGCGCGGCCTGGACGAGAACTTCCAGGAGGAAATGGACGAGGCCGCGATCCTCGCCGCCCGCCGCGCTGCCGAGGACGAGCTCGAGTTCAGGGAGGCCCAGGTCCGCGCCCGACCGAATACGAACGGCGCGCGCTCGCAGCACCTTCCCCGCGCCCACGCAGCGGCCAGCGCGCGTACGATGCGAAGCGGCAGCGGGTCCGCAACCATGACAATGTATCACACAAGGCGTGCGTCGCGGCGCGCGATGGGCTTCGTGCGCCGCCGGGGCGTCCCGCACGGAGGCCCGAGCATCGCGGTGTGGGTCGTCGCCGCCGGCCCACTCGCTTCGGCGTCCCCGGCGTCGTGCGTGCGCAGGAGCTGCGGCGGCAGGTGCGTCGCGGAAAGGTGCGGCTGCCCGGCGCGCTGATGGACCTGGACGACGAGGGTCCGCGGCGGCGGCGGCGCATCGACGCCGCGCAGGCCGGCGCGCTCGGCGAGGAGGACGAGGAGCTCGTGCCGCTGGACATTGAGCTGGAGAACTACCGCGGGTCGGTCAAGGAGTGGGTGTCGCAGGAGCCGGTGCAGGCGCAGATCGAGCGGTACTTCGTCATGTTTCTGCGCACGTTCCAGGACGACCACGGGGAGCGGCGGTACGTGTCGCTGGTCACGTCGATGTGCGCGGCGAACCGGCAGTCGCTGGAGGTGTCGTTTGCCGACCTGACGGCGTTCCGCGCGAGCGAGGAGCGCAACCAGGGCAAGACGCTGGCGTTCTTCACGGCGGAGTGCCCGCGCACGACGCTGCCCGTGCTCAGCAAGGCCGCCATGCGCGTCGTCCTGGAGCTGTTCCCGGAATACCACCAGGTCCACCGGGAGGTGTTCGTGCGCATCTCGGGGCTGCCGTTCACCGAGTCGATCCGCGCGATCCGGCAGGTGCACCTCAACCAGCTCGTGCAGACGACCGGCGTGGTCGTGCGCCGCACGGGCGTGTTCCCGCAGCTGCAGGAGGTGAAGTTCGTGTGCGCCAAGTGCCGGTACACGCTGGGGCCGTTCTACCAAAACACCGAGACGGAGGTCAAGCCGCAGCAGTGCCCGAACTGCGAGTCCCGCGGGCCGTTCTCGCTCGACACGGAGAACACCATCTACCGCTCGTACCAGAAGATCACCCTGCAAGAGTCCCCCGGGACCGTTCCGGCGGGGCGGCTCCCGCGCGCGAAGGAGGTCATCCTCCTGCACGATCTCATCGACTGCGCGCGGCCGGGCGAGGAGATCGAGGTCTCCGGCTGCTACACCAACTCGTTCGACGCCAGCCTCAACGTGCAGCACGGCTTCCCCGTGTTCGGCACCGTGATCGAGGCGAACTTCGTGAACAAGCGCGAGGACAGGTTCGCGGCGTACAAGCTGACGGACGAGGACCGCGAGGAGATCATGCAGCTCGGCGCGGACCCGCGCGTGGGCCTGCGCATTGCGCGCTCCATCGCGCCGTCGATTTTCGGGCACGAGAACATCAAGATGGCGCTCGCGCTCGCGCTGTTCGGCGGGGAGGAGAAGCACGACGGCAAGCACCGCATCCGCGGCGACATCAACGTGCTGCTCCTCGGGGACCCGGGCGTCGCGAAGTCGCAGTTTTTGAAATACACCGAGAAGACTGCGCAGCGCGCGGTGTTCACGACTGGCAAGGGCGCGTCCGCGGTGGGCCTCACGGCCGCGGTGCACAAGGACCCCGTCACGCGGGAGTGGGTCCTCGAGGGCGGCGCGCTCGTACTGGCCGACAGGGGGGTGTGTATGATCGACGAGTTCGACAAGATGAACGACCAGGATCGAGTGTCGATCCACGAGGCGATGGAGCAGCAGAGCATCAGCGTGAGCAAGGCCGGGATCGTGACGTCGCTCCAGGCGCGCTGCTCGGTCATCGCGGCCGCGAACCCGCGCGGGGGGCGCTACGACTCGAGCCGGACGTTTCTGGAGAACGTGGACCTCACGGACCCGATCCTGTCGCGGTTCGACGTGCTCTGCGTGGTCAAGGACACGGTGGACTGCGTGGCGGACCGGCAGCTCGCGCGGTTCGTCGTCGGGTCGCACGTGCGCAGCCACCCCAAGCACGCCAGCGACGCGGCGTACGGCCTCGCGGAGCCCGCGGCCGTCGAGGGGACGATTCCGCAGGAGACGTTGCGGAAGTACATCACGTACGCGAAGCAGGCGTGCCGGCCGAAGCTGCAGCCGGCGGACTACGAGCGGCTGGCGCGGGTGTACGCGGAGGTGCGGAGGGAGAGCGCGACGACGCAGGGGATGCCGGTGGCGGTGCGGCACCTGGAGAGCATGATCCGCGTGTCGGAGGCGCACGCGAAGATGCACCTGCGCAACGAGGTGCGTCGGCGACCCCCGCCGCGACGCGGCATGAGTCACACCCGCGGGGGGGTGCTCCTGACCGCCCGTAACACCCCTCCGCGCGCGCTTGAGCGCCGGGTCCACGCGTGCCGCCGGATTCCGCGGCCGCGGGCGGCGGGACTGCACCACGAACGTCGCGTTGCTCACCAACTAGGATTCAGTATCTCGAGGCGGGCCGCTGCCGACCCCCACTCATCCTCGTTCGGCGCCCGCCCGCCCGCCGCTGCAGGTCCGCTCGGAGGACGTCGACGTCGCGATCCGCGTCCTCCTCGAGTCCTTCATGTCCACGCAGAAGTACACCATCCAGCAAGTCCTACGTCGCAAGTTCCGCCGCTTCCTGTCGCGGCACCGCGACTTCCAGGAACTCCTCATGGGCCTCCTCCGCGGGCTCGTGCGGCGCAACCAGCGCTACGCCGAGCTCCAGGGCGCCGCCGCGGACGCCGGCACCACCGTGCGGCTCGCAGACATCGAAGACGAGGCGCGCAAATACAACCTGCTGGCCGCGCTGCCGGAGTTCTTCGCGTCGGAGGCGTTCGCGAACGCCGGGTTCACCGTCGGGAACGACGCGGTGCTGCTGGCCGCGGAGGGGTAGGCCGGCGCGGAGCCCCGCCACAGGCGCCAGGCGCGGTCTGTGAGAGCGCATCTGTGCACGTGTCGCGCCCGGTGCGGTCTTGGCCTCACGGCAGGCGGACGGCAGCGCTGCAGGTCATCCAGCGCCGCTGTACGACGCGCGTGTCATCTCCGCAGCCGTCTGTCGGACTGACTCAAGTAGCACTCCATCCGCGGGGGTGTCCGCAGGGTCCCCCGCGGGCAGCGCGAGGTGGATCTCGTCCGCCCAGTCCAGCCGACGCACCTCGGCGTACCCGAGCGAGCGGAACAGCGCCAGGGAGGGCTCGTTCCCGGACTTGACCTTGGCCACAAAGCGGCGCGTGCGGAGGTCGGCAGCGGCGTACGCCATCATCATCCGCACGGCCTCGCGCGCGATGCCCTTCCGGCGGCTCGAGGGGACCGCGACCATCACGTCGATCTCCGCCGTCTTCTCGTCTGCGATCGCACATCAACCGCCACGCGCATCGCTGTGCACGGCTGCTGCGACCGAGCCCGAAGAGCACGCCGCTCCGCGCGCGCGCTGCGCATCAGCGCGCGATTTATCGTGCAGGCGCGGGCTGTCGGTCGCACCGTCGTGGTCGTTGAAGAACAGGTTGACGTCCCCGCACATGGCGCCGCCGGCGTGCCCACAGACCGCGGAGCAGCAGGCCGGCACCGGGGGCTCCCCTGCGCCCGGCGGGCCCGTGTGGTCCAGGATGATGAAGGTCAGCTTGTCCTTGTCGTCGCGCCAGCTCACTTGCATGGCAAACTCCTCCTGCACACCAAGCGGGCCGCGCCAGAGTGTCTGCCTGGCGCCGTGACGGGGGTGCGCGGCATGCATACACCTCATGGACGATGAATTGATCCTCGTTGAAGAGCAAGTCGGGTTCAGTGCTCGCTGCAGGGCCGGGCAGCTGCAGCTGCAGCGCAGCATCGCACCTCCAGAGACAGGGGCTCGCTAGCGGTGAGCTCCTGGAGCTCGGGGCTGAGCATCCACTGGTGGTATGTCTCGACGTGCTCCTTGCGGTACGGGACCAGCGAGCACGCGCGCCCCACGAGCACAGTGTCCTCGTTGGCTCTCATTTGCGCGAAACGTGTATATTCCAGACGTGCTATGACGCGAACCGGCCGTTCATGCTTCTGTGCAGCCGTGGGCGTCATCCAGAGTGCGGCGGCGACGCGCGAGGGTCCGGTATTCGGCCGCGAGGGGTCTTGGAGGGTGACAAAGAAGGTTTGTCCCCCGCGCGAGTGTACCGGACACGCAATGCTCGCCTGCACGTCCGTGAAGCTGCACTCCGCAGCCAACGTGTAGGCACGCACCTCACGAGCGCTCGTCACGCACGTCAGGGGCCAGGGAGGCCCACCCGCCACACTGATCGCTACCGGCGCGAGGCGCACCAGGCCGGCTTCGACACGAAGTTTCCGTCGCAGCGCGAAACGTTCGTGTCGCTGACATCTTCGCCGCACCATAGATCGGTCCTCTCGGGGCACCACCACGGGCGATCCAGGCCGTGCCTGTAGCACTGGAGGAAAATGACGCACACGATCCTGCTCGTGCAGCCCGAGAAGTCCCCGACCTCGCGGACCTTCATGGACTTCGAGTCGGTCCCTCAGGTCCGCGCCGGCGCGCCGCGTCCGCCGCACACGCCGACGCCCGGCCTGCCTCACACTCCCAAACCATCGTGCGTCTGCTGCCTCTGCCTTGCCCTCACGGACGCCCACGGTCCCCGAACCGCCTCCAGGCTATGGACGGCATCTGCGGGATGTTCGAGAGGAAGCTGAAGACCACGCACAGGTAGGCGGAGCGACCACAGCACTTTGCGTCCTCCTGCCCCGCTCTGCGCGTGCGCCGCAGCGCTGATGCGCCGTCGCACGTGCTCCGATACGACAGATCTTCCTCCGACACCGCAGCTGGGCGCCCGCGACAGCGAGTATCGTGCGCCAGCGACTCGAAAAGACCGTGTTGCAATCCACATCGTTTCCCCCCCTTTTGTCGCGGTGCAACCTCGCACCCCGAAGCTCTCACCGCCCTGAACCTCTGCGGGCCGCTGAGTGCGGCCACCCCGCCGCGCGGCACCACCGGCGCCTGCGCCTTCGCCACGCGGCGACGCAACTCCTGCGCGCTCGATGTCGCACCTGCTGTTGCGCGTTCGCGGGCCCGCCTGACGACCCCGTCCCGGAGAGCGCGACGCAGGAACCAGCCGAACATCACGTACAGCGCGGAGGACCTGTTCCGCTACATCGACGGCCTCCCGGACCTGGTAGCCATGGTACGCCATGCACCCGCAACACACCTCCTCATCACGGCCCCCGCCGTACAGCTGCGCCCATGCTGCGTCTGCGCCGCCGTGAGCGCGCGTATGCTCCCATGTTGCCGCCTGCCGCGGTGGAACACGCACACAGGGATGATGATTACCTTGTAGTTAACTCGAGGCGTTTGTTTGTTGTCGTTTGGCTGGTCCGCAGGTCCTGAACCAGCAGATGGGCGCGTACGTCCCGCACAACAAGGAGTGGATCAAGCAGAAGACGTTCGACCACCTGAAGAAGCAGATGGGGTAGACGCATAGACGACAGGCGCACAAGCAGTACCCGGCTGTGATCCTCGGCGACGCGACGCCCACGCCGCCGCCGCCGCGCCCGACGCGTAGCGCGGCCGAGCGAAATCGTCGCGCCGGCAGCTGGGCGCGTCACGAGGCCGGAGGCGTCACATGTGGCTCTGCGTGCCGTCGCTGGCGGCGGATCCCGCGCCGAAAAATACACCTGGCGGTCGAAACGGAGACAGCGAGCGAGGCCGCACTATCGCGCGCAGAGAGATCCGCGACCAGCGCCCCTCCGCGCCGCACGCGTCCTGCTGCGTACGCAACATGTGGAAAGAACGGAAACGGGCCTCCCTCGCCGGTCAGTCCTCGTCCTCGGTCTCGTACCCGTCCACGTTGTCTAGCACGTACTTCTTCATGAACAGGTACGCGGCGCCGGCCCCGGCCACCGCGCCCGCCAGCCCCCCCAGCGCCACCGGCCCCGCAGCAGAGAAGTACTCGAGCGGAGCCCGCGCCGTCCCCATCATCATCTCCTGCTCACGCACCGTGTACTTGCCTGCGCGCAGCGCCACACACGCAGCGCATTCCAGGCCCACCTCGCGCACCGCGACACGCACCGACGACGCACACCGCGGCAAACGCCGCGCCCGGGCCGCGCAGCTCGCGCACGGCCAGCAGTCGCGCTCGTACCTGGTGGCAGCTTGATGACCTGCCCCTCGGCGAGTTTGTTCAGGTCCATGCCTGGGTTGAGGCCCTGCGCCTCCTCCATCGTGACCTTCCGCGCCCCGAGGATGTCCTGGATCTTCTCGCCCTTGCGCACGGGGTACGTGCGGTACGTGCTCGACCCGATGCCCGCGAGGATCTCCTTGTCGCGCTTCGAGAGGGACCCAGCGGGGAGGAGAAGGGTCTGGCCCTCCACGATGAGATCCGCGTTCAGGCCGTGGTTGAGGGCCAGGACCTGCGGGGGTGCGGGAGAGGGCTCCGCGGTCGGTCGCGCGGGGGGGCGCCGCGGGGGGGCGCGGGGCGGGGCGGTCGGGGTGCGCGCCGGGGTTGGGGCCGTGCGGGCGCGCACCTCGTCCATTTCGAAGCCGCGCTTGTTGCAGATGGAGTACAGGGTGTCGCCTTGACGCACGGTGTACGGACGCACGTACAGCGAGCTAGCGCGCGCGCGAACGCTTGTGCGACCTGCCCTAGCCACCTGCAGGCGTTCAGGGCGGCTTGGCGTCGGACTGTGACGTGTTCGTGCCGCTGCGGGCTGCCTATGTACGGAGAGGAGCAGCGGAGGTGGTCGACCGCGGACTTTCTGTGCAAACAACGCAAAACGAGCCCACGTTGCCCGGTGGAGAAACGCGCGTCGCTCACGGCCGCGTCGCGCGGATCGCCCGGGCGCGGACGGGCTCGGCCGCTGCAGGAGATCAAGGCGGCTCCGGGGACGCCGCGTCGCGGGCGCGCGGACGCGGGCGAGTCGAGGACTGGCGCGAGAGCGTTCCGGCGGGGCGGACGGTTCGCCAGCGCTCCTGTGCGGCCACGGCGCTTTCGGCGCGCGAAAACGGCGTCGAACGCACAGAACAACGCGTCACCGCCCTGCGCGGCGCCGTTCGCGTCCGCTCGAGCTCTCTGCGGCCCGCGCCGGCCTCGACAAAACACCCTTCCCATAGCTGCGAATGAAACACCCGATCGGGCCGCGACCGCACGGGCGCGCGCGGCGCTGCGGCCCCGACCGGATGTTCGGGCCATCTGCATGCGATCCGGCCGACGGGCGGCTCGCGGGCGGGCGCGGGCGCGGCACCTTTGGCGTCCCCACCAGCCTAGCGCGGCCCACGGACAGCGTAGCCGCGCAGCCCTTCATCTTCGCTCTCACCCTGTCACGCCGCGCACCACGCTTGCCTCGAGCCTTGCAATCTGGCCCTCCGCGCGGACCAGCTCCGCCACAGCGCCCGCAGGTGCGCTTGGAGTAGAACCCCGGGCAGTCTCACGGGCTTCGCCGCGCCGCTGCGGCCGCCCCGGGCGGGCTCGAGGCGCGGCTGCCCGCCGGGGCGGCGCTACTCCGAAGGGTGCTGCTGTGCGCGGTAGGGTCGCGGGCAAAGATGTCGCTGAGGACGGCTGCTGCGCGTTTCGCCCCCGCGGTGCGGGCGCAGGGGCTCGTCCCCGCTGCCGGGCGCTTCATGTCGATCGAGAAGACGTATAAGGACCGGGAGTCGGCGGCGGAGAACGTCTACTTCAGCCACGAGGAGCACGAGGCCCTGCGGAAGCTCGCAGCGAAGCTCAAGGAGCAGGCGCGTCGCCCTGCCCTGCTGTCTCAACGTGCGAACCGTGGTCGCCAGGCACCGCGAGGACGCGGGTCCCGCGACCGGTAGGCCGCGTACGGCGTCAGTAGCACGGGCCCGGCCGCCCGAGCCCCGCGGGGCCGCCTAGCACTCCCCACGGGCCGTGGGCAGTTGGGTTCCTGGCCCTGCACGCAGCTGCTGGTCAGACCCGAGCTCCTCGACGCACGCCGGGCCGGCCTGCCGCTCGCCACGCGCATACTGCGTCGATCCGGCCCGATTTCACGCGAGGAACGCAGCGTGCGAGCGCGTGCGGGTCGGAGGGTGCCTTCCTCGATCCCAGGGGCGCGTGTGGGCGCCCGAGGGCCGGGCGCACCGTCGCGACGCGCGAATTGGAATGCTTTCGCGATGGTGGCATTGCATGACGGATATTTCGCGGCGGTTCCCGGCGTGCAGGCAGCTGCCAAGGAGTCGACCAAGGCGGTGCAGGTGCACGCCCAGGAGAAGCACGAGGCGGCGCAGCTGCTCGGGAAGCACGGCATCAAGGCCACGGACGCTGCTCTGGAGGACCTCGTGGCGTGGAAGCACTCCTGAGCGCGCTGCGGCCGCTGCGCTGCGCGTTACTGTGCCCGGAGAGGGAGTGGCCCCGCGCGCACGTCACGCGTAAAGTTCCCTGGCCCGGCACGCACCCCCGCACGTCCAGCAGACTCCTTGTGACTCAGACGGCAGAGCGCAGACTGTCGTCGTCCCGGCGAGCCCGCACGCGGCCGTCAGGCCAGCCCCTCGTCACCAGCCGCTCATGTTGCGCGCCACCGTGGCGGCGTTCCGCGCAGCCGACCCACGCGCGACGGAGCTGCTCCCGCGAACTCGGCACCGCGCCGGCCGACGCGTGCTGACCGCCAGGCCCCCCAAAGGCCCACTGTGCGTCTCTGCGCGTCTGGTGCAGAGCCGAACGCTCAGCGGCCGCACGAAGCGCCCGACACGCTCGCGGTCCCCGCACCGCGCGCCCGCACTGCGCCGAGCCAGCAGTCGCACGGAACTCTCCCTCGGCCGCGACAGCAGCGCACATGTGCCACGCCGCGTCCACACTCTCACGCGAGCCACAGCGACCGCCCACGCGGCCCGGCATCCACCTCACTCACAGACCAAAATCGCAGCCTAGGCGCCGGATGCGCGCTCAGTCCGCGTGCGCCGTCACCGTCGCCTCCAGGTTGCCTTCAATGACCTTGAACAACAGGTCCACGTTCGGGTGGCTCCCGGGGTTCTTCTTGGCGTCCTCAACCGCCTCGGCGTACCACGTGAGGGCCATGGCCGCGCTCTTGAGGTCCAGCTTCCCGCCGTACAGCTGCGCGAGCGCGTTGTAGATGGCGATGGATGCCATCTTTCCAGGCTGGGCCTCGATGCGCCAGTCCACGCCGCCGGTGATCTCGATGCGCTTCACGCCGTCCGCGGGCGGCAGGAGCTCCACGTTCGCCTTCATCTTCGCGAACTGCGCGACGGGCGTAGAGCGGACACTGAAAACGCAGCAACAACAACAACAAGCGAATAGATGCAACTGTCTGTCTCGAACTCGGCGGCAATGCGACGACGCCAGACCCGCGGGCAGCTGCTCCCGTGCATCGATCCGAGCAGGAGCGTCGGAGGCACCACACCGTCCAGGCCAGGGCTGAGTCAGACCGCGGCAGTTGGCCTGGCGCAGGTGCAACATCACCGGCCGGGTGCCGCACCTTCCCGGCCGCGACGCCGGGCTCGATGACCCCGTCGTAGACCGCGGAGTAGTCCGTGTCGTCGAGCCCGCGCTCGCACGTGTCCGCGATGACGGCCTCCTGCCCGAGGAGCAGCGACGTGTCCAGGCCGGCCTTCTCCGCCTCCAGAATGAACAGCCGGATGTCCTTGAGCAGGTGCCGCGTGGGGAAGTTCGGCCCGCTGTAGTCCCGCTGCAGCATGCGGTCGAGCTTCTTGTCGTACGTCGGCGCGTAGAGCGCGCTGTCCCGCAGCAGCGTCATGAACTTGGAGTCGGACGACGCGTCGACGCCGTTCTTCGTGAGCAGGCCGAGCGACGTCGCGAAGCCCGTCGTCAGCGCGCCGATCAGCTGGTTCATCGCCAGCTTCGTCGCCGCGCCTGCACGCAGCGCAGTGCGGGAAGACACCCGCGCGCATGAATTCACCGCCAACGCGCGCGCGGAAACGGAAACGGCGGCGGTGAGTTGCTCTGCGGAGCGCACCTGCGCCGACCTCGCCCATGTGCTGGATGTTGCTGCCCAGCGCCTCGATCACGGGCCACGCGCGAGTCTCGGAGGGCTCGCGGTCGCAGCCTACCATCACGAGGAGGGTCCCCTTGGACGCCTCGGGCTGCGAGCCGAGCACGGGCGCCTCGATGTACTCGGCGCCGGCGAGCTCGATGTCCTTCTTGAGCTCCCTGGACTCAGCAGGGCCAATAGTCCCCATCTGGAGGACGGTGCGCATCGCCAGGGTCTGACGGGTCGCGTCGTCGTCGACGAGGACCTCCTTGATCGCCCCCGCGTCGGCCATCGTCAGAACAATCACGTCCGTCTCCCAGATCGCCTCCGCTGCGACAAAACACGTAAACAATGGTAGTCATGAATCAACAGTGGTTCATTCATTCATCATTGGCCGTCATCACCTCATTCGTAAGTACGTGCGTGCGAGAGCCAGAAACGCGGCACGCGTGCGCGGCGGCGCGGCGTCCTACCTGGCGTGGCGCAGACGGTGCAGCCTGCCTCCGCAAGGGGTGCTGCCTTCTCCGCATTGCGGTTCCAGACCCACACGTCGAAGCCCTGCTCCCGCAGCCGCCGCGCCATCTTGTTGCCCATCAGCCCCACGCCCAGCAGGCCCACCCGCGGCTTCTCGCCCTCGCCTGCGCAGGACGTAACGTGCACCACGCCAAACAGGATCGGCCGACGCCACTCGTGATTCAAATCCGTCAGCACCCTCACTTCGAGCGAAACGTTGCATTTGGTCATGCTCTCGTCGCTGGGGCGGGGTGCAGGGGCGTGGTGCGGCGCGCAGCTCCGCGCTGCTGTGCACACTCACCATCGCCGGACCTCGCCGCGACGTGGCGGGCGGCAGGCCTGCCCTGCTTGGACGACATGCTGACGGCCCCAGCGCACCCGACGGAGAAGCGCGCCCTGCGAGAGGGAGACCCGCGCGCACGCAGCGCGGCCGGGGGTGACGCAGCGACGCGCGCAGGCCCAACTCGAGTGTCCTGCGAGGACGTCGACAGACGCGATGGTTCCTTGTGTGTCTGTTGCATCATTTTGGCACCGACATCGCGGGTTTGGCTGCCGTGAGCCGCGGCGCGGGGACCTTGCTGGAGCAGCTGCGTGGTGAGCAGCCCTGAACGGAGCCGCAGTGACTTCAACGGGGCCTCTCGAAGAATTGACGGTGTAGACAGTAGCCATGCTGGCCCTATCGATAAGATTTCGGACAAAATCGTACCGTGACACGCCTCGACAGCTGCGCACGAGTGCCGCTCTGGGTGGCGAGGCAACCGCGCAGCATCTTCGCCCGCTGCGATCGAACCCACGCACCACGATCGCCTACTCGTATTCTTAACGCGCACACTCCGCAAACAATGCATTCACGGCAGCGGCCTCCACTCAGCGCAAGCAAAACACCCTCCAGTGCACAGGCTTCTACCCCCCCCCCGCTCACCGCCGCCGACGAGCCTGCAGGGGACGTGCCAACCGCCTGCCCCGCGCCGCGAAGACGCCCCGATCCGCTCGCACCACCTCGGTCCACCATTCGGTTACAATTCATTGTTTATACTCTTTCGAGTGCATGCAACGTCTGCCGGCGCGGGAACGCCGCAGCCTCAGTGCACCACCACGACGGGGTGGCGGGCGTGGTGCGTAATGTACGACGTCACCGAGCCCAGCAGGAAGTCCGCCAGCCGACCTCCTCCAGTGTGCCCCGCCACCACCACGGTGCTGGCGCCGATGTCGTCCGCCATGCGACACACCGTCTCCCCGACGGCTTCCTTGCTCTCCTGGACGTACTCCGTGACGATGTCGATCTGCACCGACGCCGGCACACCGCGATACCCGGTCAGATCGAAACATACACACTTACGACAAGCAGCCTCTCAAACACGCGCCGCAACGGCCGCCCGCAGCACAGCGCCATGGACATCGCAGTCGATCGTCGTTGCGGTGCTCCGAGAGGCCGCCGCGCGCAGAAAACGGCACAACCGGCACGCACGAAGCCGCGACGACGACGACGACAGCAGGCCCAACCGACCGCGGCGCGACGCGGCCGGCCCTCGCGCGCCGCGCGGCCTCACCTCGAACGACACGTTGTTCTGCGTCAGCCTGTCCACGAAGTGTTTGCTGGCGTATTCTTTGGTCATCTCGCACTCCTGCTCCACGTCGCTCTCCCCAGCCGTCCAGTCCCCCGCCATCGTCGGCGCGAAGTACACCCCGGCGCCCGAGCGCCCCGCGTACACGCTCCGGAGCGGCAGCGCCGGTATGACGTGAATCAGGTGGAACACGTCCCCGGGGCGGTGCACGCAGTCGATCGCCCACTGCAGCGCGCGGTCCGACTGCTCGCTGTTGTCCACCGCGATCGCGATCTTCCGCGGCGCGTCGGGCCCCGCCCGGACGACGCGGTCGAACCGCGGCCCGTGCAGCGCCACCACCGGCTGCCCGCAGTTGGCGATGCAGAAGGACGCGACGCTCCCGAGGAAAAACTCGGAGAGGCGGCCGAGGCGGTGCGAGGCGAGGACGACGGCGTCGGCGTTGAGCTTGGACGCCAGCTCGCACACGCGGTCCCCGACTCCCCCCTTGAGTCCCTCCCCGGACTCCCGCATCAGGTCGACTTCGTACGCGACGTTGTTCTCCGCGAGGACCTTCTTGAAGCGCCGGTGGACCATCTGCTCCGCCTGCGGCCCGACGGCGCCACCACAGCGAGCGACGCTGTCACGCCGCGCCCAACAAGCAAGCACGCCATCACGCATGGGGGTAGCGGGGGGGGACTCCGAGGGGCGCATCCGGAGGCGGATCGCCCACGCATGCCGTCGAGGACGCAGCAGCTACGGGGTATGCGCAGGCTCTCCCCTCCTTGAAAGGCCGTGCGTTGTAGAGCTACGTGTTCGCCTACAGCGGTAAGGGGGTGTGCGGCCGCATGCGGGGACGGACCTTGTCGAACCACTTCTCCTCGATCTGCGTGCGGCCGGTCGGCACGGCGACGAAGCCGCCGTCCGGGGTGGCGAACACCGCGTTGGGCGGCACGCGGGGGATGCAGTGGAGGAGGTGCACGCGGTCGCCCTCGTGGTAGAGGTTCTCGACGGACCAGTTGACGGCGAATTCGGAGTCCTCGCTGTCGTCAACGCAAATGAGGAGGACGCGCCCCTTGCGGCCGGGGTAGACGTGCGCGGGAGAGGGGTCGAAGGACCTCTGGAAGGCAACGGAGACCTTGCGCCGGCGGCTCTCGCGGCTCAGTCTGCGGTGGAGGCGGCGGATGGCTGGCTGAGAATGTGGAGGCGCCGAGGCACAGGTCAGCCGGGGTCAGAGGGGGCGTGGGTGGGCGGAACGGGGCGTGCGAGGTCCAACCGCCTCGGGGAAATGGAGGGGGGCGTTCGGGCCTCGGGGGCGCCCACGTGGATGAACTGGGCCATCGCATTGGAGACGAGATGCAATGTGGCTCACGCGGGCCCAACCGAACGGTGCGGAACACCGGAGTTGGACGCAACGGAGGGCGACGCAGTGCACATGGTGCTTCTCGCGCGGCGCACGGGAGCTTTGCGCGACGTCGAGGCGCAATCCCGGGTAGCACAAAGTCTGAAAACGCGACTCGCGTTGGCGACGGGCCTGTTCAGACCAGCTCGAGTGGGCTCGACCCGAAAACGCACCGTGGAGAAGGGTTCCCGTCGCCCGCACTGCCGGCAGCCTGCGCGCACCGAACGACGCGCGCTCCACGCACATTGGCCGCCGGACGCCGCGAGTGACTCGGCCGCGCCAGCTGCACGCGCGCCACCGCGCTGGGGCACAGCTGGGTGACCATGTGTGCAACTTGGCCTCGGGCGCAACAACGAACACAAAGCCCTGGACGCTCCAAATCGATAGACACGACACCCGGTGTCGCGAAATATGCGCCTGGGCGCCGAAGCGACCCCCCATCAGCGCACTGCGGGCCAGATGGGGGTGTCATGTCATCACCTGGAGGGGTCACACATCACCTGCCCGATATGATGTGGGCCGGCCACGACGACGACGTCAAGCCAATGCGAGCCGCTCGCGAGCACTGTGCGTGCCCCGAGGTCTACTAGTGAGGAAGCGCAATTAGAGTTCGAGGTTTCCTGGTTGATTCTTCATGCAACAGCGACAGCGGCGCAGCTCCACGCCGTGCCGCCGCACACCTGCCCCGCGCGCGCGCGCTTCGTGTCCGTCCACGTACCGCCCACGCGGTCCGCTGCTCTGCGCGCGGCGCCAGCACAACTGGCGCACCCCGCCACCGCCAGGGCGTCACTCCTCGTCCGAAGACGAGCCCTTGAAGTGCCGGTTAAACCGCGACCGCTCCGGCCGCAGCGGGTCGCGCCTCTGCCTCGGGGCGAACGACGTCTGCTGCTTCTCGGGCCCCACCACCCCCCCCCTGCAGAACGCCCCCCGAAACAAATGCTCAGTCAGACGCGGGCGTGCGGCGCCGCGCGGCACATGCGCTGCAGCGGGCGGGCACTCACGCTGCCCCTGCGACCGGCAGCACGGAGAGAAGGAAGCTCATGAAGTCCAGCCTAGCGTCCATATGCCCGAGCTCGCTGCGCACGGCGTTGTTCCGCAGGCACCGCGGCGCCCAGTTCGCGCCCTTCTTCTTCCGCACGCGGTACTCCTCGTCCGCGAAGAGCTTCGCGCGTTCCAGGATCTGCACGCGGCACACGCGGGACGCGCACGTCGCACAGTGGGACGCGCGAGCGGCGGCGGGCGGCGGGCGCGCGCGGGTGGCCGGGCGGTGCGTACCTGCGCCGAGACGGTGGCGGGGAGCGCGGAGCCCCGCATGAGCTTCTCGAGGTCGGTGATCCACAGCGCGCCGTCCTTGAAGTAGCGGCAGTCGGGGTCCTCGTCCAGAACGCCGTAGATCCGCTCGATGCGCTTGAGGAGCCGCGAGGACACGTCCCGGTTGAGGTTCCTCACGCCCTCGAGGACGTTCTCGTTGTACGCGACGCGGTTGAGCAGCTGCTGCCGCACGCGCGCCGCGCTGTGGATGAAGACGGCCGTGGCCACGAGCGCGAGGACGATGGTCTCCACGACGATGACGGTCAGCCCGACCGCGAGCGTGGACGCCTCGCCGCTGTTGTTGTCGCCGAAGGTGAAGAACGACCCGTGCGTGAAGAGCGTCACCAGCGCCAGCGGGAAGCCGATCAGGCAGAAGAAGCGCGCCGTCCTGTCGAGCAGCTCGCTCAGCCGCCCGTAGTCCAGGAACGTCCACAGCAGCGGCTTCAGCCCCATCGGCCGCCGAATCACCTTGACCACCTGCTCCATCGTCGACGCCGACTGCAGCCGGCGCTGGTGCACGTCGCCCTCGCCGGAGGACCCGGACGCGCCGAGGTCGTCCGTCTTCGGGTGCACGGCCGCCGGCCGCGCGTTGTGCTTCGCTTTGCCCGGGTGCATCGACACGTGCGTTTCCATCTTGTCCTCCACGTGCTGGTGAGAGATCTGCATCGCGAGGTTGGGGTGTCAGCGTGTGCCAGGCGGAGCCCGCGATAGAGGCTGCATGTGGCAAGGCCGGCTCGGGGTCGATCGGTCCCGACGGCGTGCAGCTGGGTAAGGATGCAGGGGGGGGGTGTGCCAACCTGCAGCGTCATGGCCTTTGTCAGCTGGATGAAGTTGCGCATGCGCTGCTCCTCCTGCCCCGCGTCGGTGTCGGCCTCCTCCTGCCGCAGGACGCCGGTCTCGAGCATCAGTTCCGCGAGCAGCGCGGGTGTGCGCAGGCGCCGCTCGTGCCGCTCGCGGCGGAAGGCCTCGTAGTCGAGGACGTACCCGACGAGCGTCGCGCAGAGGCCCGGGATGAGCGTGAAGACGATCGAGATGAGGTAGAACGCGGACAGCGTCGTCAGCTCGTCGGTCTTCGGGAGCTCGGCCTGCGGGGGGGTGTGGCGGTGCGACGGGGTCGCGTGAGGCCGCGGGGCTGCGCGGGGGCGGCGCACGTGCGTGCGTGCGTGGCTCGCGCGTCTGTACGTCGGTGCGTTTCGCGGGTGCGCACCGCGGAGATGAACATGATGGCGAACACGGTGAGGACGGCGGTCATGGAGATGCCGACGCGCTCGCCGACGGCGTCGGGCGAGATGGCGAAGGTCAGGAACGCGAAGAGCACCGCGCACGACACGGGCACGATGAGGTTGACGATGTAGTCCAGCGAGTACCGGGACACCTCGAAGTAGAAGTGCACCGCAGGCCTGCATGTCAGACACGAGGGGCGGACCCGTCAGATTCGCGCGGGCCGCCGCGGGAACGCTTCCCAGCGGCCGTGACGCCGGCGGTGTCGCGTCGGACCAGCCCGAGCGGATCAGACCCCCCCCTGTGCGCAGTGACGCGACGAGCACTGCTCGGGGCCCGCACCACGACGCGTCGGGGAACGTGCTGTAGACCTCTGAGACCCGCGATGCCCCCGCGATCTTGAGCTCGAACTGGTTGTTGCTGGTCAGCGGCGACGACCCGTCCTCGCCCTCGAAGATCTCAATGCCGTCGGGGCCGCCGGAGGTGCTGGCCTCGGGCTCCACGTTGACGAGGTCGCCGTCGCGGCTCCACGCGCCGATCTTGAGCTCGCATAGCTGCTTGTCGAACGGGAACCGCCGCAGCGAGATGCGCGCGGGCCAGCGCTGGTCGCACGTGGACGCGCCCTCGCCGTCGTTGTCCGCGACGTACGTCTTGGTGTCCTCGTCGTACAGGTTGCAGCCGGGGCCGCGGAACGGACGCCCTCCGTTCCGGTTCTGACCCTCCGCGCTGCACGAGAAGGCCACAACGCCTGCGCGGACGCACGAGCAGTACGTTGCGTTGCACGTTCGCACGTGCACTGCGCGCACGCAAGCGGTCGACGTGGGCCTCCAGCGGCGCATGCAGCGGCCGGGGCAGCACGTGCGGGGCGGCGGACGGACGCGCAGCAGCGACCAAGATGCGCCGCGGAGGGACTACCGTGCCCCCATGAGAGCTGGAGCGGTGTGGTGCGTGCGTGCTCACCCGGCCGCGACCAGTGGCACTGGCCGTCCGACGTCACGATGACGTAGAGCTGCTCCGAGAGGACTTCGGCGTCGCCGCGCAGGCCCGTGAGCGGACTTTCCGCCCCGTTGTACGACACCAGGTCCGGGGTCCAGATACTGGACGGGGGCATGATGATCTTGTCGACGCCCCCCCTGCGGCAAACGGCGTCGCGGATGCGTCAGAGGGACCAGCTGCGAGGGACCGCCGCGGAGGCAGCATGCTACAGGAGCGTTGCAGGCACATCGACGATGATCGTGGCGCAGGGGGGAGTCGCGCTGTCCGCGGCGTACCACTCCGATGGGTCCCACTTAAGGTTGGTGTCCGTCCACCTCGCGTAGAGCCACAAGTTCATCTCGACCTGCGAGTGCCGGGGAAGAAGACTGCTTGTTCACGTGCCGCGTTCCGGGCTCGCGACGAGCCTCACGTGATGATTCGCTGCAGCAAGCGAGCGAACAGCTCAGTGCCATTGCAGGGAGCTGGCGGCCGTGGATCGCGAGGCCCTGGGCCGTCGCGGGGGCCTGTCGACAGTTGCGCCATGCTTGGCAGCACCGCGGCGCAGTGCGGGGCCGGCGCACCTTTCCGGAAAGCTCGTGGAATTCCATCAGGGAGTATACGACGATCTTGAGCGTTACGTCGGTGGCGAAGTCGTCGTCCGCCCTGCGCAGCGCACTCGCAGCAAGCAAGCGCTGTGGGTGAGGGAACGCCCGCGAGAGCACGCCGGCCGACACCGCGAGCCCGCTGGGCCTCCGCGGAATCCCCAGATCATGCGCGGCCGCCCAGCGAGGTCCCGCCCAGCACGGGCCCAGCGCGCGGAACAGCAGCGCCGTTCAACAGGCTCAGCGCAGCAGGTGCACGCGCTCCGGCCGCGTCTCCTCGCCGTTCACGCGCTTGTCCGACGGCGACAGGACGCTCCGCTCTTGTATCTGACTGAGCGCGATTGCTGGCGCTTTTTCCTGGCCCGTACGCGCGTCGGCAGCCGAGGAACAGCCGCTGCCCACTGTGCATGTCAGGTCGCGCAGCGGTGCCCTCCACCGCGGCCCCCACGGAAAATTGCTCAGCGCATCAGCTCTCTCACGGTGTGAGGAGTCGAGATGAGGCCCGGGAATCCCCTCGGCGGAACCGTCCGGCGCGCAGGGAGGCTGCCCTGAGCGCGCAGTGTGGGGCGGCCGCGCGGTGCGGGGGGGGCGCGCACTTGGGGACGGCGAAGGGGAACGACGAGGGGTAGGTGGTGGTGAGGTTGTGGGTGAGCCACTGCCTCCATTGCCCCTCGACCGTGAGCCCGGGTCGCAGGGCGTTGGTGTTCTCCTGCGGAGTGCCGCCTCCGCCTTGCGCCGCCGCCGCCGCCAGGAACGCCGCCAAGGCCACGGCCCACAGAACGCCCATCAATCTGCCGCGCCGCATGCTTGGCACATCCGACTGCAACACCCCCCACACGGACGACACCCGCAGCGAGCCTGCGGTCCTTGCAACCACGCTGAAACGCACTCGGAGGCGCTCTCGCGCACTGTTCACCGGGCCTGCACCTCCGCGTCCGCACTTGACCGCGCCCGGCGGGCCTCGCCAGCCATCAGCCCCGCCGGTGGACCCCCGAGTCCGACCCCGGTAGTTATACCATCAGCGCGTCAGTTGGTGCAACAACATGGACTGTGCTTCGTTGGACACGGCTCCGCACGACCCCGCACCATGCTTGGCCCCCGGCCGCGAGCGGCTCGCGGTCCGCGGCCTTGATGCCCGTGCAGCGCGCCCATAGCACCTCCTCACCGCACCGCTCGCGCCCGACATACAGACATTGCTGTCCTTCGGATCACGGCTCATTGCAAGGGCATTCGAGACCGAACCAGCGAGGCAGGGCAAGAAAATCGAGCAGGCCGAGCGAAGCCACGCGCACACTCCACACCCCCCCACAGCCGCTGCAGTGACTCCGTCACACCCCCCTCCACCGCACGTGGGCTCCTGCCCCCACGGCGCCCCGCGAGCGCCCGGGCCGCTATGTACACGCCCCGCGGCACCGCCTACGCGGCGGCGGGCTCCGCGGGCAGCGGCGGCTCGTCCATTTCCTCGTCGTCGTTCAGGCGCGCGCCCGACATGGTCTTGAACAGCAGCTTGCGGATGTGGCCGTGCGAGTCCTTGCGCACGCTGGCCTCGAGCTGCCGCGCGGAGGGCACCGGCTTCGTGAAGGCCTCGATCACGCTGTCGCCGCACCCCTCCACGAGCTGGCTCTCAAAGAAGCAGCCGCGGGGGAACGCGGTGAGGTACGCGAGGTGGCGGTCCGCGCGGATCGTGGAGAAGACGACGCCGTGGCCGTCGGAGTCGAGGCCCCAGAAGAGCGGCACGGCGCCCGAGGCCGAGCGCGTCGCGAGCACGTAGCCCGCTGCAGCGTCAAAGAGCACGAACGCGAAGTCCCCCGCGAAGGCCGAGAGGATCGTGGCCGGCTGGTCGGAGTAGTCGCCGTATCTGCGCGGAAACGGCGCGGGCAGTGGACGTCGGTGCGTAGCCGCGGGGCGCGGGAATGGTGCGTGCGTGGGGGCAGTGCGCGAGTGCGGGCGCTGGGGGGCGCGTCGCGGCGTGCGCGTGGTCGCGAAGGCAGCGAGGATGGACGCACATGTCCTGGAAGCCGGTGACGTAGAGGGAATGGACGAGCTGCGCGCCAGTTTCGGTGGGGCAGCGGTGGTTGTTCTCGCCAGGCGGGGGTGGCAGGTCGAGCCCGTACAGCTCCGCGAGCTCATCCGCGTTCTCGATCGTTCCAACAAAGGCGACCGCGACCTGCAAGATTCACGTTCCAAACGCAAGCGCTCACCGCGCGGCCCAGCAGGGCACAAGATAAGAGACAAGCACACGCGGCGCTCGGACGTGCGCGACGTCGACGCTGCTCGCGGACGACGTATTTCGGTACGTCCGAGCCGGACATTCGATCGGACCGGCGTCCCACGCGCGGAACGCGCACGCCCGGGCGCGGAAGCAGGCCAGCCGGGCACGAAGCGGTTGGGCTCGAAGCGGACAGCGCGCGCTCGTGTCCCCTCCCCGGCTCCCCGCGGAGCCGCAGGAGCTGGGACGCGCGCTTGCCTGGTCCTCTTCGCCCGTCGCTCCGTACACGGACCGGCCTGGGCCCCGCGCCACGGCCAGCGAGCCCACGGGGCTGTCTCCGGGCGGGAGATGCAGCTCCTGGGCCGCCTCGTGCGTCTCCGTGCCCATGAGGGACGCCAGGCGCGATGTAATGTCCATGGGCTCCAGGTGCTTCACACCTAGCCCCTCGTGCACCGTCTCGGGGTCGTCGTTCTGGTCCGCAGTCCACAGGTCGTCTCCGACGGTGCCGCGGGGGCACGGAGGGACAACGGCCTCCTTTCGGAACGCCGCGAACATCGTGGAAGACTCTCTGCCAAACCTCGGTCGGCGGAATGCCGCTGAATGCCGCCGACGCGCCCGCGCGGGACGACTAGAGAGGCTAGGCTGTGGCGGTGGTTGAACCAGTCAAGAACCGTTGAACGGACTCCCTCCAAGAGGCTCTGCCACGAGGACGAATGCAACTCGTGGTTCCGCGACGGCGCCACGGCCGCACCGCGCCGGCGACGGGCGCGCCGGCATGCCCGCCGCGCGCTCCGCCCGGCGAGCGCGCCGCGGGGCGCTCTCCGCACCGCACGCGCGCATTTTCCGCCACCACACACCCTGATGTTGTTGCTGTTGTTGTACCTGACATCACAGCGTTCGGAGGGACGCACGGCCCCAACGGGCCCGCCCGCGCCGCGCCGGCCGCAGATCGACGCGTCGCGGGCCCGCTGGCGCAGCGCCGCCGCTGCAGACCGACCGCCGAGCAGGTGTGAGGCGAGAAGTTGTCTTCTGCGGTCACGTGCGGAATCGAGCGCGGGAGCAGCCTGACGAGTCCGCGGGCTTGGGTCCCGTGATACTAGACTTCCAGTGGGATCGGAGGGGGCGCCATGGATCGTCGTGCGGAGGCGCTGGCGCGCCTGAAGTCGCAGCGCCGGGGGGGCGGGGCGAGCGGCGGAGCCGGGCGCTTCTCGGCCGCCCAGTCCCGCGTGATGAACGATGCGTATATGGAGCGCTTCGAGGAGGCCTTCGAACACCTAGCCAGCGTCCAGGGAGGCCAACGGGAGCCAGCCGAGCGCGGCGCGCGTGCACTGGAGCACGGGGCCGCGAGGCCGTCTCAGGGCCGCGCGCGCCCGCAGTGGGATACCTCCGGTGTCGGAGAACTGCGCCCGGCCGAGGACAGCGCGGACGCCGCCCCACACGCCGCGGCGCGGGGCCGCGATGTTCACGCTGCGCCCCCGCACAGCGCGGCCCGCGGCGCCCCGGGGAAGCACAGGCAAGCCGCTCCGGCGCATCTGCGCGCAATGCCTGCTCATAGCCTCCTCAGCGCGCCGCCAGGGACGCGCCCTCGCGGCCCCCGCGCCCCCCACGTGGCGCCGGTCACCATCGTGCTGCCATCCCGTCTTGCTGCGCAGCTCCGCGAGCGACCCGTGGGCCGGCCAGTCCCTCGACGCGGTGCTCTCGAAGCCCGCCCCGGCAGCGAGGGCCTCCCAGCGCGGCCCCGCGGCCGCTCCGAGGGGGGCCCGGGGCGCCCCGGCCGCTGCGAGTGCTCCTGTGCTGCGGGCGCTGTCCCACGGGTGGGCGCAGGGCCCCGTGGACGAGGCCGGAACGCTCGTCGAGCTGTCCGAGCGGCTGCTGGTGTGCGGGAGCGTGAGCTGGGAGACGCGCGAGGCCGTCATCGGCGGGACGGACCACGCGTTGTATGTCGTGAGCATCGATGCGAAACGGCGCGGGCAGTGGACGTCGGTGCGTAGCCGCGGGGCGCGGGAATGGTGCGTGCGTGGGGGCAGTGCGCGAGTGCGGGCGCTGGGGGGCGCGTCGCGGCGTGCGCGTGGTCGCGAAGGCAGCGAGGATGGACGCACATGTCCTGGAAGCCGTTGACGTAGAGGGAATGGACGAGCTGCGCGCCAGTTTCGGTGGGGCAGCGGTGGTTGTTCTCGCCAGGCGGGGGTGGCAGGTCGAGCCCGTACAGCTCCGCGAGCTCATCCGCGTTCTCGATCGTTCCAACAAAGGCGACCGCGACCTGCAAGATTCACGTTCCAAACGCAAGCGCTCACCGCGCGGCCCAGCAGGGCACAAGATAAGAGACAAGCACACGCGGCGCTCGGACGTGCGCGACGTCGACGCTGCTCGCGGACGACGTATTTCGGTACGTCCGAGCCGGACGTTTGCAGCACATCCTGCAGACTCTGAGAAGCTTTCCGGACGCACTGTATCTCTCACACCGCGCGTGCGTGCAGCACGGGCGTACTGACGCAGGGAGTGGGGCAGTTCGCCACTGCTCAGCGCCCGCGCCTGCGCCGGCTTGTTGGCCCCACGGGGCGACTAGCTGCGCCACTGCGGCCGCACTCGCTGCGCCGCACGTGCTCTCGACCGCTTCCCCGTTGCAGCGCGGCCGCGGTCGCTCCGTCGGCGCGCGCAACCGGGCTCCGAGGTTGAGTTTGCCCCCCCCCAACACCACCCGCCCGCGCCGCTGTTTTCGGCCCCGCTGGCCTCCGCGCGCCACGATTTCCGGACGCACTGTATCTCTCACACCGCGCGTGCGTGCAGCACGGGCGTACTGACGCAGGGAGTGGGGCAGTTCGCCACTGCTCAGCGCCCGCGCCTGCGCCGGCTTGTTGGCCCCACGGGGCGACTAGCTGCGCCACTGCGGCCGCACTCGCTGCGCCGCACGTGCTCTCGACCGCTTCCCCGTTGCAGCGCGGCCGCGGTCGCTCCGTCGGCGCGCGCAACCGGGCTCCGAGGTTGAGTTTGGCCCCCCCCAACACCACCCGCCCGCGCCGCTGTTTTCGGCCCCGCTGGCCTCCGCGCGCCACGATTTCCGGACGCACTGTATCTCTCACACCGCGCGTGCGTGCAGCACGGGCGTACTGACGCAGGGAGTGGGGCAGTTCGCCACTGCTCAGCGCCCGCGCCTGCGCCGGCTTGTTGGCCCCACGGGGCGACTAGCTGCGCCACTGCGGCCGCACTCGCTGCGCCGCACGTGCTCTCGACCGCTTCCCCGTTGCAGCGCGGCCGCGGTCGCTCCGTCGGCGCGCGCAACCGGGCTCCGAGGTTGAGTTTGGCCCCCAACACCACCCGCCCGCGCCGCTGTTTTCGGCCCCGCTGGCCTCCGCGCGCCACGATTTCCGGACGCGCACTGTATCTCTCACACCGCGCGTGCGTGCAGCACGGGCGTACTGACGCAGGGAGTGGGGCAGTTCGCCACTGCTCAGCGCCCGCGCCTGCGCCGGCTTGTTGGCCCCACGGGGCGACTAGCTGCGCCACTGCGGCCGCACTCGCTGCGCCGCACGTGCTCTCGACCGCTTCCCCGTTGCAGCGCGGCCGCGGTCGCTCCGTCGGCGCGCGCAACCGGGCTCCGAGGTTGAGTTTGGCCCCCCCCAACACCACCCGCCCGCGCCGCTGTTTTCGGCCCCGCTGGCCTCCGCGCGCCACGATTTCCGGACGCACTGTATCTCTCACACCGCGCGTGCGTGCAGCACGGGCGTACTGACGCAGGGAGTGGGGCAGTTCGCCACTGCTCAGCGCCCGCGCCTGCGCCGGCTTGTTGGCCCCACGGGGCGACTAGCTGCGCCACTGCGGCCGCACTCGCTGCGCCGCACGTGCTCTCGACCGCTTCCCCGTTGCAGCGCGGCCGCGGTCGCTCCGTCGGCGCGCGCAACCGGGCTCCGAGGTTGAGTTTGGCCCCCCTCAACACCACCCGCCCGCGCCGCTGTTTTCGGCCCCGCTGGCCTCCGCGCGCCACGATTTCCGGACGCACTGTATCTCTCACACCGCGCGTGCGTGCAGCACGGGCGTACTGACGCAGGGAGTGGGGCAGTTCGCCACTGCTCAGCGCCCGCGCCTGCGCCGGCTTGTTGGCCCCACGGGGCGACTAGCTGCGCCACTGCGGCCGCACTCGCTGCGCCGCACGTGCTCTCGACCGCTTCCCCGTTGCAGCGCGGCCGCGGTCGCTCCGTCGGCGCGCGCAACCGGGCTCCGAGGTTGAGGTTGGCCCCCCCCAACACCACCCGCCCGCGCCGCTGTTTTCGGCCCCGCTGGCCTCCGCGCGCCACGATTTCCGGACGCACTGTATCTCTCACACCGCGCGTGCGTGCAGCACGGGCGTACTGACGCAGGGAGTGGGGCAGTTCGCCACTGCTCAGCGCCCGCGCCTGCGCCGGCTTGTTGGCCCCACGGGGCGACTAGCTGCGCCACTGCGGCCGCACTCGCTGCGCCGCACGTGCTCTCGACCACTTCCCCGTTGCAGCGCGGCCGCGGTCGCTCCGTCGGCGCGCGCAACCGGGCTCCGAGGTTGAGTTTGGCCCCCCCCAACACCACCCGCCCGCGCCGCTGTTTTCGGCCCCGCTGGCCTCCGCGCGCCACGATTTCCGGACGCACTGTATCTCTCACACCGCGCGTGCGTGCAGCACGGGCGTACTGACGCAGGGGGTGGGGCAGTTCGCCACTGCTCAGCGCCCGCGCCTGCGCCGGCTTGTTGGCCCCACGGGGCGACTAGCTGCGCCACTGTGGCCGCTCTCCTCGCGCCGCGCGTGCTCTCGACCGCTTCCCTGTTGCAGCGCGGCCGCGGTCGCTCCGTCGCCGCGCGCAGCCGGGCTACGAGGTTGAGTTTGGCCCCCCCCAACACCACCTGCTCGCGCCGCTGTTTTCGGCCCCGCTGGCCTCCGCGCGCCACGATTTCCGGACGCACTGTATCTCTCACACCGCGCGTGCGCGCAGCACGGGCGCGCTGACGCAGGGAGTGGGGCAGTTCGCCACTGCTCAGCGCCCGCGCCTGCGCCGGCTTGTTGGCCCCACGGGGCGACTAGCTGCGCCACTGCGGCCGCACTCGCTGCGCCGCACGTGCTCTCGACCGCTTCCCCGTTGCAGCGCGGCCGCGGTCGCTCCGTCGGCGCGCGCAACCGGGCTCCGAGGTTGAGTTTGCCCCCCCCCAACACCACCCGCCCGCGCCGCTGTTTTCGGCCCCGCTGGCCTCCGCGCGCCACGATTTTTTCGCCCGCCCACCCACCCGGAGGGCCGCAGGCCCATGAAGCCCCTTTGGCACCCCGTCCCTTGGCAAGGCACGCGACAGGCTGCCGCTTAACACCCCCTTGCCAGCACGCTGTGCCGTGCAGCCCTCCGGTCCCTCCCCGCTCCCTCTCCCTCGCCGCAGGCCTGCCCCCTGCGTGCGAGCGCCCCGTGGACCACCGTGTGCGGCCCGGCGTGCTCGCGAACGCCCTCAAGCAGGAGATGGCCACAGGCGCGCTCGCGAGCGCCACGAAGTCACGGAGATCACGGAGCTGCGAGCGCCGGCGCGCTCCCACGCGGAGCCCGGCATC